TAGACGGATAAGTAAACAAGTTGTATATATTTTGTAACTTTTTTTTTTTTTTTTTTTTTTATGATAATTGTTCTGAGTATGAGTATTCAACGTTCCACTTTTTCTTTTCCATTTTATTCACTTTTGTCTCTCTTCTCTTTCTTTTTTTATTTTATTTTTTTTCAATCGATAATTTACCCCCAAAGGAGATTTTCCGTATTTCCTGTAAAATTGGCAGAATTGGTCGCGTTTCCTTTTTTCGCCTCTTTATTTATATATTTATTTATATATTTATTTATATATTTATTTATATGTTTATTTATATGTTTATTTATGTGTTTATTTATATATTTATTTTTTTTTTTTTATTTTTTTTTTTTTTGTCCGTTTTTACCTGAACGCGCAGGCGATTTTTGGCACAATTTGAGAGTGTCAGCCTGCTGATTGTCTATTTGTGTGCTCGAATTTTGTTCCATTTTTAGACAAACTGTGTAATTTTTTTACCATTTTTGCGTGAAAAATTAGCATTACCGATTTGCTATAAAAAGAGAAAGATTTAGTGAATATATGAAAGCTTTTTACATGCATGAACATACATTTTTTTTCACAAGGTCAGGACGAATACAAAAATGATCGAAGCTAATGATGAAACACCCCTTTACTTCAACAGAAAAACCATCACAGAAACAAACGTGAGCTCAGATATGTTGAAAAAATGGAATGATAACCAGACGAATTCACGAACATCACTTAAAGATATACATTTAAGAAAAAGTATGAACAAAGCATACTCATCCCCTGTGGAATTTCAAAAAAAAAATTCTATAAGTGAACAAGTAGAAGAAAATAAAATACAAGAGGGAAGACGTAGTACACACTTGGTGAACCAAACAGCAGTATTTTTATCTGATGATCAGAGGAAAAGTGTTCATACAAATGAACATGAATATGACACTCCCATGGGAGAAAAATCTTCTGAATTAGACGCAGCAAAGAATAAAAGGAAAAATAGCAATGTGTACAAAAGCTCGACCAAAGAAGTATACGAGAAAATTCCATCAAATAATATATTAAACAAGTTGACGAAAACTTTACTCATGGGTATCCAAGAGAAAGTGCAAATAGGAATAAAAAAACGGGATAACAAAGAGAAACATAAAGGGAGGGTATGTTCAAATTCAGAAAATAGAAATCAAAAGTTGTGGTCTACAAAGGACCAGGTTAGAGACACAACTCAGAATGGAAATATTTCTAAGAAAGGGAGCCATGAAGTGATATTCCAAAGAATTGGGAAATTCGAACGATCAAGGAGAGGTGATAAAACTGATCTTGCTTACAATAGTGCGAGTTGTCAGAACTCAAAGGATATGGCTAAGACTGAAAGGAAGAAGGAAAAAAAACAAGAACAAGGCAAAGAAAAAACATTTTACGTATATGAAACGGAAGGGTACATTCCACGAGCATGTGAAAACACTGTCTTCAAAGGATTAGAGGAACAACAAAGAGATGAACAGCAAACGAAAAATAAAAATGTTTGCTTTGCGGACGAGAGAGGAAATAATAACTTTGATTATGTAGAAGTATCACAACCTGAACAATTATATATTCATCACAGTTTTCAGAGTTCCCCCAATCCTTACTATCTACAAGGAACAGTTAATGCAATTCCAAGTAGCAACCATCAAATGATGAATGATGAATTAGAAAAATCACATGACATGGCTTTTAATACAGGACAGGGAGAAGTTATATTGTACGGTGCAACATCTCCACATGTTCCAGTAGGACACTCATCACTCAGTGTAGACAGATCTGCATCCATTTCGAATTTAGGGAATTCTGCTGCCTATGATATGTATGGCTATCAGCTGGGATACACAGATTATGAAGGAAAATCACGATATCAGAGTCATGGGGTGGGGCTGAATGTGCATCCGAGCCATGGGAGGCAGATAGCATATCCAAACTACACGAACTACAATGTGAGAGAAGGTTCGTCCGTGCCCAGAGTAGCACACGTCCCCAAGAGTGCATTAATCAGGAGCAAAACAATTGATTTTAAAAATAGAGTGATTGATTCAGAAAACAAAATTTGTAATATGATGGATCTTCCAACATTGCCCACTTCTTCGAAAAAAAAGTTTTTTTGTAATAGATCCTTGAAAAATAATGAACAAAAAGATCTAAATCAATCGAAGGAATACAAAACTGAAATTTTAATTTATCAGAATGAACATTTAAAGAGTTATAAAAAGAATTCACTTGAAAAAGGTGTAAAGAAAAAAAAAAAAAAAAAAAAAAAATCTCGTTCTCCTTTGATTTTCACTAATAAAGGAACAATCTTCCCATCTAATACCAATGTCTTCATTAGAACCAAGTCCTTACAACCATTTAGAAGTAATAAAAAAAATTGTTCTATATCTCCTTTAAAAAATATTTCATTTGGACGACAGACATCAGTTCCACTAAGTACTCAATCGAGGGGACTTCATACTATTCCAGATTATACACAAGAAATTTCGTATACATATCCATCAAAGAATAAAAATATGAACGGATGGGACAAAGGTCCTCAAGTTATAAAATCATTTACTTCTACAGTTCCTTATGGAACTCACCAAAATAGTGTCATTATACAGCAACATAAGAATCTATCCGATTCAAACAAAATCAGATTTAGTGATGATTCAAAAAGTTACCTTAATAAGTGCTCCACTGAGGCGTCTAGTAAGACATCAGATAATGGATCAACTTTGAATAACCATGTAAAATCTTTGAATGCAAAAATTGGAAGACTCAACAGCCGGATTCGTTCTATTAATGCGGAGAAGTGGAACCTCAGCGAATTGGCTAGAATGTACAAGGTTATCACGTCGTGGGGTTGAGTGATCCTTAGATGTATATATTGAGTGAACTTTCCATGTGTGCTTGTGTGTATGTGTGTGCGTACGCGCGCAGGGGACAATGGGTTATGCAATCGTTGTATCTCCATCGCATCTATGACACGTTGGTCTGAGATCAACAACAAGGTGGTGCATCAGAGTAAATCAAAAAATTGTGATCACGTGTGTCATAAATATTTTCACCACGAGCTTTTCCAACCCGTCTAACTTTTCCGTTTGATCCACACTGCAGAACCGCATTGCACCGTAACATTGCATCGCCATATTGCACCTCCACATTGCACCGTCACATTGCACCTCCACATTGCACCGTCACATTGCACCTCCACATTGCACCGTCACATTGCACCTCCACATTGCACCGCCATATTGTAACTTCCTTTTCCCAATCAAAACAGAACGAATGCAATCGTCTGCGCGAAGTCATTGTGAAGAACAAAAAGGTGCACTACGACCCGTTAAACTTCCGTAAAATAAATTATGAACAAATGAATGCAAAACTGGAAGAGGAAAATGAAAAATTGCGGAACCAAATGAAAGTATTAGGAAAGGCAATTCTATCAAGTTACGATATAAATGGGATTAAAAAAATTCTCGCGAGACAAATCGTGAATTTGAATGAAGAGAATGAAAAATATAGACATGAAATTAAATTGTTGCATAAACAAAAGGACGTCAATCGTGAAATTCTCTTCAATCTTAATAGAGGAGATGTCTCAGTTGATGCCATTGATAGCGTTTTTATGCAAACTAAGAATGTCATTATAGAGGTATGCTGAATTGGCGATGATCGAGTAAATATGATCCTATAGAAGCGAACATGTAAGTATCAACACATGCTAAAATCGTGCCTCCTCCTTCTTCTTCAGGGACACCAAACCATGAATGTATTCTACTTGAACCTTAAGAACCTCATCGAAGAATTTTTTCAAAAAATTAAGTTTCTCATAATGGAAGATGACTATGTAAGGAAGAAGATGAATTTTCTCAAATGTGGTTTTTTGTGTGTACATGACCTTTTCAACTGTGCATTTCCCACACCATTCCTTCTTTCCCTTCATCAGTACTATCACTGTCACTATATATCTATCGCTTTTTTTTTTTTTTTACAGTCAAAAAATGAAAAACTTATGTATGTGACGAGTCTGGAAGAGCTAGTCAACGAAAATTTTGAGGAGGTATAGCAGACTTTTTCTACATTTATTACAATTGAATTTATTGTCAACTTATGGATTCTTTTTTTATTTTTTAATTTATTGCTTGCATTTCATGTGCATATGAAGAGGAGATAACTTATACTAATTTTTTTTTTTTTTTTTTTTTACAAATACACACGTCAATTTTCCCCCTTATATGAATAGATAAAGCACATAGTTGTTAAGATAAATGAGTTACGAAAAAAAATGAAGGATGTAAAAGCCCACATTTTTGATACGGATAGAAGCAATCCCAATTGGTTTGTTTATTTTAGTTACTTCTATATGTTTTTGCAAATCATAGATCCGTTACCTATCACTGCGTACCGCTTATATTTCCATTTTGTTGAGCACGAGAAATGTGAAATGTATATCTCTTTAGTGCTAATCTTGTGTGCATGGCACGGAAACATACCAAGCACTAAGACAACGATATAATCATGGACAAGTCGAACTTTTTATTTTATTTTATTTTTTTTTTCTTCCTCCTCTTCTTCCTCTTCCTCTTCTTCTTCGTCTATTACCAGTTCGTGTAAACCTTCAAGGATAATTTTAGAGGACGACATCAATCACCTGGAGGAAGAATTGCATAATCATTCGATCATGCTAAAAAATTTAAGAAAAAAAAATTTGTCCCTTTGTTTAAATAATTTGCACTGTCAGTTTAATCATGTAAGTTTTTTTTTCTTGTTCTTGAAGAGAAAGAATTACTTTGGATTTGACACACTCCTCCTGCCGTTTTACCACCCCATATGTGTAGAGAGTTATTTCTTTTTCACACACATATATATATACGCATGTGTGGTCATAATGCTTTCATATTTTACTTTTCTATTTTTATCATAGGATGCGAAAAGTGGTACTATTCCTGATGGTATAATTAAGGATTAGCATAAGACGATTGGCAGAGAACATGCAAATAGTCACGAAAAAAAAAGAAGGAAAAAAGGAAAAAAAAAAAAGAGAAAGAAAAAAGGAAAAAAAAAAATGAGAAAGAAAAAAAAAAAAGTCTTAATCATAATTTGATCCCACTCCATTACATAGTACAAAGTGTCATTATTTTATTTTATTTTTTTTGTCAAAATTGTAGATATACATATAAGTGACAAAAACGAGAAGCACCTTCATAAGGAGAAACAAAAATCCGATCAAATCATGGGAAAGGATCCACTCAATTTGGAAGACAAGGACGTAAACGTAAATGACAACAGTGATGGTTCGTACCATAGCAAGCTGCACGAAAAGGTATGTCTGATGTCGATTCTTCTTAATCGGGGAGGGAAATAATTTCTCCCAATTGAGTCACACTTTTTTGTGTTCATTTTTCCTCATTTTGCAGATTCGCATAATCGAGGACCAGCTGCATACCCTGAACGATGTAAATAATGAAGAAAAGAGGAAATAAACTAGGATAAAAAAAAAAAAAAAAAAAAAAAAATATAATATAATATAATATAATATATATAATATAATGAAACAGTACAGAAATTCGTATTTCCTGACGAGGGGCACAAATCACTGTCCCCAAGCTAAAAACCCAATTAACCATTTCTACATTATACCATTTTCCCAACCAACAGCATATAAATTACAGTTTCTATGATAATAAGGAGAAAGATCATCATGAGGAAAGCAAAAGAAAAGTAGGTTCACTTAATATGTGTACAGAGAAAGAGCTAGCATGTGCAGAAAAAAAAAAAAAAAAAAAAATATTGGATTTTTTTTTATTTTGTTGCATCCGTAGACTTGAGTACAAATAGACATGTATTCGTTGTGTATGTTAATAAAGTGTGCAAATTTGCAAATTTGCAATCTTGCAATCTTGCAATCATCCCAGTTGGATATATTGCCTCCCCTCACGAACGTACACACACTCACAGGATGTACCCATGGATCTAGAATTCCATAAATATCCAAAATTTCCAGAACTTCCAAAAATTGTAAAAGGTGAAAATCATCGTTTCACGCAAGCAGATTGTACAGAGGTTGCTAAGCGTTCAAAGGAATGCAATAAGGAGGAAAAAAAAAATAAAATAAATGTCAAACATCATACAAAAGACATATCATCCAACACTTCCTCATCATCTTGTTTATCATCTTCTGATGAAAGTGGAAGCGAAATGTGGGAAAATAAAAACTGGCTAAGCGAAGAAGAAGTAAGTTTCTAAACAAAAGGAAAAGGTCAAGAAGGGGATTGAAAAAAAAAAAATAAAATAAAATAAATAAATAAAAATTATCAAATGGATAAAAAAACATGTTCTATATCATATGATGCTTCATAAAGGATTCAAGAAAATGCAAGTATTTCATTCAGTTAATTAAACGAACATGCGTTGTATGCACATGGTCTTAATTTTTTTTTTTTTTTTTTCACAGATGGAACGAAGCAAAAGGAAGATGATCGAACTACTAGCTGTAATCGCATATAAAATTGCATGTTGACACATGTATCTTATTTTTTGTTCTTCCCCCATGTTTGTTTGCACAACGTGGTGTAGATGCCATTCTGAAAAACAATTTTTTTTTTTTTCTCAAAGTTTATAGCTATATCATTGTGTTTTTATTTCTCTGCCATTCATCCACCATATCACTCCTTGTACAGCTACTCAAAGGAAAGCACAATGAAGACTTGGTGGAAAACACGAAGAACTATGTTAACTCCTTTGGGGAATATGTAAGCAGAAGGATGTATTTATAATAACAACAAGTACATGTTCTTCTTCTGTTCTGTTTTTCCTCTATTTGTGTCATTATATCATATATATATATATATATATATATATTCACCACTACCTGGATGAACGAATAAATATCTCTCCTTTTTCCCCTTGTGCAGAAATCAAATAACAAGTATAATTTACAAAAAATTTACGACAATTTGAAGGCTATAAGAAACACCATAAAGAACACAGACGATGATACAGAAAAGAACATTCTCGATTTGGTACCCCTCCCCAAAAAAAAAATAAAACAAAATAAATGAATAAATACATAGTAGATGTAGTCGTTATGGCATGTTTCTCCACGTTTGCTTACGTGCTCACTGTATTTTCCACTATTTTTTGACGAAACCCAATTTTTAATCAGACAGTGGGTTATTCAGACATACATGTGTATCTTCACATGTATAGTTATAGAAACTATTCGCATGTCTGTCTGTATGTATGTATGTATTCACGCTTATTCAGCCCTCTTCCCTTTTTTCCCTTCCCTTTTTCATATTCTTCATTAAAAGATTGAATCCCAAGCGAATGAAATAAAAATATTGGGAAACGTAAGATGGAAAAAAAAAAAAGAAAAAAAAAATCACTAAATAGGAAAAAAAATATATATTCTCATTTTGGAAATATGAATAGATTGCTAATTGTTTAAGTAGTAAATAATTTATACCACATCACTACCCTGTAAACACATTCTTTTTTTTCTTTTTTTTTCACAGTGTGTTGATAATTTAAAGACGACCATGGCACCATAAGCTGTATTTTTTTCACAAAATTTTCCGTTTTGCAATTCTCGAAATTGAAACACACACACACAATGTATATACAAAAGTTGAATTTTTTCTCCCCCCGCAGCTTTTTTGATTTATTCATTTGTTTAAGGAAGAGAGAGAAAAAAATGCACTTTTCTCATATATTTATACATAATATATAAATATGTACATGTATGTGTTTTTCCTCATATGCACAGAAGTTTGATTATTTCCTGTGGTGTTGATATTATTTATTCGGTATACTCAAACGCACGTATTTTTTTTTTTTTTTTTTTTTCACACTTTGTATCATGGGCCCATCCGCATTAACATTTTATTTTTTTAAAAAAAAAAAGAACAAAACCATTGAACGTTTACTGCTTCCCTTTTTCACTTGCCGTGACGCTGATTTAATAACCTCACTTTTTCTTACACTTTTTTCTGTGTAGCCACTCCTACTCATACCCCCATTTTAAGAATTCATTTATATGTATATATATATATGTACATATATATATATATGTACATATATATATATATATATATATATATATATATATATATATATATGGAACAAGTAATTGTGCCACATTATGCACGTATGAATAGAGCCAAAAAAAAAAAAAAAAAAAAAAATAGTTGACACTATAACAAGCACATCAAAAGAGTTCAAAAAGTAATTACTATTAAATAAATTACAATTTATGTGGATGCATAAGTGAATGCCCAAGTTAATGGGATAAAATTCTTCCGTCTAAGAAGGACATGTAACATGTAATGTTTATCCATCCTTACATATGCACTGTCCCATATGTACATTCTTAACTGTGCATGGAGAGAGTTATCCACTATAAAAAAGATAGGTCACAAAGTTTGTACTGTTAATCACTTTATCACATTTTGCCACCCTATTTCCACAGTAAGGGTAATTAATAATATACATATAAAGTGCCAAAAACTGATGTAACAGCTAAGAGTTTAAAAAAAAATGGGAAAGTACAATTTAATATTCAAGAAGAACTGGTTTGCAAAAAGTATTTTTGGGACAGTCGGAATTTTTGTCACTCTGGATCAGCTAGCTAGATAGTACATAAAAAAAAAAAAAAAAAAAAAAAAAAAAGTGCAACGAATTGGAACAATTTTGCATGAACATGCAGATTTTTTTTTTTTTTTTTTTTTTTTTTGTCCTTTTTTTTTTTCCATTTATATGTCCATATTGGCTATTTGTTTTACACAACCCATGCCACGTAAACTATTCACCTTATCAGCCTGTTTTAAATGATTTTTTTTATAATTTGCCCATTCCTTATAAGTCAGTACAATATCCCGGAGATCAGAGATCCCAACCTAACCATGTGGCCATGGTGGCTTGAAAAAGTCAACGAGAAAAGGTATCCAAAGTGAGATAACGGTTGCATAGCAGCAGAAAACATATACATATATATATATAACATACCTCATATGTATGTACCATTTTTGAGAGAAATCTCTGAGTTGGAAAGTGGATTGTCTTATAAAGTAGGTTTCCCCACACGTTCACTTGGGTTTGTATGTTCATATGTACTGTGGGAATTGTAACGTATAGGCTATTTTCGTGACGAATTAAATTTAATCAACGTGCAATCCGAAAATATCGAACGAGTTTGAGTGGAGAGTTGTTCGCAGACGGTGAACAATAAACATTTTTGTTGCTTCGTCTTTTCACTATTTTGTTGTTCTTTAATTTTCTACAACACTTACCACCCTCTATAGGTTAGAAATGAATCAAAGGGATCACGGTGGTAAAAATGCTTAACCACTTGACCATGTTTAATACTACAAAATGATTTTGTATAGATATATGAATATTATCCCAATTGGAGGAATCCGTTTCGTTTCGAAATGTGTTTTTTTTTCATTTTTTTTTTTTTTTTTTTTTCCAATATGCATAATGAGACTACACAGCTAAAACTTTTTCGCACGCCCATTTTCAATTCATCATTTCCTCCATTTTGCAATTTTTCTACTTTGCACGTTTTCAAATGTTGTTGTCAACACATTTAATGTGTTCACATGTAAATTCAGTTTCTTAGTGAGTTTTAAAAAAAAGGTAAAGAATTTTGCATGTGTACTTACTTATGTAAATGGTCCCCACCACCACCACCAGGGTGTGTTATAGGTACATACAGGAATAACTAGTTAACACATGAGCGTGCATACATGTGCGTACATATGCGTATATATATGTATATTGCGTCCAATAATGCAAAGAAATTAGACAGTGTGAATTGGTGCTTTCATCCAAAGTGCGAAGGTAAAAATTTGCGAGCACGCATTATGTTTGGGTTATAATCAACTGGGGAGTCGCGTATTCTTAACACATAACTGGGCATTTGAAATTTGAACTTTTTTATATCATCCCTTGAAACGTATTTTATTTTCATTTTTTCATTGTATTTTTTAACGGAGAGATTTTTTTTACTTGCATTTCTACCTGACTGTAACCTTTCCCAACCAAATCTCGTTAAGCGAAATCGTAAGGCAACCTTTGAATGGTTTTTATATTTTAATTTTTTTTTTCGTAGCTGTGATACTCTATGTCTAAAACGAATTAGTACCCAGTTGATATTTTCTCGAGGATTATAAAAACGTTTAATACGCATAACTATTTCGGGTTGTGTAAACATGTTGCTGCTTATTCTTTTTTGTGTTGGGTTTGTGATACTAATGATTAGGCTATCTCTGAAAATATTATTCACCATACTGCTTACTTCTCTTTTAGGGGTTATATACTGTCTAAGCCAGTTCTGATTGTTTGCGAATAGTGGAGTGTTGGCCCTTAGGCATTTACCAATTTTGTAATTCCGACAGATCATTTTCCTGATATTTACGTCTGTTCAGTGGTTGTCCAATATGTGGTGGGGTTGGGTGGAAAAAAAAAACAAACAAACGAAAGAAAGAAAGAAATTTCGCTTGTCTTTGTTTGGGGTATGATGGTATGACTAAAGAGGGTATTCTTTTAGTACCCCCGTCTGTGATATATATATATATATATATATATATATATATATATATATATATATATATGCATACATATATTGTTTTTTTTTTTTTTTTCTATTAAAATTATGAACAGTTCATAATTTTTATTTGAGTATAAATAAAAAAAAAAAAAAAAAAAAAAAAGTGTGCGCAATTTAAGACGGCTTAAAAGATATGCCTAGTAGGAGAGAGCAGTTAAAAGAGACGAAATTGGGCACGTTCAGGAGTGTTTCCTCCTACAGGGATTGGTATCCATGCAGAGGGGTAGGTAATGCAATTATAAATACTCACGTATGCGTATTATATGAGAGAGGGGGGTGAAATACGTGGGGCAATGTTTGCATGAATTGTTCAGGCTTTTAATCTTGGTATTTGCAGAGTGAATATTGTGTGTGAAACCTCCCGAAGAGAAGTAATTCAGAAAAGGAGGGAAGAGTGGTGTTAGAAGAAATGTGTAGGTACCTTGTTCTACAAATCGATTTCTAGTTTTATTTATAGGACAGATTTAATTTGGAAGATTAAAAAAAATGCTTTTATTTTATGTCGAAACCCTCATTCCGCAAACACTGATTGTGGTCATCAATATACTTTTTGCATTGTTCTTCTCCTAATTTAACAATACATTCATCTCTCAGTTTCTTGGTTTCTAAACATACACAACAAATTTTCTTTTTTTTCATATCTCCCTTGGTCTCTTCATTCGTTTTTTTTGCCGATCGGTTGAAAAAGAAGTCCATTTTTTTTTTTTTTTTTTTTTTTTTTTTTATCCTACTTGTGAACGTATAATATGTTCGTGTGTGTTGTATGTGTTTTTTTTTTTGTATGTATGCATATATGTATCTACTACTTAAATATTACTAATGGATTTTGTAAGTATGTGTTACAACTCAGGCGAATGTATCCCAATTGGTGCACCTGTCCTTACGTTCTCTGGATTTATCTATTTGTGTGAAATTTTGTTCATATCCCTGAATAAAGTCTTGTAGCACCTTGCTTTTGTTTACAAGTGACTTTTTTTTTTTTTTTTTGTTTTATGTTAATTGGTGGAAGTTCTTCAAAACTTGAATAAATAAAATAAAGAACTGTTTATTTCTTACTATTGAATATTACATAACAAATGAGATAATTTTTTACTTTTTTTTTTTTTTTTTTTTTTTTTTTATTAGCCGCTGTTTGAATAACACGCAATGCAAATGCGTAAAGCATTTTGCCTGAGGGGGATGCTACACCTTTCCTAGTATTGCAAAAAAAAAAAAAAAAAAAAAAAATGGGTGGGAAATATATAAACCACATATAAAAACACAACTTAAATCATTATTCATATTTTAAAAATGTGTGTACAATTGTAGATACTTCATTGCTGGTCATCCTACTTTGTAAGTGAAAAAAAAGTTTCATTTAATAGGACGCTGTAGCAACAGTGTATACATATATATATATATATATATATATATAGCATAATTTAATCCCCGAACCGGTGTAACAAAGAACTTGTGAATAGCAGCACGGAGATCCAATCTTAACGTGTTGTTGAAGCAACAACACGCATGACACTTTCTGGAACTTACAAAAATTCAAGGATAAGATAAAAACTGAACGTGATTAATTTACATAAAAAAGATGAAGAGATACAAAAACTCCTTCCCCTTTTTTGTACAGAATAGAAAAAAAAGGAAATTGGATTAATCACAAGTATGTGTGTAAACAATTAACTAGTTCAAAATAGTGATTAATTGGAGATATATCCCATGTTTTCCATTCCCTTTCATCATTTCCCTCGCATAATACCGTTCTCACATTTTGAATTTTGAGTTTTTTTTTTTTTTTTTTTTTTTCCCATTTCATTTTTTACACCTACGATATCATATGATGGAAACAAAGTTTTATTTATAAAAGAACGTCCAACCCCAATTAATATTCCAAATTGTTTTCATCATTAAAATTGTAAAAAAAATATGTATCCTTTTCGCTAATGTCTTTGATTCGTTATTTATAAGGAAAAAAAAAAAAAAAAAAAAAAAAAAAAAAAAAAAAAAAAAAATTTTTTATAGGAAAAAAAAAAAAAAAAAAAAAAAAAAAAAAAAAAAAAAAAAAAAAAAAAAAAAAAAAAAACATGGAATACATCAAAAAAAGCCCACCCTTCTTGTCTAAAATTGAGAAAAAAAAAAAATTAATACTTAGTGAAAATGCAGATGTTAACACTTTGCTTATTCGTCCAGTTGAATAATGCATAGGGGAGGGAAAAAGTTTTGTCTAATCTGCAGTACACATGTGTAATGATGTACTAAGGAAAGCTTCATATACACGATTCACCAAGCGGTGGAGTCACCACAAAAAAAAAAAAAAATCTATGAAATGTATGAAATGCTTGAAATTTATGAAATGCATGAAATTTATGAAATATTTGAAATTTATGAAACGTTTGAAATGTATGAAATGTTTGCAATTTATGAAATGCTTGCAATTTATGAAATGCTTGAAATTTATGTAATGTATAAAATTTATAAATTTTTTTTCATTCTCTCCCTTTGGTTCAGATTTAAGAGCAACGTGAGGAAAAGCTATGATGAATTACTCAATTCTGAAGAAAAACCTTGTTATTAAATTTAACAACTCTGTACATAAATGTCAAAATAGGGGAGTCAAACGAGAAAAAGGTTTTCCTGTGAAAAAAAGAACTATAGGTTTGTGTTCTACTGGTGCAGAAGAAAATGGATCGAATAATCGAGGGGATGAAAAAGGTAACGGTATGGATGAACCAACTAGCGTTGCAAAAAAAAAAAAAGAATTTGACATTTTTCTTGAAATCGAGGACATTCTAAAGGAAAATATCACAGCAAAGGTGAACAACACTGTGGGGAATAGGAATAAAAATGTGCAAGATCAGAAAAGTTTAGAAACAATTGGACATTCACGCAAGTGTATCGATGGCATTGTAGCAGCAGGAGAAGAAGACGGGACCAAAGGAGGGGAATCTAACGGATTGACATTGTCTACACAATGTGCAAAAAACGAAAAAAAATATTCCATAAATGAACAAGAGGACTTGTTTAGAAAAAAAATGGATATCGTGGAGGCCAGTCTTAGCATAGTAAACAAATGGTCTAACCACATCGAGCTGATTGAATTTGTCAAAAACAACATGAAGAACAATGAGTTCATTTATGTGAAAAGGTAAGATCCGTGCATTTTTGTAGCTAGACCAAGTGGGTCCGAAGTTGATACATGCACCTTCGACGTTGAGCCATGCAGCGTTGTCATCTTGTTCGTCCACCATTGATGAACTTTTTCTCTTCATAAACTTTTTCTCTTCATAAACTTTTTCTCTTCATAAACTTTTTCTCTTCATAAACTTTTTCTCTTCATAAACTTTTTCTCTTCATAAACTTCTTCTCTTCATAAACTTCTTCTCTTCATAAACTTTTTCTCTTCATAAACTCCTTCTCTTCATAAACTTTTTCTCTCCATAAACTTCTTCTCTCCATAAACTTCTTCTCTTCATAAACTTCTTCTCGTCATGCTCGTACTACTCAGACTTCCCTGGGGTGGATATGAGAAAGTGCAGGGCAGGAGCAAAAGGGAAGAAAGCATCATGTCAATATCTCTAAACGGAGTGTTGATAAATGAGAAGAATGAAACGACATTCTATGAACTGAACGAATGGAAGAAGCACATAACCCTGTTGAACAGTGCACTGAGTTTAAAATTTGTAAAGAAATTTTCCTTATACAAATATTTTTTTCTTCTAAAGAATATGATTAAATCCTCGAAATTCAAGAGAAAAAAAATATACATAAAAGAAAATTTACTGTTCCTAAATGATGATTTCTTGAAAGGATTAATAGAAATACAGAAAATTTTGAATGAATTGAAAGATTACCATTTGATAGATATAAACATTAATAACATGAGTCTAGATCAGTTTAAGGAATTTCAAGATGAATATTTCCCAAAGTTCGACAGTCTTCTGAAGAGCAAATTAAACCAGATAGCCAACGTCATTTGTGAATATAGTTTGAAGGCACTTAACGGGTTCTTGGAGAAAAATGGAATATTACAAAACCAGCAAGGGAAATCATGTGAGAGTTCCTCCAAGGGAAGAAGTTTGTTCTCTGTAAATAATACAAAAGTAACATTTAGGAATGGAGCAGTAAATAGACCATACACAAGAAATCTGAATCGTAAGGGTAATGCCTCTGCGGAAAATGCAAAAAATGGAAATAAAAAAAAAACAGAGGTAGTGGCAGATGCAGAAGCAGAAGCAGTGGCAGAAGCAGGCGTAGGAACAGGAGTGAGAAGAATGGAAATAGACATTTACTACAACAAAATAGCTATAAGTAGCTGCTACAGCGTTTATATTAAACGATTTATACAGTTATGCCAGTACTTGTGCGATAACACTTTGAGGAACATAATTCTACAAACCTATGAACACTTTCTGAATCTTCTAAACAATTATTTTGAAGAAGATAAAAAAGAAGAAGACCATTCGTCACGCAGAGGTAGAAATGAGAAAGGTACTATAATCAATGTCGACATGAACAGCTCCTTTAGCCATATGAAAGCAAATGAAAAAATGGATGTTAATCGGATGAAGGATATACATGGGGAAGAGTATTCTGTATGCAGTAAAAACAAGAAACCTGATGGAAGTTCCAAATCGAACGAATGTTCATTTGTAAGTGGGAAAAGTAGATGTAGCCCATGGAATAAGGAAGAAAAGGTTAGTTCTCCATATAGACTAATAGAAATGGAAGAAAAAGAAATCAGTGGAAAAACAGATAAGACAAATGTAGTAAGCAGTATGAATAAGAGCATTTACAATAAAAAAAAAAGTTCAGGAAATAAAGTGAAAAATGAAATATGCCTTTTTAGTGTAGTCTTGCATATGGAAGAAAATCAGCTTAAGACAACTCCAGAATATGACTCACTAATAAATACCATGTTACATTATTTTTATATGAGTATAGAGAATATATGTAAGAGAGAAGAATTTTTCAACTATTACAAAATTAGGGAATTTTTCGCCAATGAAATTTTTGTGGATACTGTTATTTTCCGTGGAGGAGGTAGAAGTCTCCAAAGGTTGGAAGCGGAGAGACAGGAAAATATGGTAATAATTGATGCACATAAAAATATACTTGACAAGTACCTCGATGAGGGGTACACGCTTAGTCATTTTTCAAATTCAATTAAAAGTGATGAAACTATAAATGAGATGAATAAAGAATTAAAGGAAAAATTGAAGATTATGTATGATGGGATGGTTGGATCGTGCAAAGATTTTAGACATATAATCAGTATGTACAAGAAGAATGATGAAATAGATATTGAAAAAATAGACATCATGGATACGCAGTTCATTTCTCAGTTATTTACAACTTTTAAGGAACTAGAAAATAAGGTTAAACAAATGGTTAAGAATCAACAAATTCATCTTTTCAAAATTGACAATTCGGCTCTAATAGAATATCTATTAAATCATATTAAAAAAAAATGGAACAACCTGATCAGCTACTTACCATCGTTAAGTAACCAAAGGATACAAGATCTATCGGTCACTTTGGACAAATCTTTTAGTTTGATAAATAAGAATCCGTTGACAATTGAAGAATTAGTTGAATACATAAATTTCATTAACAAATTTTCGAACGAATTGATAAGCATAGAAGAAAATGTAGAATCTATATCTTCTCTGTTTTCACTGTTTAAAAAGTATTACATAAGTATAAGTGGAAATTATACAACTAAAATATTTCACATTAATCAAAAAATCAATATTATTAAGAGTATTTTGCATAAGGAAAAAAATTATGATATAGAATTTAGCCATCTTTTCAAAGATCTCACTTTCGAAATTGGAAAAATTGAAAATAATATTCAAAACCTTTTGGACATCATCAAAGGAAATATTATTCACATTAACTGCAATTGCAGTTTAGAAGAAATGGAGACTCTACTTCTATCTGTGAACCCGATAGAGGATATAAAAAACGAGTATTATTTGGGACATAATAAAGAGAAAAAATGTCACCTCCCCAAAGAGGATGAATTTCAAATTAACCAGAAGAACGAAATTGTGATTCTGCATGAAAAAACAAAGATGCGATGCTACATTTTCGATCTCCTCGAATTTTTGAGGTGCAAAATTGTGGAGATAAAGAAACAAGTGGATAAATACATGTTCTATCAGAAAACATTGAAAAAAAAAAAAAACGAATTTGTTAATTTTAGTCTACTTAAGAATATGTTCATAAACAATAGCTTAGCTATTTACACCTTCTTCAAGTACTTGTGTTTCAATGAAAAGTATAGAACACACAAAATTTTCAAATTAGATGTAGATAAATTATCCTCAGAAATAGGAGAAATAAATGTTTACTTCAAAAGAATTAACAAAAATTTCGTCCATGGAGAATTTTATGAACGCTGTAAGAAATTTTACGAGACATACAAAAACACATTGCGTATGTTGAAACTTCTCAGCATTATCTACTCTAACCGTAAGTATTTTGATAGAGCAATAAATGTTTTAAATGAAACTAAGGAGGTTTCTACATCTGAAGATATTAGCAATATGTGCATGTCAAGGATTAGCAACTCGATCTATAATAGTAATGAACAAAACATGAGTGGTGTTTGCATGTCATACATTTCTGTAACGAATAATCACGAGAAAATTGAACTTCGAGAATTACTGTTTTTGCACTTGGCAAATAGCCTTCCAAACATTGAAAAAATATGCTTTGAATATGAAAAGGAAAAGAAAATAAATGGATATTTAGAAATAATAAAAATTAACTTGAAGAAGAACAAGATTGACGTGAGTCTAGAAAATAAAAAAATGTACTTTATCAATAATTTGAACATACTTCTCAACAACTTGAGAGAAATTCAAGCAAAACTATGCACTCTGCAAAATGATTCCTTTAGCGTACATATATTTACAGAATTGTACCATTTGTCGACACAAATAAGAAATTTTATAAATATTTTAAATGTGATAAAGGAAATACAACCATGTTATATGCAACTAGCTAAATATAAAAATAGTGAATTGAAAAAAATTTTTAAAACAGATTATTTGGCATCCATTATAAGCAAATACAAAAATATGTGCGAAGACTTTTTCATTTATCCACAAATAATGAAACATATTGAAAAGAAATACAAATTAGATGAATTCTTAAAAATCAAAAATGAACTAAGATCTATTCAGGAACAGGTCGAAAAATACACTCTACAACGCAGAAGTGAATTTTATGCCTTTTATCTTCTCGAAGATGAAGATTTCTTAGATGTATATTTAAATTTGAATGAGTTAAAAAGTCTGAATAAATATGTACATAAATTATTTCCTTATGGCAGAAAATTCATCTTTCAAAATGATTCCATATGTGGCATCATAACCACAGACAATGAACGTGTCCTATTCAGAGTAGAAATAAAATACAAAAAGACAGAATTTTTACTTAACGAGATTAGTAATGAAATAAAAAATGCCATAATGAGGAATATACTCTTGTATTCTACGCGTAACGACTTTTTACTCCCTCTTAAGGAAGATACGTACCTGTTTTTTTGGCCCATACAAAATTTACAGATTCTGTTTATCCTTCTCAATGTGTATTTTACTTATATTTTCCAACTCCTTATGCAGGATTTAACCAAAATGAAGTACACACTTTACTTGCTTTCTCAAAATTTGCAACGAATGGCAGAAATTATCTCAAGGGAAAGTGCCCAGAGTGGGAACAGTTTCCATGGGGTAAAGTCGGTCGAAGTGGTACGTGAGGCAGATGTGGTAGATGTAGTGGGTTCTATAGGAGCAGCGGGGACAGCTGAAACAGTGGAAGCAGTTCCGAATAGAAAATCTCGGATGTTCATCCTTACCTTCTTTGCACACATGCGAGAAAATTTGAAGACACTTGTGGATGAGCAAAGCAGGAGTAGTAGTGCTTCTACTGGAAACTGCAACTATGGGTACCTAGAAAAATCGAAGCATTACATCGACAAAGAGGGATATAGGATTATATTTTTTCACTACAACATAAAGTACACGTATGAGTTGCTGGGAAATCAGAACTACACGATGGATATTATATACCATGAAAAAAGCTACGGTTTTTTTTTTTACAAATATATTCAAAACGGGTTCATTGCATTACCATCTAGTAATGCATATGCAGTAAATCACTCGAAGAACTTTTCTACACTCTTAGGTTTTCATTACATTTTAATTAACGATAAATGTATTAAAGCATCAAAGCTTTTGAACTATATATCATGTAGTTTGTGCTCCAACATTTCTGTGTTTTTTCACGAAGTAGATGTATATAGACAAGATGTTTTTGCTGTCCTGAATGAACAGCTAGCTAATATTAGAAACCACTTGGTTAATAAAATGAAGTCAATCAAATTAAATGGAAATGATTTTAATCTGAATAAGAAGAATATCATATATATATCACTAACGAATCTAGCACTTCCATTTTATGAGTATTACACAGAAAGATCATACAAGAACGGAGCAACAGTACCCAAATTTCATTTTTCTGTTTCTATGCATCATCCAACAAAGTCCTTTGTATTGTCTATCCTTTTCCTTGTGTTCCTTAGTCATGGATATAAAAGAGCAAAATTTCTGTCTTCTGCAACTTATGCAGCTTTTCAATACTTGAAACAGCACGTAAGAGATATAGAAAAAGAACTATGTGCGTGCGTTAGTTTGCTGTACCTTAGGTGCTACACTAATGCACCACTTAATAATTGTGGATGATTGGACATTGTCTTGTTTTACTGCATCGGTTGAGAGAATATAATTTTGAAAATGAGCTCTTCCATTTTTGCAGCTTTGCAGTTTTGCACCTCTGCATTTTTGCATTTTTTCAATTCCATGCGTTCTTTTTAGTCACCTAATTTTCTTGTTAGTGGTTCTGCAAACGAATTCACACCCATTGACACACACGTGCAACAACCCTTCGCAGGAAATTTTGAAGAATAATCTAAGTGAGGATTCACTAATAAAGAACATTAAAAATGGGATAGGAAAACAGAACCCATGTGAAGAGTATATCATTGTGAAAGGAATCATAAAGTATGTGTATAACTTTGTTAATAATTCAAAGTGTATGGAACTGGTGAAAGACATGTGTTTATTATTTAATATACCGAATATGTGTCGTGAAAAGTTGCTAAAGTGGGTTGAAAAAAGGAATGAAGAAGAACAAGAAGAAATATATGAATTAGAAGAGACATCTCAACATAGAAAGGAATCGAATTTTGAAAATCAAATAAACAATGTAATATTCCATTTGATGAAAGAAAAGAAAATGAATTTTATGAAATACCAAATCGAAAAAGCTTTGCAGATGTATAAAATTTTAAATGATAATTTGTATAGCTCAAGTGGAGAAATAATATCCGAGAAGGGGAAAGTTACAAATATAATACTAGTTGGAGAAGAATTTTCAGGATTAAACACCATCGTCCATATCTTACATTATTTCATTAATCATTTGAAGAGCAATAAATTTTCCTTTTACCAGTTGTGTACCATGGAAAGTATCAACTTGAAATATTGCAACGACGAAGACCTACTTACTTTTGTTTCGAGGCAGAGTGGGACCCCAACATCTGAGAAAATAGGAACGAGAGTGGAAGCAAGGAAAGCAGGGAAAGATGAAAAGGGAATAATAAGAAATGAAGAAGAGGAAGACGAAAAGGAAGAAATAAGCAGTAACACGATGGTTGGTGATAAAAGCCAATCAAGCAATACAAGAGTGACAAACCCTAAGAAAGGAAAGTCTAATGAAAAAAATCATCATGAATTTGAAAAAGCTGATGAAGAAATTGAAAAATCGGAGAAAAAACGTGGGAAAAAAGGAGGGGGAAAGAGTACCCTATTAAGCACTAATAAAGTAGGGGAAAATGGAGAAAAGAGCATAAATGAAAGTATTGAGTATAAGAAAGGATCAGGAAGGTATCAAAGGAAAAACGTTCACATTAGTCTGATTAGCGTACACAATACTGCTTTTGTAGAAAGTATTATAAGTTACACACTGAAGAAGAATCTACAGAGTGAAATCTACAAATGGAATAATGACAGTGATCACCAGTGCTTCATATTTAAGGTGAAAAACTTAACCCAAATGAGTCCCTATATCATTGGAAGTTACCATTACATAAATGTGAAAAACAGAATCCCGTACATGTTGTATATCACACACGCCGTGGAAAAAATAAAAATATATAAATTCGCGAAAACGAAAATCATCAAAGTTTTTGAAGATTTACTTATCGAGTCTCTCACATTTTTTAAGAAACTTAGGATACGAGAGTACAGAACCCGTAAACGTTTGCTTCTATCATGGAAAAATGGGTTCAAAGGATCAGATGAACGAAATACCCAATGTGTACAAGAGAAGAATAGCGATGGGTCTAGAACCAAAACTTTGACAGAGGATAGTAGGAAAACAGAACCAAATGTCATATTGAGAAAAAGCATAAATGAGTCTTCTATTGCTTCAGCAGTTCATGTAGGAGCGGCAGATGTGTCTATTGTAGATTCTACAGATGGAGATGCTCTGTATGACTTGGGAAAAAAAAAAGGATTCATGAGTAGTGAGAAAGGAGGAAACGCCACCTTGAGTGATAGAGGTAGTGCAAGAGGTATTAACATCATAAGTGGCAACACGGGAGGTGAAGAAGGTGAAGATGGAGAAGATGGAGAAGATGGAGAAGATGGAGAAGAAGTAGAAGAAGGTGAAGAAGGTGAAGAAGTTGAAGAAGTAGAAGATGGAGAAGGGAGTGAATATGGTGAAGAGGGAGAGGGGAGTGGATCAGATGCAATTACATTTCAGCGCGGAAGAGAAGGAGAAGTGAGCATTCATATAAATACAATTATCCGAAATTTTATACAATTTCTTGAATATTACATAACTTCATTGAAAGAAAAAAAAGGATCCGATAAGAAAATTATTGATAACCACCTGAACAATATCATCACGATTAGTTTTATTTATGCATTCACTTCTTTCATGAATAAAGATTTAAGAAGTGAGTTTGAAAGTTACATATTTAAGCATATTAACAATGTATCTATAATTCCAAGAAATACATCTTTTGTACACATGTGCTACAATGTTGAAACGAATAAAATAATGAGGCAGGAGAAAATGTATACAAAGGAACATATCGAAATAGAGAAAACAAAACTTATGGACAATTGTTTGTTCTTCAATGATAAATACTTTCTTTTTGAAGATGAAAATATTTTATCTATGAATAATTTTTTACATATTTCTTCGAATTTATATATGTCTATTTTGCTCACGGGAGGTTCCAACTCAGCTAAATCTCTTTGTGTGTATAACCATTTAAATTCACTTGAACAGAAGAGACCAGACATCTATAACTTTTCTTTCAGGTTTAATTATTTGTTTAATTACAATCGAATAATTCAAAACTTGAGGAAATCATTCGACCTTTCCATAGGAACTATAAAGCACAAAGTCACAATATTTATAGATGATGTTAATTGCTTTTTTCATGATTCTATTCGCATGACGGAGTTTCTCTACACCATGATTGAGGGCGCTGTAAGATTGCATCTACATTTGGAAAAAAAAAAAAAAAAAAATAGATTCAGAGAGATAGTACTGTCTCATATCGGATGGGGTAAAGCTGATTATCATATGGTTTGAGCTCCGAGAACAGGAGTTCGTGGAACGCAGAAAATTGCTCTTACTGAGAAATAATCTATTGACTCTTATTCCTTTTTTTTTTTTTTTTTATCCATTCTCATATGCAGGCTTTCTTCGACATTGAGCTTGCGAAGAATGTAACCATACCGAGACGTAGAATTATCTGCACACTTAACAGCGAGCAAGCCATAAAAATGGAGAAGGATTATTCTTATTTGTCTAAGATGTCTCGACACTTTTTCGTCCTGAACGTTTGCGAGATGAGTACAAGGGACATACATAATGTCTACTCTAGCATCATAGAATCGTTGTTCTTAAAATATGTAAGTTTATAATGTCTTATGGGAGTTGGGTAGCAGTTCCAACTTTGTTCATGCATAGTGGGAGTGTGTGTAGAAGTGCTAACTTCGTTTATGCATAGTGGGAGTGTGCAGCAGTTCACCATTTCACCACTTCATCACTTCACCATTTCACCACTTCACCATTTCACCACTTCACCACTTCACCATTTCACCACTTCACCATTTCACCACTTCAACATTTCACCATTTCACCACTTCACCATTTCACCACTTCAACATTTCACCACTTCACTATTTCACCACTTCACCACTTCACCACTTCACCACTTCACCACTTCACCATTTCACCACTTCACCACTTCACCACTTCACCACTTCACCATTTCACCACTTCACCACTTCACCACTTCACCACTTCACCATTTCACCACTTCACCATTTCACCACTTCACCATTTCACCACTTCACCACTTCACCACTTCACCACTTCACCCCGATGTGCAAACCTTTCAGAACTTCTGCGAAGATGTGATAAACGAATGCAATAGCTTCATTACGTGCATCCTGGAAATATTCGAAGGCGTGATGATGAAGGGCAGAGGAGAAAGAAAATTGCACCTACACACTAGCAGAATGAACAACATAATAAGCCATCTACTGCTGTACGACAAGGAATTAAGCAACAACATTAATGATATTTTAATATTTTTTAAAAAAGATTTGTATCGAATATTATGTAGCGATGTCACTTCATATGAAGAGATACAAAAGTGCGGACATATTATTGAACACACGTTCAGTAGCCATTTTAATAAATATATGACACAACAAAATAATGATTTATTTATAAGTTTTGATGAAAATATTATGACTGTTCAGAAAAAAACACATCTTTGTGATGACCAATATGGGAAATTAAAAATTGGCTATATTAAGAAATTTTTCGAAAATAAAAATATTCACTTATTCTATGAAGATGTCATAAAATCCATATTGATTATAAATTCATTTCTTCTTTTGAAGAGAAGTAATATCATTTTTTTGAATAATCAAGAGGAATTGGTAGCTAAGATAGTGTCCATTTATTGTTTCTACAAAAGTTATAATGCAGTTATTTTGGTAGATAATGTAGATGAGATGAAATGTCAGATGAGAAATGCATATGACATTACGATAAAATATTTAGTGGATTTAAATCTACATGATTCTAAGGAAGAAAATGTTAAAGATTGCCAATCTGAGAAGAGACACCTGTTTTTGACAAAAATATTCAACACGGAAGAATACATAAGCATTATTGATAATGTACTTTACAATGGAGGTTTGGATTGCTTGTATGATAATTTCATGAATCACTACCATCTAGATATTGTGAACATAATAAAGCATAAAGAGGTTCTTATAGAAGGAAATTTTCAGAACTATGTCGTGCCATTATTAATAAATAGGAACCACTTTTTATTTTATGCAGACAACTTTGATAAGATATATAAAATGTATTCTTTAAAATTTTCCAATATGTTTAAGATGTGTCACTTGGTTCATTTAAATTTTTACAATTTTGAAGAAAATAATATTTTTGTGTTTAATTTATCGCTATCTATTTACAATTATGTGGTGAGTAGACCTACATACTGTTTTGCAAGCCAATCGCAGTGCGGATGGGTTCCTACATCTAACTCAGATGATTCTATACCTCACGAATTTCGCTTTTTATCTGATATTAGTGGAAATTTAAATGGGTTGTTATCTAATAGGTTCCTCTACCAACCATGGGATCATCAGTACTCATTGCATCTTCCACAAATGAAAAAAATGATATGTCAAGAATTTGATTCCTCCGTTTTTGTGAGAAGGACACATTATATGTACGATATACTGAAGAAAGAAGAACTGAACCCATTAATAGAGAAAAAGGAGAGATGTAAAAAAATGATGGAGGAGCTAATTGGCTATAATGAGGAATTACATAGAGAAGTAGAAGTGATAAAGAACAAAATAAGGGAAAAACAAAAAGAACTGAATTCAGTAAATAAGTACATCGAAACTGCATTGAAAGAGTATAAAATGAATATGCAGAAAATGAAAAATAATTTAAAAAGAATTACAAAAGAAGACTTTAACTTATTCAAGTATGAAAATGTAAACATGTACACAGGGTTCCTCAAAATCGTGTATCTCTACTTCACTCAACAATATGATAAGAAACATATTGAAAATTCTTTTCACTATAGCAATTTCTTACGCAAAATTAAAAATGTGGACTCTGAGCTTATTAATAAGAATCTCATTCTGAAATATGAAAACGTGTCTAATGTGGATAAGTTCCTTAATTACAAGTTTGTGCATATACTTAATTCTTTTATAGTTTCGATTAATGATTATGTGAAAAAAAGAGATTCACTTCAAGAGCAGTATAACATATCCACAGAATTGTGTAATCAAATCTCGTTATTGAGGAATGACATGCGGAATGTACTAAAAGATTCATTACCCTTGGAAGCATTTGCACATCTGGTAAATATAGAATACTGTACATTAGATGCAGTGGGAGTGGGGGTTTTAGCTTGGACACAAATGGAAGACTAAACAAACCTCTATTACTTCTCATTTGATATTCCATGAGCCCACACAAGGTGCATGCTGTTGCACGCTCGCTTTATATTTTGTCTATCCATGTATTACTTATTCGGTTTAATTCGGTTTAATTCGGTTTAATTCGGTTTAATTCGGTTTAATTCGGTTTAATTCGGTTTAATTCGGTTTAATTCGGTTTAATTCGGTTTAATTCGGTTTAATTCGGTTTAATTCGGTTTAATTCAGTTTAATTCGGTTTAATTCGGTTTAATTCGGTTTAATTCAGTTTAATTCGGTTTAATTCGGTTTAATTGAGTTTTATTGAGTTTAATTGAGTTTAATCCACTTTATATCATCCAAATTCACTTTAATTCAACCCATTTCACCTTTATTTTTGTGGAAAAAAAAAAAAAAACTCTTCAGGAGGGCATCTTCACAATTTATCAAGAAACGAAGGAAGAAATTCAAAGACAGGAAAGGATGCTTTTACCGCTGAAGTGCATCTTATCGATCTATTGCAGTGCAATGGAATTGAAAGAAAAAAAAAAGTTTATAAAATTATTAATCAAGGAGAGAGAGAAATACAAAAACCTGTACAATAAGGAAGAGAATGAAGAACAGTCGCCTGGAAATCAATTCAAACAGACCGATATAACCATACAAAGTGCACTAAAACTAGAAAATTACTTGAACCCATCATTTATGAAGAGATATGCACTACTTCACCTGTGTAATGATAACATGCTCATGTTCAACTGCCACATGTTAGATCATATACAAGAAAAAATAATTATATGTATAGATCCATTTTATCAAATGAAAAAATACATTTTAAAAAAGTTTAAAAAAAATCAAGAACAACATATTTATGTGAAATGGAAAGGGGTTTATAATATATCGACATCTGAGTCAGATTTGGAATGTAATCCATCTGGAGGTGAAGAAATGCAAAACGGGAACTTGGGTAGAAGCAATCCCAAGGGGGAAAAATCGCATACAGAGACAACGAACAGAACAAATGTGAATCATAAAATGGAAGAAAAAGAAGTAGACAAAAAAGAAGAAGACAAAAAAGAAGTAGACAAAAAAGAAGAAGACAAAAAAGAAGTAGACAAAAAAGAAGTAGACAAAAAAGAAGAAGACAAAAAAGAAGTAGACAAAAAAGAAGAAGACAAAAAAGAAGAAGACAAAAAAGAAGAAGACAAAAAAGAAGTAGACGAAATGGCTGAGTTTGCAAACAAGATAAGAAAATACCGAAATCGAAATTTTAATGTAGTGTTCAAGGATGTAGATGAAAATATATACAAACTTTTAAACGAAGTTACACATGGGTCATCAACTATTTACGTCTTTGTTGACCATGCTGAAGTTCTAGACTTTGAAAAAATTACCCAAGAATACCATGTTATTCTGTGTGATTATAAGAAACAAAACATTCTTAATTTGTTTACATACTATTATGAAAAAGGAAAAATCACAAATTCTCCTATCGAGTTTACTTCCGTTCTACAGGAGATGCATCAGGAGGAGGTAATTCGAGTGGTTCTTTGCGTTTCTTTCCTATGCTACTTTCTGTTTACATACACATGTATGTGCAAGAATATGTGTATTTGATTTATATAGACTTTGTTAAAATGGTGTTTTTTTTTTTTTTTTTTTTTTTTTTTTTTTTTTTTTTATCCCCATTTTTCCAACAGATTATGCGACATACTGCCGCTACACTCAGAAAAGGATTAGAGAGAAAAGAACCAGGGTACAATAGTGTGAAAGATGAGATTCATTCGTTAAAGGAACAATATGATGAGATGCTGAAAAAGAATGAAATAGATAAGGCAGAAAGTAAAAAGAAAAGGGGAAAGAATATTATCCTAATTTACATATTTTATCTTGTATTTCAATCGTTAAAAATGATTAAAAAGAATTACAAACTATCAAATTGTAACTTTTTAAAAATTATTAAATTGTTCATTCATGAATTTAAGGAAGAAAAGAAAAAAACAGAAATTACTTTGCTGAACTTTTTCTATATGCACATTTTGTGCTTCACAAGTAGTAAACATATCTTACTCCTAAACTTTCTGCTAAGTATTTATTTAGATATACATTATTACGAACAAATTAAATGGAAGGATGTTTTTTTATTTTTTAGAGATTATAAGAGAAAAAATAAGAAACAAGTTACTCGAGCCATCTCACAGAAAGGTAAAAAAAAAATCCAGAGAAATCCAAAAGATTCCCTAGAAAACGAAAAAAAGTCTCTTCCACAGAGTAACAAATGTATGAGAAATAACGATTTTGCATTTAACAGCATCTCAGACAGAAATTTGCCCAATTTTCAACACAAAAAATGTTCTTCTGAGAGGAAAATAACTCAGGAAGAAGAAAATGGATACACAAATGGAGATAGTAATTGGTTGAGTGATGTATGGGATAGTTCATCTGTCTACTCGAGCAGCATTTGTGAAGAAGAATTTATGTTGATGGAAAATGAAATATATTTAGGAGAAGATCAAAATGGTAACCATGATAATTCCTTTTTTCATATCAGAAATGATAAATCTTTCGAAAAAGGTAAAAACAAATATGATGATAAAATAATGGCATATGGAGTGAAAGAGTACAGGGAAAAAGAATTGGCGAGGGGTTTAAACAAGAACTCAGTGAAATTGCTTTATGTGCATAAAAAGAAATTAAGAGATCTATTTGGTGATGTAATGAGCGATTTGTTTAGTACGGATGTATTAGATAAGACAAGAAATGTTAAAAACAAAGTCATTTCCAAAGGAGTAACCAGTATATACCACTATACAACTAGTAGCGAAGAAGATGATGAACTAGCGAATACTATGCAAATACAAAGAGGTGGTTATGAAGAAGATTCTATAGATAATTACCTACACGAGTTAATAAAACTGAAGAGAAGAAATAGACAAACTTTCAAAAAGGTAATTGAACATATCAAAAAAAATAAAAAGGAATGGGACGATTACTTAAAATTTCCTCTTTCACAATTGTGCACAGTTACTAGTGAAGAAGAAAGTAAAAAAAATGAAATGTTCCCGTTAAAAGAATTTAACAAACCTTCTATGTATTTTTATAAAATTATAATTGATAAAATTATAAAAAAAAAAGAATTTATCATAACTGTTCAGAATTATATAAATATAAAATTGAATGAAAAAATTTATATTCGCAAGGAATTATTGTATAAAAATTTTTATCATTTTCTGAGATCTCACATGAGTAATACTACTTGTCTTTATGCCATGTCAGAAACACTAAGAAGTGGGGGTGGACAAAGTGGACTTACTCAAGAGAAATCCACAACTTCAGAAAAAAATATCTTTCGGGGAAATAATTCTGTTAGTCAAACTGAGAGCGGCGACCATGATAAGACAGATGACCCTTCCGCTAGTCGTGACTCGGGTGGTGCTTCGAGTGATCAATCGCAGCATTCTCTAAAGGATCTCTTCGTGCAGTGTGTCCAAAGTGGTGAGTACTTCAACTATCTCATCAGAGAAAGGAATAAGCTAGTCATACTTGTAGAAAAGAATAAACACAGCTTTGCAATTTCCAGAATTCTACTTAACTGTAATAGTGTTTTATATATAGACATTAATAACAGCCCTAATTCTATGCGGTCGAAACAGAATGATACTGTGATGTTAGATGTTGGGAACAAGCAAGAAGTGCATAAAGCTGTAGAATTTGTAAATATAAATCAATACAAAATTTATTTCATATTTTACTTCTGTATGGATATCTTATCTCCATATCTCATGAGAAACGCTCTAGTCCTCAATTTCGATTTTTCACTCAATTCAAGTGAATATTTGAATTTTTTATATTTTTGTGCTAGCTCTTTAAACGTTCCTAATATAACCGAACAGGATTTACCTATGAGTGTCGACTATGCGGGGGATCAGATTCCAAGATGCATTTTTTTTACCATTTTGTTTTTCTCTCTTTTGAATGAGTTGAACTGTTCCGAAAATATGCATCTAGATGTGGACTTGCTCAACGAGATGGTGTGTTCCGTCGAGTCATTCTGCAAGGTAGCCAATTCGAGAAACGAGCGAATCGAGCGAAGCGCAGATGTAAACGAAAATGCAGATGTAAACGCAAATGTAGATGTAAACGCAAATGCAGTGGCAGACACGCATGCAATGGTAGACGTTGACCGAGCAAAGCAGCGTAAGATGCAGCAGAAAAATGCTGAAAAGTGCAGAGATTTTCTGTATAAACATCTAAACACATTCGTGGATATATTATTGCCTCCAAATTTTATACTAATTAAGAACATGCTGAGCTCATTTATATGGAACTTATTTTCAAACAAAATGTACAGAAATGCATCATCAACCATAAACAATGTTTTGAAAATACCAAAAACAATTTCGACAGTCCAACAATTGACTCAGTACATGTGTGAGAATTTTCATTTAGTACACCAAATTTTAAGGAAAAACAAAAATGTTCATATGAACGAAAGTGAATATCTTATTACAATAATGAGAAGAATATTTATTTCAGAATGTGACTTGGTTAACAAGTACCAAAAAAATAGCACAATGCACACGGTTCTTCTGCATCTTGAAGACATTTCTTCCTTTGGATTTATGAGCCAGGCTGTCAACACAACGTCTAAATGTATGTGCACGTATGTGCATATATATATATATATATATCCATATATATATATATATATGTATATACACACGGGTGAATCCGATGATGTTCTTTTAACTCATAGTTTTATATCATATATAGTTCTCTGCGCTCAAGTGGAAGCGTCAATATATATTCCTTTTCCATCGCATCTGCTTTTGCTATATGTAGAAACTGTAGAGAATAGTGGACGTTCATTGTGTTCATCCACTTGTAACTTGTGCATCTCCAGCAGTGCGTTAACTTGTCTGGCCTCTCACTTGGCCTCTCATCTGTTCATCTGCCCTCCCCATCTATGCACTCCTTTCAGTGAAGTACCTGACTGAGGAATACAATTCCCTACTTCTCTGTGTCAGCACAATGAAAATGGAAATTCAAAATATTATCAAAATGAGATATCTCAACAAATTATCAGATGATCACCTGGGAGAAATACAACGGGATTTGTTCATGTACAGGGTAAAAACTACCTTTCTCTTATCATCGATCTATTCCCCTCAAAACGATGGATCTGCCCAAATTACGAGTTTTCTCTGATTGTCATATGCCATCACTACTGACTCATTATTATTTTTCTGCCAACTTATCATCAGGTGCCACAGAAATGGGTACCCTTGTCTAAGGGAGAAAAGGACTTGAGAGAATTTTTTGCAAACATAAAAGAAAAATTAAGTTATTTAAAAAATCTCATAAATAAAGATCAGCGTGGAGGACGACACGTGTACAATATCTCCATGTTTAGAAACCCGTTACTGTTTTTTTATTCTCTGTACTTTACATATGCGAATAGCATGAATGTGCCCGTAAGCAATCTCAGCGTTTCCCTCAAATTTTGTGACGAGGTTGGAAGGTAGGCCTCCTTCTCCACCTGTATTATTTCTGCACACGTCTGAGCGGATGCATGAACCTCTGCGTGAACCTCTGCGTGAACATCTGCCTGAACATCTGCCTGAACATCTGCCTGAACACCCACATGAACACATCCTACTTCAGGGACGAGGAGGGAATTTGGCTGGAGCCAATAAAAATCTACAAAGGCAAATTCGTAACCCGTTCCCATAACTTTGAGCACAAAAACATTCACAAGAAAAACAACATCTACCTGAATATTTGTGATGAAGAAAATAATCGAAACGAATCATGCATGCAGGAAGATGGTGAAATAAATCCGAACGATAGTTCAGCAGAAGGATCAGTGGAAGAGGGTTCAAGAAAAGGAAAGGGAAGAGGAAACCATAATGGCGAAGCAATCACGCATAAGAGTGAAAGAAATAAATTTCACAACAGGAATACTTATGGGGAATACATCCAAGAGAGAGAAAAAAGGTTTTACTATGACTCTCCGTACATACTTATAAAAATAAAAAAGAACAAACACAGTTGTAGTGGAGAAAGTGAAAAAAAAAGTACACCAATCAGAGAATTTGGACAGAATGGAGAAAAGGGAGGAGGGGAATATAACAAAAATTTCAAAGATACAAGAAATGGTACAAGTTCAGAAAAATGTAAAAAATCGATGGATATTTACGACCAAAGTGATGCTTTAGGTATAATTGATTTGGGAAAAACTGAAGACATTTTGTATTCTTCCTTTGCCCTTTTCAAAAATAATGATACCTTTGATAGTAGTGCCTTTGTGTACTACTGTCCCGTTTTGGCGTTCAATCCTTGCACACAAAAAGGTAAGATGGAGTGCAGATCATTTCCCATTCATGCGCTATATGCCCTCCTGCTTAGTTTAAAGGAGCCTTATGTGTGTGTGTGGCTCCTTAATGTAGGCCTTGTGTGTGTGCACTTTTTACTTTTTACTTTTTTTTTTTTTTTTTTTTTTCTTCTGCTCATTCGGCACAAGGCAAAACATGCTATCCGAACTGTGCAAGTAGACGAGGCAGAGAGACAGAGAGACGCAATGCCTGCAGTTGCAATAGTGGCATAGCAAGGACCTATGTCTAGACAATTATTTTCCCTTTTTAAATTTTTTTTGCTTTTTTTTTTTTTTTTTTTTTTTTTTTTTTTTTTTTATTCCTTTGATCAGATGATAAAGTATTGTTTTTCCTACCGCTACCTTGTATATACGACAAAATAATTTACAAAAAGTTCAAAGTCCACATGTTACTGTAGCTCATTTTTTCAAAACTAGGTTGATACGTGGGTATGCAGTTATGCGGGCATGCGGTTACATGTTGTGTACCTAGGGATGTGCCCAAGGTGGGGTGAATTTCCCTTGCCCATTTTCTTTTTTTTTTTTTTTTTTTTTTTTTTTTATATCCTCCATGTACATGTAAATGTGATAACTGGAGGAACACCAAAAAGAACAGCGATTGTATGTATCACCAATCATAGTTTCAAAGACTCCTAAATCTTTTGCTTTTTGGTTTGATAGTGCACAAGAGCTGAAAATAATTTAGTTTTTTCTCCGTATCCTCGGCCTTAGCATTTTTCTTCACTGTGCACACTTTCTCAGAAATTTTTTTTTTTTTTTTTTTGAACTCCATTTTGTTTTTCCTTATTTTATTTTTCTTTATCTTATTTTGCTTTATCTTATTTTGCTTTATCTTATTTTGCTTTATCTTGTTTTGCTTTATCTTGTTTTGCTTTATTTTATTTTTCCACTTTTCTGATGCGATAAACATACATGTGTGAGCGCAAGCATTCGGATTGTAAACTACACATGGAGCATAAACAACATTCGCACAACAAACTACGCAACTTCATTCAGATAAGCTGCTGAGAAGCGGTCGCAGTGGTCTATGTGTATGTATATATATATATATATATATATATATGTACACACATATAAACATACACACACATGTACAATACACATATATATGTACGTATAAGCATACACACACATGTACAATACACACATAAATGTACGTATAAAAGGGATAAAGGGAAAATGTGAGTCTTTTTGAACACTCCCCAATTTTGTGTAAAATGATAAACGAAAATGAGATTCAGGAACTTGAGGATATAAGAAATGACATTTTAAAAAAAAGCGAAGAAAAATATGACTATACCTTTATAATAAATATATTTTTATTACTTGCTCATTTTATTCTTTTTATTATAATTGTTTTTATCTACTTGACATATCGAAACGATGATTTTACGAACTGTTTTCATCAAACGTTTGCACACGTATTACAAAACAAGTATGCTAATATCAGTGATATAGAAGATATTCCAAAAAAAATTGCTGATTTGTCGCATGTCTGCAACCATGTGAGAATCCACTTTTCCAAATATGAAATGAGGGAAACTTACAAATACCTCACCTCATTTTACAATTTGAACGCCCGAACTTTTGTAGGTGTGTAAGAGTGATAGCCGGCACGTAAATCTTTGTTCTTATTAGCGGAGTGTTTGCACCATCGCTTGCACATATGGTGCTAGACCTCCCTCTCCTGTGCGTGCATTATTCATGTCTTAGACATGTAGAAACATAATTAATCAGTAGCACTATCCCTTGAATCATTACTTTCCACTCCTTATTTCCCACCCCTTTGAAGACTACACAATAAGGTTCAACAAATTATTCAGTTCCTCTATTTTTAAAGGGCACACCAGCATAAGCATTTCTCACGTCTATTATTGGCACGAATGGATCCTTTTTATTTTCTTCAATCTTTGCACACTTGTAGTGTTGCTCAGGAAGTGTATATCGGAGAGGTTAGTTCATCCGAAACAAACAAAAACGAATAAACAAAAGAACACTGGTAACAATGGTACTAGTTCCACCATCAGAGACGTTTATAAGAATCTGCTACCTGTGCCAGGTGATCAATCACCCACCACACATGCACATATGAAATAATTTCCCCCATTTTTATACTCGCATTTTTTTCTTTAATTAATAGGAGGAAAATGAACATGCTACATGCATCTATAGTCGGACTCATTGATCTGGGCATCCTATATGAGCAGTTTATAGGTACACTACAAAAACGGAGTAATTCTTTTCTATTCTTTACTTTTTTGCATGTACTTGTTTTTATTTGGATGCACGTGCTTATTTCGTGGAATCCACTTTTTTATATCTTATTTATTTTTATTACGTTTACAATTTTTTCACTTAGACACCATTGAGAATCATTCTGTACCCGAAAAAATAGTAGATCTTTTAATTTGCTCGTACTACCTTTTTCTGATGATAAATATATTGACCGAGTTGTCAAAAATATGCAAAATTTTTACAATTCCATTGAAAATAGTTCAGATAACAATTAAACACAATTATGTCTTGCTCATGTTTCTCCTAAGCTTTTTGGTGTTAATATTTATTAATTATTTTTCAAGTAAGAGGGACGGAGTGTTCTATAAAACCCTTGAATGATTCGAGATGGAGTTAGTACATGGTTAAATTATGTCAAAAGAGATGTGTGTGTGTCTACCCACGTCTACACCTACACACACACACACACATACCCTAACGCGAATTCTTAATTTACTTCTTCCAGGCGGAGAAAAATTCAAAAGTTATTTCAATCACGTGTTCACGTTTTCAGACGATTCAAAATATAAAAATGAGTTTATTTACAATTTTTTTTTTTTGTTAATTTATAATTTCTTCTTTGTCCCTATGATCACAATTGCGTCCACTACTACGACTTTTCTACTGATAAATAAAAACAGGGATATGTTTGGTAACCACTTCAATAGATGCATATGAAAAGAGGGTTCATAACTTAAGTGTGCACATTGCCAACGCACTATTCACTGAATCTCATCTAGAAAAATGAACAAAACTGAGCAGAACGTGTGAAAAAACAAGTGCTAAGCGTAATGCGCCTTGCACTTGCATCCATCGAGTATAAAGTGCCCACAAACTACATTTTTTTTTTTCTTTTTTTTTTTTTATTTTAATCTGTTGTAGAGCTTAAACCTCTAAATAATCAGCTATGGGCCAAACTAAGGAAGTACTTCTTTTTCCTGGACGGGGAATATAAAATGGTAAAGCAGTAAAGGAGTGATATGGCAAATACACACTTTTTACGAGTATGTGTGTGAGTACAGTGGAGCAGGACACCCATTTTCCAAAATGATAAAAAGACAAATAAGAAACAAACCATGGAGGAATTTTTCGAACAAAAATTGCTTTTTCCATCTGTACAGGAATCAACCAAACGAAAAAAAGAAATGGGATACGAAGAATATGAAGAGAAAAAGGATAGAATAAATATATTAAAAGTTGGAAATATATTCCTGTTTTTCCTTTTTTTGATATTTTTTGTTCTCAAAATATTTTTTGACTATAAATCACTGAGTTATATTGATGCAAATTACACACGCCTGTTAAGAGAACCATTTGTAACTAAGATGAACATGGTAATGAATTTTAATACGCATGTATAGACCTCTACTGTTCGTACTCGTGTATGTGTAAAAAAAAAAAAAAAAAAAAAAAAAAACTGTTCTTTTCTATGTGCATTTACTCCCACCATTTGCATTTGACCACCTGATCCATGCAGGAGAAATCTTTCGACACGTTCACACACACGTCCGAGTACCTTGATTTTCTCAAAGAAGTCATAATAAATAACATAATGAGAAATAAAAAAAATCTGCAAAATAATAAATTATTTGAACTACAATCCGATTTCAAGGTACAAGATGTTTTTGTTTACGAAGACATTTTCCACATTTTTCCCTATGATGTGTATGTAACATTCACTGATGGAAAAGCAGGTATAACACAGTTCGGTGCGCACAGGCGTGCATGTACTAATGGTCATTCACACGGGCATACACCAGCACGTCAATACACACAACAATAAGGAACAAAAACTTATTCATACTTTGTTGTCTAACCCCTTCGAATTACTTCCAAAGTGTCACAGGAAATAGCAATAGAAAACCCTTTGCTTTCAAACGAACCTATCACAGGTATGCAAACGTATCGAGAGTTTATGAACATGAATATATTTACTTTTCCCCCCCCCCACCCACCCACACTTGTATAGAACACATGTGGTTTCCTACATTCTCATAATTAATATTTCTTTTCTTTTTCCTCACAATTTCCACGAAATAGAAGTAAAAATACTGGACGAGTACAACAATTTGTTTGGTGATAAACGTGAAGGGATTAAATACTATCATGCATACGCCTTGCTGTACAATTTTGAGCACAATTTGTTTATATTAATAAATGTAATGCTTTAAATTGCTTAAAAAATAAATAAATAAAATAATCGGAATGACAATAATAATAAAAAAATATGAACATGCATGTAGATATACGTTTTGTTCTCCATTTTAGCTAGCTAAATAGATTTTTTTTTTTTTTTTTTTTTTTTTTTTTTCCCTGTCTTGTCCTATATGTAGGCCACATTTGAAGTCCAAAAAAATGGTCTGTTCAGAAAAAAAAAAGACGTATTTGTGCAAGAAATGAACGTATTTGACAACATTCTATATAGGAACAAATTAATTATTTTGATATTTCTCTTTATCATAACAGTGGCATATTTTGTGGTAGTTATGTACATGTTGTACTATCTTAGGAATCGCTTTTTCCTTCTATTTTTTGGTTTTTTTTTCTTAATATGTACATGTTTCTTTTCATTTAATTTTATTACTTTAAAATCTGTTAGCTATTCGTATGAATATGTTGATCACATAAAAAATAAAAACATTTCAGATACATTTAGCCTGGACAAATTAAACAAATTTAAGTCAATAGTGCATGATTTATTAAGGATAAAAGTGTGCAAGTTTTATGGGAATTTATTTTGCCATATAATTCTTGTAATGGTTGTTCTGAAAATTTATTGTTTTTTTTTTATAAACTATTTTACTTCTTTTATTAAGTACAAGCTCCACTTTCTGTTTGTCACGACGTCTGTGTTTACCTCCGTCTTTTTTATGTCCTTGTTAAGTAAGAGAAGTTTTTGCAAACAAAAAAAAAAAAAAAAAAAAAAAAAAAAAAAAAAAAAAAAAAAAAAAAACAAATTTAATAAATAAAATAATAAATAAAATTGGGATTAAAAATAAAAAAAAAACAAAAAAAAAAAAATCACAAAAAAAAAAAAAAAAAAAAAAAAAAAAATTTTAAATACTATTTATTAAGAAAATTTTTGAAAAAAAAAAAAAAAAAAAAAAAAAAAAAAAAATAGACTAATGCAGAAGTAGACCTATTTCATTACTGCAATCATGTGTGCTATGTGGAGTTATAATGAGAAGAAAGACACATAGTACAATGTCCAAAGGAGAGAGGAAAAAAAAAAAAAAAAATAAAAAAATAAAGAAAAATAAAAAAAAAAATAAATAAATAAATAAAATAAAATAAAATAAAATGCATATAGCACCGTTCAGTTTTACTCATAATTACTTACTGGCACAAGCTGCAAATAATGTTTCTTTCCTTTTCCCCTCCCCCCATTTTCCTTCTTACTTAAGGCTCGTACTCGTATCTGGATTCAAGTATAAGCATCCTAAAATGGACAATGTTGTTTTATCATATTCAGACGAGCGATAAGTATTCGTCGTATGAAATGTTAAGCAACTTTCTTTTTTTTTTCTTCCTATTTTATATCACGTCGATATATTTATATATCTTTTTAAAAAAAAATGAAAATGTAGTAAAAATTAAACTTATCGAAGATAACGAAAATGTATTACCCTTTGACGATATGGTTATTGATGACCATGACATTTTATTACATTTCAAGGCCATACTGTACACCCTTGATAAAACTTTTGAAAAGGTAAGAATATTAAAAGAAAAGTATAAGATAAATCAAATTTTAAACCAACAAATTCAGTGGTATAGTCAATATTGCAATCAAATGCTTTTACAAAAAAATTATATGAACAGTCAGAAAAACTTGTTAAATTATTATGACAACAATATGAACATGCCTCAAAATGATGTACAAATTGCCAACACAGCCAATATCTTGAATGAGGGTAATCCTTTCTCTCAAATGGAAAATGGTGCAGTAGGGAATGATGAAATAACGCAAAGTCCTGTCGAGAATCAGGAAGCTACAAGTAAACATGGGGATGCCCAACTTCTAAAGAGAACAGAGGGTAATGTCCAAACGATGGATCCAATAGACCCAAGGTCTTCGTGTGATAAACAAAGCATATATACTTCAAAAGATGAATTAAACCTCAAAAGTGACAATAAATATGATTTTGCACAACCAAACGATGTAATTTCTCCTTCGCATCAATTTAATGAATTCGATATGATCCAGAAAACGGAAAACATGAATTTTTTCTTCACAAAATTGCTAAATGCAAAATACGACTTTGGATTTTTGCATGAACAGGATAGTAAGAATCAAGAAAATGAAAAATATGGAAAAAAACTACTAATGAACTTTTTCAAAAAAGGGATATATGACAAAACTGCAACTAGCAGAAGGGAAAAAAAAAAGGAAAAAAAAAGAACTCAACTGAAATACATGCTAACAAATTTAATGAGAGATTTGTCCAGTATAGAAAATATAAAAATTTCCTTTACCTATATCCTATTTTTGAAAATAAAACGACATGTACTAATTCAGAAGACAATTCAATTGAATAAAGTCAAGGGGGAACTGAAGGCTGAATATCAAAACAGAGTTCTCTATAAGAATCATTTGATCAATTTACAAAAAAAAATGGCTGAAGAAATTGTAGAAATGGAAAAAAATATACTCATACAAAAAAAGCTGAAAGGCACTCTGATCCATGTCATAGAAGACGGAACATGTAAAGCAGAGAGAAGGAGAATTATGAGGGTCACGCAACAATACGGTGTACACTGAATCAGTACGCCTTTTTTTTTTTTTCATTTTTTTTGTCCTAATCGTTCATGTGTGTCCTGTCCGTATGTGCAGGTGCAAATATTTTGCCCTTTTCTTTCCATGCTGCATCTCTAAGTTGCATCTTATATGTTGCATCTTTACCTGTTTTTGCATCATCGATAATTTTTTCTCCCTTTTCAGTTTACCATAAGGAGGAAGACAAGGTTGAACCTGCCAGCGAGGACTCTTCAGAGGTCACATCATCATCTGCCCGTGGTGTGTTTGGAGCACCGGTACTACCTGAGAAGCATCAAAAATGATGTGAATCTGCTTCTTCTTCTGTCTCTGACCTTTTCACTACTAGCACAATTATTTCATTCTACGAATTTGTCATAATGTAAGACCCATTTCTGTGTCGAGGCAGATCATGGCTTATGAACCCACACACCAGCTTATATACCCCGATGAACATTTATGTAGAATTATTATTCCTTAATAGCAAAAAAAAAAAAAAAAAAAAAAAAAAAAAAAAAAAAAAACTACTTTTTGTGGGAAACACTTCGGACTTTATTCTTTCGAATTTAATGTGTTTTAAAAAGGCATAAAAAACTGGTAACCAATCAACATGGGTAAAATTATATATCAACTTAAAATTGATGTATGTTAATTAAATTAGTAAAATTACAAAAAGAAAAAGGTTTGGATAACGAATGTAGGGATTACCACCTAGAGATGAGATAAGCCTTACCGAGAGTGAGATTTTTTTTTTTTTTTTTTTTTTTTTTCTCCACTTGTATAAACATGTTACATAATGTGTGAGATAAATGTGTTTGTAATATATGTCATGATGAATGTTTAGAAAAGTTACATTTTTTATTTTTAAAGGCCTTTTTTTTTTTTTTTTTTTTTTTTTTTTTTTTTTTTTTACGACCAACGACAGTATGCCAAATTATGGAACTTTTTCCCTTCTTTTAAAGGATTTACTTTTTTTTCAGCACCCAACATCGCGTTATATACATTCACAAGATTTTTTTCTTTTTGTCAGTAAAAGTTTGGTCACATATAATGGTATTAATTATAAAGTATAGCTATATGTAACCAAATGAATATTTGATTTTTTTTTTTTTTTCTTTTTTTTTTTGTATACATATAAGTATCCACTTTCCATATTGTTAAATAAGGAAAAGTATGCAAAACAAAGCCTTTGAAAAAAAAGAAAAAAAAAAAAAAAAAAATTCACGCAAGGGATAACAAGAGATGACCTAGTTTATTTCTTAACTTTAGTGAGAGATCCACATGTTGTCGAATGTGAGATATCTGGTATGTTCTCTTATATGTTTACATTTTCTCTTCATCTCGATTGGGTTATGCTTCATTACGTTTGAATACAAGCTTTTCCACCCAATCACAAGTATTAGATTTTACCTAAGAAGGCGAATGAATAATCATTTAAGGGAGGATACATAACAACACATGTGTGTTCAGTCATACATAATAAGTTCTCACATTACACCACATTGTGTAGGAGAGGTAGAAAACATGTTTTAATGGAAAATTAAATTTTGTCCTATATGGCTAGCCAAAAAAAAAAAAAAAAAAAAAAAAAAAAAAAACATAACGAACGAACGTACGAGGAAAAACTGAATGATCAAAAACTGAACGAAGAAAAAGATGCCTTCAGTTTTTGCTTGGGTCATGTTGTTCTTTTTATTATGCGATTTTTATGATACTCTAAAATTAAGAAACAGCACAAAGAACATAATACACACATATGATAATAGTGACAGTTCAAGAAATGCTCGATCTTTTAGTCCTAACTCAAATGTAAGGCAGTTTTTTATCAATAATAAGAATGTGTTAGAGAATAGACTAAGATGTGACAGAAAAAATCTGTTTATAAAACGGAATGTTGAGAGGGACTTATCGCATAGGAAGGAAGAACTGTTTATGAATAGAAAAGAAGAAGAAAAGGAACAGGGTGTGCATAAAAATGAAATGAAAATTAACAAGTTCAAGAACAGCAATGGCCACGAGTTTTTATGTACCAATCTTTTGATGAACAATGAAGAGAAAAATTTTATAGTAGACCTATGCAGTGACAACAGCTTCATGTTTGACAAGAAGGAAGATTTTTTTGACAGAAGTAGCAATGGAAAGAGTGGTGTAAAAGGACAAGGGCTGCTCTCCCTTTGTTTATGGTTCGATAAAGAAGATATCCATAAGACACACGAAGAAATATATCTCAACAGAAGTAAAATTGAAGTAGACAAATTGATAAAGGCAAAGGGTAGTTTAAAGAAAAATAATACTTTTCATTTTTATGTTATGAAAGATGAAGGGTTAGATAAACATTTTGATGGAATATTAGGTTTTGATTTTTTTTCAAAATTTGAAACATTTCTTTTTGATACTATCAATATGATAATACATCTTGGTGACAATAGTGATGATTACCATCGTGCGATGAATCGATTAGAAATGTGGAAAAATAAAGATCTTTATGAAAAAATTGAACTACATAACTATAGTAATCACATTAAATATTTTCATATAGATGTAAATAACCACCTGTACAAAGGGCTTCTAGACTCAGGCACTTCTAAGACGTTGGTTGTTAATAGTGATATGAAACTTGAAAAGGAAGATCCAAATGGAGATGGTGTCATTATTGAGAACATATTAAATGAGAAATTTAAAGTAAATAAGTTGAAAAAAATGAATCGTTTTCATATCGTGTCGAAGGAAAATAAGTTACTACTAACACCGCTTCAGATGAATGAAATATACACTAGTGAAAATAAAATTTCTTATTTGGATTCTAATGTGGTTTTATTAGGTTTAGATTTTTTCCTAAATAAAAAGTTCCTATTTGATCTGAAGAACAGTGTGCTTTATGTACACTGGAAATCATCTGATTTGTCTTTTTCTGACCAACGTGATAAAAGATATATAAAAAGTTCAGAGAAACAGGAGAATGATAGGAACAATTCTCCTATTGATGAATTCAAAGTGAATGAGAAATGTTCAGAAATATACGAACAGCTAAAAAATAAAGAATTAAGTTTTTTAAAAATGTCAAAAGAATTGGAAAAGGAAAATATAAGCATGCATGATTGTAAAAGCACAAATGATGTAATAAAGAAATATGCTATAAAAATTCTGTACGGTTCAGAATATCTATCAAAAAATGCATCTGATGGAAGAGGAAAAGAATTTGATGAAAGATACAAAGAGATAACTAACTTTTTTAAGAAATTAAATTCTGAGGAAAAGCAGAATATGTTAAATAAAATAGTAAACATTTTGAAAAATAATTATTATAACACGATCGGAGGAGGAGGAGCAGGAAGTAGTAGTAGCAAAAAGCGTGGTGAAAATGATAAGGAGAATATTACAAATGAGTATGAAAAGGCATCTGAAATTTTAGAAAAATATGTTAAATATGAAATTGAAAATAAGCAGTATTCCTTACACAGATTCAAATCGTGGAATGTAAATAGAAAAAGTGAAAAGGCAGTGGATGAAGAATACAACCATTTGCTAGAATTATACAATGCACATCCAGAATACAGTTTCGAAATTTTAAATGATTTTAAAAAAGAACTATCTTCCAAACGTATAAATGTTAACAATATTGAAAATGAAAATGAGATAATAAAAAAAGTGGCTGAATCAAGGGTATACAATAACCACCAGCAAAATAATTTTAATAAAGAAGGAAGAAATAAAAGAAGGAAAAATATCATCGTAAGGAGATTCACAAATGATGGTAATAATGTTCATACACAAATTATCATTAGACGGAATGGATTAGACCAAGATGGTGAGAATGACAATAATGGAAGTAGTAGTAGTAGTGAGGAGGGTGATGAATATGGAAATGACCAATATGGCAATTTCGACAAAATGGATGATATTTTCCCCAACTCGCTATTCTCAGGAATTTTTAAAAACTTCTTTGGAGATAGTAATCGAAGCCAAAATTATCGCAACATACGAGATGGTGATGGAACTGATGAAAGTTATGAAAGTGATGGAAGTGATGAGAATGATGGAAGAGATGAGAGTGGTGATAATGGGGGAGGAGACCTCTTCTCTGAGTTAAACAACTTGTTCGGATTTGGTAATATAGGAGAAAATATTTTCAGGAAAAAAAAAAAAAAAAGTGTTATAGGTTTTAAAACCAAGGAACCGAACAACCTCAGTGAAGAAGAAAAGGAAGGAACTGGTGCAAAGAATAAATTGGACAGTATATCAGAGGCAATAAAAGAAGAAAAAGATGTCGATATAATATATCTGCTAAACAAGGTGCAAAAGTTAAATGATGAAAATTTAAAAAATTTCATTTTGCAATCCTTAAAAAATGAAAACGTACGCAAAATCCTCGTGGATGCATTGAAAAAAGGGTACCAGAACACATATGAACAATGCCAAAAGAAAAACGACAATAAGAGCATGTACCTCCTCCAGATGTTGAAGCAAACTGGAGTTTTTTGAGACACACTTTGGCATAGTGCCATAAGATAAGGCGAATAAAGCACATGCAACTTTTTATGATTATGTTGCAAAGGCGAGATAAACACGATTCTTCCAAACAAAGATCCAACGCTCAGACATATTTTTCATTTAACCGTGCACCACAACCTCCTTTTCAAGAAGCCTCCACCCCGCTGTGGTAATGACATACGCCCAGGGCCCTTTTTGTTACGCAAAAATGTGTAAACGTGTAAACGTGTAAACGTGTAAATGTGTAAATGTGTAAATGTGTAAATGTGTAAATATGTAAATGTGTAAATATGTAAATGTGTAAATGTGTAAATGTGTAAATGTGTAAATGTGTAAATATGTAAATGTGTAAATGTGTAAATGTGCGTGTATGTATATCTTTTTTTTTCTTTTTTTTCTTTTTTTTCTTTTTTTTCTTTTTTTTCCTTTTTTTCTTTTTTTTCTTTTTTTTCTTTTTTTCTTTTTTTTCTTTTTTTTCTTTTTGTTTCCAGCACGTTCTCCCTTTTTTTCGTTCATTTTTTCTTCCCCCCCCCCTCTTTCCTTCTTATTTTCTTTTTCATATCATTTCCTAATTACCTTGGAAGAGGGTTCATTTTTTTTTACAACATTAGATTCTGCCTTACAGAGGCATGCACTTGTTTTCATGGCTTCGTCCACATGCTCATCCCACCCGCCATGACATGTTACAACATTTTACATTTCGCTCACTATGCAAGTTCTACGAGCACCGTACGTGTTTTGTGCGATATATTTTTTCATTTCTTTTCATTTTCAACAACACGACAAGAATTATACAAATTTCGTGTGGTTTATACATCTGCACGAGTCAGTTGTTCAATTTGCAATTTGTTTTACTCCTCCAAGTTAGTCCATGTGGAATGTATTTTATATCGCCTCATGCTCCATGCAGTACTCCATTGGGTGGGGGGGAAAAAAAAAATAAATAAAATAAAAAAATAATGATAAAAAAATAATGATAAAAAAATAATGATAAAAAAATAATGATAAAAAAATAATGATAAAAAAATTAAGATAAAAAAATTAAGATAAAAAAATTAAGATAAAAAAATTAAGATAAAAAAATTAAGATAAAAAAATTAAGATAAAAAAATATAGATAAAAATATAAAATGAGGTGAAATAAAGGCAATTAATAATAACACATTTCCAATGAAAGATTCTCTTTCTCTTCTCAAGTTAGTGCATTTTCTTTGCAATCATTTATGTTTTTTCTCCCATATGGCTATGTTCACAATTTATAAGTGAAGAAAAGAGGTGTCCCCGTACATTAGCTGAAAAACATGAATCGAAGTATTTGCTTACTCCCTGCAATAACATTTATCTCACATGTTATACATTATTCTTTTTCCACATCCTACAACAACACATTTAGCTGTGGCTTCCCTTTGACCGCTTGATGTCCTTCCTCAAGGGAAGCCGTACCTTCACCCCCATCTGAATCTGGGCCCGAATCTGGGCCCGAATTTGCGTCCGAATCGTCGTCCGAATCTGCATCTAGGGAGATTGCTTTCTTTGCTTACGTCACCCGGACCCAGATACACACACACACAAACATATATATATATATATAGGGGTAGAGAGAGACATGCGAGATTTCCCAAGGACTGTGCTCGCGTGCTACAGCTGCCGTTCCCCTTGAGAGCCATTCATCATCACACAGCATGAAAATAATTTTAAAAAGAGGCAGGAATCCATTTCATGTTTTCAAAAGATGCAGGAGCAGCACTGAGGGGAGGCCCAATTGCGGGCACATTTGTCTGAACGATGATAAACAAAACCTAAAAAGGTTTGCTAACTTAGAAAAGATCCATTTGAAGAAAAATGCATGCACAAAGAAAGTAGAAATATTCATCGATGATTTAATTTTGTTAACCAAGAGAAAAAATGTCTTCTCGTTTTACAGTTTTGATTTATGCTTTCTAATAAAACTTGAGATACTAAGGAATAAGGAAAAAATGAACTTACGCAAAATGCCCATAACCCTGTCATCAAATAACATGATCGATTTTGTGAATTTAGTTCATGCTTGTGAAGAAGTAGCATTTGAAGAATACTCTCCAATGGAAAAGAAAATTTTTTTAAAGGAGACTCAATTGAATGATACGCATGCAGTAAACAGATGTAAATATGACAATGTTGGAGTGGAGGTGGTAGAAGAGCATTGTTATGAGAATAAGGAGAAAATTCAAAGAAAGGAAGGAACAATGAAGCCGCATGAAATGCAAAGAGATCTTATAGAAAATAAACTTTATGAAAATTTTAAGAATGATTTAATTTTTTACCATACTGGAGATTTGATGAACAGTTTAGACAAGGTGAAAAAAGAAGATTTAACAGAAAAAATTGATCTTCCAATGAGCTTAAATTATATAGAAAATTATAAGATCTTAAATTTACGTGAAGAAGAAAATAATGTTTACAACAAATATATTCACCTCTTTGAAGATATGCATAATGTTAAATTGATAAAAGCAAAACATTTCGAAACACCTGAACAAGATTACCATGTTCAGAAAAAAATCAAAAATATAATAAAAAATATGAACAATTCAGAACTTTTTCTCTTTTACAAATGCACACAAATTTTAAACTCATTTGTCTTTACTTACCTTTTTTTAAATGGACACATGGATTATAAGGAAGCTTATCGATACTCTAACTTGGATTACATTTATCAGTTTCTCAAATGGGGATATGTCTACGATGTTAATATTTACAAAGATGCTTCTGCTCTGCTGACACTCTCGTCTCTTCGTTTGATTCGTGCGGTCCTCTAGGGTAGAAGCGGTGACATCGTGATGGTGGAGCGACCATCTGATGACACACGTTACACTCCTCTGGACAAAGCTATTCCTAGTCGATCGCTTGTATTCAAGCACCCTCGCAGAAACCCCATTATGCATGAGGAAGACGGACCGGTATTAATCAATAAAAATGAGTTAGTATACATGTATGCGGTGGGCGGGTAAAGTCATGAGATGTTACAGCAGAAAAATGTTAAAACAGGAAAAGGCCGATTGCATGTAATTGTGTGCATGCACATTGGGGAAAAAGAGCTGGATATAGCACAGGTGTTTTCTTGGGTAGAAATACTTAAAAAAGGGAGAAACCAGGTGCAAAGAATAAAAAAAAAAAAATTAATCAAGCAGAAGGGCAGAAGAAGAGGCACATCTAGTTGAGTCGCATCTAGCAGTATCGCATCTAGCCATACCGCATCTAGCCATATCGCATCTAGCCGTACCGTACCTAACACCCCATCTAGTACCCCATCTAGTACCACATCTAGAACCCCATCTAGAACCCCATCTAGCCGCACCCCTACACAGTGACAGTCTTGGCAAGGCATCGAGGGCGATCGGGGTTGTTTCCCTTGGTGAGGGCTGTGTAGTAAGCCATGAGCTGCAAAGGTATGACTGCCAAGAGAGGTGTCAAGAGTCCATTGTTCGGGATCAAAATAATGTGATCTGCAAAGTGTTTGCAAAGAGATTCATCGTCCGTGATACAAATGATATTAGCACCTCTGGATTTTATTTGTTCTGCTGTATTTATCATAATATTCTTGGAATTATCATTAAAAATAAGCATAATAACAGGTATAGATTCTTCACTCCCAAGTAAAGCATATGGGCCATGTTTAAGTGAAGTACCAGTAAAACCTTCACAGTGTATATAAGTTAGTTCTTTAATTTTTAGAGCTCCTTCAAGAGCTATAGGATAGCTTAGTCCATTTCCAATAATAAGAATAGATTTTGTGTTTTCAAATTTATTGGCGAGATATTTGCATTTTTGTTCACATGATTTGACAGTTGTACCTGCATATAGAGGTAATCTGTGTAAAGAATTTATTAATGAACTAATTTTACTACTTGATGAATTGTATGTTTCTTTTTTATTTTGAAAGAACCAGATTGCTATTAATGCTAAGACGGATACTTCTGATGTAAAACATTTGGTGGATGCAACTCCAACCTCTCTCCCAGCATTTAAATAAACACCACGACCTGTCATATTTGCAATAGTAGAACCAACTGAATTGATAACAGATAATTTTTTTAAATTTAAATCATTAGCTAATTTACAAGCTTTTATAATATCTCTAGTTTCTCCACTTTGAGAAATAAAAATAACCCCTTCTTTTTCTTTTGGAATTACAGATACATTAAAATCACATGGATCCATGACTTGTACAGTGTTAAAACAACCTAAATAATTCATAATATATTTTGCAAATAATGCAGCATAGTATGATGTACCACATCCAATTAAAATTAAATTTTCAATATTTGATAATTCTTCTACATATGGATCTAAACCACCTAACTTTACTCCATTGTTAAGAATACTAAACCTTCCTCCATTATTTAATGCTTTCGATAGAGTAATTGATTGTTCATGGATTTCTTTAAGCGTCCAATGTGGAAATGGGTTAGGTGTCTTCTGAATCACAACTTCAGGTATACTTTCAACCCTTTCTAACATTTTCAAATCATTTAATTTGTCTTTATTGATGCATAAAATTTCCCCATTTTTCAAAGATATACACTCATTTGTAAACATAAAAAGTGCTGCATGTTCTGATGCAACAAAAATTTCATTATCTTTAAAACCAATATGCAATGGAGATCCGTTAGCTGCTAATATCATTTCTTCTGGATAATCCTTATGTATTATGCAAAAACTCCATGTGCCTTCTAATTGTCTAATTGCTGAAAGAACCGCATTCTGAAAATTTTCTTTCTGATCTAGAAAATAACCTATTAAATTCGCTACCACTTCTGTGTCTGTATTTGATTTGAATGGGATATTTTTATTTAATAGAAAGGTTTTTAACTCTCGATAATTTTCAATAATTCCATTGTGCACAATACTGATCCTTTCATTGTAATCCATATGTGGATGTGCATTTTCATCTGCTTTACAACCATGTGTAGCCCATCTTGTGTGTGCAATACCTATATTATCATTTTTATGTCTATTCAGGTAATTTCCTCTTAATTTCTCAATTGCATCACATGTAGAATTGCTCGCATATTTTGTTGTTTTCAATGTGTTATTTGTTCGACTAATTGTGGACATCCCACATGAGTCGTATCCTCTATTTTGCAACACTTCTATTCCATCAATTAGAACTTTAGAAGCATCTCTGTCACCTAAGTATGCCATAATTCCGCAACAGCTAACAGTTTCATTCCTCATGTCAGGCAAAAAAGAAAAATTTTTTTTTTTTTTTTTTTTTATCTTTTTTAGACCATTTTTTTCAGATCTGTTAAAAAATTCGTACAAACCATACACGACCACTGCAGTGATAAACAATTTTTCGTTCAATGTGAAATAATTTTGCAAAGGGTTCCTCACAATGCCCTTCTTCTTTCTGTCACGTCGATCATTGTGATGATTACTGTACTGCTTGTCACGACAACATTCGTGGTGCATTCTGTAAGGAGGTTTAATCGCGTGCTCGGCATGATCACGGGGGAGTGCGCACCACCCAATAGCCCCTATACATCTCGGGGACAAGTATAAATGTTGTGTACTTTTTCTGGTGCTTTCTACCTGATCAAATTTGTGCAACGTTTGTCTGAAGTGTGAAAACAGTGTTTTGTCTGTGTGTGTGCAGAAAATATTTCCAACCTTTTTAAGCACTTTGTTCAGCATATTTTTGAACCTAACCTCCATTGCTTCTTGCGACAGGCAGGGATGAACAGTAGTACTAAACGTCACTTGTGCCGATCATGCAAGTCTGCTTCGGCTAGCACCTCTCTATCTTACTATCTACCTGCCACTCTTTCTATTTTACTATCTACTTGCCAATCTTTCTATCTTACTATCTACTTGCCAATCTTTCTATCTTACTATCTACTTGCCAATCTTTCTATCTTACTATCTACTTGCCAATCTTTCTATCTTCCTATCTACTTGCCAATCTTTCTATCTTACTATCTACTTGCCAATCTTTCTATCTTACTATCTACTTGCCAATCTTTCTATCTTACTATCTACTTGCCAATCTTTCTATCTTACTATCTACTTGCCAATCTTTCTATCTTTTTTTTTTTTTTTTTTTTTTCTACGCATGACCTTCATTCCCCTTCATGAAAAATATTCTGTACCCAGTTATACTTACACTTGGCTCATGGTTGTCGATCCTTCCACTTAAGACCCAACCTCATGTATATAGGTGCTGATTTATTTTCATGTAATCTTCCTATTAATTCGGACCTTTTTTTCATCCTCTTTCTTATAGTTTTCACTAGTGAGCAGTTTTTTTTTTTTTTTTTTTTTTTTTTTTTTCCTGTGTGTCCACTTTCTTAGTACTTTTCAAACCCAGGGGTGTTAAAACTTCAACACTTTTTTTTTTTTTTTTTTTATTATTTTTATAGAAACACTTGTTTCTATTCTTGTGCCCATTTGGGGAGTTATTTTATTTTTTCTTTTTTGCTTGTGTTGTAAATAAAACACCATAACTGGGGTTATTTTCAAAAGAGTGATCTTTGAAGAGCTTTTTTACCAATGTGTATTTTTTTTTTTTTTTTTTTTTTTTTTTTTTTTTTGTTCAAAATCTTTTTTTTTTTTTTTTTTTCCCTTTTGGGGTTTTTTTTTTTTTTTTTTTTTTTTTTTTTTTTTTAAATAAATCTCTTTTTTGTGTTTTTTTTTAAATTTTTTTTTTTTTTTTTTTTTTTTTCATTTTTTTTTTTTTTTTTTTTTTTTTTTTTTTTTTTATTATGCTCAAAAAAAGGGATAATAAATTTATAAGAGTCCCGCTTGGAACATCTTAATATGGATTAGTTTGATCCCCTTTTTACTTACTCTTCCGTGTGATAAACAATTTTTTTTTTGTTTGTTTTTTTAACTCACGAAATTTATGGAGTAAATTGGAAACCGCTTAAAAATTAATGATAAGGTCGAAATTTTTTTTTTTTTTTTTTTCTTTGCTTTTATTTTGCTGCGAGGTGACAGAACCTTTTGCTTTAAAATCAGTGCGTGTGTGTGTGAAGCAGTTACAATGGGTAGCAGCAATTACAATGGGTAGCAGCAATTACAATGGGTAGCAGCAATTACAATGGGTAGCAGCAATTACAATGGGTAGCAGCAATTACAATGGATGAGCAGCAATTACAATGGACGAGCAGCAATTACAATGGACGAGCAGCAATTACAATGGACGAGCAGCAATTACAATGGACGAGCAGCAATTACAATGGACGAGCTGCAGTGCAAATTTTTCCTATTTTCCACATTTTACTTTCCCGCACAATTTCCATATTTTCGTGGAATAATAAGAAACACACATAGGACAGCTTTTTATTTGTTCACATATGGACTAAACTAGTCTAGACAAAAAATAATCATGGAGTTTTTCACAAGAACCTTTTCTCATATTCATATCGCCCTTTTTGAAATACAACGCAAATGTTTTGTTACTAAAAAAATTTAAACTTGTTTGAAATAAATATATATATATATATATATATATATATATATATATATATATATTTTTTTTTTTTTTTTTTTTGTCATTATATGTTCATAAAAAATAAATAATTTTTGGAGTAATCAAATCGGGGAGTAAATAAAAATGCTCATTTATGAAGCATGTCTTCTTTTTTTTTTTTTTTTTTAAAACTTGGAAAAATGTACATAATAAGCCAATGAAGAGATATAAGGACGGATTTAAAATGCGTAATAAAAAAAAAAAAAAAATTGTTCGGTCTTTATTGACATTTTGTTGCATTTTTTTTTTTTTTTTTTTGAACCCTTTTATGATTTTCCTCTTTTACCTCATTTTTTTAAAATACATTTTTTATCCGTGTGAGATAATACAAAAGGGAAAGATAGAAAAAATGGGATTACAAATAAAACAATTCTCATGAATTTATTTCATGCCTAATTGAAACATAGGTATTACAACCATATTGGAATTGTTTTAAATATATTTGTTTCTTTCTTTCATTCTTTTCTTTTTTTACTGAAACATTGATTTGGAGATAAATTTAGCAATTTGGATGTGTATAATGCATGTGTGTATATATTTTTTTTTTTTTTTTATCATCCTTTTGGTCCTTTCTTCAAATGTAGAGATGGGAAAAGGTACAAAATAATTCTCTCTCAGAAAAACAAGATCAGATGTCTACCCATTCGATAAAATTTACCATTTTAAAGCTTTAACATTAATATATTTATTTATTATTTTTTTTTTTTTTCTTCTTTTTGTCCACTATTTTGGGGTAAAAATGGAATATTAAGTGGAACTGAAGAAATAATGTTGTAAGGTCTGCTAAAAGAATAATTTTTCTATTGATTTAATAAGTACATAAAAATTGGTCTTTTTTTTTTTTTTTTTTTTTTTTAACTCGCCTCTTCTTACCCCTTTTGCTATTTAAATTCATATAATGCCTTTTTTTTACTTTTTTTTTTTTTTTTTTTTTTTTCACTTCCTCATATTTTTTTAAAAAAATAGGAAAAAAAAAAAAAATGTCTTTGTAATATTCGATACCTACCACTTTATCAATAATCGCTTTAATCTTCCAGCATGTTAAAAATGTTATATTGATATGATAAAAAAAACAGAAAAAAAAAAAAAGGGAGATATATATATATTTCTTCTTCTTTCTTGTTTACCTAACATTAAGGCGAGAAAAACTGGTAAGACGATTTCTTTTTCATGTGGCAAATGGGTACGGATGGCGAATAAACATATGATGTGACAGTACTTGAGATATATATTCAATACATACATAAACATGAATATATTGAATATATATATATATATATATGAATATAAAATAATGCTTGTAAAATTATTTTAGATATACATTTAACATGTAAGCAAAAGTGCCATTCAAAAAACTAACCTGTATTTTGGGCACTTAAAAAAAAAAAAAAAAAAAAAAAAAGTAGGCATAAATTCATGAATAATCATTTAAATAATGCTTCCTAGAGCCGAAACCCCGAAAGCAAATTTTCCGAGACTCAAAAAAATTTCTTCCTGTTTTTACATATCTAGTACATATGCCATTTTTATTTCCCTCGTCCTCATTTAAAATTTACAGTGAGAGGGACATAGATAAAAATAAATCAATCAAATATGTTAGTAAATCATATAAATAAATCATTGATAAATCATTCATGAATCATTAATAAATCATTAATAAATCATTAATAAATCTCTAATAAATCTAATAAATAAACAAGTGATAAATTAAATAAATAACTCTTTGTATTTTGCCTTCGCGCAAAACTGAAGAAATAGATTGGAATAAATAGAAAAACAAACTGAATAAAAATTTAATTTGGCTTTTTATGCATTTAATGTATCCTGGCCTTTCAAAATTTTTTTTTTTCTCACATAACACTTCTGAAACCTTTTTTCCATTTTCTTTTATTCCATTTTTTCTTTTTTTTTGCATACTTATTTTTCGTTAGAATAAAAAATATCATACGATAACATATAGCATATGTTTTCTCGTGTTTTTTTTTTTTTTTTTTTTTTTTTTGCGCAAGTTGATTTTATTTCTCTCCCCTATTCTTGTGTCTTTTACGCACGCATGTCTGTAAGTACACTTCCCTTAACCTATACATGTATATCCGTGCACTGGGACATTGTGTCTATCATACCCGAATATGACAATAACACAAGTGTATGTAGTTGACTCTTGCATCTACATCTAGAAGCAGCATATCATTATGTTTTTGCTTATGTGCTTTACTGTTTTTTTTTTTTTTTTCGCCTGTTTTTAGTTTTATTTCACTTTATATTCTTTTATTTTTACTTTAAAATTAATAACAGATTTATGTTTTTCTTTTAACCCAATAAAATGAATTGCATTGATTCAATTGGGGACCCACTCTATAGTGCCTTTTTCGTTTTTTTTTTTTTTTTTTTTTTTTTCACACGAAAAGGTGGGAAAAATAAGTACAGATTATACACAAGCGCATGAATACCCATCCACATTCTTACTACATAAGTTTGTAATTCACCAATCCTTAAATTAAGGGTCAAATTTTACTCACACGTGAAGAGATCGTAGAGTTTGTAGTGAGAGTGACGCAATCCTTTTGCATTGCACCCTTGTTCCTCATAACGCAATTTTTTTAAAATTCATTAAATTTACCGTATTTCATTTTTTTTTTTTTTTTTTTTTTATTTTCCTCTCGTTTCTACATTTTTTTCTTTCCTTTTCCATTCTGCGCCCTCATTTGACTCTACATTTTTATGTGGTGCAACTGGGTTATAGCATGGAAGAAACAAAAGAAGGAAACGAAACAACTTGAGTTATTCAGGGGAGTGATGATTCCTCACTTATGTGCATCTCATGGGCCATGATTTCACCTGTTACGGGAACGTAGATATATGCACAGTTGTATGCACGTGTAACATAATATATATATGTATATATATATATACACGTACACACATATGCACATACAAACATACATGCATGTATGCAACAATCTAGTAGAGAAAGAAGAGAAGCGTGTTTTTTTTTTTTTTTTCATTTTTTTTTTGCGCGTATATTTTATTCTATACAAACGTTTTCATTACATCAACAACGTTTTTTTTCTTCCTTTTTTTTTCTTCCTTTTTTTTTCTTCCTTTTTTTTTCTTCCTTTTTTTTTCTTCCTTTTTTTTCTTCCTCTTATTTCTTCTTTTTTTTTCTTCCTCTTATTTCTTCTTTTTTTTTCTTCCTTTTTTTTCTTTTTTTTTCTTTTTTTTTTTGGACAATCCAGTATAACAAAATTGGAAAATTTTTTATTTGCATTTCGGAAAAAAAAAATTCTACTTCTGTTGTTGCATCGAGTTGTTGATTTAACACCACAAGCGGAAGAAGCGATTAAATTCCCCATTTATCAATTTTCAAATCGACCGAATGTAATTCTAATAAAAAAAAATAAAAAAAATAAAACGCACACATGTACAAACATAAATACAAACACTCACAAGTTGCGAATAAATATAGAACAAGTGTTCGTAGTTAATGATTTGTACACTCGTCCATTGTGTCTCCCACGTCTGTCGTTTCTTTCTTTTTCATTTCCCTTCTTTATTTCTTTCATTCTTTCATTCTTTCTTTCTGTTTTTTTTTTTTTTTTTTTTTTTTTTTTTTTTTTTTTTTTTTTTTTTTTTTTTTTTTTTTTTTTTTTTTTTTTTTTTTTTTTTTTTTCTTGTGCATGCATATGAGACTTCACTGATTTATGCGCTTCACCACTTTGTGACGTTTTCCTAAATGTCAAAAAGGGATGAACACATTTTTACCGAGTTTATTATTTTATTTTTTTTTTTACCCCTTTACTTAATTGTGAATTCTTCATATTTTTTTCCTTCTTAACTCCTTTACTCATTTTGTCACCTATTTAGATTTAGCAAAGTTTTCATTTTGTTCGTCTACATGCATTAGTATAAATACTTTTATCTATGTTTAAAAAAAAAAAAAAGAAAAAGTTGTGTCAAGATCATTAACAAGTAAATTTACATGTTTTACTAATGCATAAAAGGGACATAGACAGTGTACAATTTTCAAAAATTCAGGAGTTGTATATGATCAGAAATTATTCGGATTGACATTTTTGAATGCTTTTTTTTTTTTTTTTTTTTTTTTTTTTTTTTTTTTTTTTTTTTTTTTTTTTTTTTTTTGTTGTTGTTGTTTCGATTGATATTATGTGCACCATTTCATTAGTAATGATCCCCATGTGCATACCTACCTACATACATGCATACATGTACATATTACACCTGCCTTTTTATAGTTGTACTAATTTTACGGAATACAGATGATGAAAGGTTATGCAAATTATAAAAGAAATGCAATGAATAACACTTCATTTGGAGATATGAGAAAACTCTCCCTAAGCAACCCTTTACACATTACTGACAATGCTTGGTCAACAGATAGAATTACCTTGTCATCAGAGGAATATTTATACTATGTTAATTTGTTCAAGTAAGGAAAGAAAGAACGATAGAAAAAAAAAAAAAAATAAAATAAAATATCTAGCAACTGTGGCTCTTTTCCATGCACACAGGAATGTACAGAAAATGTAGAAAAGGCACAATGGTGGTGTAGAGAAAGTGTGCACAAATTGATGCATATATTTACGTGTATATGCATGACATCTTTTTATACATATATATTTATATGTCTATACACACATTGTTTCATCACCCCTTCATTCGTTTTTGCATTTCTTTTTTTTTTTTTTTTTTTTTCTGTGCACAGCCTGAACGACAAATTTGATAGTCACTTCATTGATAATAAGACAGCTTCGACCTTCCTCCAGAATTCTGGATTATCCATATCGGTTTTGCATTCGGTAAAAGAGAAAGAGAAAGAGAAAGAGAAAGAAAATGAAAAAATAAAATAGCAATCAAATAAATAACAAAATAGTGCCAAAATAAATAGCGAAATAATAATAAATAAGTAAAAATATACTTTCCAAACGAAATTACGTGACATATAATTCCAAAGGGAGATGTGATGAGGAGTTAAACGTGGGGAGGAGATTACATACCTAATCTTTCATAACAGTATTTTAAGCATGTTTATCTCTTCCCCAAGTTTTTACACCCACATTTTTGGCTTCCATTAATTTTATATTCACATTTATGAACAATTTAGAACTCCACATAATAAGGGGGCGGGGAAAAAAAAAAAAAAAAAAAAAATTATTATCTTTTGTTAATTTTTTTTTCTTACCTATACATGTGCAATATATACTCCCCTCTCCCTTTTGCAGATATGGGAATATAGTGATGTCGAAAACAAAGGATACCTGACTTTGGAGGATTTTTTTATTTGTTGTCGGCTAGTTGCCCATGCGCAGAATGGAAATACATTGAGCCCTGACATAATAAATATGCGTAAGTGGAAAGCACACAAAAAAAAAAAAAAAAAAAAAAAAAAAAAACAGACAATCCGATAAGAAAAAAGAAGAAAAAAAAAACAGACAATCCGATAAGAAAAAAGAAGAAAAAAAAAACGGAAAATTCAACAAGCAAAAAAACAGAGAAAACAAAGAAAGAATTCCAATTTTTATGCACGTCGTATCCCCCATGCACTACCATCATCTTATAGCTTACATTGCAATACAATACAATATGTGTTGACCAAGTTGTCGAAATTGCATTATTGATCTAGAGGCAGCAATTTTTTTTTTTTTTTTTACATGTTGGATTGTCTGTTTTTTTTTACGTTTTTAACATATTGTGTGATATATCGCCCTTTTCTTTATCGTTATTACTGTTATTATCATTGCTATTTTTCTTAATATCATTGCTATTTTTCTTAATATCATTGCTATTTTTCTTAATATCATTGCTATTTTTCTTAATATCATTGCTATTTTTCTTAATATCATTGCTATTCTTCTTGTTATCATTGTTATTATTTATTATTTTTTATTTTTTTCGCCCCATCTGGCAGAACCTCCGTGCTTGCCGAGCTTCGACATCATTAGACACAAATCATTTTCAGACATTTCTAACATGGAAGGGAACGTCGAATGGAAGATAAGCTTGAGAGAAAGAGAAGATTATAAACGAATTTTTAAGACCCTAGATATGAATAATGAAGAAAAAATTGAAGGAAGTGTTATTCGCGAATATTACCTAAACACTTCTAACCTGTCTATCTGTGAACTCATGCAAATTTGGAGTATTTCGGATATGGATAATGATGGATTTCTCAACTTTGAACAATTCTGTGTTATGAACAAAATTGTCGAAGTGAGGAAGGAGAGGGAAATTAACATCCCACTCGCTATTCCTGCCGATTTGCTTCACTCGATCAAGTTAGATAGGAAGGCCATAATGGATGGTAAGGACTCAAAAAAAAAAAAAAAAAAAAATATATATATATATATATACATATATATATATATATAAATATATATCAATCGAGTGAGACAACCAAATGGGGTCACTAAAAAATGGCTAAGAAAAAGGAACTAGTCGAAATTGCATCAACCAATCGAGCGACAAAACATTACAATTCCTACTGATTCATCATTTTTTCCATTAATTTTTTGATTCATTTTTGTTTATCCCATTTTCCACCACGTCAAGATGATATAACCTTCAGGAAAATCGAGGACGAAAAAGATAGAATGGAAACTTTCAAGATGTCTTTTGGAGATTTGCTGAAATCTGAAAATGAGAAAAAGAGTGAAAAAAGTAGCAATGAAAAAAACGAAAAGTTAAACATGGAATTTGATTTTTTCGATTTTAAGCAAGATGATAAAAGCGAAAGGGGAGGAGGAGGAGGAGGAGATGAGTCTGAAAAAAAAAAAAAAAAAAAAAAGGATAAAGAAAGGGAAAGGGACAAGGACATGTCTTCAGAAGGAAGCGAACAAAAATCCCTTTTTAAAAACGATTTCCATAGCTACAGTAGACTCTTGAAGAGGCGAGAACATGGAGAAAGAGAAGAAGAAGCTGAGGATGACTATGACAATGATGAAGTAACAGAACAAAATCAACCCACTTCGAAGAGAAAGTTAATCAAAAAATCAGGGAAAAAAAGCTACGGTAGTAATAACCGTAGTTCAGATGACAATACCAGCAGTGGGTCAAGCAAAAAGCATGAACAAAAAAAAAAAAGAGAAAAGAAGAGAGACCAAGCTGATGAAGCGGACGAAGCTGATGAAGCGGACGAAGCAGACGAAGCGGACGAAGCAGACGAAGCGGACGAAATGGACGAAATGGAAAACGGTGTGAAGCGGAGAAATAAAAAAAAGAAAAAGGAAAAAGGAGAAAAAAGGGCTAAGGACAAGACTAGTAAACCAAAGGGAGGGAAGAGCAGAGAAGACAAAGATAAAGACCAACGTAAAGACCAACGTAAAGACCAACGTAAAGACCAACGTAAAGACCAACATAAAGACCAACGTAAAGACCAACATAAAGACCAACGTAAAGACCAACATAAAGACCAACATAATGAACAACATAATGAACAACATAATGAACAACATAATGAACAACATAATGGCCAACATAAAGAAATGGAGAAGAAGAGAAATAAGGAGAAGCAAAGGGTGACGACGACAGGGGGGGGTAGAGAAGGAAAAGTAGATAATGGAAAAAACAGTAAGAAATTGAACTTGGAAAAATTTTTTGGTGAAGATGAGGAAGAGAGGGAAAAAAATGGAGAAGAAGAAGGAGCAAGTAACAGTAACCCGGAATCGATGAAAAGTGTGAATTCAAAAGAAAAGGGAGAAGAAAGAAAGAGAAAAAATTCTCAAAGTGAAAAATATTTCACCAAATTGATTGATTTTAACTACTCTGATTTAAAAAATTACAACATTGAAAGTAAGGATGTTTACAAGATTGAAGAAATTAATCGAAAATTAGAAGAAGAAATTAAAAAAAAAAAAAAAAATGTTGATAAGAAGAAAAAGCAAGTAAACTGTCTTGCGTATGTATACGAAAGTGAGCTAAAAAAATATCAGTGTCTGAAGGAAGAGAGAAGAAATTTAGAGTTTATAAATCTATGTTTATATAAAGATATAAAATATAAAAAAGAAAACATTCGAAACATTAAAAAAGAAATTAAAGAATTAATTGAAGACATTAACAAAATTAATATAGAAAATGTTAACATAAACAAAGAGTATATAAAAAAAGAAAAAGAAATTAAGTCAATTGATTATAAGAGAAAAAGTTTGAATTCCATAATTGATAAAGAAAAAAATGATTTGAAAAAAGATGAAAGAAATCTAATCATTTTAAAAAATATGATACATTATCTGAGAAAACAAAAAAATAGAGCTGTGAAATTACAAGAAAATCTAAAAAATAGATATGACATAACAAATTCTGATCATCAAATGTTAATCAAAAATATTATGCACCAACAAAATTATCTGAACAAAATTACGAATAAACGCCTCAATGTTCAAAAAATAAAAAATCAAAATATCATCTTGTTTAATTCGCTAGCCAATCAATCCGTTTTACTCGACATGCAAAATGCTCATCCAAGTTTCCAGCAAATGTTTGACAAAAGGGGAGGAGAGGGAGGAGGAGGAGGAGGACATCCCGATGGAAATCTTATCCCCACGAATTCCCCCATGTTCAGTGAACACAATTTTCACAGGAAGTACTTAACTGATAGGAAGGGAATTCCAAATAATCAGGTATGGGCATTCACAAAACATATTCGTAAGATATATAATCACTTTGAGTGCAACCCAATCTCGTCCCATATGTGTGTATCTTTCTACCAAGGGTGGTGCACACGTCTTGTCCCTTTTCCACTGCCCTATTCATTGGTCATGGTTCATTCATTTGTCTTGTTCACTTATTGCCCCGTTTATATATTTGCCCCGTTCACTTATTGCCCCGTTCACTTATTGCCCCGTTTACATATTTGCCCCGTTCATGCGACACACGCACCCCTTTCACCTTGAATGACCTCCAAACTCTCTTTTACAGCACGATGAACCGAAGAACTCAAAGAAAAATTTGGACATCTTGGAGCAGATAAAAAATGGAGACAGTGTTGATATATTTTCAAGCATGGATGATGATACTGAATCGATAAGATGTGAAGACGAGGAGAATGAAGTGGAAGGAGGAGAGTACGAGGAAGAGGAGGATGGAGACGACACGGATGAGGAAGTCTTGGGTGTACAGGTAAGATGAAGCCAAGGTGAAATAAGAAAAGGCACCACACATATGTGCATACCATATAAATAAGGTTCATATTTAATGGAGTGAGGGGAAGAGAGCTCGCACGACCCCAAGACCAAATAAGAAACGTGTTCATACGGGCTTAATTTGTTATTACATAATATTTAACTATTTAATTAGTTCGTCCATCTATTTAATTAGTTCGTCATCTATTTAATTAGTTCGTCATCTATTTAATTAGTTCGTCATCTATTTAATTAGTTCGTCATCTATTTAATTAGTTCGTCATCTATTTTATTGGTTCGTCATCTATTTTATTGGTTCGTCATCTATTTAATTAGTTCGTCATCTATTTAATTAGTTCGTCATCTATTTTATTGGTTCATCAACTATTTAATTAGTTCGTCAACTATTTAATTAGTTCGTCAACTATTTAATTGTTTATTTTATTTTTTTTTTTTTTTTGAAGGGGAACAATAACATCGAAGGATTGGCCAACTTAATGTCAAAGGATCTCATCCTAAAGAGTGTCGACAATAGCTCATAACCTGAAGCGCCTTCACCCCACTCCACTTGTTATACTGTGCATGTGGATGTGTGGATGGATGTACGTTTGTATGCATGTCGGTTTGTATGCATGTATATTTCTCTTCCCTTTTTAAATGCACGATTCCGGCGTTTGTGTCTCATTTAGTCACATTTTCTCGTCTTCACCGTTTACACGTTTATGTTTGTTGTATATATATATATATATAGTGTCGTGATTTTAGGACGTTATGTCTTTATTTTTTCTACTTTGTGTAATTTTATTCTTTTTTGTTTCATTTTTATCTTTAATTATATCACATTCCTACGCACGAACTTTTGTCCCCTATGCGTGTTGGATACTCGTGGGTGTAGTTTTTATTACCATTTTGCATTATGTGTCACATAGGAAATTTTTTTTTGTTGTATCCCTAACGAGGTTTCGTTGATTTGGCTGATTTTATTTTTTGAGGGTTTTCTTTTAAGCCTGTTAACAAAAAACATTCCCCCTCCCAGATCTTTTTTTTTTTTTTTTTTTTTTTTTTTCTGTTGATAAAAGATTTTAATAAATTTACTTTTTTTAAAATTCATTTAAGATTTCCACAAAAAGGTAGAAAAAGTGTCGCCTTGATTTGAGCGACATAAATTGTGTGGTTGGTGCTGATCAATCAGCTGCACCCTATACATATGTCGCGAATTTGTGGTTTTTTTTTTTTTTTTTTTTTTTTTTCTCCTCTTTTTTACATACGCTCACCGAAAGGAGATCATACCTTTCCCCTCCTCCCCCTTCCCAGAACTTCTTTCCTCCCAAATATTAATTAAATTTCGCCAACTGTAAAATGTAGCTATGATCACATATGATACAAGCATGTATACATATATATATATGTATACATGCTTGTGTGTATTAACACGACTTGAATCAGGTCAACTGCACTCGTTTGACTTCTATCAACTGCATTACATGCAAATGTTGTTGAGGGAAAAAAAAAAAAAAAAGAGACAAAATGAAATTAACTGTGAAAACACAACACACAAGGATCACAGAGATGATGGTGAAGAAGAAGATAATGAGTACAGTGGAAAGGATGTTGCCACTTTTTATGAACAGTACCCAGCATCACTTTTCCAAATGGAAAATAGAACACATAGTTCCTCTCTATGAAAGAAAAAGTAGATCAAAATTTAAGAGAGAGAAATTGATAAAAAGGACTAAAGTGAAAATTTTACATTTACGTCAAAATTTGATGGATGATGGGTTGAAGTGGAAAAGAGGCAGTAGAATTGGTAACATTACTAACACTGCTTATTTTGGAAAAAAACCATCAACAGATGAATTTCAGAGTGATCTTTTGTGCAATTCAAATGAGACCATTCAGATTGATAATAACACACATGTGGAAGATTTATCAAAAGGAATGTTAGATGAGTTAGATGCTTCTTCTTCTCCTACTTTTACACAGGTTAAGAGATTATATTTCTCTCTTAAGAAGAAGGGGAATGAAGCTCTCGTTCAGTTTGTAAGTAATTCAGATTTCTTACGTATATGCATTTTTATGACTAGGAAGAAGATAAGGAATCGTGTAGTGGAAGAGGAGTTCCTGTTGCGGGTCTCCAGAGAGCTTGACGAGGTTCCCCACAGTCCCACCGATTCTGCATCTGGCGGTCCTACCGATTCTGCGTCTGGCGGTCCCACCAATTTTGCGTCTGGCGGTCCCACCGATTCTGCTTCTAACCGTCCCACCGATTCTGCTTCTAACCGTCCCACCGATTCTGCTTCTAACCGTCCCACCGATTCTGCTTCTAACCGTCCCACCGATTCTGCTTCTAACCGTCCCACCGATTCTGCTTCTAACCGTCCCACCGATTCTGCTTCTAGCCGTTCTTCTAATTGCCCGACTCGGGAACCCTTACTGAGCGAAAACAACTTCTGCCACTGGCTGGAGTTCATTCACCACATTGGGCTAAACGGCTTAGGAACATGCAGAGAAAGAAGTAGCAAAAAATGTAGTGTCGAATGGAACTTTAAAAAATTAAAACACACATATAATGGAATAATGAGTAAAATTACAAATGAAATAGTACTAAATAAGGAACACATTATTAACATACTTAACATAAATGATAAACATCTATATTTTGATGAATTCCTTTTTGATTATTTTGATTTGACAATATCGATGAACTTTGAAACGTATGATGAACATGAAATAACATACATATGTAAGCACTTGAGCAAAATATTATTTTCTCTATCCCTGCAATTAAATGGAATTAAATGTGAATCAAATGTGCAAAGATTAGTAAAGAGGTATATATGCAAAAGTTTAGTTTTTTCATCTGAATTCGACATAAAGGAATCATTAGAAGGTGAAGAAAAATTCAGATATGATTCCCCAAAACAAGGGGATCAACAAATCTCAGCAGCATCTAATTATCACCTGGAACCCGAATGTGCTGAACCCGTTAAACTAGTAGAGAGTTTGAAGTCACGAATTGTGCAAAGTTCTTTTGTGCAGACACTAAACAAGAAGTTGAAGAAATGTGTACATGAATACAAATATTACAACTTGGTTGATATTCTAGAATTTTACACTCTATTCGATATAAAGAAAAAAGACATGAGAAAGAGAGTAATAAATGAAGTAGACAAATTTATTAACATAATGAAATATGGATATCATGCTAAAGCACTAATTTTATTTAGTTTAAATAGAAAATATTTAGATGAAGAAAATGAAAAAAGTGTTAGGAGGTTAATAAGACGAACATCTCAGATGTTACATTTTTATTGGCCACCTGAGTTTATCATAGAAACAATTATTGCTTGTTGTTCTTCTTTTTTAAGCTTAAGCTATAGAGAGGAGAAAGGAAAAAATAAAACATTACGGAATTTATTTTTATACTTGAAAGGGAATGTAAAAAAATGCATTCACCCAATTCTTTTAATAAATCTTTTAAACTCGTTAGCAAGTGTAGGAATAACACATTTTACAGTTTTTAATCATATTATTAATTATGTAAAAAAAAAAAAAAATTCAATAAATGAGGCTTACATTGTCCTTATATTAAAACATTTGACAAAATTGGGATATCCAAATGATGACTTATTCTATTCATTCTTATTCTCAGAAAATGCACTCAATCGAATCTCGAAATTGCCAAATGGATCTCTTATTAGTTTACTGCATATAATAAATTACTACAAGAATGGCAATACTTTCGACAGGAAAAAAAATTTTTACTTGGGAAATGTTTTTGTTAAATCCTCTATGCTATCCTTTTATGTTGAGTATGTTATGTTTTTGTTGTTGACCAGACAGGGGGTTCTTGCATCTCAATGCCATGCCCAAGGTGTCACATTCAGCACAGGAGGAGGAGAGGCAGAAAATGTGGAAGACGAAGGGGAGACGACGAAAAGGAGGGGGCGCAATTTTCTCGACACGTCTTCGCCTTACCAGCTAGCGGCTTTGAATTATAACACACTGAAGGAAGACGTGTTCATGCAACTGTTGAATGGGTTAACGAATTTAAAAATTACAAATTTGGACATGCTGCAGTATGCTATAGATTATATACATATGTGTCTAAAGAGGATAAATGAAAATCACGTGATGACTGTTTTTCAGTTCATTTCGGAACACTTTATGAGTTTCCAATCGATTGGGTATTCGATCACACGTCTAACTTATATATATTTACACCAAATTGCAGAAAACAATATTTTGAAATTACCTGAAGCGTACTTGCCCCACTGTGCTTTTTCAACTTTATCATTTTATTTTATCGAAACTGTCTTAAAAAATAAAAAGAATAATGTGGATTTAATTGAAAAGACCATGATAATTTTTACTGACAAAATTAGGGGAGGATTGAAAATATTAATACAAGAGGGTAAAGAAGAAGAAGAAGAAAAAAAAATGTGTAAATTGCTACATATAATTTCTGCAGTACTACAAATGATATATGTAAAAATTGAAAGGAGATTACCTGACAAATTGTTTAGCTTCTGCAGACATGTAGAAAAACATTTTTCACAAATGGAAGGGGAGGTTACCATGGGAATTCGGAATGAAGAAAAAATGTCAGCTAGCCAACATTATATTTTTTTTTTTTCTGACTTGTTCAGGCAAAAAAAAATTAATCATTTTGTGAATTTTTTTAGCTACCCATACACCATTGATATTGTCATACCAGCTGATAAAGAGGAAATGAAAAAAACAAGTGAACGGAGGGAAGAAAGCGAAGAAGAAAAAGGAGAAAGTAATACACGCACAAGTACCAAAAAGAAGGCCTTATTCATAATCGATAATTTTGATAGGATGTATTTAAAGAATGTACAATTGGGGAAATTTTTTAAAGACAAAATTTGGGAAAAATCCACAAATTGTACCGGTTCCGTGCAGGATGGGGGACGCAATCAATCGGAAGTAGGAGAAGTGGGAGATGTGAAAGAAGTGAAAAAAGTAAAAGACTTGTTAGACGAAGACGGATGTGGACTGATCGAGGGAAGAGACAAATATCTCCATGTTGGAGACGAGAAGATAAAGAATATTGTTTTTGAAGATAATAATATAGGAACATGTCTAAAGCCATATGAAGCAATTAGGGAATGGTTTCTAAACAATAACAATTACTCAATCTCATATATATCAGTATCCGATTGGGAATCGAAATATATGTGAAGTTATATTTGTGGTCATATTATTGCAGACGTGAATTTAACAGCTGAAACGGAAGAAAATACGAATTAAAAATATAGGATTGCACGAATATGTATTTTTGTCTGTATGTTCAGTTCGTGTATAAAATATATACATCCCCTTGTGCTTATATCCTCATATAAAAGTATGATGGGCTTAATTTTTCATATGGGGTGACACTCACAAGGGGTATTATATATCATTTTATACATATGCATGTGTATGTGCATATTTATGTATGTGTGGACCCATTGACAGAACACCCGAGAGCATGGTGGGGTTCTACACAGCTCCTTCCTCCTCCTCCTCCTCCTCCTCCTCTATGCGACAACTTTTTCTTCAAAGCACAATCGCAAAAAAATAATGTCATATAATGTTAGCCTTTATATGTGGAATCTGTCCACGGATCATCAGTACCATCAAAAATCCTTTTTCCATCATCCCAAGTGTCTAAAACACGATGGGTTCTTCTTTTCTTCTCTCACCTAATCCTTTCCAACCTTTTGGTGCGAAGATGGGAAAATTAAAAACGGGGACCTCCAATTTTTTTTTTTTTTTTTTTTTTTTTTTTTCCCTTTTTTGTCATTACATATGTGTAAATATGGAACACTTATGCGTGTTTTTGTACATGTATATGTACATATATTTATGTGTATTAAAAACATGTTACTTGGATTTACAACAAGTGTGTGGGTGTATGTTAAATCACTATTAAAAAACGCTAAACGTAAAAGGAGCATGAATGAAAAGCGTATGATTAATTACTTTTTTGTACATGAAAAATGATATAATATTTGTACATATATATATGTGCATGTATGTGGAGGTGGCTTGGGGTGGCCGCGGGGCCCACAGATACGTGCATACAAAGAACTGTAGCTGTACGTGATATGTGTGTCACTTTTGTTCGTGTGAAACTGTATGTGCCTATGCTGACGTTCAACACCATGCTGTGTGTGTATATATATATATATATATATATATATATACATATATATATATATATATATACATAACATAGACGGGGGAACGTGCGCCGGAAAAATATAAGCTTAAATGTATACCACCACCCCTCTCTCCTCAGAAACACACACACACATGTAACTACATGTAAATAAATAAATAAAAACATAAATGAATAAATAAATATATATATATAATATACATATAGATATATATAATATACATATAGATATATATAATATACATGCTTGTGCCTATAAATATTTGTGTACATATACATGCAGGGCTGTATCTACATGCATACACATATTGAAAGTTCATCCAGAATATATAATACATCGTGTATACACGGATCCACGTATATTTCTAAGAAACTGAGGGGGCGATATGGATTTGTATTTTGTTCGCGGTGGAAATACGTGAATTTATTCATTTAATTTAAAAAAAAAAAAAAAAAAAAAAAAAGAAAAAACGGTAAAAAGAAAGAAATAATTTACTCAAAGGTGGGTAATATATACCACTTGGATTAATAAAAAGGAAATAAAATCATTGCACAGGAAAACAAGATGGACTGGGTTCGAACACAAATTACTGCTCTGAATGGAATTTTATACATATATATATATATATATATATATATATACATATGTTAGTCAATTCCTCAAGGTTTCGATATCCACAAAATAGGTTAACTTCCTTAAATATCACATGTACGGTGTGCGTGCAAAATTTTGCTGGAGTGCAACGCGCGGATCTAATCATTCTTTGATTAATAAAAAAAAAAAAAAAAAACCCTTGTCATATAAGTGTTAATTAAAAAAATAAAAAAAATTCTTCTTATACACATAACTGTACACATTCTGCAGAAATATTTCTCCCCCTTTCCTCACCCATCTGATTGCTTTGTCTATAGAAAAAAGCATGTGTCCGAGCTTACGAGAAATTTTTTTTAGAAATGCTAGGAAATTGGGAATTGTACACATGTTTTTTTTTTTTTTTTTTTTTTTTTCCCCTCCTCTCTGTACAGGTGAATATTAACATTTGGTCATAACGTGGGGAATTGGGCTTCTATTCGTCATTCGGTATGTGTGATGTGATGTGAGTGGCAAGGGGCCTCCTCCTCTCCTCTCTATCAGGCATTTAGCCATGGAGTGGGTATACCCTGAACGACCGGAATATCTTCACGATCCTTGAAGGCAAGAACCGTTCTGTTCATATCAACAATTTTCCTATTGGCAAGTGTATGGTATAATCTTATAGATATGCTGATAAGTAGAGTGATACAGATAAAGACTATACATACGACAATAAATACGTATAGTTTGAATTTCATGTCCGAGTCGACGTGTGAATTGAATGCGTGTTTCTTGATATAATCACGTGTGACATAACTGTTTTCACCATCATCATTGTCACCATCATCATTATTACCATCATTGTTGTGTTTACCATCGTTTCCATCACTGTGGACTTCATCATCATCATCATCGTCATCATCGTCATCATCGTCATCATCGTCATCGTCATCATCATCATCATCATCATCGTCGTCGTCATTTTCATTCGGACTATTTCCTTTTCTTTTTCCTTTTCCAAGATGTTTATTAACAAGATTAGTTACTGCTCGAAGACCTTCACTAATGTCAAAATGTCCAGCTTTCAATACATCACTACTGCCATCCTTCTTTCTGTCTCCAGTTATTTCACTGATTCCTAGATTTTTTGTAATATCTCTGAATAGTATGCTTTCGTGTTTGTTCCCTTCTTCTTTACGTGTGATAGTATTATTATTATCATCCGCATTATTATTTAATTGTTCAATTGCACTTGGATCAGCTTCATATTCTGGTTGAGCAAGTGGTTGTTGGGTTGTTGTTGCATCCGCTTCAGCTTCTGCTTCAGCTTCTGTTGCTGGTTTTGTGGAAGTGGTTTCATTTATCAGTATATAATCATTCTTGTCAATATCTTCTTCATTATATTTGTCATCTGTGTATTCTCTTTCTTCATCAATAGTGCTTGCATCTGATTCAACGTTTTCATAAATAAATTCATTTTCATCAATTGCCTGTTCTTCATTATCGCTTGTATTATCACTATTATTACTTACTGTTTCTACTTCTGATGCGTCATCATTTAAATGTACATGCGAGGGGTTCTTTTGTTCTGTTTCTTCGGCATCCGTGGCTGTTTCTGTATTTTCAACTGGTTGATTTTTTATGTCCCCTTTTTCTATGCATTCTCTGGCCATGAGATTAAACTTGGTTTGGCTAGCTAGCACCAGATTATTATTACTGTTTGATTCATCGCCTGCTAAACCGCTTGCTTCCTCACTTGCTTGCTCACTTCGATTGTCGAATGTTCCATTCTGCTGTTCTGATTGAACTTTCAACGCTTGTAAGCCCTTGTTGATAATGTCCATTACAATGAACGGATGCGTCTCCTTAAAATTGAGAAGATTAAATTGCGGATTTTCTAATGCAAATACCTGGATTGGGTATCTGTAGGGTGACATGTCCTGTGCAGGTAGATCTTTCCAGAGTCCTGCACTCTGGCAGTTACAATTGGCTTGTGTTAAAATAGCATTTTCATACTCCTTTTTAATAAAATCACCATGTTTTTCATATTTCGTAGGTAAAAAGTTGACATTCTTGACATGTATAGCACCTCCGAATTCGAACCATCCACCATATTTGTAATGCATTGATATGTCCTTTGTGCATCTACCATCATCATTGTTTGTTTTTTTTCCGCATTTCAAATGTTTGGTAATTCCTGCGATTTCTCCTAAAATATGTGGATTTAATTTATCATAATTTGTTTCATCTTCGAGATAATTGTAAAAGGTAACAACTGGTTTATTTTTTTCTTCATCTGGGAATAATTCGTCTTCTAATTCTTGCAAAAGTTTTTTCAGTCCTTCTAATATTTCATGTATTCTTTTATTAAAATAGTCCTGTTTTGCCTGAACATAGTCAGAATGATTCGATCCATTTTGCATAATTTCATCCACGAAAAAGTCCTTGTTTAGTAATATTAAAAAAATATAAGTATTTCCATTTTTCGCGTTGAAGTATCTAGCAAATAAGTCATTGCTGTATCCAATTGCTTTCAAGTAATCATTGGCTGCAACAAGTTTTACTTCAAATCCTGGGTATGATGAAATTTTTTCCTGAATAGCTAAGTGCCAATTCAGGATTTCATTCCTCGTGCGTTTCGTTTTTCCTTCAGCGGCGTTAGAGGCGCTCTTCGTGTTGGTTTCTTCGTTTTGGTTAGCATTCTTTCCAGCTTCTGCATCTGTCTCTTCTACGGCTTCTGTCGCTTCTACCGCATCTACCGCTTCTACCGCTTCTACCGCATCTTCACTATTGGCGTTATATGTCATTATCAAGTTGGCTGGGTGTGGTAACTCGTGGGGTAGCACGTTCAACAAATCCCATAGAAACAACTCAACTGAATATCTCCATGGGACAAATTTATTATTTGGAAAATCTCTCCACAAACCTACGACATAACCATTGTCATATCCCTCATGTTTTTTATTTACAAGTTGTTTAAATTCTTTCATTAAATGTTTAGGAATAACATCTAATTTGTCTGTCTTTTTGGAATAATCTTCTACAGTTTCAAGTTGTGTAATATCATACCCATTGACAACTACAATTCCTAAGAAATCGAACCATCCTCCATATATTTTATGCATGGTTACTCTCTTTCGTTTTTCTTCATCTACTATGATTGTTTGCGTAGCTTGTGATAATTCTCCTAATAGTTCCATGTCTAATAATCTCTTACTTTTGTCATATGCAAAGGAATCATCTTTATATAAATATTGATAGTTATAATTTTTAAAAAAGTATTTTTTTTTTAAATTATTTATTATTGTATTCATTAAAAATGAAAATTTTTTTTTTATAGCACTATATTTATTGCGTGAGTATACCAAATCTTGAAAGAAAAATTTATTTCCTGTTACAACTAGAATCATTGTATTTTCTGGTAATTTTATGTAAGAATATTTATTTGCATCTACTCTTTTGTTATATTCTCTTACACTGGTAGAGGTAAAATATAATCCATTTTTAAAAGAAAACTCGTTTTGTAGTTCTTTCGTAAAATAATTCACATTCTTTATTTGTGGATTTGTTTTTTCAAACAGGTTAAATAAATTACTCAAAGATCTGTTTACGTTCATTTTTTTTTGTAACGGATGCATATGAAAGCGTCCAAGAACTGGAGCATCCATCATGGTTACTGGGTATTTCTTCTTCTTCTGTGTGTCTACTTCCACTATATCATCCTTGGCATTGTTGTCACCACTGTCGACATCGCTAGTATTATTATCACTATTGCTAACATCATTGGAATCTTCATTTTGGATCTTTCCTGAATCTACATCTACTTCATCCTCCATGTTTTTATCATTGTTACTCTCATTTATTTCATTTGCTGCGAATCTTATTTCTACATCACCATTTGGAGTTTCATCAATGATAGATTCATCTTGGGAATTTTCATTATTTCCTGATTCGTCAGAAGGAGAAGTTTCTGTTTCATTTTCGTTCTGTTCTTCCTCTTCCTTCTCCTCCTTTTTCTTTTCATTTATGGAGAAGTTTGGCTTCTCATGATTTTCTTTCTTATCATTCGAATTGTCATCATTATTAATTCCATTATTTGAAGAAATGTCTTTTCCATTTTCTGATGGATTCGATATTCCAAAGTTGTTTTTCACGAATTTTTCGTCATCATTCACAAAATTGTTTAACTTAGATTCAACAGTCTCAAAATTTAGGTATGAAAAAAAAAGTAGAATGTAAATAAGGGATGGGAAAATACTCTGCAGTATTATCATTTTATATTCTATTTAAAATCATTAAAAAAAAAAAAATTTTTATATGGATTTTCTTCTCTGTTTATATTCAACATTAAACCATATCCACACAGTTGCAAGTACATTAGTGTAACGTGTGTGTGGGTGTGGGGAGTTATTACTGCTGCGCTACTCTGTTCGTTCCACTAAAAGCTGGTGTACACACAATCATGTATGTCTATATACATATGTATACACATGTGCAGAACATGCAACGAGAGCAGATGTGTGAACTTCCCCACCGTGCGTAAAAACAGGAAGCCCGATAAATAAACGTATATACCTATGTGTGTCGACGCACAGGTCGGCCTGTATATATGTATATGCACCTATAGGTATCTATACGTATGTATGCATCTATACGTATGTATGCATCTATATGTATGTATGCATCTATACGTATGTATGTATATGTATAGGAGTTCCGTTGGGGGCTTATATTGAGAGTGATCCCGAGATTTGCCCGTTAATTGATCATTAAAAGAAAATTTAAAGAGATTGCTCCTATGGAAGTGGTATAACCTGCCAGTTACACCTTTAAATCTTGAGAAGCAGTTATTAAACGGTTATCACTGTTATTAGATAAGTAAAAAGTGTTAGTAAAATTTGTATACATAGGGCGGGAAGTATGGCAAAATGTTAGGGAAAAAAAAAAAAAAATAAAAATAATAAAAGGTTTGAAAAATCAAAAAAAAGCGAGAAAAAAAAAAAGTTTCGTTACATTCTATCGATTAGTCAAAAGGAGCGTGCGAGCAGCTATTCATATTTTAACATTTGTGAACACGTGTATAATGTATGCTAACTCGATGTACGCATGTTATACGTGTACTGTACGTACATGAGAAATATGCATAAATGTATGTATATATAAATATAAATATATATATATATATATATATATTATGTATATATTTAAAAAAAAAAAAAAAAAAAAGCTAATTACGGAAACTTAAAAAAAAAAAAAAATTGTTTAGAGATGACTCAATGAAAAGTATATATTTTCTTTTAATTATATCCGTATGCAAGTGTATTCATGTAATCATATATATATTGTATGCGATAAGAAAAAAAAAAAAAAAAAAGCATAAAAAAGCATAAAAAAGCATAAAAAAAGTATTATTACATACGTATGTGGTATACGTTGATTTAGTATAAGTTTTTGTGCGCGTATACGAAAAAATTTATACTATATATTGTTTTATATATTATATATACATATGTAAAAATTATTGATACTCTTTCAATAGTTTCATTGTTATAGTTAAAAAAAAAAAAATGTAAAATGGTACTTCTAACTAAATAGGTCAATAAAAGGGAAATATATATATATATATATATATACATACATTATATATATGTATATAAGTAATGATAATAAAAAAAATAATAACGTGATGGTAAAGAAAAGTGACAAAAATATAGTAATAAAACAGTGGCAATAAAATAGTAGCAAAATTGTGGCAGTAAAATAAAAATATATAATGACGTGAAAAAAAAAAAAAAAAAAAAAAAAAAAAGTTCTTTCCGAAGCGATAGCAAAATGATTACTAAATCTACAATACTATGCATTATCCTCCTACTGGTAAAATATTACATTCGTAAATTTAAAAAAAAAAAAAAAAAAAAAAAAGCAAAAAATGAAATTTTAAAGTTGGGTGTTTTTTTGGTTTGTATATTTCTCGAAAAATATATTAAAGGAAAGTATGCAAATTCTCTCGGGGGTCATGAGGCGGGGTTACATATGTAATATCTACTACCATGATGATATACATGCAATTATCTCATAAAATTTTCATATATAAGCACTTGCAATATTATAAATATATATATATATATATATATATATAATATATATTATTTATATTATGGAACTTTTGAACTTTACAAGCCTAGAAAAAAAAAAAAAAAAAAAAAAAAAGAATTTTATTTATATACAAGGGGTTATTTCATCGCTACGAAATTTTATGTTTCCACCACGACATATAAAATTATAGCATTTTTTCTCATTTTAATTTCCTATGCAGAGGAGCGGGAAAACAAAAAAAAAAAAAAAAAAAAAAAAACCATGGCACATAAGTATGCACATAGGTATTCACATAAGCATGAGTGTACAGTGATGAATGCACAATGGAATGTACAATGGAATGTACAATGAATGACAATGATATTGGTGGAAATGAGTATGCGACGTGAGGCATATCATATGCATTAAATATATATACATAATTAGGTGACAGGATAGGTGATAGGTGCCATGCATTATATATACATCTATGCACATAATCTCTACCATATGTTTATGCATGACCGATTTACATGCACGCCATCCAACGGGAGCACAAAAAACAGTTTGGTTTTCTTACATGCACATGGGTCATGCAAATTTGGAAAAGCAAAAAAAAAAAAAAAAGGTGCGCTTATTTAACAGTGCTTGAAAACAAAAAAAGAAAAAAAAAAAAAATAAATAATAAAATGAGGAAAAAAGTGTAGATGGTTAGAATACCATTTTTTTTAAAAATTTTTAGCGCCCCAACAGAGGTGTAGAATAATCTTTTTTTTTTTCTTTTTTAAATATACAGAGTTTTATGCAATTCTTACTATTATTATCCCCCCCCTTCCCCCTTTTTTTTTTTTTTTTTTTTTTGTATTCATGCACATGTTTCCAAAACCTCCTTCTTACCATCACAGTAGGGAGGGGAGGGGAACTACTTCGAATGGAAAAAAGAAAAAGGGTATTATTTGTTTATACATCTTTTATTTCATCAGATTTTCTAAGGACTTCGTTCAATTAAACTGTAAAAACAAAGTACCACAGGATGTTTTTTGAACGAACAGAGATTGGAGGTGTCAAGGCGCTTTGTGCATATAATCGCAAAAAAAAATGTTATAATAACATTTTTTTATATACATATATTTTGTGTGTTTTTTTTTCTTTTCTTTTTGCATGTACAGTTTTTTTTGGTGCGTTCGGCCTGTAGTAGTGCAAGAGATTTTTATGTTCCATGAAGAACTCAGCAAAAGAGCGCATACGTATGTTTATGTATTATGCACGTCCTTAAGTATCCATGTGCCATGTGCTCAGAGAAATACCTCCAAAACATACGCGTACTTCTCTCTCCCCCCTTTCCCACGTTGTTCACATCCTTATTTTACTTTACCCTACTTTATTTTACCCGATTTTACTTTATTTACTATTCTTTTTTTTTTTTTTTTTTAAATACTATTTTTTTATATTTCTGTTTCTGCTTTACACCACATGGCAAGAAAACTCAAGATTTAAAAAAACATTAGTTTGTACACATTTTTCCATTCAGACTGAGAGGTAGTAACTACGAACATTTTTTGACGTCCATCCAATGTACTCTCTCTCCACCACACATCGGAGAGGTGGTTGTTTCGTGCATAACCACAGATCTAAGTTATTTGAAAATTTGTACATGCGTAAAATTTGCACACTGGAGTGGAGAACCTCTGGCCTTGATGAAGGCAGGGGTTTACGCACATTGGCTAGCCAAAGGAGGGTCAGCTTGTCATCAGCTCTTGTCTAACCATTCGCGACTCTTTCGCTGGAGGAGTTAAGCACACGTAGAGATGTTGGCAGAGATGCGTACAAACATACCCGTGTACAAAAATTTATGCACCTATTTGTGCACCTATTTGTGCACCTATTTGTGCACCTATTTGTGCACCTATTTGTGCTCCCATTTGTGCTCCCATTTGTGCTCCCATTTGTGCTCCCATTTGTGCTCCCATTTGTGCTCCCATTTGTGCACCTATTTGTGCTCCCATTTGTGCTCCCATTTGTGCTCCCATTTGTGCTCCCATTTGTGCTCCCATTTGTGCTCCTATTTATACGTACATTTGCTGATGCAACTCGCAGGGGTGACAGAAAAAAAAAAAATATATATATCCACAAAATTGGGATCGCCCATGAGTATCGAAATGGAATTGAAACAAGAGAGTGAATGGTGTAAAAACGAGACTACACGCATGGTGTACATACAAATATATATATATATATATATATATGTACATATGTGTCGTATGGGGGTGAGCATAATTATAAGGACCATTCCACTTTATATGCACACATGCACGTATGAACGCGTGCATGTATGAATACACGTTAGGCTGTTCCCGAGGCCGCCTCCGAGCGTGTGTGTACATAAAATTAGAAAAAAGAAAAATGGATAGAGTCATGGATAGGGGCCGGAAGAAGACACGATTCTGTCATATTCAGAGGAACGAGCGATGATCCCTCTTTTTCTAAGTTATGTTAACCCTTTTTTATTTTTAGGCGAGCACCAAGAGGTTTCTGTGTCGTAAGGGATTGTATATATGTCAGTCCCCTGTTGTAGGTATCTTGTCGTGTTTTTGTTTTTTGTAACATGTCTTTTGTGTAGATAACTGGAAGTGATTTATCTAGTAGATGTTCATAGTGATCACTTGAGTGCATGTTATTCCATACATCAATTAATGTATTTATAGCTTTAATTTTGCTTGAGTGATCCCAGTATTTCGATCGTTCTAAAACTTTAATAGCGTGGATAACATTATCTCTATATTTTGCATCCTTTGGTAATGAGTGTGAAACAGATTGCAGGTTTGGATATCGCATGTGATTCAGTTCTTCATCTTGCACATTTAAGGGTTTGCTATTTTTAATTCCTCCAATGTATTGTTTCTTTATATTTGTCTTAAACGATTTCAAATTCTCGAATGGGTAATTTTCAAAGTGAGTAGATATATTTTCAGGGAGGATTTTCAGCACATTGTTTAGTAGGTTCATTTCCTCAGACGAGTTCGGTGATGAGGTACTTGTCGTACCCTGCTTGTCATAATAACTACCATCTGAATGGTAGGCTTTATTTGTGGTGTCAGAGATACTTTGTTCAGAGTCCTTTGAAAAAGACGATGTTTCACTTGATATAGTGATAAGTCGAAGTAAACGAATCATAGTTTGCATAATGTCAGAAAACTTTTCACGCATGTCATAATTGTAATTTACATCCCCATGAAATGAAACGAGGGGTTCATAGACCTGCACAGGAGTATCAGCACTTTCTAGCTTTAAAATGTTTAGGTATGTTTTTTTATTAAGGTGTTCATAAATTAGAGATTCTTCATATGGATTTTTTACTTGTTCATGGAGAATATAATTAAATAGGGAATTTTTCATTAGCATGTAAGGATTTTTAAAAACTCCAAATTCGTTTACAAGTGTGGGGTTAACTTTTTCTAAGATAGAATTTCTGATAGCACATATCATTACATGTAAAAAATCGTTAGATATTGTATGTTTTGTTCTGTACTGGTTAGATAGTGTAGTGAATGCTTTACTGTATATATAAGATTTGTATATATCTTCAATAAGTGTGTATTTTTGTGCACTCTTTAATTGTTTTTCCATTTCCAAGCAATCAACATCTTCACTAGAATTATAATCATTTTTGAAAGTTAAATTATTATTCGCATTTTTTTTGTTACTTTTTTGTTGCAAAAATGATGGTTTCTGTTTCAGTTTTATTTTTTGTATTCTTAAAATTTTGATTCTTTTCCTTCTTTGGTCTTCATCATCATATTCATTTTTTTTATTTCCTTTTTCTATTTCCTTTTCTCGTGCAAACTCGTAAATCTTATTTACATCTATGTCATTCACGTTTTTCAAGTGATTCTTTATTAGCTTGACTTTGTCTTTTGTTCCTAAATCTTTGTATCTCTTCAGTAGATTCTCTATATCTTGTTTAGATCCTACGTTAGTTGTCATTACGTGCTTGTCCTTATCCTTTTCCCCAGATTTGTATACCGTCATTCCCCTTCTCACAATATTGTAAAAGAGAATGGAATTATGATGCTTCTCCTTCCTTATCTTTAATCTTTTTCCAAAAATGTGTAGTGCCATTAGCATACGATGTGTTTTTGCTGGGGAGGAAGTGGGAGTGCATGGGGAGGGGTTCAATTTCTCAGCATATCATTCTATTTGAAAAGTATGCCAACTGTTTTTTTTTTTTTTTTTTTTTTTTTTTTTTTTCTGATTTACTCTCTGTTTTATTCTATTTTTGTCGAATTTGTTTCTTCTGGGTTGGATATTATTATCATTATTATTATTTTTTTATTTTTTTTTTTTTTTTTTTTTTTTTTTTACTGCTGACTAGAAGCACATTCTCTGGTAACTCCATGTTGATTACCTTTCACACTTAAAAAAATGAATGAAAAAATTTTTGGATATACAAAACGATTTTGTCAATCAGGGATGTATCATATGGGCGTAGGGGTGTCTCTGAACTAGCGCTTAAGCATGTTTGTGTATGCACAATTTTCTACGCATTTTTTTCACCCCTACGTATACAATGATGCTTCACTCCTGTGTAGAGTCATGAACTTTCTCTCTCCATGCAGTGTGGTTTTTATTGGGATAAACACTTAGATGCTGTTAAAATTGTGTTCATTTTTCTTGATCCTGATGAGGTTGCAAGAGTTTTTGCACTATATAGCTGAATGCACAGCGGAACACAATCGAATTAAAAGCATTTATGTGACTAAATTAAATCACAGTTGCTCTATCCTTAAGCAGGGAAAACGGGATGAACCAGCTGTCGCAAAATTAGAAGAAACAGATTCTGTAAAGTGTGACAAAGCAGATCCTGTAAAATGTGACAAAGCAGATCCTGTAAAATGTGACAAAGCAGATCCTGTAAAATGTGACAGAGCAGATCCTGTAAAATGTGACAAAGCAGATCGTGTAAAGTGTGACAAAGCAGATTCTGTAAAATGTGACAGAGCAGATCCTGTAAAGTGTGACAAAGCAAAGGTCGCACCGGAAAGGGGAAAACAAGGCCAGCAAGCGAACCCGGACCAAATAGAAACTAAGCAAAGGAAGGATGCTCCATTTTAGTGTCGACCGAATCAAAGGAGCGAATCTCCTTACAAGACTATTTGCAATACCTCGATGGCAAAACAAAACAGTGTGTGGGAAGTGTGACATTGTTCCTCCTGATGGAGAGAAAGGAAAAAAGATGGTATCATTAGACACATGTATGGAGAATATAAGCAAAAATAAATTACTGTATTTAATGAAGAATATGGAAATGATCCATTTGACAGAGAAAGAAATTTTGAACACTGTTAGTAATCTTTTGAAGAAGTACACGGATGAACTAACGACAGATGAAATGGGATTTGTTATACATACATTTTGTAAACTAAAGTTTATAAAGTATTCTTTATGTAACAATTTTGTAAAAATTATTATGAACAACAAACCGAAATTCAGCAGCATGCGAATATTGACACAATTTTTAATAGATCTTCACAAAATGGGTTCCCTGGATTTCAACGTATTAACCTTTTTTACACAATACTATATTAGACATTCTCTCTCCTTTTTTTCCCTATTTGATTTGTCTATGATTTTATACATTTATAACAAACATAATTACAATGATGTAAAAACCATTCATGCCATCTGTAATGTGATTCATTCGTACTTCATGCAGATTGTGCAACAGGTTCGTGGTGAAGCAGAAAAAAAAAAAAAAATTTTGTATGACAATGGTACATTGAACACCATTGTAATGTGTCCCTGTAAATGTTCGTTTACAAAAAATGTACATATCGCTGGAGCCTACTTTAGATGTCTTTATGATCTGCACGTACATGCCACATGTATATATACATATATATATATATATATGCATGTGCTACCTTTTAGCTGGGTTAATAAAAATCACACCGATTTATTATTCTCTATCCACCACTCCCTATTTCCATCTTAGGATAAAGGCGTTCTGACCACAATACTGTTAAGCTTATCTGCATTAAATTTAAATTACGACATGTTCATGAAGCTACTTAACGAACATGTGTATAAAAAATACAACCAATTTGAAGTGAAATATTTGTGCAACATTGCCTACTGTATTGCGTTATGGCTAGCTGGGAATTCTGCAGAGCTCAATTTGGCAAAAGGAAAATCCCAAAGTATTTTGAGTTCTCCCCAGAATGATTTCTTAATAGGGATGCTGAGTGAGGTGACACGTTTATTACTGAAAAGTGTTAACAAGATGAAAAACGAGGAACTTAAGCAGGTATGGAAAAAATGTCACAAGTGCTTATAGAGCTAACCGTGGAATTTGCATCGTTACATGATGGTGTCGTCCGCTACAAAATATTGCCCTTTTTCTACACGATAAAGCATGTTACACACTCGCTTCTGCACCCGTAGATCCATATAGTCCTCTACCTGCTGAAGGATGTAGGGAAGGAATATGAAGAAGCTATACAGAATCTAGAAAACAAAAAAATAAAAAGCACATTAACAGTCTCAAAGATGCAGAAACAAATGGAAAAAATTTTTAAAGAAATAGGCCTTAGGGCCGAACAGGAATTCCCCATAGGTCCCTATGTGTTGGATTTCGCCTTTCGCAAAAAAATGGTAATTCGTGTTTGTGTTTGTGTGTTCATATAATTTCTTGAGAGAATTTTTTCAGTGGTTGAAACCAAATTTTTTTATTGTCTTCAGTTTTTCGATTACAGAAAAATGTACGTCCATTCAGGTTTGTCCAACTTGTCTAATTTTTTATCAGGCATGCATCGAAGTCAACGGCTTTACCCACTACTACACTTTCGGAGGGGGTCTGAATGCCAAGAGTAAATTAAAATATTATATTCTGCGTAAGCTCAATTGGAAGGTATGTCTATTCATGTGGAAAGATAAGACAGCATATTTGGGAAGTCTGTCTGAGCCATCCGTATGAGAAGTGTGTTCATGCAAGGCCTCCTCTAATGGGGGTCCATTTTATTTCTTCTTTTTTTCTCTCCTTTTTTCCCTCCTTTTTTTTTTTTTGTCTGGTTTCGCTTAACATCGCTTAGTTGCGTGTCTTATTCTTTCTTTACCTTTTCACATCTTGTTTGGTCATATATTTTTTTTTTTTCCCCCTCACCTCGCGACATAACCAACACGAACAGGTTCTTACAGTTGAATACATGGACTGGAAAAACAAATCCAAGGAGGTTAACACGAAGAAGCCTCGTGGTTTTTAACAAAATCAAAAAGAAAAAATGAAAAAAAATGAAAAAAAAAAAAAAAAAAAACATCAAGCATAATAGTGTGGTATTTCTTGAAATCATATACAATTGTGCATATATATATGTATATTTTTCCTCTGTGCAGGATAAGGTGAAGTACTTAGAGAAGAACATACTGGAACGGATAAAATGAAGAGCTTTCATTTTTTTTTTTTTTTTAATTCCTTCAAGTATTTTAACTCGTTCAGCTTTGTTCAGCTTTGTTCAGCTTTTTTCAACTTTGTTCAGCTTTGTTCAACTTTGTTCAGCTTTGTTCAGCTTTGTTCAGCTTTGTTCAGCTTGTTCAGCTTGTTCAGCTTGTTCAGCTTTGTTCAGCTTGTTCAGCTTGTTCAGCTTTGTTCAGCTTTGTTCAACTTTGTTCAGTTGCGCCTCTTTTTTTATAATGACTTGCACGGGGTCCTAACTTTTATCCTTGCGGTTGAACAAAGACCGATGATCTACTGGACACAGGGGACCTTGATGGGGATTCGATCGTATTGTTTTCAAATCATCTGTTTGTAAATTTTCATTTTTTTTAACAGTATAATATGTTAATGTTTTAATGAGCCAAGTATCATCATTTTTCTTAACAAGATTACTAATAATTTTTCCTCTTTTGTCTTTGTTTTTTCCACTTTTGATATTGATAATTATCCTTGCATATGTATCATTTATATGTCCAGTCCAAAATGGAGAAAATATTACATTTTCATATTCTTCAATCAATTTGTTATCACTTAAAACTTTCTCTTTTACCATTTTCACAGCTATGGGTTCATTTAAAACCATCACTAGTAATTTTACTACGCAATAAGAAAATATAGAAAACAGAGTAAAAAAAACTGAATAATATGTTATGTGTAACTTATGTTCAGTTATAAGTCTAAGTATCTTAACACACTTATTGGCATCATTTATTTTGTTCATATCTATATATTTCTTCTTTTTTTTATGAACACAAGGAAAGAAATATTTCTTATCCGTTAGGATGATTCGTTTTTTTTCCTTCACTTTCTCTTTTCTTTCCCCAGTTGTTACTAATCCGTTCTTTGATTTACCCCATAAGGAAAAAAATCTTCCTGTGCAAGCATACCAAAGAAGATTATTACAGTTTTTCGCGCTACCTCTCTGCATTTTTTTTTTTTTTCCTGCCACAGCTCTGTCGATACTGTATTCGTCTTGTTCTGTGTCGTTACTCTATGGCACGTTGAGTCGCTTTACTATGTCATATCATGTTCCATCGTACTGCACCATGTAGTGCTGTGTTGTGTTGTTTTATATTATGTTATATTATGTTATATTATGATGCGTGTGTGTTTTTTTGCATTCACCCATCTCACCACATCATGCCTCACACGAAGCAAACACAAATAGAAAGAACGTAAAAGCCAAAAAGAGGATCTCCAACAAAATGGAGTGAGTGGAGGAGAGAAATCTGTGATGTCAGCTGTAACGTGAATGCATACACACTCTCGTACATATGTCGTAGGTAAGCTTTATATTATATGTTATATACTATACATTATATATTATGCGTGTTTGCAGTAATTTGTTCATTTATGTGTCACTCCCGGTGTAAGTTAGCAAAAAAGGGTCGTTCTTATATGAACTTTTTTATCAAGGGAAAAAATGTATGCAACATGTTCATCTCTTTAACTTCTATGCAATTAAGACTTTTTCTTTTTTCTTTTTGAACACAGGGTGTTTAGTAAGTAAATTCCCTTTTATCACATTTCCTCACTTATCTCATAGCTGCTGAAAGGATAATGTAGAAGCTATCACCTCACAGCTGTTTTTTTCAGCATTACTCATTTTATGGAAAAACAAAACTGGGGAAAATCATTTCTCCATTTTTGTGAAAGGTCATAAATGATATATCTTTGCTTCTTTTCAAAGTGTTATATATTACTTTTTCTTCTTCATTAACGATATGGTAGCTAATATCCTATCAGGATAAAATTCTTTCTCCTTTTGCTACATAAAGATTCCTCTCTCTCTTGCTTTGTTCCCTCTCTTGCTTTGTTCCCCCTCTTGCTTTTTTTTTTTTTTTTTTTTTTTTTTTTTTTTCAAAAGTATAATATATCCCAAATCACCTGCACTGTTCAGAAAAAAAAAAAAATAAATAAATAAAAATGTTGTATGGCTTGGTGCTTAAGTCGCTTTATTTATTTTATTTTTTCCCCCCATTTGTGTGCCCTATTTATGTGCCCTATTTGTGTGCCTTATTTGCGTGCCCTATTTGTGTGCCTTATTTGCGTGCCCTATTTGATGGCCTATTTTTTTTTCTCCATTTTTCCACGACCTTCCAGCGGGGAAGTACACACGATAAAAGGGACCTTTTTTAGTGAATTTTGGAAAAAAAAATTTTGCCGGAGAAATGGCGCAAAAAAATGTGCAAATTGATAATAATGCGCATATATATAACAGGTGTCCATTTTATGATTAGCAAAAAAACTGAGAGACAAAATTGGGACAAAAAATTGGGACACAAAACTGGGACACAAAACTGGGACAAAAAATTGGGACACAAAATTGGGAAATAAAAACAAAAATAATTCGAAGCGCTTATGAACACTAACTATATCCAAAATGACCATGATGGAAAACTTATATCATGAAGATGTTGTAATGTTTTTCTCCATCGCAGAGTTAGAAGAAATATTGGGGTATTTTAAAAATTACAAATATTTTAAAGAGAAGGATTATAACATCATGTCTTTAAACAGCCGTGAATTTATTTTCAATTCAGGTGAGTGTTTGAAGTTTGAACACGTGAACACAAACATGATCGGGAAGTTAAGGCTCAAGCACGAAGTTAGTGATGTAGACAATCAAGAAGAAAAAGATACATCGAACAGGAATTGCTTAATCAGACAAAGTGAAAGAGAAGACAAAGTTGGGGATAATGCACAAGGAGAAATGTGTGTCGATTCTGATTGCACAAACCTGACACAAGGACAAGAAACGTCGAAGGAGAAAAAGGTGGGAACCGAGATAGGAGGTGGGAGTGAAAGACAGATGGGAAGGAAGAATGAAAGGAGAGAAAAGGAGAAAAAAAGCAGGAACAATCATCTCTTTAGTGAAAAAAAAATAAATGATGCAGACGAATTTATAACAAGGAAAATATTCAGGTTCCTCTATAATAGGCATGGAAATGTGAAATGGTCGAGTAAGCATAAACTAGTCATCTCAATGATAATTCAAGCCATAATTTATGCAAAAAAAATAAAATTAGATATATACAAAATAAATTTGTTCCTCTCGATTATACTCATGACGATGCATAAGATCCTGGACAATTTAAAGGAAAAGAACAAGGGGAAGAAGAAAAAAAAAAAAAACAAGAAAAAAAACAGCATAAATTACTTCATCAATTTGATAAATAAAAATATACACTATTCTTCTGACTTGCAATACAAAAAGGGAGTATGTAAATCGGAGGAGGTGGATCTAGCACATGTTAGAAGTATTAATGGTGATACACAACAAGGGGGAGAAATAATACTTCCTAGAATTGATGCAAACGTTGGAAAGTACTCAAAGGGTAATAAGAAAGTAACGGATAGATCCAAAACTGTTTGTGGAAAAATGGAAGAATGGAAAGAGCCAGGTGAAGTGGTGGAGGCAATGGCAGAAGAGCAGAAGAATCACATATTAACAAATGCACAATCGCACAACATGAATATGAACCGTAAGCAAGTCATAGACACAGAGACAGAGGGAAGGATTGAGACAGCGACGATAGAGGAAAACATGAATAATTCAAGCAATCCAGAAATAACATCTAAAAAAATGGAAAATAACAAAAACGATTTTCTTATGCCTAATGTTAGTGGTCATAAATTAGCTACTGCACGCATTACCGTTTTTAACTATGAAGAAGCAACATATATAATAAAATACATATTCGAAAATATTTTTTCAATTTATAACATCTTAGAATATCTTTTTTTATTCTCCCCAGTCTGCGTAAACTTGTCCTATGCCAATACCATATCAGCAGCTTCTCCACCCGATTGTTTGTTTACATCTGATGTAGTAAACGATGGTGAGTATTTTTTTTTTTTTTTTCATTTCTAACTCGTTCTTTTGGATAGCTTCCTTCTTTCCTAGCATGTGTACGTGTGGAACAGAACTAGCACCCCTTCGAATGTTTCGTCGCAAAGTTGGAAATATAAGGATGGGTCAAATGTGTATGTGTGTGTGTGTGTGAAAGGATGCATTTACGTGTTTGATACCTGTATGTATATATATTCAATATTCTTTTGCTTCATTGTAGACATAACCCAAGGCACCTTTTCATTTCCTTGCCTCACAGGTGTGGTATTAAATGAGAATTACCAAGACATAATGAGCACTCCTGACGTGATGACCACAGTTGATGTCATAGAAAATGATGAACTAGCAACAAATGAGTACATAAAGGAAGCATTAGATATCCCCATGTTTGTTTTGAATAAATTTTACTCAAGTATTACACAACTTAGGGACAAGATTGACCAAATCATGGCATGAATATTGTGCCTTTCGCGTTCGAAGGAAAATATTTTAACCAGAGGAACTTTTGAATAGGAAGAACAATGTGGGAGGAAAAAAAAAAAAAATAAATAAAATAAAAAATAAAAGTAAAAATAATTGTCGAGTTTGATATATTATTTGTACCATTCTACTCCTACGAAGTGTAAAGATGAGAGTTCCTTTTATGCTTCACCAGTTCAGAGGAAGAAAAGTTTCCTAAATTTGCTTCTACAAATGTTCAACGTATTTTTTTCGAAATATTATTACGCACGTCTCACGGGGAAACTTTCCCCCTAGTGGCACCATCTCTTTCCAAATTGTGAGCTTATATATGTGTGTTACTTTTTATTTGTCATTTTTTTATCTTTTTTATTATCAGAATGAGAGACCTCCATAGTGCATAGACACTGGGTCGTGATGGAATTTTCATGTTCAATTTTCCATTGACAATTCTGTGGAGAGAGTTTTTTTTTTTACGTCCACCATTAATCATTTTAAATGAAAGGAACAGGAATAATATACATAAATGTAAGGGAAAAAAAAAAAAAAAAAAAAAAAAAATATTACAATTGGTGTTCAATATACATGCACCTGTTAGTAGACAAGAACAGATTATGCATATTTTCATTCCTATATCTGCACTTCAAAGCTCCTTTTTTTTCTATTGTTTTTCTCAATTTTGGTTCATTTTAGTTTGATTTTTTTTTTTTTTTATTGTTTTTCTCCATTTTAGTTCATTTTAGTTTGATTTTTTTTTTTTTTTTCATGTATCATATGGGGACAGTTGTAATGGAAAAAAGGTGCTGTTGTAATGGATTCGTGATTTAATCCATAGGGACATCATATTTAACTTGGTGTCTCTTACATCCACTGGTTTGGGGAATAATGTGTTGTAGGCATAATCAATTTTGGATCTTTCTACTTCATCAGCTTTAAGATAATTTTGTATATTTTTTAGTATTCTCGAGTCGAACCAAGAAATGTTATTAAAGCATTCATTCATCATATTTGTGTCTTTCCATTCAGATGACATTTCATATGCTGTCATCATTTTCAAATCTGCCAATAACAAGTTTAAATTATTTCCATTTAATTTTTTTTTTTCTTCTTCAATTCTTTTTACACGAGCATCATCACTCAGGCTACTACTACCGTCGATCCAACTACTGATGCCACTGCTGATATTCGCATCCATATTTTCGTCTTCTTCTTCTTGGTCTACTTCTTTTTCGTCTTCTTCTCTTTCTTGCTATTACTCTTTTTTAATTTTAACGTAAAATTTTTTACACTATTATTTTGTGTGCGATGCGTAAATACCTACATGTAAAAGGTGTGAATGTTCTTTTTCATTTTTTTTGGAGAGAGTTGGGAGAAAAGGAAATTTTTTTTTTTTTTTTTTTTCCTTTTTGCGTTCAGTTCGTCATGTGTCAAATAAATAAAAAGGTGGATACGAGTTGGGTTAGCGAAAATTGAATCGAGCCTATTTTAGTGTAAAAATGGTAAAGATGCTTTCTTGCCCTAAGTACAAATTCCTCAATCTTCTTCACGTTGGATGCATCAACACGACTTATTTGTCGTGTTAAAGTCAAGAATGGCATATTGACAGTGTATTGCACATTCTTTCTAATATCCGTTACGTATATTCATCGTTCACATTTTTCTATTTTTTTTTTTTTTTTTTTTTTTTTTTTTCAAATGTGCGCCAAACGTTGTACTTAAATTTGGTATTTTTTTTTTTTTTTTTTGACTCATGGAATATCGGTAGCGACACAAATTTTTTTTTTTCCCCCCCCCCCTTAGCAGATACTCACATTAGGAATCCCTTCACGAAACCTGATCCCATAGGTATGCCATTTTATTTAAAATCTTCAAAATTTTGGAATTCTATCTTGGTAATTTTTAGTATAAATCAAGCGAAATTGACATTTTTTTTTTCTTTTTTTTTTTTCTCCTCCCACCTGTATTTTGGCAAGTTACCAAGAAATGCTGGATCTATATATATATATGGATGTTCTAACTCTACATGTGCCGAATTGCCCATCTGTACAGACATAAAGAGGAGAGAAAAAACCGAAGCAGAAGAAGCGGCTCTACACAAGAGAAGCAACACCAAATGAGAGAAGCATCCACAAAAAAAGGAAATTATATCAAGAATGCTCAAGAATAAAAACTACCTAACCCTTCTACACAAGTTGATCAAAACTGTTAAAATATGAAAGGCACTCATTTTCGCCGACTACATCAGGGTCTATTCCAAGGAAACCTAAATCATTTTAGAGAATACCATAATGTGCAAGAAGAAAAAGTTAATCTACCGAGATTAAAGTTGAGAGGGTTACCTTTTGACGCTACAGTAGATGAAATAAAAGCATTTTTCAAAGATTTCAGATTGACAAATCAAACATGTCCACCAATTCATATAATCAAGGGGTTTAAAAACAAACCCACCGGTCAAGCACATGTTTATTTTGATGATGAGGAAGAGGCTAGAAATGCTTGTGAAACCCTGAATCGAAAGTTTTTACGAAATAGATATATAGAAATATACACTGACTACATTTTTAATCACAATTTAACACCTGTTAAGGAACACGTCACAACATTGATGAGAGATCGTTACAGAAAAGACAACCAGTAATTTGAGGAAATGCGCGTGAGAACAGGTTTGTGTTCAGGGTTTAGTATGAATGGAGATATATCTAGAGAGAAGTGATCCCTAAGATGTTTATAAGACTTAGGTATAAATGTGTATATACATCTTCTCCTACTCCCAATGATGTTCGTTCATGTGTAGGGGGGATTATAATCAAACACTTGAACGAAAATGTAAAAATTGTAAAGCGGTAAGAAACAGAAAGCAAACATATCTTTTCTTTTTTCTTTTAAATACTTAAAACAACAATTTGTTTTCGTTCTATTTCTCTTTGAATAATTTTCTTTCCATCCCTAGTTAAATGCTCATCGCTCATTTAGTAAAAAATGAGTTAACAGTATCTGTTCTTATTTATTTTATTTTGTTCTACTCTTTTGACATATCCTTTTTTTTTTTTTTTTTTTTTTTTTTTTTTTTTTTTTTTTTTTTTTTTTTTTTTTTTTTTTTTTTTTTTTTAATTTTTTTTTTTTTTCACCCTTTTGTCTTATTTTAAGTCAGCCTCTTCATGCGTAAGAACTTTTTTTATCTTGTGAAAATTTTAAGCATCAGTTGAATCAAAGCAAATATTTTCCCCTATGAAATTTATAAAAAAAAAAAAAAAAAAAAAAAAAAAACTTACATTTTGCATTTCAAGAATCAGCTACACACACTGGATTCATGTACATATATGTAATGAAAAAAAAAAATAAAAAAATTATATATGCATATGTATAACACATGTACTACGTATATTTGTAAGTAGCTACAAAATGCTGTCGTTTTCACCTGAACGTGCAGGAAATGACATAAATAATTAAGAGGGTTGCGAGGTGTGCATGTATTTTGCTCTTTTTATATGATCAGTCATTGGTTGCTAAATTTTTGTTACAACTTGATTTAATTAACAAGCTACTTGTTTCATATGAATTTTTTTTTTTTTTTTTTTTTTTTTTTCAAAAATGTTATGAACATTCATAAAAAAAAAAAAAATAAAAAATAAATGATCATAAAAAAGGAATTTTAAATGACTGTGTTAACAGGAGATATACTTATACTTGCATGCACACAAGTGTGTTTATTCGTATATTTTTTTTGTCTGATTTATTTCTCTTCTTTTGTTTCATGCTTCATCTTCACGAAGGTGTCCATAAATGTGACGTGTCTATGTGTACACACGGTCATCGTGACAAGCACGCTTTTGTTCATTGATCAACAAATAGACTACAAAATGAATACATAACCATCATACAACATTGTGTAAATAAGATAGAAAAGTGAACAAGAATAAAACAGAAGGGAAGAAAAACTGATTATTTTATTTTATTAGATTTTGTTTTATTATATTTTGTTTTATTATATTTTGTTTCATTATATTTTGTTTCATTATATTTTGTTTCATTATATTTTATTTTATTTATTTTTTTCATCACACACTTGGCAGTTTCCACATTGTAAACATAGCTTTCTGTGAATTTGTTAATTTAAATATACTCATTTTTTTAATGTAAACTTTTTTTTTTTTTTTTTTTTTACACACTTATGAAACGTGAGCACACACCAAATAACAACGAGTTAGGGAAAGACACAACAAAAAGGGGAAATGAACTCGGGAAGAAGCAAAAGGGATGTGAAAAACAGGGGGAGTACATCCATCTTCATCTGATAAAAGAGAAAAAAAAAAAAAAAAAAAAAAGAAAAAAGGAAATAAGCACAAAGAATAGCATTGTTAGTGTCCTCCTCCCCCCTGAAACAAAATTGTCTGCGAGGAGCAACAGCCAAGCTTCAAATGAGGGTCCAACTGGTTCTCCCTTGGGGAAAAGGGACCAGCATAGTAGAAGGGGGGAAAATGAAAAAGAAAACAGCAAGAACGAGCAAAGCAGCAAGAACGAGCAAAACAGTAAAAAGAAAGAAGAAAAATTATTTATAAGGTACAGGGAGAAAAAAAATAAAAAAAGTCCTGATCTCATAGGTGATCGAAAAAATGGGAAAAAGAGCTTGGACATGACACCAAAAAAACGAGTCAAAGGGAAAAAGGGAAAAAAGAAGCAACAAAACATTAAAAATGAAAACTCGTCTAATCAGATAAAATCCATAAAAGGAAAAAGGGACAGAGAGTATTCGGCAAAGAAAAGGAATTTCATAACAATTCAATCCAACCTATTGAGCTTGGCTTCTTCAAAAAAAGGAGCAGAAGGAAAAGGAGAAGACAACGAAGAAGCAACAGCAGCAGCAGTAGGAGGAGTAGGAGTTTGTGGGGGGAAGAGTAACAGCACCATCTTAAATGCTGATCCATCAAAGAGTACCGATAAAAGTCACATAGAAATAAATGGCATACGTCTTGACAGTCTTGAAAGTTCCATTTTACATCTGAGTCAAAGTGCAAAATGGGAAAACGAGAAGGAATCCCATGACCTAAGCATTAGCCGGACTACCAGTCGCGCTAGCAATGGAAGCAACATTCGGCATGCTGATCGAGACGATAGTTATGGAAATAGACACTCAAGTAGACAAGAATATGACTATCCGATTATCCATTCAAGCAAACACACAAGTATATGTGAAAATGGGCACCCAGATAATCACTCAGTAGATCACTCGGCTAGCCATTCAGTAGATCACTCGGCTTGCCATTCAGTAGATCACTCGGCTTGCCATTCAGTAGGTCACTGGGCTAGCCATTCAGTGGGGCACTCGGCTAGCCATTCCGTAGTTTACTCGGCTAGTCAATTCATTGGTCATTCAATTAGCCGTTCAAGTAGCCCACCAGTTTGCCATTCGATAAGCAACACGAATGGTCTCCCAATTGAACAGGGGATCAACCATACCGATGGACAGGCACAAGAACATAGGAATATTGATATAAATGTTGACATGCATGCTGATAGAAATGTAGACAATCAGGTTCATAGCAATGTAGGTAATAGTGGAAATTATGGGAAAAGTTTGTTTTGTGAACTTACAGAAGCACTGAGGAATGATTCTATACAGGAAGATGGAAAGAGCAATATAAACATTCGTCTCAAAGCCGAAGAAGAAGAAAATTTTAAAATAAACATGAAAAAATTAATTGTGAGTAAGTTGAGTAATGAAAAAAAAAACTCGAGTAAATCTATAGATTTAATTAACTTATCAAAAGATTTTAAAAATAAATTTAAAAAAAGTACTGAACTGAAAAAAACAAAGGGAACACATGTTATGCCAATTTTGAGCAACTCTAAGAGGAAAAGACAACAAGGAACTAACCTTCGTGTTAATGGGAAGAGGAAAAAACTTTTAATCCGTACAGGTAGCGGGCATAAGAATAGTAACACCAACAGCAACACCAACAGCAACACCAACAGCAACACCAACAGCAACAGCAACACCAACAGCAACAGCAACACCAACAACAACAGCATTATAAAGGAGAAGAAACGGAAAGTAGACGAGGAGCGATACACAAGCATTAAGCTCACTGAACCACATCAGATGAAGAAGTCAAACAGAATGGCCAAAACGAGGAAGGCGAATAGGCCCATAGGTACAAGGGTAATGATGAAAGAGGAGGGTGTAAAAAAAGTAGAGAAGCGGAAAGAAGGGGGAAGTGCACCGATACGGAGAGAAGAGGCGAACGTATCAAAACTAGTGGAAGGCTTAAAGAAAGAAAAAGGAATGGAACACACGAAGAGAATGAAGAAATCGAAAGAAACGGAAAAGGTGAAAAGAAGAATGAAGAAAGCGAAAGGAGCAGAAGGAATCAAAATAGAGGGGGAACAGTTTGCCAAAAAGAGGGGTGTAAAAATGGAAAAAGTGAAAAAAACAAGTAGAGAAGATGAAAAAAAAGAAGAGGTAAGAAAAATTGTCATGATAGAACATAAAGAAGGGGAAGAAGAAAAAAAGATGAAGGTAATAGAGGAAGATAAGGAAGAAAAACATGACCAAGTAGGGATAGAAGAGATGAAAGAGACGGAAAAGGATGAGGAAATGGTTCAGGGAAATGATATTGAAGGAGAAGTGGTGGAGACACAAGGGGTGGTGGAAAAAACAGTTATGTTACACAGACAGGTAGGGATAGAAAAATCGGATTTAATGGAGAGACACTTAGTAATGGAAGAATCCAACGAAGAATCCGTTTTGGAAGACGATAGAAAAGTCGAAAAAGGAATCCAAATGGAAGAAGAGAAGAAGGAACCACAAGCAAATGAGCAAATTGCAGACGTAGGTGTATGTGGTGCAGAAGAACAGATCAATGAGAATGAAAAACAGTGTATGGAAGAATGTAAAGAAGAGGAAGGAGGAGAGGATAAAATAGACGAAAAGGAAAAGGTAAACACAAAGAAAAAAATAAAAACGAAATCCAAGATTAAAGTAAGACAGAAGCAAAAGTTGATAAAAGGAGTGAGGGAAACTGGTGACGAAGATGAAGCAGAAGAAGAAAAAATAAATTTCATTAAAATGAGGAGTAAAAGGAATGAAAATTCGAGAGGAGAGAAAGCAACTAAGTTGGATGACATGATTAGGACAGGTGTCAGTGGGGTGGCCAATGTGTCTGGTATGATGGTTGAAATTGACGAGACGAATGATTCAAAGAACAAGCTTAAAAAAAAGATGGTAGACAGCATATTACAAAAATATATAAATTTAAAGCAGGAAGAAGCGGCTTCAAAGAGAGAGTCCAGAACTCACTTTTCAGATGAGATCCTGAATGTGGAGGGAAGAATGTTCAAAATTGATATTATAAATTTCTTAAGGAATATAAGAACAGACGAATCCATTCATCAAGATATTCTATTTTTTTTTGATACATATGAAAAAAAATTAAAAAAAAAGGAAAAGAAAAAAAACATACTAACATTAATTAAGAGGTTATTCAAATGTGAATACTTCGAATTGAATGGCATGCAATTAGTCTTACAAATTTTCGATAAAATAGCGGAAAAATTGGTGAAAGAAATTAAATTGGAGAAAATAGTAAGGTGTTTCGGGGAGACGAAGCGCAGAAATGACGACTATGATGCAGGTGAGAAATCATTACACGGGAGAAAACAAAAACATCATTACAATCAGCAGCAGCAGAAGCTGCATCATCATTATGGGACTAATTCAGGAAAAATTAAAAATTTATACATGCCAGATGAGCTCCTGCGTCTTAATGAATGGAGAAAAAAATTGTGTCATATAATTTTTAGCAAAAGAAAAGGAGGAACATATGGATCAAATCCTTATCCCCTTTATTTATTTCAACAATGGGATGATAATGATAAGTTGATTATGCTGCGGGAGAAGTTGGAGGAAATTCAAAAAAGGAAGTTGCTTCTTCTTTCTGAGAACAGAAATCCTTTATGGTACATAGAATTTTTAAAGAATAAAATAATGTGCAACATGTGTAATATATCTTGTTGTCTGTCTCCCACTTTATCTTTTTCTCTCGCTTCTTCTTCTTTTCGTGGCAGCAATTTCTCTCATAATAAATTTGTTCCGCTGTTCCCTAAGCGTATGCCATATAATGTTGGTTATGCATTGGAAAGCAATATCCACGGGATGCACACTTTGAACGATGCAAAATTGTTGATGAGATTCCCACAGGATTGTCATATGAAAGTTGGTGATGCGTCTCGTGTGCTTGTATCCAAATAGATGCACATTCCACTGAGTACATAGGTGTGTCTGTGTGTATATATGTATGTGTGAGAGAGAGTGATATTTTTTGTGACGAAGGGTTGACATTTAAGGGACTGTGAATTCTTATGCATCCACCTCCTCCTATGTACACTCCTCCATTTCGTAGTTTTTCAAACCAGTTATAATCAACCGTATACAAAAGCAGCGAAAGAGAAAAGTAGATGTATACATCTCACTTCTCTCATTGACATCACGTCTTGTTGGTGCATTTATCCATACACGCTTCTCCAGTGTCGTGGTCTCCATTCTGGGTTGCATCTGTTTTTTTTTTTTTTTCTCCTGATGATTATATGCATATCCGCTTCCCTGTGATGAAATAATTTTTAATAGACACATGTATAAGTCTAAATGTAATTTCATCTTATTTTGTATGCAACCATTTTTTGCTCTACATGTTTTAACCTTTTACGATTTCAAATTTCTCCAATCCATGTGCGTGAACACCTTATGATGTTTTTCATTTGATACGTCCCCCGATGGGGATTCGCCTTCGCTTGCCTGTTTTTTTTTTTCCGTTTTGTTTTTCTGTTCTGTTTATTTGTTTTATTTATTTGTTTCCTTATTTAATTGTTTTTCATCTTTTTATCATGTCCACGATTTTCTATCGAGTTCTTTTGTGACACTCCTTGTTTTTTCACGTAATTTTTACATTTCATTTTAAAAACGCTTCAGCAAAAGGTGTCTCGTGATGCTTCTGACAATTGTGATGAATAAATGGAGAAAAGTTTTAAAAAATTCCAAATCATTTTATTTAATTAAGAGAGATGTAACGTGAAAGGTGTTCACGAATTTAATACTAGTCACAGATTTGTTGCGACAAAAAAAAAAAAAAAAAAAAAAAAAAAAAAAACAAGCACATGTATATATACACACACGTGTGTGTGCATATCTGTGTATTAGCACAAAAAGAAACCTTTCTACGAGGCGCATTTCAAATGAGTGTACACTTTTTTTGTGTATGCATTTTGTTTACGTAATGAAGGGTGTATTTGTCTAGAAAACACAACGAGAAAAGAAAAAGAAAAAAATGAAAAAAAAACGAACAAACAAACATGTAAGAAAACAAACAAGCAAACAAGAAAACAAGCAAACAAAAAAAAAAATAAACAAACGAAGAGGGGTGATTTCCTCCCCAAGTTTGCACATCGTCACATGTTAATTTTTTGTGGGATGCAGTATCACTGAAGCATATTTGCACTTTTTGATAAGTTTTTCAAAATGTTTATGTACTGATCAGGTATACTTGTAGAATTGTTCATATTATTCACTGCCTTGCAAATAGAAGGGATATCATATTGAATGGAAAAAATATTGGTTAAGAAAAAGAGAAAGTTAAAATCTCGAAATAAATTCACCATATCCTCTTTTCTATGTAATGTCTTGGACATGTTATTAAACTTTTGAAGGATACTGTAATAGTTGTTATTGTTTGGATAGGGAAAAAAAGAGTTATATAAACTTTTGTGAGAAAATATGGGAACATTATTAACACAAAATAATATATCAATTTTTTTCAGTTCAATTTTTTTAATAAAAATATTATTTTTACATTTTAAATATAACTCATTCATAAGATCTATTTCATTGTCAAAATTTTTTATTTTCTTATTTTTTTCATCTTTCGTTTTTTCAAATTGTAATATACTGTTCTGCTTTTCCATATCCTTTATAATGTCCTTATTTAACAATTTCATCAAATCGTAATTAATTTCATACGCTTCCACTATTATGGATTTGGAGTTTATATCCATGCCAACAGAAAGGGTGATAAATGGCTTTACGTTGAGAATTTTTTTTTTTTTTTTTTTTTTCTTCCTTTCCACTTTCTGGTTTCTACTGCTTTCTTTTGACTTGAGGTCTCCCATTTTTTGTTCGTACGTCGACATTCTTGTATGGTTGGTTCTTTTTTGAGAATTTTTTTCACTTGGAGTTCTTTCCACTTCTCTCTTAACCTGTTCGGACCCGTTTGACTCGTTTGTCTCGTCCTCATGGTTTTTCTTCTCAGCTGATGTATCGCCCATTCCTACTCCTACTCCTCCTGCTTCTCCTTCGTTTCTCACTTCAACGCCTCTTCCTTCTCCTCCTGTCGAATATTCCCCATGCTGACTTAAAGTTTGCTTCATTAACATGAGAGAGAGAAGAACTTCCCTACCTCCCATGGGTATGAACAACTCGTTTTCTTCATCATTAAGCGTTTTCATCTTCTTATTTATTTTTATAAAATTTTTTTTTTTTTTATTAGACACACTTAAATCTATACCGATGTCAGGATAAGCATAAAGAAATCCCACGACTTGTAAATTCAGCATTTTTGCCAGTTTATCTGCTTTCTTCCTTTCTTCGCTATCGAGAAGATAATGGACATCGTACGCTTTTCCAGGGCCATTAACAGAAAAAAATACATTTTCAATTTTTACAATTTTTTCATTTTCATATTTTCCATAAAGTACACCACAGAAGAGTTTATTATTTTTGGGGTTCCCATTTCTAAGGTTGTTGTAATTCATCTCATTAAAAAATTCCTGCACATTATGTAAGCAGGTTTCACTAACACTTACATGTTTGCATATTGAATCAAATAATGGATTGATGGATGTCCTTTTGCTATTTTCAAACTGTAGAAATTTGTTTTCTATTTTTTCGTTTAATTTTTTCCCATGGGTATTATTTGTCACATTGTTTTTACATGATCCTCTATTAGCATTAAACTTCTTTTCATTTTTTTCGGTTAAACTAAAAAGTGGCTTTCTCCCGCTTCTGTTTCTCCTTGACCCGGTTAAACTAAAAAGTGGCTTTCTCCCGCTTCTGTTTCTCCTTGACCCGGTTAAACTAAAAAGTGGCTTTCTTCCGTTTCTGTTTATTTTTAAACCTTCGAATTTAATTCTTGCAAAAAGGAAGCAAATCCACACCAGGAGTATTAATTCCTTTTTCATTTTTTAAAAAAAAAAAAAAAAAAAAAAAAAAAAAAGGATATTTTTTTTTTTTTTTTTTTTTTTGTTGCTGAACTGAACACACAACATTTTGTGCAATAGGTTTGAAATGAATTTTGACCAAAGAACCAAAGTAGAGTACTATTAAAAACAAAAATAAAAATTCATGTTTACATATGTATTTTATATATGCATGTAACATATGCATCCTCCAACATACGTGTGGGAAAAACATAACAGAGGCATGTCGTCAGTCCTATGCTGGGGTGCGGAGAAATAAACGCCTCGTATCACTAAAAATAAGAATAATGAACAGAACGTGTGGTAAACTTCTTTTTGCATACACTTTTGTGTGTATACCTAAATTGACCTATCTCGCCTGTGCGTATGTAAACACTTAATTTTTGAGCTCTTGTGGAATGTAGTAATGATGTTTGTTTTTTTTTTTTGGTTTTTTTTTCTATGCTACCTCCCCCACCAAGGGAATAACCATCCCACTGCTCCTAGCAGTAGAAGTAATTTGTTATAGCAGTTAAAAAAAAAAAAAAAAAAAAAAAAAAAAAACTAAAAAAATCAAGAAACCGAACAAAGAGAACCAAGCTAACTGAGCAAATAAAATACAATAAGTGTCTCACATTTAACAAGAAGCATAAAAATTTATAACATTTCGAGAGAGCTCATTTTTACCTGACATGGTCAAGTGAACGTGGCATTCTGCTTATGATAAAAACTAGCTTAATTCATAAACACATTTTAAAGTTGCATTTTTTTTTTTTTTTTTTTTTTTTTTTTTTGTTACATGTTCTGGTGAAATTTCATATTAAAAAAAAAAAATAAAATAAAAATCAACAAAAGAGGAAATGAGGATACACGTACATGGTTAAGGAATAAACTAAATGACCATTTGGTGGATTTTCACACACATATATATGCATATATATGTGTGTGTTATTTATGCCTTGTTTTCCTCTTTTAAATGCTTCTTTAGCTTTGTGATTATACCTGTTTGGGAAATTACGAACGCATTCTCTTTTTTAAACGTTATATTATAATCTAATCGTGGAGGTACGAAAAAATAAACTGCAGATTTCTATATTTTTCTAATATACAAGCACACATATAAATGCTAAAAAAATGAACACAAAACATTTTGGTCATATTTTCTCCCATGTCAAAAAAAGAATAGTGTTTAAAATTATTGTTAAAAGTATGTACATAAGCCAAATGCCTTATATGTCTAACATCAAACTGCTATAAACCTGCCCTTTGGGGGTGCTATAAATAAAATTACATGATTTTAACATAAGTCTCTTTCGTTCTTTCGTTCTTTCGTTCTTTCGTTCTTTCGTTCTTTCGTTCTTTCGTTCTTTCGTTCTTTCGTCCTTTCGTTCTTTCGCTCTTTCGTTGTTTTTTTTTTTTCTACCCAAGGGGAATAAATGCAAAAAATGGCTCTTGAAAAGTTTTGCGTTTTCTTTTCCTACGTGTATGACGTTTATCTCATAACAAAACAGTCTACGTCATGCAACGGTTGTGAATTATACACGACCGAACTATTGTCAGATATGGGAATAAAAAATAAAAAAAAGAAGGAAAAAATCCAAATAGATTAACATTGTTGCCCAACAGAAACACTCTTTTTTTCGTGAACTGTATGAAGCATTTTAATAAATCTTTTTTGAAGGACTTCAAATAGTTAAACAACCTTTATTTTTAAGTATATTTTTTTTTCTGTGCGTAAAAATATGATATGTTAAAAATGTGCACAGCATATATATATATATATATATATATATATACCATGTCAATCGAACCAAGGAGAATATAAAAAAAAAAAAAAGAAACATCAGCTGTGATGTGTACATAAGGGGAGAAAAAATATGAAGCCTCATTATTTATAAGTACATACATTCTATAAAGGAGCAAAAAAAAAAAAAAAAAAAAAAAATTCAATCGAAAAAAGAGAAAAAATGCTCCAACATGTATGAAAGAACGTGAATAAACGCACAATTCTCAGTTATATTTTTTTACTTTGACCATTAAGCAGATCTTGAACGAGTAAATAGGAAGTTAGGAGGAAAAATGAGAACAAGGTTAAAAATTTTGCGCCATTTTTCGCCCTTTACATATGTATATTATAATATATATTAATAATGCATGCAAAAAAATGTGCAAAACATTTATTATGGGGGGCTAGCACTTTTATATACCTTTAATTTCAGTGTACCCAGAAAGAAAGCAGGGGAGGAAGAACATCTTTTTCACACTTTTAAAAATAAATTGTGCTCATACAGGGAAATGGTGAAGAGGAAAAAAACATTCTATTTTAATATCTCGCTTGGTTTTTCATTTACATGATTAAAAACAAACTGGCACCATATGTTTTTTTGTTGGTAAAGGTTTTGTATTCCCTTATTTATAAATAAAATATTCCTTACTATATATATCCTCGTCGTGAGGAAAAAAAAAAAAAAAAAAATCAAAAAAAGAAAGCCTCTCTCATATCTCATAATAAAGAACAGAATGCAAAGCAGGAAAATTTATGCTACATGCATACTTAACCAATAAAAAGGGGGACGGGTATATTTATATATATATATATGCGTAGCATTTATTTTACAAAACATTTGTGAAATGAAAATTATTATTTTACATAGCACAGTTGATGTTTAACATTAGCGCACGAGCATGTATTTAAAATTAAATATTTTCCCATTATGGATTTCCGTTTTTATCGGATATTCCTGTAAAGCCCCCCTCACTCTCCCTACTTAAAAATCTCACCCCTCGCTTTTTTTTTTTTTTCTTTTTATATATATAATATATATATATATATATATATATATATATGGTGGATAATAATATCACGTTTCTGCACGTGAAGGAAAAAACATGCATGTATATAAGATATCCCCATCGCTCAGCACCACGCATTATATGTTATATATTGTAAATCCATATAAAAGTAATATGTTATTTGTTGTTCTACATGAATATTTACTTTTTTTGCATACATGAAATATATATATATATATATATATATATATATATATATATATATATATTCCATATGTGTTATTGCTACCCCTGGTGTTTTATGTATATGTACATATATATATATGTATTATTAAATACTTGTACATTTTTTTTTTTTTTTTTGTGCGCTCATATAAATGTACATATATATATATATATATATATATATATATAACATGCTATGTATTACATAGAGGGACAAATGCTAAGCACATTTTTTTTTATTTTTATTGCCATCCGTTTTTAATAGAAAAAAAAAAAAAATCTTTTTAATTTGCCCTTCATTTTTATCATACGGATTTATTGAATGATTAATTGGTTGTTGACTGGTTGATTAATTTTTTTGCCGGCATTTATTTTCTCTTCATTTTTTACATGCTTAATTTTTCTTCTTTATTTTTCGCGGTATTTTTCTTCTTTTCCTTTTTTTACATTCCATATACATCTCTTATAAAACTGTTAATTTTTTTGCAAAATTAGCAATTTTTAATTGTGAGATAATTTTTTTTTATTTTGAGTTTCAGCTTAACTCATTCTTTTGTATATATGTTTATATGCATTAATGCATTTATTCATTTATACATTTATACATTTACATATATTGTGTTATTTTACATGTATAAATACGTGGTTCATATGTATTTACATATTTTACATGTATTTACATATTTTACATGTTTTTACATATTTTACATGTTTTTACATATTTTACATGTATTTACATATTTTACATATTTTACATATATTCACATATTTTACATATATTCACATATTTTACATGTATTTACATATTTTACATGTTTTTACATATTTTGCTTGCATTTACATACCTTTGCGCACATTTTTTGTGCCGTCTTTGCATGTTTTGAATTTATTTTACGCATTTGGCTTAAGCCAATTTGCGTATTTTCACCCACGACCCATATTTACCTTTGTGTCCAAGTTGTGCGTTAATAATACATGTACACATACACGTATGTATGGATATACTACGTTACGTATGTACCATTTTACGTATGCACGATTCTACGCATGAATACTATTCTATGCATATGCGTTTATATGTGCTTAATATACAACATGTAATGTATGTATGTGGACATAAAAAAAAAAAAAAAAAAAAAATAGACTGCGTGCGTCATTAAAGAAAAAGATTCAGTTGAGAATTTATGTGGTTAAACCTTATGCTGCTGCATATATTACATTATAATAGCAGAGTTTACTCTTCATTTACATTTTTCACGTGTCCCATTTTTCGCTCAAAACATATATCATTTTACCATATTGTCCATACGTGTACTTTATTTTTGGCATCGTCTCTATGAGACCATTTTGCTTCTACATGCATATGAAGCATATACCATTCGAGACCAAGTACATATTTTTATGCATTAAAATATGTTAACGACACGCATGATGAGGAAAAAGTGAAACATTGAATAGAATTCTTACATATGATACCTATAGTCATAAACATTTTTTTTTTTTTTTAAATAAGTTCATATTGCCACAAGTGGAAAACAGAACGTTATGTTTTTTTTTTTTTTTTTACACTTCAAAAATGTGATTCTATCAAATAACATTTTTGAGAAAGTCTCCTTGTTGAATAAGAAAACATATGAAAAATTGTTTATTATATATATAAAAAAATAAAGTGTGACGTATTCACCTGTTAACAAATTGACAGTTTTGCTACGTGGCAACTGTTCGCAGCATTATCCTTTGTATACATGTATACAGCTTCGCCATGTGCAAAGCATATTTGCATTTTTTATTACTTTACATTCATATTCATTTATATATATTTTTTGTGCATAAAAACCCAAGCGTCCAGTGCATATTTTTATAATATACGCTTTGGACAGGTACTATTTGGGAGAAATAGTGAGAAAAAAAAAAAAAAAAAGAAAAAAAAATCTCCCAATCTTTTACATATGCGAATTTGTTGAAAAATTCATTTTGAATAACCACCTGAACGTATAGAATAGAATTCATTTTTTTGAAAAGAACTTTTTGTCAATAAATGAGCTTTTACAAATGGTATGCATATTCAAGCACATACATTTCCGCAGTATACCATTTTGAAAAAAAAGAAAAAAAAAAAAAGATGCACTTTTTATATATTGCATACGAATGTAATGTGTAAAGCGTTGTTTCATTAGCTTAGTTTTTTTTGTTCTGCTTATAAACTATACATGTCTGATATGTCATCTGCGACAAAAGTTTAAGTAATTACGCATGTAAACGTGTTTGTATATGTGCGTACGTACGTATGTATGCATTGTATAACTTAACACATTAATTGTAATAAAAAAGAAAAAAAGGGGAGGAAGAGGAAATAAAAAAAAGAAAGAGAAAAAGAGAGAGATCAAGAGGTAATAATAAATAGCAAAAATATGTACCTTTTTTTTGTGTGACCTTTTGGTGTACAAGTGAAAAGTATCATCTATACTAAATCTCTCTCATTGTGGTGTACATGATAGACCCCTAAAAACCCACAAAAAATAACAGAAAAAAAAAAAAAGATAAAAAAAAAAGAATGCATGACTATATATATATGTATATATAAATACATACATACCGTACATGTATATATTTACAGTGTCAAGTTGTGTCTGCGAACATTTACGCGCATCATTCCGCATGTAATACATTTTTTTTAGCCCCTAGGCTCCTACACCTGTACGCCTTTTTCATTTTTCGTGATTTCAGAATTTGCTGAGTAGCAATAGAGTGGGATTTTTATTTCATTTGTTAATTCTGATTATTATTGAAGAGGTGTACTTTTAATGTAAGTGTTCATTTAATAATTATTTTTGTCAGTCCCTTTAGCTATTTTCATTTACCTACGCAGTTAAGAAATTTATGTAGGTATTCCTTTACATTTACCTTTGTTCATTTTGTTCATCATATCATTTCATCATTACGTCAGTTTTTTTTTAATATTTCTTTATTTCGCTATTACGCGATTGCGCCAGTTTTTTTTAATATTTCATCATTTCGTTAATTTTTTTTTTTTACTTTTTATGGTTTCTCCAGTTTTTTTAACATATTATATTTTTGCCAGTTTTTTTTGACATTTCATCATTTCGCAAATTTTTTCATTATTTTAATTGTCCATTCGTTAGCTTTATTTTATTTTTTTGTGAATACAGCATATGAACTGTTCATGTAAAAAATAATTTTTTTCGAGGAACTATTTCTTGCACACACACAATTAATAGCTACAATTGCACGAGCGCAAAAATACCAATTTATACATGCAGTGTTCAGGCAAAATATATATATATGCATGCTCATACACATACATACGCATATATATATATACTTACGTGCATACCTTTTTTTCGCGCATATCTTATTGAATATATATGTGCGTTAATGAATACATGCACATATGTACACTTGTAAGTATGTACACATAAGGAAAATGCATGTTTGTACATGTAACATTCCCAGCAGCATTTATATACTAAATCCACGCATTCTCCTCCCTCCCCCAACTTCTTTTCAATTCTCTTCTTTGCACACATAACATATATGTACATATATATTATGAGAATGTTTTGGACAAAAAATAGCTAAAGGGGAAATATAGAATTGATATACGCGATATGTGCGTATATATGTATATACATATTGCGAATTTATTCAATTTCATACATTCATTCATGCATACCCATATGTGTATATATAAACAAACGCGACAATTTTGCCACTTAGCGCTGTGTATAAGACTTTTTTTTTTTTTTTTTTTCCCGTGCTATCCTGGTCCCCTATTTATGCGCATGTGAAGCTGTAAAAAATTCAAAAAGTGCAAATGAGAAAAAATAAAATATGAACATACATAAAATCCACCCTCTTAAAAAAAAAAAAAAAAAAAAAAAAAATTTACACGAATATATAATTTTACCTGGTGCACAAACACGGATAACCTTATATACACATTTATTCGAAAGAACGAAAAGGCAATATTTACAAAGAGAAAGAAAATTTCGGAAGCTCAATATTTCACACGGACGGATACTGAAAGTTTGTAACGTAAAGAAAAAAAAAAAAAAAATGTAACACGAAAGCACAAAATTGCTTGTGTGTATGTAATATATGTACCAAATGTGCTTACTAAATGTGCTTACTAAATGTGTTTACCAAATTTGCTTACTAAATGTGCTTACCAAATGTGCTTACCAAATGTGCTTACCAAATGTGTTTACCAAATGTGCTTACTAAATGTGCTTACCAAATGTGCTTACTAAATGTGCTTAATGCGCGTATATGCCCCTTTTATTTGTATGCACAAGCATGCGAGAAAATTGTACACTTTCTGTAAATTGCAAAAACTAAACATGTGCGATATGATCACTTGTAAAAGTATGTAAAATATATTTAATGCTGCACGAATTAGATTTATCGCATTGTGTATACGCATATAATATATGACGTATTTTTGCATATATCTGCAAAAACTGTAATGCAGAAGATTTTAGTTCACCTCCATTCTTTTCCAGTACTCAAAATTTAGTTTTTAAATGAATTCAGTATGCATCAATTGAACTCATATATTTATATGTATATAAACATATGTACCCCCGTTCCTTAAGGGAAGTGCGAATAAGTAGACCTTGAGGGAACACGCAGATGTCTTTTAACACACAGTTATGCGCAAGAAGGCATTCTTACGAGAGTTGTAATGAATTCATATGTTGCACCAGTGTGAGTAGCCGTCAGTTTGTGTATGTACAAGTTTGTTTATATACTTGTTGCATTATTGCCCGATTGCTCCTTTGTGTGAGTATGAGCATTAACAGACATTCATCTGGAAAGGCTTGCTCCCGAAAGAACTCCATGTCAACATGCAGATATTTAAAACTGAACGCATAAGAAATTCCTTATTTATGTTCATGTTTACAAATATGCGTGGCTATATGATCGTATGAATTTTATATCTTTATCGTGCATCATGCATTACACAGATTCATTATATATATATATATATATATGTATATACAACAAAATTGGAGAGTCGTAAAATGGAAAAATGGCAGAGAAGCAAAAATTACAAAATAACAATAGAAAAGCATTAAAATTAATTAACATTGATACCCGTCTATCTGTTTCTGAGCCATTTGTTTGTTTAATAGATTGCACTGTTGAATGCATGCCGAACTAAGTATAATCGTTGCATTTTTTATCTCCCTTACAAACCAGTTGTATTGCTCCAACACGCCAAACCAAAGGACGTGTGTATATACATGTGTATGTATATGAATCTATATATGTAGATACCTTGTGCATTCCTGCTGCATGTGTACATATGCATGTACCCCCAACATGAGCTATATTATATGCATCGTCATAATGCATTTTTGAAATGCACCGTGCAAGTGATAAAATTATAAAAAAAAAGAAAAAAAAAAAAAAAGGAAGCAACACATGTTTTATTTTTCATCGTCCTGCGAATGCATTAGATGCATGTATACATGTATACATATATGAAACACATGATAATTTGTGTCAACAGCATTTGGGGGCATTTTTAAAGCGATCCATTTTTTCTGCAACAGAAAAGTATGTATTCGCTGCATCCCAACACAAACATACATACGTTGGTTCTTTTCTATATCTTCGAAGCAGTGCATACGATTTTGCTTAAGTATAGTTATACATGTGTGTATGTGTTATACATCTATTGGTACGTACGCTAAATGATGCATTTAAATATGTACGCTGTGTAAAAAGCAGTTTAGTTTATTCTTAATTAGGAAAATTAATATTTATATGAAATTTGCACGCGCATGTGTGAAACATACAAATATATGCACATATATGATTTATATATATCATCTGTATGTTACGTGTGTATGTGTGAAATATCATTGCTTTTGTTGATAATTCTGAACTGAAAAAAGGACGCTCCTTTTTTTTTTTTTTTTCATGTTCTTAATTCTGTTGAAGCGTAGATCGAACATTGTATATACATACGTATCTGTTTATATATGGATTCCCTCATATCCAAACGCATCATCTTATGTTTTATTTAACATACATTTTCATCTTTTTTTTTTTTTTTTTTTTTTTTTCACGTGTTCCAATTTTGTAGAAGTCAAACAACAAATTGATAAATGTTTTCCCTTTTCTCTAGTTGATTTAACATAAATGTGAAATTCAAATAAATAATTGACCGCCGTCCCGAATTATTTTTGAATAACATTTATTTTTTTTTGAAAACAATTCATACCATCTTATTTTATAAATTGAATTAACCTCGAGATTAAATTTGAAGATCCTTTCAAGTGGAATTGAGTACAAGGCATTCTTGATACACTGGTTCTTTGAATAACATCGTTTGGGTAGGTATTTTCCTCCTTTGGAAGAGGCTAGAAAAGTCAAGTACATAATTGCAGAGTTCTGGAGAAACATGCACATGCGTGTATATATATGAATGAATGTGTGTTCTGATACATGTGTGTATGTATGCATGTACCCCTTTCTGCGACGAGAAAAAGTTTCCATTTTCTCATGGAGATGAGTAATTGAAGACAATGTAATTGGCAAAATGATAACAAACTGAATTATATTATAAGCAGATTTGTAACGCAAACATCGTCTTATAATATTTTTATTGTGAAGAAAATCTTCTGTTGATGAAATTGACAGGGTTACATTAGTCAAAAAAGCTCAGAAGTTTCGAATATAATTCATAGAATCACTGTTATCCCTTGTGTTGGTTAGCAGTATTCATCAGTTTTATTAGTTATCTATTCCTCTTATTCAAAAGGAAAAAAAAAAAAAAAAAAAAAAAAAAAAATTCATCTTAAGAACCGAACATACAATAAATACACGAACTTTAAGGGCTTTGAAAAAAAGGAAACGCTTGTGCGAAGACTCTCATGTCAAACCACATCTGAAGAGACAATGAGTAACAACAATAAGTCCAGTGGAAGTGGCAATAGTAATTCTAACATGAGGGATTCGATGCACTACAGTGAAATGATAGAATCTGAGAATTCATGTATCAAAAGTACTGTATCTCCCTCAAATTATATGAATCAAGTAAATAATAATAAAAATATGCCTTGCCCATCGATTGCATCTTACTTGAATAATTCAAACAATATGAACATGGGGAAAAATAATAATTTTAACCCTATGGGAAATAATAACGATACAACTATAAGTATTACAAGTAGCTTACTAAGCAATAACGAACAAAATATGCAGATGAAGCAGCAGGTAGGAATTAATAAAAACTGTGTTGGTGTTGGTACTATTTCGAATGGTGCTCCATCTCCTGCTTCCGTGTCTTCATCCACTTCTGTCGCTTCTGGTGGCGGAGGAGGAGGAGGAGGCGGAAGTGGATTGCATCATGAATCATTCCAGAAATCTGTATTACCATCATATAATATGAATAAAATGTCAGTGTCTTCATCTATGGGTAGTCATAATTTGGCTAGTAACAACCCAGGTAATGGTGGAAGCAATAGTAGTAGTAATAACAATCAAGTGAGAAGTACTAGTAACGTTGGAAATTGTAACAATCAAATGGGAAGATATAATTCTATGAATTATCCCATGCAAGAAATGAACCCTAATGTACATATAAAGAATGTAAAAACGTCACATCCGAATAGTGATATAAAATCGAATAACAAAGACACAAATTTAATGACACCTAATAGTATGAAATCGACAAACTTTATGAACAATATGTATTATCAAAGGAATGATATGATGCCTAGGAACAATTCTAATAATAACTATAACATGCATGGGAATTTATATGGTTACATGAATAATGGTTTTTATGCTGGTTCTTCACCATCCTCTAACTGCTTTAAGCCCAATAATAATATGATGAATAATAGTGGCAACAATGGTACTTCAAAAATTAGTGCTAGCGCTAATGGCACTAAGGGAACCAACTTTTCAAATAATTTAAATGCAACAAATCATGCAGATGGTACGTTGAATAACAATAATCGTTGTAACAACAAGGTCAGTTCAAGTAATATTGATAAGGCGGTAGCACACAAATCTATGCATAATAATAATAGCAACAGTAGTAATATGAATACAAATCCGCTAGGTTTTAGCAATAGAAATGGCAGCACCAGTGGAGGTTCAGGTGGTGTTGGTGGAAACATTCCAGGCTCCATGAGTGGAAGTTGCAGCAACGGTAATAGCAACGGTAATAGCCATAATAATGACAATAGCAGCAGTAGCATTACAGGATCGATGAACATAAGTGTGAATAGTATGAACAAAGGAAGCACTACCAGTTCTAGTGGAGCCATAGCTAGCGGTTCCACCACGGTGAATAACCTCGATACTGGAAGTAGCATTCCTAATAATGTTGTTATGAATATGGTGAATAATAGTGCAACTGCAAACAATAATGTGATGAATAATATGATGATGAATAGTAGTGGTTCTGCTGCAGGAGGGAAAAATGTAGGCGGTTTGACAGCCATGAGTATGGGAAGTATGAACATGGGAAATATGAACATAAGTGGCATGAGTATGGGAGGCATGCACAACAAGGGTATGAACATAAGTGGCATGAGTATGGGAGGCATGCACAACAAGGGTATGAACAATATAGGAAGCATGGGCAGCATGAAGAATATTGGTAATATGAACAATTTGCCATCACATCGACCTGGTAGTTCCATGGAAAAAACAAATTTGCTGAATGATGTAAACGGCATGAGGTACCACCATCCCATGAATAACAATAATAATGGCATGTATAACAAAATGGCTTACATGAATTTAAAGGATTTTCCACATGACAACATATCAATGAATCATATTCCTGGAAAAAATGATTGTGGTCAGATGAAGAAGGATAGTAAAAATGTCCCACTTGGGAAAAATGGTAAACAAGGTAAAAACATAAAAGATGATATTTTAGAAAGTGATAATAATAATAATAATAATAAAGGAATGATGAATAGTAGTTCTACCCTACCAAATGATGGGAAAAACAAATCAACGACATCGATTCGCAAGGGAAAAGTTGTAGCAGGAGTAGTAGGTACATCCAGAGAGCATTTTAATTCCGCTGGAATTACAAGCATGGAGCACAATGTAGGTAGTGGTAGTGGAACTTATAAGAAAGGTAAGGGTGGTGATAATAATAACGTTATGGATTTAAAAGGGGAAATGAAAGATCTAATTGGAAATAGTAACAACTACATCGGCAGTGGTGGTGCTGGAGAACCTATGAATAGTGGAGGAAATCATGCGTACAATTTATTTCCAAATTATAACATAAAATACCCTATGAATGTTGACATGTTCAACAGTATGAGCAACACTTATAGTGGCAATGCTAGTGGCATGATCAATAAGGGAAATAGTTATCAAAATGTGAATATGATAAATGGGTTGAATGGAGGAGGAAAGGTTCTAAAGGAAATGAACTGTAGCAGTAATAATAGTAGTGGAAAAAACAGCAAGGGTATTGCTAGTAGTAGTAGTGGTGTGTATGGAAATATGAACAAGTCTGGAAGTATGAATAATTATAATATTATGAACAACAATCCATATGGGGATAGTAGGTATAATGGTCGAAAATCTATGGAAACGCTAAAATCATTTAATGATGGCATGCTTATGGGTGGAAGCCATCCAGGAAATCACCACAGGAACAGTAATTTAAGCAATATTATGAACATGAACAGTATGAACAGTATGAACAATATGAACAATATGAACAATATGAACAGTATGAACAGCATGAACAACTACAACAGTATGAGTACCTTCATGCACAATCGTAATTATCAAAACGATGTAAACATGAGAATGCTTAGTAATAGAAATATAATGGGTACAACAAACAATCTTACCAATGTGAATAACAATCCAAAGTCCATGATGATGATGGGATCGAGTGGTAATAATACCGGTAGTAATATAGTTGCTAACAAAGGCACGAGTCGTTCTAATCTTGCATATAAGTATAAGGAAGATGAAGAGTACTATGAGGAAGACGATTTGAATGGTCTTACATCTTCCTATGGTGGTGTTGGAAATGGCAGTAGTAGTAGTAGTGGTAGGTATACTAGAAAAAATAATACAATAGGAAAGCAATCAACTAAGATGAAAAAATTAGATTCACACAAAGAGAAAAGAAAGAAAAAAAAAAAAAAAAAAAATACAAGAAATAATTCTGTAGAAACAGAAGAGGACGAAGATAACGAATTGTATGTTAATACATATGTTAAAAAATCGCATACAAAAAGTAGTAGTAAGAAATCACTACATTATGATACCGTGGAAGAACGATATAACGAAAGAGCAAAACGAAATGAAAAAAATGACATTTTTGTGTCTCCAAATATTGGTGTTGTCGAAGGAAGAACCAATTTGAGAGAAAGGAAAAGGGTATATAATTATGCACAAATGGATAACTACTTCGAAACAGATGAAGAAGATAAAAAAGTGGATGAGGAAAAGCTCTTGCTAAGGCAAGAGAAGGAAAGCATGGGAGGAATTGATCGAGTATTACACCATAGGAAGATAATAGATTATGACAATTTAAACAATATTACAAACAATCCATTTTTGTACATAAATAAGAAAATAACTCAGCAAAGTGCTTCTAATAGTAATAATGCTACTACGGACAGAGCGGGAGAAAGTGGTAACTACATAGGTGAAGGCTCTACTACATCAGCCGTTGAAATTGGCACTCTTACCCTACCTGGGACAGTGACAGAAGGAAAAGAAATGACAAGAAGGGAAAGTGTTGATGAGACCAAAGAAAACAATGGTATGGCGGCGAACCTAAGCGAAGATCAAGGTATGGACGCCTTTTATGACGAAGAAGATATCACAGATGTAAATGAAGTAGAATTTTTAATAAAATGGATAGGAAAATCTCATATCCATAATTTTTTTTGTACATACGATTATTTGAAGCATTTCAATGGGATAAAAAAGATAGACAATTATATAAAGAAAATAAAATTATCATTTCAGAAGAGAAAATATATGACAGCAGATGAGATTGAGCAAGAGAAAATATATTCTGAAATTAAGAAACAAATAGAAATGGATGCAATAAATGCAGAAAGGATAGTAACACATAGAGTATGTGAAATAACAAGTGAAGAGTTATTTCTTGTAAAATGGATGAGTTGTTCATATGACCAATGTACTGAAGAGACAAAACAAACATTAATAGATCATGGATTCTCACAATTAATTGAAGAATATTTTGATAGAGAAAGTAAAATACATGGAATTAAAGCCATATCAAGTGTATGGAATAGGGGACCTTTAACAGCAACTAAATTTGATCCTTATAATGAAACTCCATTTTATTTAAATGAAAGAAAATTAAGAGCATATCAATTAACAGGTCTGAATTGGATGGTTAGTCGAATGAAAAGAAATTTAAGTGTTTTATTAGCAGATGAAATGGGTTTAGGGAAAACAGTGCAAACTATTGCAGTAGTAGGACATATGTTATATAAGGAAAAGTTAATAGGTCCATATTTAGTAATTGTACCTCAGTCAACTGTAGATAATTGGTTGAATGAGTTTAAGAGTTGGCTTCCACAAGCTAATGTTGTATGTTATCATGGTAATGCTGTTAGTAGAGAATTAATTAGAACCCATGAATTGAGAAAGGTGTATGTTCCAAACAAAGGGTACAGATACAAATTTGATGTTTGTATTACTACCCCGTCTATATTGAACAGTTTGAGTGATGTTGAATTATTGAAGAAGATGCCATGGCAGTTAATGGTAGTAGATGAAGCACATCAGTTAAAGAATAGACAATCTAAAAGGTTTATTGAGTTGAAGCAGTTTATGGCTGAATCTAAGTTACTTTTAAGTGGAACTCCTTTACATAACAATTTAGAGGAATTGTGGACACTTTTACATTTCTTGAATCCACAACAATATACGCATTATGAATCATTTCAAAAAAAGTATAACGAAATTGAGAACACAAGTTTAATTGGAGAAGCAAAACAGAAACAGCTTATTCATTTGCAGCACGAATTGCATGAAGTTATTTTGAGAAGAGTTAAGAAAGATGTTGAAAAATCCCTCCCCAATAAAGTGGAAAGAATTTTAAGAGTAGAATTATCTCCAATACAGATTGAATTTTATAAGAACATTTTAACAAAGAATTATGAACAGCTAGCGAAAGCATCTGGTGGAGCAAAAAATTCTTTACAAAATATATGCATGGAATTGAAGAAAGTATGTAACCATCCTTTCCTTTGCTGTGAACCTGTAGACAAAGATGAATATAGAGAAAGGCTAGTTTATTCAAGTGGAAAAATTTGCTTACTTGAAAAATTGCTTATAAGATTGAAAGAAAGAGGGAATAGAGTACTTATATTTTCTCAAATGGTTAAGATGTTGAATATTTTGAGTGAATATTTAACATTACGAGGTTTTAAACATCAAAGGTTAGATGGAACTATGACGAAAGAGATGAGAAAAAAAGCTATGAATCATTTTAATAGTAAAAATTCGGATGACTTTGTGTTTTTGCTCTCCACAAAGGCAGGTGGGTTAGGAATAAATCTAACATCAGCAGACACTGTAATTATATATGATTCTGATTGGAATCCACAGAATGATTTACAAGCTGGTGCGAGAGCGCACCGTATTGGTCAAACCAAAACAGTTCAGATTTATCGTTTGGTAACAAAGGATTCTATTGAACAAACGATTTTAGAAAGGGCTAAGGTGAAAATGGTCTTAGATACCTTAGTCGTTCAAGGATTGAATAAGAAACAGAATGACAACGTGAATTACATTGGAGGAGAGGGAGGAAATACATCTAATGGATTTACAAGAGAAGAATTATCGAAAATTTTAAAATTTGGTGCACAGAAATTATGGGAAAAGAATAGCTCCAAATATTCACCTCAAAAATTGGATGAGGAAAAAGATGTTATAAAAGGAGTAGATGTAGATTTAGATAAAATTTTAGAAGAAGCAGAAGCACATGAAAATGCAAATAATGCAAACAAAGATTTGAATTCCGAATTTAACAGTTTACATAACTCGAATAATTTATTTTCAGGTGGAAATAGCATTTTTGGAAATGCAGGATCAGTTGGGACAACTGGTGGAGGAGGTATTGCTGACGATTTGTTAAGTTCATACAATAATATAACAGAATTTAAATATGAGCCTCCAGAACATTTAAAAAGTAATATTTATAACGACTCAGCAAAAGCAGATGGATTAGGAGAAGCAGGAGGAGGAGGAGGAGAAGAAGAAAATGATAAAGATTTTTGGGATAAGACCATACCATTAGAAGAAAGATTAAAATTAAAAAGAATGAAAGAAGAAGAATTGTTAGTACATGGGCCAAGAAAAACGAGAACAAGAGATGCAAGAAATACCATTGAAATAGATACAGGAACAAATATACAAGCGATGAATGATGACGACGATGATGATAGTGATGAGTATACTATAAAATATAATGAAAAGAATAAAAATTTGAAAAAAAAAAGAAAAAGAAGAACATCTACACACATTACAGAAAAAGACAAATTCAGGTTATACAGGTCGCTTTTAAAATTTGGAAATCCATATTTACGTTTAGATGACATTAGGATTGATTCCAAACTGATCAAGGTGGATCAAAATGTTATACTCACCGAGTTAAACATTATTGTTGACGCGTGTAGGGAAATTGTTGAGAGGGTAGCTACAGAAAGTTCTGCCAAAGTTGTGGAGAAAGGAGCTGCATTGGCGATAGAAGCGGCAGCAGAAGTGGCAGCAGGAGGAGGAGCAGAACCTGTTGTGGTAGAAGAAGATACATGCATTAATATGTTAAAGGAAGAGGATAATAATAATGCGACTGTTACAACCACCACTACAGCTACTACTGATAGCAACAACTTAACCGTAGCCTCGTGTGACGATTCTGAAAAGAAACAATCTCATGTTACAAAGAATGAAAAGAATAGTGCACTCATATTTGGTCAATTACCACCCCAATGTGATGAAGAAGAAGGAGTAGTAGTAGTGCATGGGGAAAACAAAGAAGAAACTATGGTAGCAGATCGAACAACGGAATCTGGCCAAACAGAAACAATAGCAAATAGAAAAACAAATGAGAAAGAGCAAAATATTAGTAATGAAGAAAAAGATGGAGAAAAAGGATCTATTAGTGTGACGAACAAAAGGAAAAGAGCAAGGGAAGAAGATGAAAATACAGCAGGAGCGGCAGCTGCAGGTGGAGATGGATTTTTTTCGAAATTTATGAACTTTGTTAAAGGTAGTGGAAGAAGTGGTGACGGTGGTAATGTTGAAGTTATTAAGAAAGAAAGTGATGAAGGAAATGACAATAAAGATGTGAACTCAAATAATGATATAAATTCTAATGAAGACAGCGATTCTAATAATAAAACAAAAGGATCAGAGAGAGGAAGAAAATCTGATGCTTACACATTTTATATAGGCACCAATAGAGCTAATGCACTAGATCTGTGTCAACGTTTGCAATTATTTAAAAGTTTACATGACTTTATTAAGGAACAGAACGGTGGAAATGAATACAGTTTTAGATTACCCCTAACAGCTAGTAGTAGCAATAGTAGTATGAGCACTTTAGCCAGTACCACCACCTCTAGTACTAATGTATCTCCAAATATAGTGGAAGTTGATAAGAAGAAAGACCTTAAGGGTGAGATGAAAGGTAAAGGAAAGAAGGAAATTCGAACGAATGGCATTGATGATTATGGTGGTGGTGTCGATGCTGATAATGAAACTGCACATTTGGATGTCTCAGAAAGAGTTGTAGATATTGTGGAGGACAAAACGGACATCGCGAACGTGGATGAGGAGCAAATCAAAGCTGAAGTGAAAGATGAAATGAAAGTGGAAGTGAAAGATGAAATGAAAGTGGAAGTGAAAGATGAAGTCACAGGAGAAGTGAAAGATGAAGTCACAGGAGAAGTGAAAGATGAGGTCAAAGATGAAGTGAAAGACGAGGTCAAAGATGAAGTGAAAGACGAGGCCAAAGATGAAGTGAAAGACGAGGTCAAAGACGAGGTAAAAGAGGAACAAACTCAGTATCTGAAACTTAAACTTCCCGATTATATATTCAGCCATTTGAGAGATCTAGTCACGAAAGATGTAAAGGCGTGGTCTAAAGAAGATGACGAAAATTTAATAAAAGGAGTGTACGTATATGGGTTCGGATCTTTTAACGAAATATGTGCAGATGTAAATTTAAATTTGGCACATATGAAAAATATAAAATGTGATAAAGTTAAGATGAGGTGTATCCGAATTTTAAAAATGATTGAAGAGTTTAATTCAAGTACCAATGATGAAACTGTTAGTAAAAAACGAAGAAGGGTGAGAACCAAAAATAAAAATAACGATTTACAAAAAGTAGAAGCAAAAGGGGCGACGGGGGCGACAGGTGTTGCAACTTCTGGTATCCATGGAGCAGGAGGAAGGGTCAAGCAGGAAGACGAACAAGAAGAAGAAGAAGTAGCAGAAGAGGAAGAAGCAGAAGAGATGTTAGGAACGGACTTCGCTTGCGCTGCAGGTACAGGTAGTAATAGGAATTTAACCAAAAGCAGTGGAGATGCTCTTACTAGCCAAAGGCAAAGCTACAACATCAGAAGAAGCAGTGAAAGAGTGAAGGCAATATATATGCATGATGACAAAGGGAATGGTGAAGTGGTGACTAAAAGGAGATCCATATCTGGATCAGGAGGAACAGGAGGAGGGACATCGAGAAGGGCGGATAGGATCGACAAGTCAGATAATAACCACCGTAACTTAGTCCGTATGAACACAAATGAAAATAATAAGGGAGGTGAAGTTCTCTCAAATGAGAAGAGAAAAGGTGGGGGAGCAGGAGGACGTTCAGGAGCAACAACAATGACAAGCAAAAGTAGAAGTAGAAGAAGCAGTAAACATCATAATAAAACAGGAGGAGGAGGAGGAGGTAGTGTTGATACTACAAAGATTACTGGAGATGTAGAAAGTTTTGCAACCGTTGGCAGTATGGGAAGTGTAAGAAGTGTTATAAGTAATAACAATACTCGTAAGAACACGAGTGCTGATGCATTAGAATATCCCTCATCCAATGAGAATAACAGTTCTGCAAGTAAAGTGAGCAAAGAAGCCAAAGAAGACAGAGAGGACAGAGAAGAAATAATGACTATGAGGAGTAGTTTGTCTGGAGGAGCACCAGTTGGAGTAGAAGATAACAACAGTGGTGGTGCAATAGGAGACGCAGAAGGAGAAGGAGGAGGAACGCGAAGGAGAAGTCACAGAAGTAGTAGGAAATATACGTTCGAAAATGGTGTAACGAGTAGAAGAAAAAGTTCAAGAGTAAGAAAAAGTAAAAACGAATCAAATGTTGAAGATAACACTGTTGCTGTAGGATTGAATTCAGATGAATACTGTGAAGAAAATTATGAAAAAGAAAATGAAAATAACAACAATCCTCATGAGCAAGTAGTAGTAGAAGGGGAGGATAAGAAGAAGAGGAAGGACAAGAAGAAGAAAAAAAAAAATGAGGAGGAGGGGAAGGAGGATGAGAAGAAGAGGAAGAAGAAGGAGAAGGAGAAGGAGAAGGAGAAGGAGAAGGAGAAGGAGAAAGATAAGGAGAAGGAGAAAGAAAATGTGGAAGAAGAAGATCCAGATGATGAGGAGGAAGAGGAGGATGAAGATGGTGATAAGGACGAAATGGAAGACGGAGAGGAAGGAAGAAAAAGAGAAAAAAAGTACATGAAAAAGAAAAAAAAAAAAAAAAAAATTTCGGATAATGAAATATTACACAAAATTAAAAACTGTAGCTTGAAAGATATGAACAAACATAGTATAAATAAATTAGCAAAAAAGTATGTAAAAAAGTATAAAAAGTTGTTAAAAGTAGTTAAAAAAATAACGCACCTTAAGGAGGAAGACAGAGAGGAGAAGGAGGAGGCGTGGAAGAATTGGGAACATAAGGACCTACTTGAACAAAGCAATAATGGAGTGGAGAAGGAGGAAGAGGAGAAGTCGAAATACCAAGAAATTAAAAACAAAATAAATGAATTTATTATTTTTATTGGAAATCATATGAGAAAAATAGCAGATGTGTGTCCTGACACAGAATGTGTAGAAATATTGAGTAATTCTGGATGGGAATACATTTCCAAATTTTTGGGAGAACCAAGTGAAATCTTGAGGGAAAAGTATGAACAGATGTTGCAAGACGAGATAACGAAGGAGCAGAGGCAGCACTTGGAGGGGTGGGAGAAGTTGAACGACGACGTCGAATCATCCCATTTAAAAAAAAGCAAGGATGGTGAGAGTAGCGGTACTACAGAAGCACATAGTGGTAATACACATTGTCATAGCTTCATAACTGAGGAATATCTTTCTGATTTTTTTTTCTCCAAGAAAATTTCAAGTATATGTCGAACAGCACAAGGTGTGGAAGAAGTAGAAGAGGAAGACGAAGATGAAGAAGAAGACTATGAACAACAGTCACTTGAGCACAATAGTAACAAAAGGAATAATAAATTTATGTCATATAATAATAACGAATTGGACGCTGAAAATGCATTATATTTCAATGGAGGAAAAAGTAAGAAAAGGAGGAAGAAAAACACTATTGCAGATGAAGAGAAGTATGTAATGAATCCGAATGACCATTATGAAGAACCCGAACCCTGAAGAATCTGAGAATTAAAAAAAAAAAAAAAAAAAAAAATGGAAGATTTTGCGCGTTAGAAAAAAACATTGGGATATAAATAGACAAATTTTTTTAATATACTTCACTTTCGCAAGAGGAATAATCCACGTGTCTACAAAAATTGTATGTTCTCACATAGACGTAGCAAAGTTTACACACATGTTGTGTATTATATGTATGTATATATATATATATATATATATGTGTGAGCATGTGCATCGAGTGCAGTACGCCTTGTGGTGTACATTTTAGATATCTCGATGCATACACTGTTGATTGACATATTTCGATACCTTTTTGATATACACAGTGGCGCATGAAGGTAGGGGGGGGGGGGAGGAGTGACAGGGAGTATCAACTCCAATTGTGTAATTTTTTGTGAATCCTATTGCATCATCTCCCCACCACCACGTAGCAACTGTTCTTATGTGGTTGATTGATTGATTGAAAAAAGAAAAAAAAAAAGGCAACAGAATATTTGCTTTACGCTTTTCATGCCTCATACGCTTTATTCTTTTTTTTTTTTTTTTTTTTTTTATGTTTATTTTTGAAGAACGTGCAAATTTTTGATGACTCACGAAGGAGACCTTTTTTTACACTTGCTGAGAAAAAGTTATAGTTTAAAAAAGAAAAAGATTATCCAATTTTCGCGTGTTTTATATATATGTACATTCACTTATGCATTAACGGATTGTGTGCATGCTTATATGTAAAATACTGTGCACGATATACCTCCAACAATTTTTGGGATATCCATCCTGTTAACACAACTTTAAAAAGATTTTTCATTATTTTTTTTTTTCCCCTAATTTTTAATTGAAATTCGGATAGAGAGAGAGATAGAGTGAACCAAATGGGGGTTGGGGGGTGGGGGGTCATGTGCCTCCGTCTTTTGGAGTGTTGATTTGTTCGTGAGTTGAAGAAACTTAGTATCCATCTCAAACACACACACGCACACCCTTTTCCCGCTCCTCTCTGCACGAATCACATATAGAAAAGGAAGGCCCTTTTCTTGTGTTCCAAAGAAATTTTCTTTATCTCATTAGTACATTTTTCCACATTGTCAAATGAAACGTTATCATTACATCTTTCAAGAATTCCCAAATCTTCTCCATCAGAGATAAGTCCCCTTTTAGGACGATATTTATGTGGGCATGTGTTCACTCCATTCCCCACCGACACTTCGGTTATTCTTCTGCCATGGCTATTGCTGTGGCTACTTCTACTGCTGGCAATATCTCGAGATTTCTCTATCACTGCACCCTTGCCCGTACTTCTTATCCCCATGTGAGGACAGCTGTTCTGTTGGTGCAGTTTAACTTGTGAGGCCATTTCAATTTTTATTTTGGATAAATAATCACCGGGAGTGATAGTTTTATTATTTTTATTTTTTTTGTTTTTTATTTTTTTTGTACAGTAATAATTATTTTGCGTATACAAATTATTACTGTACAGACAATTTGGAATGGTGGTACCATCCAAGTCGGATATTTGGTTTGTATGATCCTCTCCTAAGTGTGGTTGTTTTTTTCGAAATTTAGTTATTGCTTCTTCGCTTCCTTCCGTTATGATTCTCGAACTTGGTGATGTTATTAACTCACTGTTGCAGAGTATGTTCCGTGTGGGAGAGGAAGGTAAGGAAGATCTCTTAGTAACTCCTTTTTCCAAAGTTTGAAAAACCTCTTTTTTTTTTACCCCACATGATGAGATATATTCTTTTTTGTCTACAAGTGTTTTGAAACATGGATTATTTCCTCTTTTTTGTATAAATTCTGAATGAGAGGTAGTTCTGTCCATATTATCACATTGGATTGGAATCATCATTGGGGATAGTACTAGTGGTGGATCTACCTTATCATACCCCCCTCCTGTCGCTGCCTCTGCTGCTGCTGATGATGATGATGGTGATGAAAAATTTTGTTCATTTTTTTGTTCATCCACATTCTTTAAAAGAACATCGATGTATCTATCCCTTTTTGTATTTCCTTTATCCATCTGTTCAAGTGTAAATCTGTTTGTTTTGTCCTTCTTGCTTTTTTGTTGGTTGACTTTATTAATGAACAGTCCTCCTCCTCTCCCTTCTCCTCCTCTCCCTTCTCCTCCTCTTTCCTCTTCCTCAATTTTACTATTTAAGAAAAAACTTGAACATGTACCTTTAGGTGTGTTAAGGAAATCATTTTCATTACATACATCTTCCCACTTTTCACTCTTCGTTTTGTTAAAATACGTCCGTTTAACAGTGTTTTCCCTGTCCTTCGAAAGAACTATTTTGGAGTTGTTTGTATCACTCAGTTCTGTAAGTACAATATCCTTCTTATTCTCTTCTGCTGAAGAGATCTTCATATTTTTAGTAGAGTAATTGGAATATTTATTTTCTTCACTTTCGTCGTTTTCGTCGTTTTCGTCGTTTTCTTTTTTTTCTGGGATTTTTTCCCTTTCTCCAGTTTCCTCGTTTATATTGTCCCGCTTTTCACCAAATTCTTCTACAGGTTCAACCCTACTGAGTTTTTTTTTTTTTAAACTTCTTGCATCTCTTTGAGTAGAATTTTTAGCATTAATCGGACATTCTTCTATAGTATCTCCTAGTCTGTTACGTGAAGCACTCCTTATCTGTTTTGCTTTCATGAATTGGGAAATTGCATTGTCTGTTTTTTCCTCACGGAGTCGTGGTGGTAGAGGTAGAACAGCTAACTTATCAGCATGCGTGTCTACACTCCCTTTTTTGCATGTGTTTTTTTTTCCGCCCTTATGTCTGGCACTATTTTTTGTGTATGCATATCCATCATCGTTCTCATTGAATCCCATCTTTTGATGATTACTCACTGGGTTCATGTTTTTAGTAACACATTTTTTACCCCCGTGCTCATGATAATAGCTATTCGTTTCACCATCCTTAAGATTGGAATGATCAGAATGAGGAAGATGATTGGAATGATCAAGCCTTGCTTTGTTGGGTACCAAATTTTCTGTTGTTTGTCTTATGAAAATTAAATCATGATCTGTGTATATGCTATAGGTTAAGTTATCTTTATGTGTAACGTGATGTGGCACTCTGAGAATATTCACATTTTGTCGATCCCTTGGATATGCAAGTTTTTTGTTGCAAAAAGGGAAGATTATTGGTTTTCTTCTTGTAGAAGTATGTGTTAGGGAGGAATCGTTTTTCCCTGCACCACATTTATTCATAAAATGAGTACATTCATCATTTGGGTAATTGTAATGATACATTATCTCGTTAGCCCTTTTTTCTATTTTTTTTTTTTTTAAAATTTCCACTTCTCCATCACTTGAAATTTTATTTACTAAATAATCGTCTTCAAAGTAACAATCCCATTTCGAAAAGAAAGGGTTTAAAAAAGTGATGTCTGTTTGAGAATAATTATTTTTGTATTTCTTACCTTTTCGTTTTCTTCTCAGGATTTCATCCAACTTTATGTAGAAGTTATCATTCGGCACACTTTTTTTCCTGTTCTGGAGAAGCTGGCACCTGAGGCGTGATGAGGGAAAAGTGTTTTTTTTTTTTTTTTTTTTTTTTTTTTACATTCTATAACATTCTTTTAGATTCTATTTTTATTTTATCTCATTTTATGTTATTTTTTTATTTTGAGGGACTTGTCAATCACTTTTTCCCAAAACGATTTGTCACACTTGATAGTGTTTCATACACACGAGGCATAATTTCGCCCTTTCTCTTCCCACCTCCCAAATTGAGGAGAGGTAAAAAAAGTGAAGTTCTCTAACCTTATGCTGAGATTTTTATTCATTTTTTCATATTTTCCCTTCAAGCTTTGTATTTGATTTCTCAATTTTATGTTTTCAACAATAGCCCAATCTGTCCCTTTTGCACATCCTTCTGTATGTGCACGTCCCTTTCCTTCTTCATCTTCTTCATCTTTATCTTCTTTTTCTTCATCTTCTTCATCTTCTTCTTCTTCTTCCTCCTTCGGGATGGTGTCCATTGTGTCGTCCACTGGATGGGAAAACTTCGAGTGATCCTCTGAGAACTTTTCCTCGACTTTGGTTGTCTGATCCCCAGAGGGTTCCTGCATCGTTCATCGGGGTTAGCTTTATTCCTGATATTCGAGATGTTTTGGGTGCTTGATATGTTGGAGATGCTTGAGATGTTTGGGATGCTTCAAATGTTTTGGATGCTTCAAATGTTTGGGATGCTTCAAATGTTTGGGATGCTTCAAATGTTTGGGATGCTTCAAATGTTTGGGGACTTGATGGAGTTCAGTTGGGCCGTGTTGGTTGGTAGATTTATTTGGGTTTTGCGCTTCTGGAGGAATTCTGATTTGTCTCGTCTTTTCCTCCGTCTTGAATTCACTTTCTGCCCCACATTGGCTACCTTACTTGATCGCTTTTTTTTTTTTTTTTTTTTTTTTTTTTTCCCCTCTATCCCTCACATCTGGAGTGTCTTTTATTTTTGTCTCTTCTATTTTGTTACAGTTGTTTTATTTGTTATATTTGGTTCCCTTTTTTTGTTTCACGTTTTTGGATTCTCTGATGAAAATAAGAAAAATCTTTAATCACTTATCACAAGTTGCTAAGGAAAGCGTAAAAAAAAAAAAAAAAAATGAACCAAGTGTGTATATGTGTCTGTAGGGAAAGCAAATTATAATTAATTCCTTTTCTTGAGTGTGCTTAATGGTAGAGGTTCAAACACTCTTCCTTGCATGTACATGGGAAGGATCAAAAACCTCGCGAAAAAAAAAAAAAGGAAAAAAAAAAAAGATATATATATATATATATATATATAGAGAGAGAGAGAGAGAGGGGGAGACGAAAATGAAAAAAACAATATGGAAAAATCAGACACGCGGGGCGAATCAGCAGGAGGAGCACATTTCCTGGGAATTCACACCTTAGACGAAAGAGAACAAGTAGACGCCCCTATTATATGCATGTTTTAAAAAATTTTGAGATAATGGAAAAATGGGTTGTGTCTATCAGATTTTATGAGTACAATATGTGTAGGTGGTTCCAAACTTAGTTCATTTGTTGTTGAAAATTTTGTGTTGCCACTTTTGAAACATGGATATGTGTGTGTGTACATTTTATACGTAGAATATATTTTCTCAAAAATGGTATTTTTTTTTTTTTTTTTCTCTTTTTTGCTACATCATGTGGAGGAAGCAAGTTAATATGACATAAAAACATCGAAATGGTAAATTGTACAAAACTGGTACTTTAGCTGAATATCAGGTTTGGAAGACTGGGAAGATATAAAATAAGTACTGGCCAAACAACACCTTTTTTTTTTTTTTTTTTTTTTTTTTTTTTTTTTTTAAGAAAATAGCTTGTACAAAAGCCAATGGGAGAAACCACTACAAATGAACCCGATTACCAGGGAGAGGCACACAAAAAGTACATGATTATATTAACCTTAATAAAACTGATTGATTGGACAAGCACATTTCCTTATCTTGTACCTTTTTTGAGGGCTCCATTTTCCTCCTCATTTTTGATTGAATGTGTCTTAAGGGGTTGGAAAAATAGGACGCATGAGAAAGTACTTTTTTGCATGGAGAAGTAAAAAATAAAATAAAACAATATAATAATATAATAAAATAATGTAATAAAATAATGTAATAAAATAATGTAATAAAATAATGTAATAAAATAATAATAAGCCCACCGTTTTTAATTACCCATATGTATTTTTTGCATTCATACATTTTCCACAATCAGCTTCAAAGTGGACAGTTGAAATGGGTGGGTAGGGAAGTTACACAAATTGGGTGATACAAATTAAGATGGAAGTTTTTAATTTTTTGCTTTCGTTTCTGTTTTACTTTCACTTGTATTTTTGTTTGATCTTGTCTGGTTGTCTGGTTGTTTTGTTTTTCCAGGTTTCGTTTCATTTTTACAAGTTTTTTTGGCTAGTCCCCCTCGTTCTTGTCGATCAAGCGAGGCAAATCTGGCAGCACAAGAAAAACACGTGCCAATAATTTTATGCACCACAAGAAACACACGTGCTCATAATTTTATGCACCACACAACCAGCGAATTGTTGCACAGGGGTAAAAGTTTTACTCCCTTGGCAAGCACACTGAATCAAGTGGCGTCGTCGTTATTATCAGCATTGCTTTGAGAATCTGATTTTTTTTTTTCATTGGAACTTCCAGTAAGGAAAACAACAAAGACAAGAATGAAAAGGACAAGGAAGATGAATGAGTTGAGCAGATTCAAAGATTCCGTTATGTTACATTGTGGGATGTTTTTAATGTGACATATCTGTGGATCTTCCATGCAACATGTGAATTTCTTGATTCCATCTGAGTACAGTTGCATAGCACTCGTCTCCTTTGTTTGATGATAGAAGAATTTCCTTATCAATCCTTTTTTTTTAACTACATACATTTGCATGTCGTATAGTTTAAAAGCTCCATATGCATGGACAGTGCAATTTCTAAAAGAGTTAAATGTTTGCAAGGGTACTTTAAAGAAGAATAAAAAGTGATATACTCCTTCATCATATACTAAATTTTTCTCGTCTATATATTTCTGTTCCCTACTTACTATGCATTGTAGCTTTAATCTAGCTTTAATTCGTTCCATGGAAGGGTTCCACAAGTGCACAAGAACCCCGCACTTTTCTGTATGCATTTCATCACATTGGTCTGAGTATAATATGTTTATGATTCTAAGTTCGTTCAAGGTTTCTAAATGAAACACTGTTCCGTCGTATGGTGATTCTGGTTCGGGGGGGTCCTTCGCCATATCAGAACCACTAGCCATATCAGAACCACTAGCCATATCAGAACCACTAGCCATACCAGCAGCACCAGCCACATCTGCCACGTTAAGCATTTTCGATTTCGACTCCGCTACATCCACATGTTCATCTCTCTTACTAGATATGTTAATAATAAATTCAGTTCTATCCTCTTTATAATATTCATAAGCTATGAAATGTTCCACATTAGTATCTTTAAAAAATTCGATAGTTCTTTTGTCTGGAGATTCCTTATTATAGTCCTTTTTCCTGAAAATATAGTGAGGGTATTTTCCATTTATTACAGGTAGCTTTGTAACAATTTCTTCATTACCCCTTGTAAGTTCTTGTGCTTTGTTAAGATATGATTCTACATTGTTAGTAATGCATTGTGCGTCTTCCCTACATGTTTCATGTCGTGCAATGCTGTGGTCATTGTATCCAATAAGTCCACAAGCATCAATATTATCAGCAACAAAATTTTTTGGGATTAGTATAGATTTGCTTAAACATGTAGAATCTGTATAATTGCATTTATCTGGTTCATTTTCAATACATTCAAAATTGAGAGATTTATTATATGAACAGCCATATTCTAATGTATCATATTTGATTCCATATAATTCTGCTGGATAAAAAGGATACAATAAATAATTGTTATGAAGAGTAGGTATAGAAACATTATCAAAAGCAGAAGAAGAGTGAGTAATGTATATAAACTTATCATCCAATATTTTAATAGGTTTAGAAGATTCACTAATGATATATCTGTATGTCTGTTTTTCGAGCTTGATTTTCTTCTCACTATAAATTTGAAAATATTCAGAAAATTTTTTTTTTTTTTTTATTATAGTTATGTTAAATATGAGAAATGTATTTACATTATTTTTAAATTTGAAGATAGAATACATTGGAAGTATATGTCGTAAACTTTTTTTAACTGAAACAAGTCTTTCCTGTCTTGGATCTCGAACCGCTTCATCCTTATTTGGACAATGTAAAGTCATGCGTGTGGGTATTGCACTGTATATTTTATTTATAGACTCGTAAGAATATGGTAAATCATAACATGAACAACACAAAGAAAATGGTTTATCATTAAATCCTTCAAAAGTTGGTACTTTTACTTGTTCATAATTATTAAAATCATAAATTTCACATCTATCTTTTCCGTTCTTATTCTGTTGATCTATAGTATCAAATCCCATCTCATAAAATTCTTTATAGTTAAACATGGATTTTAGTGGGGCTAACCTTCGATAAATTATTGGATATGCTACTATAAATTTAGTTTGATGCAGGATTACATAAAATTCTTCTTTTTTGTGTCTTATAAGTAGTAAAACTTTTTGATTGTTTCCTATTTTAACCTTTATATTTGTCTTATAATCACATATCTCTTCATCTCCACATTTTACTAGTTCTTCATTGTACCCGACTTCTTCAGACTCCGTTCCCTTAGTTCCCACCATGATTCAATCTGTAAGATATGGGTACAAGCAGAGATTGTCAGTGTGTGTGTGTGGGGTCCTTTTTCGTGAGAAAATGAACGTTCACATGCATATACAGCAATGTGCAAACAAATTTTCTTCACCACATGTTCAATACCAGTCTCCATCTACGCACTTTTAGTGTTACGCGCGATTTCCCCTTATGTGCATATGCACATGTATATGTGTATGTATATGTGTATGCATGTATATGTTTATATATGTGTGCACGTTCTTCCCACTCATTTTCTTTTTCCTATTTTGGCCCCTCCTTTTGTGTATGAATTCGTGGGAGCGAATGGGTTTATTATTGAGGAAACGTGCGCATATATATTTTTTTTTTATCTTTTTTATCTTTTTTATCTTTTGCATCTTTTGCATCTTTTGCATCTTTTGCATCTTTTGCGTCTTTTGCGTCTTTTGCGTCTTTGTGCACTTATGTCTTCTTTTTTTTTTTCGTCGCTTCTTCACGCCTTCACTTCTTTATGCATCTGTGTGTTTTTTTTTTTTTTTTTTTCCTTCCCCGCTGTTATTATTTAACCTGGTCTGCACTTCTAACAGAGGGTTCATCTTTTTCTTGTCGACTGATTTTCTTGCAGCTCAGTTTACCACACTTTGTCTGTTCATGCAATTGCGTAATAATCCTGTGCACACTCCTACATGTGCGCCTACTTTGTATTTACATTCATAGATGTAACTTTTTTTCCTCTCTATCCTCTTTAAGAAAATGAAATTTCTTTCTTAGTTTGAGCTAGAGTTGGCTATTCAAAAAGGGGGCTGAAAATATTCGTAAAAATGTAATGAGCATTACAATTTTGTCTGTTTCTTCCACCATCAAATATTTTCGATTTTTTTTTTTTTTTTCTTTTTTTGTAAGAACTGCGTATTGGTGAACATTATCGTGACTCTAGCATGACATTATTCGCATGGGCATGACCAGAGTCTCTGTCGTGTTCAGCAACGTGTTAATGCATTATTGACTACGCGTGAGGTACTCTCCATTCTACCTCCAAAGGAAAATAACATACAACACTCAGAATGAGTGAAGAGGATTTTTATCAAGTTAGACACCATGTATTAGAAATTATCGACGAGAAAAAAGACACAATAAAGGAAAAAATAATATTGATAGGAAAACAGTTTTATATATATGATGACAAAGGAAAAGGGGGGGGGGGTGAAGAGGAAAAAAAAAAAAAAAAAAAAAAAAAAAAAAAAAAAAAAAAAAAAAAAAAAAAAAAATAAAAAAAAAAATTTTAAAAAAAAAAAAAAAAAAAAAAGGGGGGGGGGGTGAAAAAAAAAAAAAAAAAAAAAAAAAAAAAAAAAAAAAAAAAAAAAAAATTGAATAATTTGCTTTTCACAAAAATTCATATATCACCTATTTTTATTTTCTAATTATTTTTCACATTGCAGAAATTGGAAGAACATATCAAGGATTCGAAAAGAACTGTAGGTCGTCTATGGGTGGTTGTAGAAGCACATTGACACGTTCGTCATTTCACCTGAGTGTTGCAGAGAAGCGTTCTCGATTGAAGCGCGTGTTGTTCGTTACTGCTTCCTTCTGCACCATCCATCCACACCACACAAAACAAACGCACGAAACAAACACACGAAATAAACACACATGATGCTCCCATTTCTTTCCATTTGGCCAAGATCGAGGAGAGGGAAAAACTAATAGGACCAGAAAAAAGTCAGCAAAAAAAAAAAAAAAAAAAAAAATATATAAAAATGCATCAGGATATAATTGCACACAAATGAGATGTGTATCAATTCTTGAAAATTCATATTACAGAACGAGGTGTTTTGTGTGTACCTAACACCATTTCTTAATTTCATCGCCACGTCACCAAGACTCCATTTTCCCAATACATAACATATGCTGCTCTTGTTGTAGAAGCAAATAGTAGAGATAATGAGACTGTGTCCCACACGCCACCGGTCGAAAAAAAAAAAAAAAAAAAAAATGTGTCTACTCATATTTTCAGGTGGAGACCCGAACAAGTTAGACAATCCCCAGAATTCACCATGGTCTTATGATTATTGCAGTTTAATGGTTCCTTCTGACCACAGTCTCGACAAGGATTCTGCATCAAGGTATGATACGCACATACGTAAAGACATGTATACTTAAACGTGTGTTTATTCATAAATTTATTAATCTCTTCGATTGCACCCTGAACATGCGCAACCTGAAACGCAGCGATAACATAAAAAAGTTCCTAAACTTGCACGAAGATGAAGAAATTGAAAGTATCAAAAAAAAACTAATAGAAAAGAAAAACAAAAGGGGAAGAATAACCCCGAAGAAGACGGAGATCAGTAGTGATAAAGGTGCCACTAATAATGAAACAGAACTTCATGAGAGAAGACGTAGGGATGATATATGTAAAAATATGTCGAAAAGCTCAATATTGTCCATGGGAAGAAAAGGAAGAAAGGGAAGAAGAAATATAAATGATTTGATAGAATTAGAGAAGGAAATTATTATAACAAGGACTTTAATGAATAAAAAGAAATTCAGACTTCATGACATTTACAAATATACAACAAGACGAGAAAATGTTATTAGCAACTTGAATTTAAACATGATCAAGGAGGGATCTACGTTTCAGGAGTTGCTCGTTTGTAAATTCCAGAGGACTGCGGAACTCATCCGGGTATGTATTTTTCTCCTCCCCTTGAATTTCCCCCTCTCTCTCTCTCTCTCTCTCTCTCTCTCTCTCTCTCTTTCTCTTTCACGTGAAGGTTCACAAGAAGAACCACGTTTACATGTGCATGTGAATAAGAATTGTGCATTCGAGGGATTGGATGGGGACCTATCTTCAGCACAATTCTAACATCTAGAAGCATCTGCTTTGTGCTTTCTGAACTCTCAGTCGGGAAAGGAGAGAGATCGGAGGATATATAACTTGTGCTTGTTTTGTGCATCAACTGTGCCGTGTGTTCTGGAATGTGGGAAAATGAGAAAAGGAGGAAAAGAAAAAAGGAGGAAAAGAAAAATGGAGGAAAAGAAAAATGGAGGAAAAGAAAAATGGAGGAAAAGAAAAAAGGAGGAAAAGAAAAAAGGAGGAAAAGAAAAAAGGAGGAAAAGAAAAAATATGCTTCCATGCGGCTCCATGCGGTTTCATGCGGCTCCATGCGGTTTCATGCGGCTCCATGCGGTTTCATGCGGCTCCATGCGGTTTCATGCGGCTCCATGCGGTTTCATGCGGCTCCATGCGGTTTCATGAACTCCTATTTAACCCCCCCCCCCCCCCCCTTGAACGGCGCAGAAATTTGCAGAAGTCAGGGCAAGGAAAAAGAAAAAGAAAAATCAAGTTCAAGTGCTGAATATAGAAATGAGTAAACTAGAAGTGGAGTTTGAGAAAAAGGAGGAGAAAATAAAAGAGTTGGATAAGTACAAAGATTTCCTGAACAAGTTGGCCAGCATTGAAGAAGTGGGAGTGGCCGAAGAGATCATCGCGAGCGGTGAAGAGGACGCAGGAAATGTGAAAGGGCAGAAGGAAGAAGTGCAATTCTCTTCCAGAATGGCAAAGTACATAAATAATTTCCAACTTCTGATAGACAATTTTAGCTTGCTAGAGGAGCAACACCTGCAATTAATTGATGATACACAAAACGCAGAATACGAATTGGAAGAATATGAAAAAAAATTAGTTGATAAAAAAAAAAATTTCCTCTTAAAAAATAATGAAATGGATAAAAAAATTGGGCAAGTTCATGATTTCATAAAACAGCATAACACACAAATTGGGGAATATGAAAATACTATAAAAAATAATCAGAGTCATATATCATTTCTAAATATAAATAATAAAATTGATTTTATATGTACTCAATTTAATTATGACGTCAACACTAATGAAATTATGAAAAAGTTGCAAATTCTAGAAAATAAAATATATTCTTATATTTCCACTCTCACTAAATACACAGGTGTGTGTTTTTACTCTTCTTCTCCACATGCTCATCATTCCCTAATATTTATTTCTGCGCACGTGAATGTTTGTGCTTGTGTATATATATATATATATATATGTGTGTGTTTTTTTGCTGTGGGAGAAATGATGTGAAGTTATGTGTTAAATTTTTTGTCATGTACTTCATGAACTATGTTTCGCATAAAATGCACTTATCATATACTTCCTACTCTACTTGTTCTTTTTCTTTTTTCTCTATGATAGATGAAAATAGTCAACTGGTGTATGAATACCAACGAGAGAGAGAACAGGAACGAAGAAAACAAATGAGATTTGAAATTAACCTTGACCGAAAAGGAAACAATAAAAATAAACAACACATGGGTGACAAAATTAAAAACAAAAATTTTGGAGACAACCAAAAGGAAGTAAGTCAAGCCACAGTGTGCATGTCAGTAATCACAGTCGTAGTCACAACTAAACAAATATAATCACTATTGGTCACCTCAAGCTAGTCAACTGGCTAGAATTCACTTAACGTTTCTTCCACAAATAGCAAAAAAAAAAAAAAAAATCACACACCAAAATTTGAGTAATATATCATATTCTTTGCTGCATAGCAAGACAAACAAGAATGACTGAATTTTTCTCTCCCTCCACCATTGATGATACCATAAATTTTTGACACATATTTTCTCCATTCTTGTTACGCGCACAATTCGCTAGTACCTCATTCAGGGCTACTACATACGCAGTTAGTACAGAATTGGGTGTCCTTGTATATACTGCGAATTTAGTGATAGCCTACTACCTCCTTGAGTATATATATGCACTTGTTTCCCCATGGATGGGTCAGGGGAAAAAAACATATAATCACATGCAAATGCCATATATACATATAAACATAAAAGCACACGTAAATGCATATACACTTACACGGCTGTCGAGCGTGCCCATTTTACCCACCGTTGATACGACCTCTTTTTGAGGTTCCTCTAATTCACAGCTGAATGGGCAGAAATTTTCACACATTAAAATAGACGTTACAATGAAATGATACACAGGGGTGTATACACATGAGCATCATTTTTTTTTTTTTTTTTTTTTTTCTTCCTCCACTCTAACTATTTGCAGAAAAAGGAAAAGCGTGAAAAACGAGAAAATATATATGCATTGTTTGAAAAAGACTTATTTGAGTGATCGATCAGGTGAATATATTTCTCATTTGAGAAAAGTTTTTCAGTTAACAATTTTGGAGAGAAACCGTACTCTCTCTCTTTCTCTCTCTCTCTCTCTCTCTCTGTGTCCCACTCACTCCTGGGGACAAATTTCTACATAGGAATATTTCCCTTCGAACGAGAAAAACTTCGCAGACTTTTATGAAACTTTTTCACTTGCACAAATACGCAGAAGAAAAATGAGGAAAGAAAATAAAAAAAGGAACTTGAAAATTTTGTTCGAACGAAGAATTATATTATCCCACAATGATGAGAAACACACGGATAAATCAATGAACGCTTTTTATGGGATATGTTTCATTCTATTTTCTCTGATGATGGTCTGCTTTTCAACTTTTTTTTTTTTTTTTCACATGCATCCGTATGCTTCTTACTATTACATTGTGACTGTTGGTTCCATTCCTGTTTACATTTTGTATAAATATTTTACTTGGATATCTTTGCAACTATTTAAATATTCCTAATAAATAAACTTATGAGTTGGCTAGCTGCTACGCTGCATCTGTTGGTGCGGTTTCTTTTCTGTGTTCGACATACACCTTAGGGGAGGGGGAGGTGAAAACGGATTAGAAGCACGGTGGACACTAAGCCCTTGCAGTGAGCCGTTGTAATTGGCAATGTGCAGTATACAGTTGAAAGTGAACATGAAAATAAATGCACGATGCAAATTTGGCAAGAAAAGGGACGCAGAGAGACGGTGACGCAAGGTTTTTTACACCTTACTTGACATATAGGGTTAAAGCCGTTTTCAAAGACGTTTATGCTTTTTATAATTTTCTTATCGAAGAGGTCTAGGGCTGCGTGGGAAAATAAATAAGTGAAGGGGCAAGTAGCTATGTGGGGGTAAGAGTAACAGAATGGCAACGCGAGGCGCATATCTGATTTATTCATAAAGGAGATGAGCGTACGGTATTCATTTGTTGGTTTATTTATTTTCTTATTTATTTTCTTATTTATTTGCCCATTTGTTTGTTTATATTTTTTTTTTTTTTTCCTACTGTCGTATGACACTATCTCCCAGTCTCTTGCCAAGTGTTCATTTGGTACATCATCTGTTTCGTGGTCTTTAATCAAATCGAAGGAAATTTCAAAAGTTTTATCTGCGAAGATAGGGAATTTTTACCTCATCGGAGTGCATCGAATGTGGCTACTTTATTATTACTACTATTATTTATTTATTTATTTTTTTTTTTTTCACTTATGAAAACACAAAATTGAGTAAACATTTTCAACTCTAAGCTCTCCTAGCCATTCAAGCGTTTTTGTGTATTCCTGTCTTAACCTGTGGAATATGTCTCGCACATCTGCACCTCGACATATGTGAAGAGATCCCAAACTAGTTGTTCAAAGGCGTTATAGCTAATCTGTGTTCTTCGTGGTTGATACAATTGCTCAAATTCGATTGTATAAATTTTTAAAATTTCATCTTTTAAATTCTTCAGAATTATTCGATACTTGTATAAACTGTTGTTTGATAAAAATTTCTTAATCGGGTGGAGGGCCTACCAAAAAAAAAAAATAAAATAAAATAAAAAAAGCGGGAAGCAATGGAGGGTGTGGGATATGCAAATTAGGGCGGGAATGACTCACATCGCAGGCAATTTTGTGTTATTTGTATTGTTCTAATTGTTCATATTATTGTATTATTTTCGTATTTCTGTTCCTTTTCTTTTTTTTTTTCTTTTTTTTTTCTTTTTCTTCTTTTTTCTTATAAGCCTCCTCATTTTAAGGTGTGAAGTTCTGGACCTCTTGTATGTATTCCTCTACTTCCTTGTTTGCGCAGTGCCTAAGTAGATTAGACGGTGTGGACTTGTAGGTAGCATTATGTATCGAAGCATGCAACTGTGCATTGAGGAATATTTACCTCATTTGTACATAAACGCTGTGCATTTTATTTATACATATGTGTGCATTTTTTTTTCGATGTAGTTAATTATTTGGTAGTTCAAATGCATGTATTGTTTTTTTTTTTTTTTTTTTTTTTTTTTTTCTCTTTTTGGAAAAACATTAGGGGCATCGTCCAGGGTATCAATCATACGTGTTTGTAGAGGCTTAAACAAGTGCATGCAGAAAAAGTCATGTTCACCCATTTTGTCTTTTTCTAAGGGATATACACCAGTCCATAAATGTAGGAATATAAGTAAAAATATTGCAATCTACAAGCAAATGAAAGATTTAATATTGACTTTTGTACCCATTCGTAGAACTTTCTACACTGATGCATTTACATAGATGACAGATGTAAGAGGTGCTTTTTCTATACTTGTTCTCGCTAAAAAAAAAAAAAAGTTCCGAAATTTTTTCATTTTTTTTTTTTTTTTATTTTACCATACGAGCGTGTTGAACTTTCTTTTTTTTTCAAAATGTTCTGGATGGGAAGCCAAAAAAAAAAAAAAAAAAAAAAAAATAATAATAAATAAATAGTATGAACATGTATATATATATATATATATATATATATATATAAGTAAACAGTTATATATACATGAGTTAGGGTCACGTGCTTAAGCAAATTAGGGATGAATAATCGTAAACAACAGTAAAAAAGAAAAAAAAAAAAAAAAAGCAATTTCCCTCATGCGCTCAAATATTTGGCCATTTCGCTCTCCTATCACACCTGAAGAATATATGTTCATTACATACAGAAGTAAGTGCGTGAAGGCTTCAATAAATTCCATTAAATAAGTTTCCATTTTATTATTTTTTTTTTTTTCCTCACTTGTCGTGAAAGATGGAGGTAATAAAGGAGGAGATATGTGCTATGATGCAATGCTGGAAAGAAAGGAAGTTTTATACGACAACGTCATTTGCATATGTACATATAAAACGTGGAGTTTTACATAGTGTACAATATTTGAACGGCAGGAATGGAATAAAAAAAAAAAAAAAAAAAAACAGAAGAAATCAGCATTCTCGATCATATGTCAAATGCATATATTGTGTGTGTATATATGCAAACGTGTAGGGATGTGTGGGGATACAATGTATTCATGCATGTATGTATGTGCCCCTTTTATGTGCTTACACTCTGTTTACATTTTATTTCAAACCTTTTTTATTCCTCTAAGGGTCAACGAAGCTTAAAAAAGGTGAACGTTTATAAGCGCCTTCCATATCTGTATTTGGGGATGTTTTTCATTGGGGGACTGTTGGAAGTAGTTTTTTGTTCCACCAATTTTTACCAAATATATAACATAGGTATGTGACAAATGAGCCTCCTCAGGAATGCCTAATAATAGAAGTTCAGCTTATGCCGCACTATTTTTTTTAGGCTTGTTTTGTTTTGTTTTGTTTTGTTTTGTTTTGCTTTTTTTTTTTTTTTTTTTTTTTTTTTCCTATTATTGAGCACGGAGCGTTTTTTTTTTTTTTTTTTTTTTACAAGTGCATTCCCATGTCATGCGATTTTTTCACCAATCAACAAAGGGAGATAAAAATATATGAGACTGCGAAAGTTGTGCAACTGCTGCGTTTGTATGTAGTCTTTTTTTTTTTTTTTTTTTTTTTTTATTGCAAATATGCTAAAGGCAATTACACCATTTTCTTACCACAATTTAGTTTTGTTTTTCCGCATGTGCAGTTACGCAGTATGTTTTCTAAATTTTCGAAACCTGCCCAATTTCGTCCAGTTTTCATAGATTTTTTCATTTTTTCCATTTTCCGCTCGTTTTTCCTTTCCTTCCCTTCCCCTTCTCTGTTTTCCTTCCTACCCAAGGCAAAAACGAAAAAAAATCGGATGAAGACTTAACAAAGCTTATGAAAAGATATGAACTTAGACAGAAACTTAAAGAAAGTAAAACATACGTATATTTGTGTGCATAACTTGATTTTATTACTTTTTTATTTTTTATTTATTTATTTTTTTTTTTTTTTCCACCATCCTCCTTTTGGAAATATTCCTATTTATGTTGCATGTTTAACGAATTATATATAAATTTATTGTAGTATCAACCGAGTGTTTTAATGTAGACTTTGTTAATGCTTCATTAATTAATGTGTAACAAGATTAGGAAAAATTGTGTTCATTCAATCCTTCGTTGTTGCCATATTCCAAATTGCTTTATGTGTACTTCTCCCTAATTAAATTTCAATTTTTTTTTTTTTTTTTACAACTTGTCCATTTTTCGTAGAAGCCACACAAATTTCAGAAGAATAAATTGCAAAACTGTAATATAGGTGGAGATTGTCTTTACAAAAACAAGCATGTTCATAATATCACTTTTTTGAATTTCGAACGATTATCCATTTTTCATTAATCTTTTTCCTTCCTCTCCAATATATTTTTTTTTTTTTTTTTTTTTTTGCATTATTTCGATTTTTGTTTTCATTAATTTTTTTTATTTTACACAAGGACACCCCCCCCCCTTTGAGTATACCCCATCATCTGTGCTTGGGTTTGTTGCAGTTGGGTGTCCTACCTAAGCAATCCACGTTTATTTGATTTCTTCTCTGAACTCTTTTAAACATGGTAAACCCATTATGTTACTGCCTTGGGGGGTAGTGTACACCATGTTTTGGTGTAGTATTTCTTGCTGCTATTGTTTGTACCGAGTCATGTATTTTTCATTAACCAGATATTTAGCATACAAATATGGACAGTCAGTTTATTTTGGGAAAGGTACCCCTTTGTAATGCAACCAAGTGGAATATTCGTTACAATATCAAGGGTTATATTGATATATGATTAGATTAATATAAGGATGTGGAGGTTGCCGCGAGTTTGCTTAAAAATGAAAACAGCCAAAATTATTTTTATTTATTATTTTTTTTTTTTTTTCTTTTGCGCATATCATTTGCATGACCTGTTCATATATTTTTTTTTTTTTTACCACAACGAATTGAATTGTATGTACAATTTTTTTTTTTACAATTCCCTATTTGGAATATTTTTTTTTTTTTTTTTTACGTGTGTATATTATTTTGCTATTCTCTTGTGCTTAGATGTTTATGCAGTGTACAGAGGCATGAATACATAAACATATATGTATTTTTTTTTTATTTTTCAAAAATCTCCTTATTTTTTTTTTCCCCCATAAGATATCATGAATTAGGGCATTGGTGTTTAGTAATTATTTTTTTCACACTATACAAATTTTTGCACATTGCAAAGTGCACAGTTACCTTCTAATTTTATTTGATGTTTTTTCATTCAAAATAGCAATATAGAAGATACGTCTAAGTGGGTTTATGTTACGCGCCTGCGTGTGTGAATGAATGAAAAAAAAAAAAAAAAGGGAGGGATGGATGGATGGTGGGGGAAAGCTGTGTTCATGTTTTCTTATACACATCGGTTGGCAAACCGGATTTGTATACACTCCCCTGTTCCCACCCCTTCTGGATAGCACATCATGAACACATATACACACATACACATATATGGATAAACGTAAACATACATATTAGTCTGTTACTCCTGAAGTTCGGCCAAGATCTGCTTAATCTGATAATAATATTCCTTCGACGCTTCTTGGGGGTTCCTGTTTTTAGTTATGGCACGCCCAACGTTTATTAAAATTTTTTCATAATTTTTGCAGTAACCATTACTTAACGTTTTTTGCAAATCGCCATTCTGGGCACCTACCCCTGGTGACAAAATATAGGAATCTGGAAAATGATCTCTTATTATTTTCATTTCTTCAAAACAGTTGGAGCCAACAACGAAGCCAACAAATTCATTATTTTGTTCTAAGTTTAGCTGTTTCTCCATTTTTTGAGCCTCTTCTGCCATAAGCATATAGGCTTGTTTGTTATTCATTGAAATTCTATCCTGAAATATATGTGCATCTGTGTTCGTTGTTTTAATAAGAACGAAGGCGCTGAAATATTTTTTCCCTATTTCATCAACACAAATGTCCTTTAGCATGCTGGGTCCCATGTATATGTTGGCTGTACACGAATCGCTTTTCAAATAATCGAATATGAATTTCCTGTAATGTTTAACTGTATTACCAATATCATTTATTTTTATGTCCAAAATAGTTGGTATGTCAAGCTGGCGTAAATAATTGAACACATTCTTTAAAACATCTATACCGAGAGAACCATATGGAAGATAAAAGGCAAAATTCATTTTATATGCTATGGCATATTGTTTGGTCTCATTGATTATATAAAAACAAAAATGGTTAAAAAAGTAAAAAAATTCGTCTTTTTCTTGTAACTCTTTTGGTGGAGTTTCTTCGAATAGCATTTCCCTCCACATTTGAGTTACATTCAGCCGGACACTGATATTATCAGTGGCAGAATTACTATTACTAACATGATATAAATTCTTTTTAATATTCTTGTAACCATTTTCCTTCTCATTTTTTGCAAAGGTTTTAATGTCATCTTCATCTGGGTCTAGTCCAATGCACAGGCATGTATTCACTTCTTTTCTTCTATTTTCTAACTTAATTTTCAAATTCATCTTTTTGATGATATTTTTGGAAAATGTGAACTTTTTATCTATGTGCTTTTTTTTTCTTTTTTTTTTTTATTTTTACCCTTTTTAACTTAGTAATTTTTATTTCCTCAATTTTGCAGGAAAAAAAGGGGAAAAAGAGTTTCATTGTTTTTGTTGCTAACCAGAATGGCCTTTCTGGCGCAATAGTGTATATTTCACCATTTTTTGTAAATATTAGCTTTCCATCTTTTTTTTTTTTTTTTTTTTTTTTTTTTTTGTTGAATGATTGTGCACAACGGTATTCTTTTGGCAGAAACTTATGGAGCAAATCAGGTATGCTACTGAAAATTGCCTGAACGTTTTTTTTTTTTTTTTTTTTTTTTTTTTTTTATTTATTTCCCAATTGACAAAATGGAACATCCGCAAAACGTTTTTGTATAAAAGGTTTGAGCATAATATCAAGGCCATCTCATAGGACATTAGAAACATTCATCCCTACAATTGGCAAAGAGAAGTTACAAAAACAGGTCGATCATCCAGGAGGGGGCTTATATATTTCATTACATTACACACGACAAAATGGGATATTATTTGCAAGGAAAAAATGGACATTCATGTAATTTGTTATGGATGTAGCATGCTCTCTACATTTCATAATATGTACATGAAACTACCTAAAAAAGCATATAAGAAGACTACCAGTGATACCAAGTTGCATTAATAACTTCACGAACATTTCATATGTGTATGCAACCTCTCTCATTTGTAAATCTATGAACAACAGGATAAGAATTTCCCCCCCCCCCCTTTTTCTTACTATGGAACATATTCCTATTCCCATTTTAAGTATCTTACATATGAAGAAATTTTCAAGAAAATTTACACCTTTTAATGTGCATGGATATAGGCAAAAATAGTTTTTTTCAGAATGTGCTGAATATAATTGTCATGATATATGATCATAGAAAGGTTTTTTTTTTTTTTTTTTTTTTTTTCAAGTACCAATACATTTTTCTTCCAAAAGTTGTGTACATATTATATATATGTTTTTACATAAATATCGTCCCGTTCGGAGCCCTCGGATGTATGTATTCATATAAAAGTTTTACTAGGTTGAGGAACCTTTCATTTTTTTTTCCTAGTTTTTGTATTACTCAATGATTGATGATCTTAAAACGAAATATTATGCAAGTGGATGAAACGACAAATATCATAACATTAGACACAAAATATAGCACATTGTGAAGAGAGAGAACTCTTATGTGATGTACAAAAATTCAAGAAAACAAAAAAAAAAAAAAAAAGAAGCAAAAATATAGCATATATTATTAACATGAAGAACTCGTGGGGAATGATGATAAAATGTAAAAAGGGAGAAAAAAAAAAAAAAAAATGCAGCATAACTATTAACATGAAGAACTCGTGGGGAATGATGATAAAATGTAAAAAGGGAGAAGAAGAAAAAAAAAAAAAAACAACGTCTCCATTAACATCAATGTTAAAGAAAAGCTAAGTGTAGAATGTGATATGAATGCACACGAATCAAAAGAAAAGAAAGGATTCATTAAACGAATAAAAATTGATAGGTTCGTTTTGTATGAGGCAAAAAAAAAAAAAAAAAAAAAAAAAAAAAAAAAAAAAACATAGCTATAAAGTAGACATACCTTTAAGGCATATTTCTGTGTGCGTACATGTCAATTAGCGAACCCGTTTATGGGATACAAAAATGTGTACAGAGATGAGAAAAAAAAAAAAAAAAAAAAAAAAGAAAAAAAAAAATATATATATATATAGATAGGTAGAAAGAAAGAAGCGTATTCGGAGAAAATGAGTAAATATGGTGGATAAATTTAGGAAAAGAAAAAAAATAAGGAAGAAAAGGAAGAGAAAGACAGTAACAAATTTGATTAAACTTTTTGGAGGAGAAAAATTAATGAAAATGTGAAAGTGCAAATGTGCACACATTTACAATTTCCTACCTCTCTAAGCAGCCTTTCATTGAGCATATATTGAGAGTTTACAAATTAGCAGAGCAATTACTGCATATATATATATATATATATATGTATGCGCATGCATGTTAGCATAAACGTGTGCATACGTTTTGTTTATATCTTGTATGAGAGATTTCTCCTTGAGAACTCCAAAAAATGCCCAGTTCCATGAACACATAAGGTGGGACTGAGTCGTGAGGTCTCCTAAGGCTAACTTTTGAGCCACATCCCAAGAGGTGTCACACACGGGACACCAGCTCGTGAGGCACCCATATCGTACGTCTTGATTACACATTTCGGTTACACGAATCTGATGTTCCACTCCATTCGTCAAGATGAACAAAGAAGATGACCCCAATAGCGGAGACTTCTCGCTATGCGATGAGGCAGAAGAAATTTTGTCAAATGCAATTGGCTTCTTCAACATCGAGGGTGGAGTGAAGGAAGATTTGATAAGCACCATTAGAAAGGATGAAGAGGAAGTGAAACTTTTGAACGATTTTACACAGAATGATGAAGAATGTTTATTTGTGTTTAACGAAAAGGAGGCAATAAAGATTTATGGATCTATTTTAGATCTTTATAAAAAGAGAAAGAATGAGAAATATTTGATAATTTATAAAACACGTCAGAATAAAATTCTTTTTTTAGAAATGAACAATGATGCAGAAAATGTGATTAGAAGATTTTTAGAAATTTTTTTTTCGAATTTTATGAACAAAAATGATTACATAAATTCTTCTTCTCTATTAAAAGAAATGAAAAAAAAGTTTAACAATTTTTTACTTAATTTAAGAATAATATATGGAGAGTTAGAAGAAAAATTGATTCTGCCATATTTTCCATCTGATGAGATAGAAGAAGATATAAATAATGTAGAAGAGTATTTAATACATTTTATCAAATGCTATCATGTAATTTTACGAAATTTTATGAATTATAAAAAAAAAAATTACGAAAATTGTAATGAATTTTTGAATTGTTTAAAAAATAAGAATGAAGATATCAATTTTTTACATAACGAAATAGACAAGGAAAATTTTAAAAAAATCATAAATATAATATTGGAAAAAAAGAAAAACTCAAGTTATAAAAATATTATTGAAAATATAAAAAAGGAAATTGTTCAGCATAAATTAGAAGTCTTTGATTTGTATACTCATCTAAAACCTGTTATTCATTTTTTACAAAAGTTGGAAAATAGTAAGGAGGATATAGAAAATAAAAATTGTTACATTGCTCCCATAGTTCATTCCTTGTCCATGTCGATAGAGAGATCAGATTATTTGATTCACAATTGTAAATTTGTGTTTGATTTTTTATCAAGGGTACTAATCAATTCGTGCAATCAGAACATAAATACACCAGAAATTATCAACTCTATATACAACTGCGTCGATGTTCTGAAAAGTAAGCTATATGAAACTCTCAACTTTATCTTGAACTTTTTGTATCTATTTAAGATGTATAAGGAGAAAAATAAAAAATTCCATTTGCTCAGAGAGCAGAATCTGTTCATGGGAAATGCGTTTCCTCAGACCCACGACATGGATGGGATCAGCCCTGCTGCACAGCGATCTAGTGAGGAGGACCCTCCCAGTGAAGATCGTCCCATGGCTTGTCCAAGTGACGAGATCGAACAAGAGTGCACATACTTCCCATGTGTGAGTCTGTATGTATACAAATTGAGGTTACTAATAGAGTATTTGAAAATATTTCAAACATACATGAAATTGGAAAAAATTGAAATTCCTGGAGAAAAGGGGAAAAAGCTGACCGAAGAAATATATAGCATATTTCGTGAATTTAACATAATTAATGAAAACTTCTTAGACATGAATCATGAAATTTTAAGTGAAAAAGAAAATATGTTTATAAATAAGTATAACCATTTTGAGGGAAAAGTGAAAGAGTTGAACAAGCGATTGATATGCATTTTTGTTCATTCATTTGATAAAGATTTGAAAAAAAACATTAAACTACTAAATTCGTTTTTAATTTTGAGAGATATTCGCTCTATTGAGGTTGAACTAATCAGACACACGTCCTTGCTGTGTGAAGATCTGAAGAAAGAGTTCATTTTAGTAGACAATTTGTTCATAAAAAATATGACTATTGTAAGTAACAACAAAAAGGTTTTTCTAGAAAATAATTTCAAACATAATGAAGAATCGACCAAGCTTAAAGAATCATTATCTGTCAACCTAATGGATACAAAGAATACATCCGTAGGAGAGACTCTACAAGAGAACATAAATAACCTGCACATCAACAAGAACTCACCATTGTTTTGCGAAATTGTAAACTTGTTTACTTCCTTGCTGAAACGAATCGAGCAGCAATATTTTCCACTAAGAAAAATAATAAAAGTTTTAAATTTTAAAGATGAGAAAACAGAAGAAATAAATACACTATATCGAATTATAACAGATAAGATAAGTCAATACATATCTGATATGAGCAGAGAATGGTTTAGTGAGACGATAGATGTTGTGAATAATTTTTTAAATGAACATATATTCAGAAAAAAGGGAGAAATGTTTTACGTGAACTTTCATCCATACATATTTATGTTCATAAATAATATAAAAAATCTTTATTTAAATAATTTAACAGTTAATGCAGAATGTCTAAAAATTTACAGCAAAGCTAATAGGTTTAAAGAGCTCATTTATATACTTAATAACACAGTTAAGAAGTACAATACCATTATTAGTAAAACATTAAATGTTCAGAAGGATTTGTTTTTAGATAAATTGTGTAATGTAAAGAATACTCTCCTTCGAGGAATGAAAGAATTAAGATGGACAGAGGAAAATATTTATAAATACATACAAACGTTAGATAAAGATATGAGTGATATATACAATAATATTTCAGCAGTTCATAATAATATGATTTCTATTTTAAATTTAACAAATGGATGGATGAAAAAAGGAATTATTGAAAGGAGAAAAAAGCATGAAGATATTTATAACTATTTAAACAGCTATAAGAATAATATGGCTTTACTCAAAGGAAAACTAATGGAAGACTTTAAAAATATTCATATGAATATAAAACAAACATATGATTTATTGAAAATAAAAAAGAACAACCTCATGTGGAAAAATTATATAAAGTTTTTAAATAACATACTCATTGATAAGCTCATTGAATTGATCAACTTTTTATTTTCCAATCTTTTTGATATTATGAGAGGTGAAGAAGGGGAAGAAGTAGATGAAGAAGTAGATGATGAAGAAGGCGCAGGAGGAGGAGGGAAAAAAACAAAAAACAGAAAGCACCCTCTTTTTGTAATAAAAATTAATTTTGTAGATAATAAATTAAATCTAGACTTAAAATTAAAAAGTAAAAAATCTTTATGCATAACAAGCATATTTTACAATTGGATATCTGATTTTATGAATCTATGTTCAGGTATAAGAAGAATAGATATAAAAGGTGGAGATTACATGAATGAAATTCTGTTAAGTTTAAAAATTAATAGGAGCAAAAATTGTATTGAAAATTATTTTGAGAAAACCATTGACAAGTGCTACGATTATTTGGAGAGTTTAAAAAAATATGAACACACATGGAAAAAAGACATTAAAAAAGATTTTCTCCAATTTAAGCAAAAAAATGAAATACCTCTCTATCCAAACTATTTTGAATATAACAATAATTTCCAGGACTCTTTAAAACTTATCAACATAAATATTACGCATCTATTTCCAAACGTTTTTGCTTATAAAAAATTAATATTATCGTTAAGAAGCGAATTGAACAGCTTTTATCATTTGAAAAGTTATGAATCTATCAATTTTGTGGCTTTCCATTCAGAAAAATTTGTGGAAAAACTCATTAATTTTGCAAAGAAGGGTATATCTTTGTATACTGAATATTTACAAAATTTTGTCAAGGATGTAATACACTCTGTGAATTCCTTTTATGAATTGATTTTAACCAATCTGAGAGATGTAGGTGTATGTGAATTTTTGCAAACTAAAAAGAAAGGAACTACTGCTAACAGTAACAGTATCATCATCCAGAATGGGGGTGTAGTAGATGTCAGTCCAAATTGGGAGTCTTCTTCTATTAATGGAGAAGTAATTACACATTCAGAGGGTCCAACAACACCTAGCATATTGAAAAAAAAGAAAGATTCGTTTTACAACTTGATGAGAAGTTTGAGAAGCGTGAAACTAAGCAGAAAAATAATCCCTTTGATTTTTCAGAAGATAAAAGAAATAATAGAAAATTTAAAAGAATTAGATATAACCATAAAATATAACGACATTTTAGAAAACATTGAAAGGAATAAAGAAAAGGTTGAGATACAGTACAATGAAATAAAGGAAAAAATTATAAAATATAAAAATGATGAAATTAAAAATATCAAAGTAGAGATAAAATTATTCAAAGAAGAGTTAAAAGAGTTAAAAAATAATATACTTCAAAATATACCAAGTGAACCAAAAGATATTTATGCAAATCCATATGAAAAAATTAATGAATATAGAAAAAGCTATCAGATATATAAAGATAAACAGAAATATCACAACGAGTTAGAAATTCTTTTCGAATTAGATATTACCATATTTGATGAACTAAATGAATTGGACACAAAATTGAAGGATTTAAAAAATCTTTGGGATGTCATTAACAGTATTGTTTTTTTTATGGATCAGGAAAAAAAGAAAATGTGGAGAGACATAGATGTCAACAGTAATATTTACATAATCGATTTTATTTTATTATACATGAGAAAATACTTTTTTGACTTAAAAAATTTACCTGTCTATGAATACATAGTTAAGGAATTGAAAAAGTTGTTTTCTATTTTACCCCTCCTCGTGGATCTTAACAATGATTGTATTTTTGATAGACATTGGAACATTATCATAAATGCTTCTGGAAACTTGAACAATTTATCTTATCGTATGGAGGGAGTCTCTAGCTCTATTGGCACATCTACCTTTGCCGTTACAAGCTCTCCCAGTTTGGAGGCACCTGAGCAGATGCATGCACCTGAACTCATGTCGGATCTCCTCCCTCTCGAGGGAAGGCAACAAACGCAGATCCCATCACAGATCTCGTCACAGAATAAGAACTTCCAAATAAAATATAAAGAGCTAACACTGCAGGGGTTCTTCGATCTGAAGTTGTACAAACATGTAGATGCGGTGCACGACGTGATAGAGCAAGCGAAGAAGGAGAAAAAAATAGAAAACAAAATAAAAGAAATTAACTCAATATGGAAAAAAATGAACTTTGAATTTCTAAAAAAGAAAACATACATCCAAATAACAAACATGGACATTATTTTAGAAATTGTGGATGTACACACATCTGAAATATTGTTTTTTATAAATCAGAAAAAGTATATACTCTTTATACAAGAAACGATTTTAAACACGCAGGAAAATTTAAAAAAAATAGATGAAGTAATTAACATATGGAGGAAATTTCTAAGCAAATTTGAGAGATTACAACCAATTTATTTGAATTCAGAAGATATTCATTCACAATTGCCACAAGAAAGTAAAATGTTTTTCAGCATTGAATATGAATACAAGGAAATTATACAAAGTGCATATGAACAAAAAAATGTTCTACAAATTTGTCTGAATGAAGATTTATTTTATATGTTGAGCAAGTTTTTTAAAAATATAGAATTGTGTGAAAAGGCTTTGAATGATTACTTGGATCAGAAAAAGAAAACCTTCCCTCGATTTTACTTCTTATCGAATATTGCTTTGTTAGACATCCTGAGTAATGGAAAAAACCCATTGAAAATTTTACCATATGTAAATGATGTCTTTAACGCAATCAAGACTATCGAATTTGAAGTCAAGAGTGTGCAGGAGTCCAAGTCGGGGCTAATGAACGGCGAGGGTGGTGGAAGTAAAGAAAACGAAAAAGATGTGACATCAGGAAATGGAGCAATAGAATACACTGCGAAAGGAGTGTATAGTATAGAAAATGAACATTTGCATTTTCCTACTGAGCTGTTGCTGAAGGGTAATGTGGAATACTACTTAAAAGATTTAGAAAATCATCTTAAAGTAACTATTAGGAATATTTTAGAAAATGCAAAAATATGTTCTGAAAATTTAGATGAACAGAACAGAGATGAGACGATGATAAATAATTTCATAAGTCAAGTTGTATGCACGTGCAATCAGATTGTAGTTACAGAAGAAATAAATAAATGTTTTGATGAGTTAGAAAATGGAAATGAAGCAGCTTTTGTAGATTATAAGAAAGTACTAATAGAAAGAATAAATAAATTGATAAAGTTAGTAGAAAAGGCGAAAGATTATAATATAAGAACTAAATTATTGTCTCTAATAATTTTAGATGTGCATACAAGAGATGTAATAATCTCCTTTATAAAAAAGAAAATATCAGATGGAACATGCTTCGATTGGCAAGCACAATTAAAGTACTATTGGGTTTATGATAAAAAGATGAATAATTATACATGTGAAATTAAATTATGTGATTTTAAAACGAAATATTTATATGAATACATTGGAAATTCTGGAAAATTAGTTATAACCCCATTGACGGACAAATGTTATATTACTCTTACGCAAGCATTAAATTTAACCTTAGGAGGAGCCCCTGCTGGTCCTGCAGGTACTGGAAAAACAGAAACAACAAAAGATTTGTCAAAAGCCATTGGAATAGCAATATTTATATTTAATTGTAGCAATCAGATGAACTATTTTAACATGTCACAAATATGTATTGGTTTATCTCAAACGGGTGCATGGGGTTGTTTCGATGAATTCAATCGGATTAGTATAGAAGTATTGTCAGTGGTTAGCACACAAATTAAATGTATATTTGATGCTATAAAGGAAAAAAAGAATGTATTTCATTTTATTGATGATGAAATTGTTTTGAAGAGAACATGTGGATTTTTCATAACTATGAATCCTGGATATGCAGGAAGAACAGAGTTACCAGAAAATTTAAAAAATTTATTTAGATCTTGTTCAATGATAGTTCCAGATATCAAATTTATATGTGAAAATATGTTAATGTCTTTTGGATTTATAAAAGCTAATAAATTATCGTACAAATTTGTTGAGTTATACCAGTTGTGTAAAGAATTGTTACAGAAGAATATTCACTATGATTGGGGACTTCGAGCTGTTAAGGTTGTCCTAATCCAAGCAGGGAATTTAAAAAGGAAATATACCAATTTTGATGAAGAAGTTATTTTAATGAAAGCATTAAAAGATTTCAATATTCCAAAAATTACACATGAAGATATCCCAATTTTTTTAGGATTAGTTAATGATCTTTTTCCCAATGTTCACTGTGATGATATATTTAACGAGGAATCATCATTTGTTCAGAAAAACCATTCAGAAAATTTTGAAAAAAAAGGAACAGTTTCTACACCATCTCTTCTTCAGGTAGAGCCTTCTACTACATCTCCAGTGCAGTTAGATGGAAAAGAAATATCACATTCATCTGAGACATCTTTTGAAAAAAAGCACGTCATAAGTTTCGATGAAGCTGTAAAGATCAGTCTTAAAGATGCAAATCTTCAAATGGATGAAAATTTTATATTGAAAGTAAAACAATTGAAAGATTTAATGGATGTAAGACATTGTGTTTTCATCTTGGGAGAAGATGGATGTGGAAAATCTAGTGTAATTAAAATTTTAATTAACAGCTTAAATAACATTGAAGAAAAAACCATGTACGAAGTTATTAACCCTAAATCTATAGAGTCTTACGAATTGTATGGATATTTAAATAAAAATAATGAATGGATTGATGGGGCCTTATCTTCTATTATGAGAAAAATGTCTAGAAATATTTTTCCATATAGCGAAAATGTTAAGCATAAAATATTGTTACTTGATGGAAATATAGATGCAGAGTGGATCGAAAGTATGAACACAGTTATGGATGATAATAAAGTCTTAACTTTGGTGAGTAATGAAAGAATACCATTTACAAAAGAAATGCATCTTTTCTTTGAAGTAACAAATATGAAATATGCTTCTCCTGCAACAGTCAGTAGAGGTGGAGTTTTATATATAAATAAAGGGGATATAAGTTACAAATTATTCTTAAGTTCATGGATTAATTTATTAAAAAATAGCATTGCTAAGACTGAATTTTACTACCTCTTTAACATTTTTTATGCACAAAACATTGAATTGTTGAGGAAACAGTGTAAATTCGCCTTTGATCTGTCCAATCTAGATATTGTAAAATCAATTTGTAATTATATTGATTACTTTCTCACGAAATATGAAAAGTACATTAACGAAGTAATAAGGAACATAGAGAATCGACATGGGGAACAGGAGGAGACTAATTTTAACTCATCCCAGGATATAGAACACGTCAGAGCAAATGAAACAGACACGAATGTAGCTATAACTACAGGTGCAAAGATGGAAACGGAGCTAACTGTGCAGAAAAGTGCCCATATAAATGAAGACGATAATTTTGCACCAAATGAAGAGGCCAGTAGTCATATATTGGGTTCAAAAAGAGGGGAGACAGATAAAAAAATGACCACATCTGCTATTGCCACCATCTCTTCTGCCACTGCTGCACCAAAGAAGAAAGGAAAAACTCAAATGGCTGACAATTTGCAGAACTGTGAAGAGAAAAATGTTCTTAATAAAATAAACTACAACTATGAAATATTGAAGGACTATTACAACTGCTTCTTTATGAACGCCTATATGTGGGTATTAAACAATTTAATAGTAGATGACAAAATCATGAATGCCAGAAACACGTTTAGCAACAATATAAAAAGCAACGTGAAGGTTAAGATGGGAAATGACTACTGCTGCAATTATATTTATAACATTTATGAAAATGAGTGGAAACACTTGAGTGAATACTTGGACGATGATATTTTGTTTTTGCAGAAGTTGCGATGGAATTTTGGAACTTCTCACTGTGGGGAAGTGGAAGAAATGGGAGAAGTTGAAGAAGGGGAAGAAATGGAAGAAGTAGACGAGGTGGCAGAAGTGGGCGAAGTAGACGAGATGGAAGAAATGGACGAAGTGGACGAGGCGAAGCAGTTGAAGAAAACCAAGGGAAGGAAAAAAAAGAAAAAAAAACATACAAAAAAAGCAGAAAACAACTACATCGAAAACATGCTGCCACAGAACTACGACGAGATATACATTAACACAATTGAACTGATAAGAATTGAGAAAATGATAAAATATTCTCTAGAGCAGAATCAGCCAATACTAGTTTATGGAAATAGCGGGACAGGGAAATCAAAGTGCATAAAGAACAACATAAATATGAATATAGAAAAATTCACACACACGATCATAAGCATTAACTATTATACAAATTCATTCATCTTACAAAAAATAATTGAGAATAATGTAGAAAAGAGGAATACAAGAACATATGGGCCTCCAAATCAGAAGAAGCACATTTTTTTTCTGGAAGATTTAAATGTAACTGCTAAAGATAATTGTGATACACAACAGACTTTGGAATTTTTAAGACAATTATTAACATACAAACTGATATACGATAGAGAAAATTTGGATGAAAAAAAATTTATTCACGATATTTTATTCATAGGAACTGTAAATAATAATTTAAACAAATTTATAGATAAAAGAATTCAAAATAAATTTCATATAATAAATATCGACGATATAAGTATGAAGAATTTTGAAAATGTATATAAAATAATATTAAAACAGCACCTGCTAAAATTTGACGATACTGTTAAAGGTCTTTTAAATAATATTATTTCTTTTTCTTACGATTTGTATAGCACTATTACAGAAAATATATCGTTCAATTTGTCCAATTCTGCACCACATTACTTATTCAATTTAAATGATATTCACATTGCATTTTATAACATAATCAAATGCACTAATCCTGATTTGTATAATGGAAGCACATTCAAATTCTTGATGATTTTCTTCCACGAGATGCAGCACTCTTATATAAACAAGTTGATATCCAATGAGCATATTGAAATTTTCACGAAAATTTTTAATCAACTTGTGCAGAAATACTTTCCCTTCATTCTGGAGGATTTTCAGAGACATACGGTTACCTTCGATGGAGACACGGTTCAGAATTATACCAATTCGTGCAGTAACGCTGAGAGTGCTGCTGCTATTGGAAGTGGTAGAAGTGGTGGAAATGGTGGGAGTGCTTCTGATGAGTGCATTGCACAGAAGGAATTGCCAATTTATGATTTTCGGAAAAATATATTTACTTCGTTCATATCGGTGCGAAACGGATTGGATAAGATGTACTTGAATGTGAAGAAGTTTTACGTGCTAAAGGAAGTGTTGACAGAAAAATTAAATGAGTATAACTGTACCCATGTTGAACTGCCGCTAGTTCTGTTTGATTATGCAGTGGTGCAGATATGCAAGATATGTCGGATCCTAGATTTTGACATTTCGCATCTGATGCTAATCGGTTTTGGAGGATCAGGAAAGCAGTCACTCATAAAATTGAGTATTTTTATTAATTCTTTAAATTTGCTACAGATATCTACAAATAACAGTTATGATTTAAGTAATTTCAAATCAGATATGCAAGAATTTCATTTTAAGTGTGCAATAAAACCAGGAAATGTTCACGTTTTATTGTTGAAAGAGCAAAACATTTTAGATCCATTTTTAACTTACATAAATGATTTGACATCAACTGGGCTGTGCAATGATTTGTTTACAAAGGATGAATATTTAGGAATTTTTTCCTCCATTAGAAATCAGATAAAATATTTAAATATAGGAGAAAGCAATGAAGATGTATTTAATTATTACATAAATAAAATAAGAAAAAATTTCAAAGTTGCAGTTACACATTCTCCTATTAGTAATTTGTATAGAGATCGATTAACAAAATTTCCATCCTTCTTGTCTAATTTTTCTTTTCTCTATTTTTTACCATGGCCATATGAAGCATTAGTAAATGTATCCAACAAATTTTTGAACGATTTAGATATTAATGAAGAATTGAAGCAAAGCATTTGCGAACACATGGCATATGTCCACACGAGTACGAACCAAATGAATAAACTTTATTTAGAAAAGAAAAATAGACATAATTATGTAATTCCGAAGACTTTCTTAGAATACACATATTTTTATAAGAATTTATTACAAGTGAAGACACAGCAAATTGAAAAATCAGTTGAGAGGTTGAATAAAGGATTATTAGCCTTAACAAGTACTAGAGAAAATGTTCAAATTTTAAAAAAAGAAATAGAAATAAAAATAAAAAATATTGAGGAAAAAAAAATCCAAGTGAATGAAATTTTAAATAAAGTAAAAGAAGCAACAGAAATTACTAATAAAGAACAAGAAATTGTAAATGAAGAGAAAAAGAAAACGGAAATATTTACGAGAGAAGCTATTGAAATTCAGATAAAGGCAGATAAAGAACTGAGTGAAGCTTTACCTATAATGAATAAAGCAAAAGAAGCTGTTAATTGTATCACTAAATCGGCAATTCAGGAATTGAAATCATTACAGAATCCACCAAAGGAATGTCTAGATGTTACACATGCAGTGTTAATCGCTTTAAAAGAAATAAAAAATTATTCTTGGAAATTTGCACAAAAGATTATGAACAATCCAACTCAATTTTTATCAAAATTACAAAAATTTGATGCAGAAAACATGGAAGAAGAAACAGTAAATTTGTTAACTCCATTTATTGAAAAAAAGTTTTTTAATTATGAAATGATGAAAACAAAATCATCTGCATGTGCATATTTAGCATTGTGGCTAGTCAACATTGTTAAATATAATGAAGTATATAAAAAAGTAAAACCTTTAATGGATAAATTACAAGAAGCAACAAATAACAAAAATAGTGCCCAGGAAAAATTGGATCTCTTAGAAAATAAAGTGAAAGAGTTAACTGAAAGTGTAGATAAATTAAGAACCAAAATGAATGAAGTGAATGAAGAAAAAAATAATGTCATTCGAATTTTTAACGAATCAAAGGACAAATTAAACAGAGCAGAAAATTTAGTTAGCATGTTATCAGATGAGTATAGTAGGTGGTCAGATGAAATTGCAATAATCATTTCGAATAAGAAATTTATTTATGGAGATTGTCTACTTCTCTCTTCTTTTATTACATACCTTGGAGTTTTTTCAAGTTCTTTTAGAACCAAATTGTGGAAAAATTTATGGTTTGAACACATCAAAAAAAGTAACATTCTCATAAGTGAAATTGAATCTCCCATTGATATCATGGTTCAAGATATACAAATAGCTAGCTGGAAAAATGAAAAACTACCTGAAGATAGAATCAGTATAGAAAATGCACTAATCGTAAGTACGTGCTATCGCTGGCCATTATTAATCGATCCACAGTTACAAGGTTTGAAATGGTTAAAGGAAAAAGGAGGAAACAACATTACATGCATACAATTTAACAGTGATAATTTCATCGCAAAGGTAAAAAATGTTATCTTGAGAGGAGGATATCTAATTATCGAAAATGTTAATGAAGAAATAGACAATATTATAGATGGATTACTAAACAGAGAATTTATAAAGAAAGGAAATGACACTTTTGTCAGAATTGACAATGAGGAAATGCAGTTCAACTATCCCAATGCACTTAGTCGAATTTCGAAAATTAAGTCCTTTTTCGAAGGTGATTCTGGGGGGGGTCCCCAGGCTGGCGACAGCAGCGGGGGTAGCGGAGAGGAAGTAGAAGAAGGGGAGGAAGTAGAAGAAGGGGGGGAAGTAGAAGAAGGGGAGGAAGTAGAAGAAGGGGAGGAAGTAGAAGAAGGAGATGTAGTAGTAGACGGAGATGTAGTAGTAGAAGTAGAAGAAGGAGATGTAGTAGTAGACGAAGATGAGGGAGAATCTGTGAAGGACGCCATGAGGGATGGGGGAGAAAGTGCTGCAAAGCGTGGCGCAGGAAGGGAGGGGGATGAAGGTGGTGCATCCACAGGAAGACGAAAATCGAATAAGACAAAAAGCGACAGAAAAAAGAGAAGGGGGAAAATGAAGGTAAAAAAACATAATAGAAACAAAAATGGAGATAAATTTGGACAAGAGGTAATAAATCCTTTTTCGAAACAAGAGAATAATAACAAGTCATATGAGAAGATGAGTAATTCCCTAAACCTGAATAAAAGTTTTTCCTGTGAAAGCATGACAAAGGTAAATTTTTTTAACCTCATTTTACAAACCAAGTTAAGTAATCCTCATTTCAAACCAGAAGTAAATAGCCAGTGTACTTTAATAAACTTTAGTGTTACTTGTGAAGGGTTGGAAGAACAAATCTTAGCTATCATTGTGAATATAGAAAAGCCAGAATTAGAAAAGCAAAAACAGATATTAGTAAAAAATAGAAATGAGTATAAAATAATTTTAAACAATTTGGAAGATGAAATATTATATCAATTATCCACTGCTGATTCGACAACTATCATAGATAATATTTCACTAATTAACAGTTTGAAGACAACTAAAGACACGTCCATCAACATACAAAAGCAAGTAGTATATTCTATTAAGACAGAGAATGAGATTAATAAAACTAGAGAATTGTATAGAACTCTCGCTAATGAAGCTTCAATCGTATACTTTATCCTTATCCTTATGCATAATATTAATTACATGTATCAGTACTCTCTGGATTCTTTCATTAGTTTGTTGCTTAAGTCAATTGAGGCTGTAAACACAGGACCAAGAGGATATAGAAGTCTATCTGGTGGTACATCTAGTGGTATTGATGTGAGAAAAGACGAAATGTCTCTAGAAGGAATCAGAAGTAACTTGGGTGATTCTAGAACCTACTTGCATGAAGACAATGAAATGGAAGAAATGGATCATATAAGCGAAGGAAAAGAAGATAACCAAGATGATGAAATGGGTGAAGCAAACCTTAGAAGGGAGGAGAATAATGCATATGATGAACATATGAATGAATTAATAATATCTTTCAGAAAAACAATTTACTCTTGGATCAACAGAGGATTGCTGGAAAAGGATAAGTTGCTGTTTAATTGCATTTTCGTTTTCAAATTATTGGAAAAAGAAAAGATATATGATAAAGATTTTAGTATGGATTATTTGAATTTTTTTTTAAAGCCACCCAGAAATAAAGAAGGAATTGAGAATCCATTAAAAGAATGGTTATCAGATGAATGTTGGAGAAATGTTTCTGTATTGTCCGGATTTAAGGAGTTTGAAAATTTAACCAATAATATACATATAGATGCACAACATAAATTTAAACAATGGTGTTCAGAAATACAACCAGAGATATGTAATTTACCCTTGGAGTGGAAAAAATTAAAAAATAATTCATTTAAAAAATTGTTAATAATAAGATCGTTGAGACCAGATAGAATAACGGTTACGTTGGAAAAGTATATAAAAAATGTTCTACCAAATAGTGAAGAAATTATGGAGAACAAAAATTCTTTTGTAGATACATTAGAATCTTCATACAATTTTATGATCAATTCGACTCCCATACTTTTCATATTAACCCCTGGATCGGATTTTATAAAATATGTAGAATTATTAGGAAAGAAAAATAAGTTTTTTCTTAATCATAATTTACATATTGTGTCCTTGGGACAAGGGCAAGAGTCCATAGCTTTATCAAAACTTGAGTTGTCACACAAGGAAGGGCATTGGATAGTATTAGAGAATATTCATTTAATGGCCAAATTTAATCTCGTTTTAGAAAATGTAATTGATAAATATGCAGCAGAGGGTTCTCACCCCAATTTCCGTCTGTTCTTAACTTCAGAAATAACGAAAAATATTCCCATAAGTATACTAGAGAGATCTATAAAATTGACTAATGAAGCTCCAACTGGTTTTAAGGAAAATTTAAAAAGAGCATTTACATTTTTCTCTTCAGATGATTATGAAGAAAAAGATTTAAGAACAAAAAACATTTTATTTTCTCTATGTTATTTTCATTCTATAATAGTAGAAAGAGCGAAATTTGGTGCTCAAGGGTTTAATATAAAATATCCTTTCAGCTTAAGTGATTTACGAGATAGTGCAAAGGTTTTATTTAATTATTTAGATAATCAGAATTCTATAAAAGTTCCATGGAATGATTTGAAATATATTTTTGGAGAAATTATGTATGGTGGACATATTGTAAATGATAAAGATATGTTAGTGTGTAAGACATATTTAAATTATTTCATGAAAGAACAATCCTTAGAAGGGATGCAATTAATTCCTTTTTCTAAAAATATACATTTGTTTAGTCCAAATAATTATGCATATGATAAAATTTTAAAATATATTGACACGCAAATCGTTGTAGAATCATCCATTTTGTATGGTCTAAATCAACATGCAGAAATGAATTTTAGAACAAATGAAAGTATAAAATTATTAAAAAATATTTTTAAATTAAAAATGAAAGAAAGTTCCACATTTGTAGAAGAGTTAACAACTGGAGAAACTTTAGAAGTTCGCACATTGAACATTTTATCAGAAGTATTGAACGAAATTGACAATGTCCATTTTAATGTTGATGAATTAATTAAATCGATACCAAATGATCAAATTACACCCCTGCAATATTTCCTTTTTCAAGAATGTACATTAATGAATTCTCTTACAAGTATTATAAAAAATTCTTTAAAAGAATTACATTTAGCAATTAAAGGAGAAATTAATATGAATAGAAAATTGGAATCATTAATGAATTCTTTATATAAAGATAAATTGCCAGAATTATGGAAAAATAATTCTTATTCAAGCAACAGAAATTTGTCTTCATGGATTTCAAATTTGAAAGAACGAATTACTTTTCTTTCTGATTGGTTTAATGACCCACTCATAACTCCTAAAGTTTTTAACATTTCTCTTCTCTTCAATCCAAATAGTTTCTTCAGTGCAATTAAACAAATTTTATCACGAAACGAAAAATGCGAGTTGGATAAAATTATTATGCAAATTGAAGTAACGAACAAATCATTAAACAATATTCATTCTTATCCCAAAGAGGGGGCTTATATATATGGTCTATACTTAGATGGTGCAAATTACGATATTGAAAAAAATACACTTTGCGATTCTTGTTCTAAGCAAAAGTATTTCCTCATGCCAGTTATACATTGTAAACCTGTTGTAAGTATGGGGAAAATAGAAACTGATGTGTACGACTGTCCTGTTTATAAAACTGTTTCTAGAGGTCCTACCTACGTCACCAACATAAAGCTCAAAACCAAGGAAAACGCAGAGAAGTGGATTCTAGCTGGTGTTTCTCTTATACTGGATATTGCTGATGAGTAAAAGGAGAAGAATGGCTTATCTCGCAAAAATATACCTGCTTATTCCCCTTTCACATGGAGGAGTAAAATATATGGTTCCACCTGCTTTTTTTTTTTTTTTTTTTTTTTTTTTTTTTTTTTTTTTTTGTAAATATATATTGTACGCATGCATACATTTTATTATGCTATAATAGGAATAATTTAGTTTTCGACTTATACCCGATGACCGCTTAAAAACTGTAACATACATTTGGTTATTTTTATTTTATCCTACTTTGTTTTATTTTATTCTATTTTATTGTACTTATTTATTTATTAATTTTATTTTATTTTATTTTTTTTTTTTGTTCTAAGTATGATAAACACGTGCTATTTTTACAACAAGGGGCCAGTTTAAGAGCAGCATTTTTTTTTCCCCCCCCACTTCACATGAACATGCAAAAAAAAAAAAATAAATAAGTAAAATAAATGAGCAAACAAATGAACAAATAAATGAACAAACAAATGAACAAACAAATGAGCAAATAAATGAACAACAAATTGAAATTGAATAGATAAATGTAGTCACATAATAAGGAAACTGTTCAAGTGGGGAAAAAAAATCGTTAACAAAAATACTACTCACTTGAATTAGTAATTACTTATTATATTTAGTGCTATATACTACTCCTGTGCTAGTCATCCCCCATGTGAGATGCAGGTCTATTCTAGCAACTAAATTTTTTCACCTTTGAGGGCGGTGGAGGTTTAAACGTAGTACTTAAGTGTTTACATTTCTGCGCGCATGTTTAACAAATTTGTTCTCCTGCACATGGGAAAGCTACTTTTTGTCATACTTTCGTTTTTAATCCCAGGGGGTGGGGAAATAGGGAACAAAAAAAATTTTTTTTTTTATGAACAGCTAGCCAAAATTGTTCATATTTGTTCGCTTGCTTGTAAGTTTAGCTTAGTTTAATTTTTTTTTTTTTTTTTTTCCTTTTCTTCCTTTTACCCATTTTATGCAAATATAATGTAAAAAGTTTAAAAGGTTTTTTCCGTGTTCACATACTAAGATTTTGTCTGCAAGCATTATTTTGTTTGATCCGAAGGTGTTAGGAATTTTCTTCCATCTCTTGTCCCCCCCCCGATTCATCTTTTCGTTAGTTCTTTTTTTTTTTTTTTTTCGCCTTATGTGTGAGCACTTCATTTGTGTAGGAACCTGACAAGATAAGAACTTAACGCAAGAGTTCTTATATATTCCTATACACCTGCATCCCTACATGTCAACACGAGTAAATTGTATATACACATATATATATATATATATATATATATATACATGTACATATACATAGAGTATGAATAGAGAGTACTTAATAACGTACCTTAAGTTACAAAATTCTGAACAGAATAGCAGCTTGTGTGAAAAGATAAGATATCAGGAAGGGGATGCGAAAGAAGCTGCAACACTCAGATGGACAACAAGATACCCTTCGCGAATGATGGAAGACGATGATGTTATAGAAACACTCTTTAAAAGAGACAGTGAATCGAGGAAAAGGGACAGATGTACAATATGCAAGAGCGATTATCGAAAAGCCATTAATACATTTATGAATTGGGAAATTGTGCTATTACTAACGAACCTTTTAGTTTTTCTCATAATAATATATAAATATTTAAGAGATAAAAAATTAGATACAACGCATAAAAAGTTGTTTAGGTCTTATGAAAGCGCCGGTCATTTTATGCAGGGTTTAACATTTGTTATTATGACTGTGCCATTCAAATTTACCAAGAAAATAATAAAGTTTATCTTCAACTGTGTGATGAAAAATGATTCATACATGAATGAAGCAAAACAAATATATGAAAATGTTGGAGGTATTCACGATATTGAAGCAAATAAAATAAATAATTACTTATCCAATGAGGAAGATGGAGAAATAGGAATAAAGTCAAAGGGAATCGAAAGAAACTCAGCCGTAAACACCACTCAAGATAATATCCATGAAAATAATATAGAAAGAGAAATAGCAAATGGACACTGTTTAAATCCATATAAACATGAAACATGGGGAGAGGGAAATGGAAACGAGCATCTTGTCGAAATTGGTGCTAATAGGAATAATACTTGTTGTAATGGCAGTGGTAATACTCACAAGAATTCCTCTGGGGAACGATCAAATATGAATAGACGAAGGAAGGGGGGAAACGGGAGTAGAGAAGGCTTTTGTGGAATAGAAGATAATGGAAACATTTCCTTATACGAATCTTTTGTTAATAGCTTGGGTTTCCCAGCCAACATACCAAAACATACAAAAGAAAAAGTTCAGTATTTTTTTTTATGCGCAAAATTATTTTCACAGAAAAAAAGCGCATACCTTTTTGTTTTCAAATACGTCCTTACCTTCATACTGATGTTTGCATATCCATTATACAATTTGATAAAGAGAATGATACGCTATAATTATTTTCACGAATCATCTTACTATATGAATGAATTCGACTTTGCTTCTGGTTTACTTGGAGGAGTAATATTTGTTTTCGTATATGGATTTTTCAGATTTTTTATTAACCTTTATATGAATAGAAAAAATGAGAAATTTTACTTTTATGATAATTACCCTTTTCTGACCGAAGTGAAATGCTTATGCGACAAGAACATAAGGATCATTATAAATAATAATCCAAACTTAAAAGGATTAGCGATACGTTACTTGAATTCATATTGTAATTACAAAACCCTTCTTTTAATGGGTCTTATAATTCTATCGAATGTACGTGCCTTTTCCTTCCTTTTTTCCCTTACCTCCTTGACGAGAAGTATGAATACAGAAGCCCAAAAAGAGTAACAGTGAGAGAGACACTACCCTTGCAACATGTGTCTAGACGGAGTGTATACATCTTCACAGCTTGTTTGAAACGTAACCTTGATTCCCAATCCGAACGCACACACACACCATTCTTTGTTTTCTGTAAACTTCGTGTGAAGCAAATCTGTAATTTGCAGATGAGTTTGTTTCCCAAATGGATCGTTGGCATGGTTTTTTTCTACCCAAGGAATTTCTTTCTTTTGTGAAATTTTTTTTTGAATTTTTTCGTGTGAATTTTTTGTGATCTTTTTTTATGAATTTTTTGTGATCTTTTCTTGTGAATTTTTTATGATTTTTCCCACTTTCCTATTTTCACTTGGCATCACTTGCCTTGTAAATGGTTTAAGTGTGCATGTTATAATTTTTGAAAGTGTCTGGGGATCATGTAAAATTTTTTTTCAAATTCGTTTAAACGAACCCTGTGCACGTATACAAATACAACTTGTATCATACATATGCATGTGTCTACATATAGCAACCAGATGGCTATCTCACCCTTATCCACCCCTCCAAACTGCCTAAATCTGTTAACCCGTTAAATTTCTTAAACCGCTAAAATGTCTGAAATTTTATTTAGTTCGTGACCCTTTATTTTTAATTTCTTTTTCAAATCTTGGATATGCCATTTTTTTAGTAATGAAAAAATGAAAAATCTCTTGGAACTGGTGAGAAGGGATTAAAAAGATAAATTTATTTCTGTAAATGTTCACGATGAAAACATGTTGAGAAGATACAAAAAAAAAAAAAAAAAAAAAGAGGGTAATTTATTTTCTCTCTTCATCTTTTTGTCCTTGCTCTCATTCTCTTTTTTTTTTTTTTTTTTTTTTTTTTTTGAAAGAATAAACTAGGCTGCGTGTGCTTTGATTATGTGTATATTTACCGTCGCTTTAAATGATACAATCGCGAATTTAATGTGAAAACATATATAAAATAGAAAGAAGTTATCAGAGAGATACAAACGGAAAAAGGTAATTTTCTGATGAAGCATATTTACGCTGCTCGAATTTAAAAGCTTTTTCTATTTTATAGTCGCGTAACTTGCTGTTCTAATTTTATAATCATACTTGCACACATGCACTCAACATACGCTTGTCACTACACCACTACGACTTTCGCGTTACCAAAACAAAAAAAGATGGTAAAATTATTGCACTAACAGAAGAGAAGAAGAATAGCAAAAAAAAAAAAAAAAAAAAAATGCGCAGAAAAATACATAAAGGAAAGCCTGGATGAACAAAAGAAAACGAAGATTTCCAAAAACAGAAAGAAGAAAACTGTACGCATGAAAAAAAGGAAGTTGTTTACAAGAATAATAACAAGAATGTAATGTTAAGTAGCTACGTTAAATCACCATCATATAGTAGCTAATTTATACCATCCCATTCAATAATTTTAGGCTTATAACTACAGAGGAGAACTAAACCCATATCCAATCTGCCTTAAGTGCTCCCCTCCCCCCCGTCCACACCCACGTGCATATATAAACATATATATATATATATATATAAGGGGCATTTTTCTAAAAATCCAACCGTATTGCTAGAGAACGAAGAGGGGAAAATGACTTGGGGACAATGGTGGCCGCATGACCCTGTGGCAAAAACTGAAAACCTGGACCCATACCTAGTCAAAGTAGAAAAGAAAAAGGTAAAACAAATAAACCCGTAAGGATGAGAAAGAAAAGAAACGGCAATCCCCAAATCGGCATATTTAAGAAAAAAAATACGCTATCATAATTGCACATGTTAGTATATATGTGAAAGCCTACTAGCCAAGTTGCCAGAATAGCGTGAAAATAATGCATTAAAATTATTAATGTTCATATTTTTTTTTTTAACGCAAAAAAAAAAAAAAAAAACACACACACACAGGTATATTGGTACTGCGCTTGCGGGACAAGTAAAAATCAACCATGGTGTGACGGAACACACAAAGGGAGCGGTAAAAATGATCATTATTTCGAACGAAAATGTATATATTAAAGAGAGATATTTTTGTAAACATTTCTTAAGCATCATTCCATGTTCGTGTCCCATTTATATAATTGAAAAAAAAATTTTCACACTCTATTGATCCCTTGCGATGGTGGGTACATATTTTCTCCTTAATTAATGTTTTTTTTTTTTTTTTTTTTTTTTTTCCTTTTTTGTTTCCCCTTTTGCGAAGGAAGAAAGCCTATCATGTATATCCCACAGACAAGTGGATACAGACTTCTAAGTGGTTGTAGACAAAGTACACATCTCCCACATTACGACTTTTCAGATTTATGGGTAAAAGCACCAAATGAATTGAAAAAAAATAAATCCCTTTCCCCATTTCCGTGTTATGATATATGAAATATTTGAATGTTTATTTGTTTTCATGTGTAGTTGTTAAAAAGGGAAATGAAATATAGATGTATCATGTAAAAGAATGAATTTTCGTTCCCTCCATATCTTTTATTTCTCGTCGCGTCGCACATTTTTTATTTTATTTTTTTTCTGTCTCACCCTTTCCATTTTACCCCAATTCCAAGGTTCGTGCAAATAAAAATGTTCCCAAGGCAGCCCTCTTTACGTATGTAGCACTTTTTTCATTTGGAATTATGACAACTTGGTTGTTTCACCCATAGAAAAAGGAAAAGTGCATAGGAGAGTATGTAACTTTATGCAAGTTGCGCAAAGAGTTATTTTTTGTCTTTTATTATTATTTTTTTTTTTTTTTTATCTTTTAATGATGTTCACCTAAATGTGCATGCGGTGTGTATGTATGGCCGTGTACACTTCATTGATACCCCTTTTCCCATACCTTAAACAAGTGTAAAAACAAACTTAAAAAAATTTTTCATTTTGTAAAAGTTAGAATTGTTGCAAGTTGGTGCTGAGCACACACATATGGATACACATGTGGGGATGCATACTTAGGTGAGCATTTTTTTTTTAAAAAAATCAGTTTCCACAAGAGGTACATTTTGCCCACGATATGGCGTTACATTCACACTGCTTAACATTAAAAAAAAAAAAAAAAAAAAGGAAAGAGAGGAGACGAGAAAAGAAGAGGAGAGAAAAGAAGAGAAGGTCAACGGAGGAAAGGCGGGAGGAGGGGATGAAGTATGAGGGAGTGTTGATGGCTTACCCACGGGAATTAAACACTCACACATAGGAGCATTCTCACAGTTGAGCACACTTTCTACACGATGGAATCACATCGAGCCTATGGATCTTTCCATTTTCCATGCTTCTTAATGAGCTGAATAAGTTTATCACAAGCTTCTTCCTCGGGTATGTTTCGCTCAACCAATTGTTTACCATAGTATAAATCAATTTTTTTAGGAGCACTTCCCACATAACCAAAATGTGCATCCGCCATTTCCCCAATACCATTAACAATACAACCCATGACAGCAATTTTAATTCCCTTTAGATGTCCAGTTAGTTTCATAATTTTTTTCGTTGTTTCTTGAATATTAAAAAGGGTTCTGCCACAAGATGGGCATGCAATATAATCAGTTTTAAATAAACGAATACGTGTATCTTGTAAAATGTTTAGAGTGATAAATGAACTGAGCGCAACTCGAGAAGATATGTGTTCTCTATTTTCCACTTTTACATTAACAGGATCATTTGTAACATTAATTATAAGTCCGTCACCCATTAAATCGATTAAACACGTCCCAACATATACTGTAGAATCTACCAGTATATCATCATAATTAGTAGAACTAATATTAGCATAGTGTATATAAGGTATATTTATTTTTAATGAATTTACAATTTCGTTAAATCTTCTCGTAACAAGTACATGTTCATATATATTATCCGATTTTAAGAAGAAAAGTATAGGACGTGAATTTGATTCTTTAATTTGATTCATCACCTGTTCTATCAGTTTAGAGTCTTCTTTTCCGTTAACAGTTAGTGCATAACCATTTTCTCCGTTTTGCAGTGGAATCCGACCATTATGCTTTTCTAAAATGGTCCTTAAATTTTTTATATCGATGTAAAATAATATGTTCTTATTTAGGTTCACTTTAACTTGATTAAGCACATTTACACTTCTTTCATCATATTCTACGAAGATGTATAACCCTGCTTCAGTCAATTTTTCAATTGTCCTTTTTGCTCTGTCTGTTAATTCATCAATGTTCGGTATAATTATTATGTCTGTTGATTTGACCCCTTTTTTAAGATTTCCATTTTGGTCCAATTCTAAATTCAAATCTTTAAAAATTTGAAGAGCATCTTCTAATTCTTTTACAGTGATTACGTTTCCGATGGTGCATTCTTCGTGTAGTACTTTGTTTTTCTTTTCTACGTTTCTTTTGGTTATACTGTTGAAATTTCGAAAATTCTCTTCAAAGGATAATAGCGAAGATGTTGTGGTATTTCCAAGCGTAGATGGTAAAATGTTATCTTCTGATTCTTGATAAAACATTCTTTTTTTTAAATTTTGAATTAATTTTCGGCAAGGAGTTAATTCTTCCCAAGGGTCCTCAGTGAGAGAAATTCTAATGGTGTCTCCAATTCCGTCATATAGTAGTGACCCTATGCCTAAGTATGATTTAATTCTTCCATTATCCCCATAGCCTGCTTCTGTTACACCTAAGTGTATAGGGAATAACAACCCGTTTTTCATTTTTTCATACTGCTTAGAAACTAGTAATCTATAGGAATGTATCATTATGTATGCATTAGAAGCTTTCATAGAAAAAACGACATTAAAAAAATTATTTTGTGTGCATAAATCTGAAAATTCAAAAGCTGATTCAACCATACCTAAAGGTGTATCTCCATAGTACGAGAGCATTCTAGAAGACAAGGATCCATGATTTGTTCCTATTCGTATGGCTCTATTTAACCTTTTACATTTTTCAATTAAAGGAATAAACTTTTCTTTAATAAATAATTTACCTTGATCAAATTCTTCTTTTGTTTTGAATACTTGATCAATCCATTTTTTTCTTCCATCTACGTAATTCCCTGGATTCACGCGAATTTTGTCAAACACATCAGCTGCCATTAGAGATATTTTTGGATTAAAATGTATGTCAGCAACTAAGGGAATAGTTACATTTTCAGATAATAATTTTTCTTTAATACGGTAGCTCGCTTCTACTTCTTGAACCCCTTGAACTGTTAGTCTAACTAAATCAGCACCCAAATCTTGGCACTTTTTAATTTGATATACACATTCTTCTACATTTCTTGTATCACAGTTGGTCATGGTTTGAATAGCTATTTTGTTATTACCCCCAATTTTTATATTTCCAATAGTAACTTCCCTCGTTGGTAATCTCCTATACCTTTTACTACATTCGCAGTATTTCTTTATGCCTTTTATAAGATTATATTTTTCTTCATCTATTAATGATGACTTTAAAAAAATTCTTTTCCTCTTCTTCTTCTCCGTACCTTTGAAATCTAGCAAAAATAGATACAAATTCTGTTTATTCCCTTTGTTTCCTTTTGCAAATATGTTAATAATATTAGATCTTTTTTGGAAGACCTTTTTTTTTATTTTTATATAGGAAGATACTACTACCACAAAAAAAAGTAGCCTTTTTACGTAACTCATTTTGGCTTTCCAAGCAATTTTCGTTTTGAAATATTACGGGGGGTTCGACGCATTGTGAATCACAACAGAGTGTGTGAACAGAGCCAGACGTTTTGTAAATTGGTTTCCTTATGGCACATGTATTTTCATTTGCACATTTATCCGTGTATTTTACATTTATTTTAGATAATGCCTTTGTGTTCGCCTACGGACAAGAGGCAACAAACTTAACGCTGACATAATTGGGAAAAAACAAAGGGAGTATGCGAGTGTGGATTGATTGAGGGATTGGCTGAGGGATTGATTGAGGGATTGGCTGAGGGATTGATTGAGGGATTGGCTGAGGGATTGATTGAGGGTTTGATTGAGGGATTGACTGAGGGATTGATTGAGGGTTTGATTGAGGGATTGACTGAGGGATTGACTGAGGGATTGACTGAGGGATTGGCTGAGGGATTGACTGAGGGATTGACTGAGGGACTGACTCAGGAATTGATTGAGGGATTTCCTTTACAGGTAATATATATCACGTTATTTTATCAACGTGGTGTTTCTTTGTTATCTAGTATCTGCTGCTCTAACGGCCTGGGGATTAGCTATACATTCTTTTTTATTTTCATTTTTATTTTACTTTTTATTTTTTCGTTTTTACTTTTATTTTATGCATTATTTATCTTGTTGTTACCTACCCACTGAAAAAGTTACTTAACTGCGTGTCAATGACTTTCATAATATATTCTATATAAAATCGATCCCCTTTAATTATATTATTACTGATTCTGTCGAATTGCTGCTACAGATTAGCACACACTTATGTTTCTTTTTTTTTTTTTTTATTATTTCCTCAAAAACATATGAACAGGTTCTATTCCTCTTTTTGCTCATATTATTTGCTCTATCATTGTTTTTTTATTTTATTATTATTATTTTTTTTTTTTTTTTCCTTAAATTTTACACTTTTTCCTTACCCTTGTGTATAATTACTTATGGATGTAAAACTTATTTTTTTTTTTTTTTTTTTTTTTTTTCTTATAAAAAAATAAAAATAAAAAATAAAAAAATATGCTATTTGAAATTATCTGAAGTGTACGCAAATTGGGTATAAATTGCTAAACATCAAAGTGGTAATAATATACAAGTGTGTAATTGTTATGAACAGAAAAATTAGCGAAAAAGTGAAGAAGAAATATAGACTGAGTTCAAAGTATTGTAAACAAGCTAAAGATTTTTGTTCGAGAAACTTGTTGGAGATTCGTTTGAAAAATATGAATCTTAATTCACGAAAAATTAGTCACAAATCTTGACATTGTGGTGGGACACTGATATATGTAGAAACAACCTCTGTAGGGCAATAAGTTAAATTGTTATGTAAGGAATGGATCTCTAAAGGTTGGTAACTTCGTCATGTGTAATTTTAAAGCTCACATTGTAAAACTGACCCCTGAAAATCATCGTTGTGACCTTTTGAGTGAGCTTCAATATTGGTGCATATGCTCAAGATTAACCGTAAATTATGTTAGTTATACATATGTAGGTAAAAATATGTGGATCTATACACATAAACAATGAGACATAAACGTTTGTTTTGTCATTCACAAACCCTTTAAACAGGGTTCCCAACATTTCCCCCCTAATCATCGAGAAAAGGCAAAAAAGATTTGTCTTACAATATTCCAACAATTTAATTGCCAACCACTATACACCCCCACTTCTTCTCATATTCAATCTACACTTTTCTTTCTTTTTTTTTTTTTTTTTTTTTTTTTTTCTTTTTCTTACACAATGTTTTGATATGACATGGATGAAAACTAACTCATTTTTCTTTGAAGTGAATAAAATGGTAAGTATAAATCATATCAAAATCCCCCCACCACCACCAAAAAAAAAAGAATGTTTTCATTTTAAAAAAGTGAAATATCTTTTTGTCTCACACCTTTTCAAATATTTTTTCACAAGCTTATAATATCACTTTTGTAACATTTTCAGAACTTAGAATATTTAATTTTTAATTTTGTTTACAACGAAATTACCATACTGCTTGATAAAACTAGTACGGGAACTTAAATACATAATTTAATTTTATCAATGAAAAAAAAAACAGAAAAAACAAAAAGAGCACTTATAATAAAATTATGCAATTGTATGTAGAAAATATTTTCTATTTTCAATTAAGTGGAGAAGAAGTGTTGTGTGTGGAAATAAAACATATGAGCCAGCGATCTTATGCTCGGACACTACTTCATTAGGGTTTCTCATAAAAGACATGAATTTTGATAAAACAAAAAATGTGTCTCAAAAAAAAGAAAAAAAAAAAAAAAAAAAAGTTAAAAACTAAGGTATTGTCTACGTTAGATAAAATTTTAAACAAACAATCCTTTCCTCTTTAGGATGACCGAAGTGTGCATATTTTAAACTTAAGCAGGGCTGCGTTGTTCCGTATGAAAGGTTATAAGGATGAGAAGTATTCAAAATGGATATCCATGAACACACATGTGCATGCACTTTTGCGCTCCTTTTCTGCAAAATAAAATTAACTATAAGGTACTATTATCTATCAAAATTTAGTCAAACGTAAGTATTATATGGGGGGAGGGGTAAAAATTTCGAATTGTTTTGTTTTACTTCAAATTTTCACTTTTATCATTAACAGTGTCGTGATATATGTTAGTGCGCACTAATGAAAGTACCTGTCCAGTTTAGGTAAATTAAAAAAAAAAAAAAAAAAATTTTGCTCATAAAATGCATTTTTTTTTATATTTTTTTTTTTTTTCTCCTTCTATAATGAACAATCAGATATATTAATATATTTAACCCCATTACAATACACATGTTCAAAAAGAATGTCTTTTCCTTAAGGAGAAACATCAGAATTGTTGATATCATTTGGAGATTTGATTAAGCAAATCGTGCTTGAAAACAAAATTTTATCTTTTTCATATTTGCAAATTAACAATTTCGAATAAATTTTTTTTTTTTTTTTTTAATAAAAAAAGGAAAAACAACACACTGAAAAAGAATGTCTGTGTCCTCTTCTCAATCGAGGAACTTTTCATATTACGAGAACCAGGCAGGGATTGTTGTGTTTGCATATATTTTTGCCCTGTAACCAATGATGCGTGCATTTTTTGCACTTTCTTTTTTTTTCCATTTTTTTCACATATCAACGTACGTACATTGTCCAGTAATTTCATATACAAGAAAAAATCTTTCCGAAGAAGATTAATTATTCGCATGCCAACTTATTTTTTTGCAAAAATAAAAAGAATAAAATAAAGCGAAGCAAAATAAAACAAAATAGAATGAAATAAGACAAAATAAAACAAAACAGCACAAAATAAAGCAAAATAGAGTGGAAAAAAAAAAAAAAAAAAAAAAAAAAAAAAAAAAAAAGTAAAAAAAAAAAAAAAATTTTAAAAAAAAAAAATTTTTTAAAAAAAAAAAAAAAAAAAAAAAAAACGAAAAAAAAAAAAAAAAAAAAAAAAAAAAAAAAAAAAAAAAAAAAAAAAAAAAAAAAAAAAAAAAAAAAAAAAAAAGAGGAAAAAAAAAAAAAAAAAAAAAAAAAAAAATACAAACATGTGCGACAATAGGAATTCTTTTAAAAAAAATAATTTTTTTATAAAAAAGTACAAGAGTTGAGAGAAAATATACATACATATATATGTGTTATAACAAAACTTGCAGAAGCAACACTAATCTATAGGAACTCCAAACATTTCCACTTTTGAAGTTACAATGAACAACCAGTTCATGAATATTCCCATAAAGAAGGCTATTTACACGTCTGATATGGTGGAGAAGGAAGAAAACAAAAAGAATGTAGGGGGACAGCACGGAAACAACTCAAACGTTGGAAATCCCCATGTCAATAATCAACACCCGGGCCAGTATTCCAATCAACACTCAAACCAGCACCCAAATCAGCACCCAAGTCAGTATTCCAATCAACACTCAAACCAGCACCCAAATCAGCACCCAAGTCAGTATTCCAATCAACACCCAAATCAGCACCCAAATCAGCACCCAAGTCAGCACCCGGGCCAGTATTTCAATCAACACCCAAACCAGCACCCAAATCAACACCCAAACCAGCACCCAAATCAACACCCAAACCAGCACCCAAATCAACACTCAAACCATTATCCCAATAGTCAATATGCAAATGCACCACATCCGAATATGCCCAACACCAATTACAACTACCCCTATCCAAACATGCACAATTACCAATATCCCTATCCCATGCCTCCACCACAACAACAAATGAATATGTTCACAAATGATTGGAAGAGCATCTTAGCCCCATTAAAAAGTTGCAGAATAAAACAACAATTTGATGACAGAGAATTTTTAGCAGATTTTGCCATGGGGTTTAAAGTAGATTTTAATAATAGGTATTTAGTATTAGATGGATCAACTGAGTTGTTGAAATTTACAGCTACTGAACGTTCAGATTGTTTTAATAGAAATTGTTTACCGAAAATGTGTATTCCAATTAATATGAATATAATATCATATGGAAAAGAAATAAGTAAACCTGATATTGTGGTAGAAAAGGATTGTACATGTACTATGCTGTGTTTAAATAGACCAACTATTAAAATGTATGATTTTTCAAATAATAATAATAAGGAGTTAATCGGAACTATAAAAGCTCCTTTCAGTTGTTGTTCATACAAATTTGATTTATTTGATTCTTCCAATAGAAAGATTATTTATATGGATGATACATGTTGTCAGCTTAGTATTTTATTTCCTCTTCCATGTGGCCCTTTTAAATTTAGTAATTTTTTTTTGCGTGATGCAAAAACGAATGAAAAAGTTGCTCATTTGCAAAAGGAAGTTCCATTCTTAAAATTTGTAAAGAGGGATATTGACAATTATACCTTAAACTTTGAAGAAGTGAAAAATCCTGAATGGAAAATGATGCTCTTAGCCTTTTCGCTATTTATGGATTACATATATTATGACGCCAAATGAGATCGCTTCAAAGGGTCCACTTTGGAAGGTTTACCCTAGGAAGAATGAATTCAGTTGAAGAAATGGAAAACGAGATATAAAAAAATCATAAGATATTTTTTGAATTCATTCATCTCTCGACATGTTTTAATAACTAAGCTTATTGTTGTAGAAGGAAGGATTGTTTCTTTTCTATTTCTTCTTTTTTTTTTTTTTTTTTTTTTTTTTTTTGTGTGTGTATGTTGCATTATTAAGAATGAATTATCTTCGTTATGCAACGGGTTTCCCAGAATACGCGCGGAGAGAGAAAGGAAATATATATAATATCGACAGTATATACTAAGTAGAATGTTATACTTCCTCTTGTTTTACATTTTCGTTTTCATATTCATGATTTCGCATTTTCCCTTTTTTGTCTTAAGTGCAAAAAAAGAAAAAAAAAAATTAATCATAATAATTTGCTACTATCTCTAATGTGTTTGGGGCTTATAAATAGTCCGTATGCATATATCTGTAGGTACATAGATATGTATGTCGGTTTTTATTTTCCAATTTCAGACGTTTTATTTTTTTTATAATTCTCGTATGCATACATATATATACATATGTATATGTTTGGGTGTGCAGGAATGCACACGTATTGACCATGCTTGTGTGCATGTATATATTTAAAGGAATATAATGAACATAATACTAATTAATGAAAAGCGCAGCATTTTCATAAATTAAAAATTCAATTAAATGAATTAGTGAACATCTCAAATAAAATGGTCAGGTGGGGAAAACCATGGGTGGATTAAATAAAAGGAGTGGTGGTTATACCAAGGTGGGATAAAACAGAACAAAAAAAAAAAAAAAAAAAAAAAAAAAAAAAGCCATGCGCACGTACACATATGTGCACACGTATGCACATTGTTAAAATTTGAAAATCCCTGGGAAGAGCAAAACATACATATGAGTTTCAATTGAGGAAACAAAAATACTCCAAAGGGGATAGCGATCACAACACACAGTTTTTTGTATATACCCATAGTGCACCTCAGATGTACTACTAAGGGTGGAAAAGCTAAATATCTGTTCCATTCGCTTATGTCTACTTAACTAACTAGCTAGAGAATTCCTCGGCATTATCACTTGAGCTCCCATTTGTTATGCTCGATTCGTATTCGTCTAATAATAGTAATTCTCTATATTTCTGAATTTTATTATGATATTTTTTTAGCGCTTGATATTTTTGCTCACACAAAATAAAAGCATCTTTTCTATTTTTTTTATTTTCAGTTACAACATTTAGCTGTCTCAACCAATGTTGTTTTGTTCTCAAAAAGAATTCATTTAAATTTTCATTGGCATCAAAATTAAACCCAATACTTTCGGACTTTATTTTATTTTCTATTTTTTTAATTTTATTAGAAATTATTAAATTTTCTATTTCCTTTTCATCTTTATCTTCATCATCTATAGACAATGAAGAACTCAAATCAGTTTCGTCTACATATATATCATCCAGATTTCCTTTATGTACTAACTCCCATTTTTCTCTTTTAAAAATATTAATTTTCCAATGATCACTCAGCATAATTTCGTTATTCTTATATTCATACATACCACCAAATAGATGTAACATTTTGTTTAATACGAATATATGGCTATTGATTCTCCCAATTGGTTCCCCATCATTTATTACGAACTTCACTTTTTTGTCTTCCCTGTTGCTTTCTGAGTCTGAATCGGTTAAGCCATCTATATGTATTATGGCATCTTCTTTTTGTTCTATGGGAAGCTCCCCCTGTAATATGGTATGCTTCTCCTCTGCTATGGTATACTCCCCCTCTGCTATCGAATGATTATTGTCGTTTCTCCCTACACAACCATTCGGTGCTCCTTTTTCCTTAACAGTTTTGTCACCATTTTTATCATCGTTAAGCGTGCAAGATTTACTCAAGTTCTTTACATTTTTTAAGTTATCCACTAATTTTACGAGGTTCGAATGTGTTGATTCTTGGGACTGTATAAAAATGGGGTGTGTGTCAATTACTTTGTTTACTGTGGTAGAGCACGTTTCTTCCTTCACATTCGGCAAATGGTTATCTCCGTTTTGAAAATTCTCCTGAAATTCTTTTTTCTCACTGTGGATTTCACATCTTTTTTTATTTCCCTCCCTTTCTTCCATACCCTTTCCTTGCTCTCCTTCTTCATCTTCCCTATTTATCTTCATAGTTTTCTTATTCCCATTTTCATCAAAATAGACAAACACACTTGAGTAGTACTCGTCATCATTATTGTTGTCACTGAAATCGCTGGAATCGTGGCTATCCGATAAGATATCCTTCGATGTGCCAAATATGGCTTTTTTATTTTTGGAAAAAGGTTCTCCTTCCTCTGGTAGGAAATGCTTATCGTTATGCCCACCATTTTTGTAGTTTTTGTTGTCGCTATCCCTTGAATGGGTTTCACTCGATTTGAGTTCTTCACTTTTATTTTTTTTATTTTCCCCACTGTTTTTATTTATCTCTTTCGGGTGAGTAGTGCACTTCAGGATAAGGTAGGACCAGTGCTCTTTGTTCATGTCGAATGAGTATAAATCGTTAAAAAAGATGGATTGCATGTTTAGAGATTCCTCTAGGGAGATGCCATTTTTGTTAGTATTTTTGTCTCCATTGTGCGTACTACTACTCTGTGTTGTTATATTATTCAAATTATTTTTTTCCACTTTGTCAAAAACGCCTCCAAATAATATTAACGAATTTTTGTAAATGCATGTGCTGAAGCCAATTCTCTTGGAGGGTTGAAAAATACTTTTTTTTAATTTTTTAAAATTGACTGAAATGTTATCTTCTCCTAAATAGTTTATATTTATTATCCACATGTCACTGTAATAAATACCGATTGCATTTCTTGCTGTATTTTTTATCTGCGCATAACCACCATATATATACACTTTCTGAAATTTCATATCTGTGAACAGACTAACACTAGATCTCTTAGATGGCATGTAAGAATCTAAATCGAAATTTTTAAAAAATGTGTTTTTCACATTTGGGGATAAACCTATTTCGTTCTTGTTTTTTTTTTTTTCATTTTTTGTGTATAAAGAGGAGTTACTATTATTTTCTCCATCACCTTGTGTCAATCTCTTAAACAAAGAATTTAAATATATATTTGTTAGATTTACCCATTTATTGCTACTGATAATGTACATATATAAATCGTTAAAATATTCTACTGACCTTCCGTTATCAAAAAAACCTCCAAACATAATTATACAGCTTTTCCATAAAATCATTCGATGTCCGCTCCTCGGGGAAGGTTTTTCATCTCTTTTGTTTTTACATTCTATTTCTTCAAAGGAGTTATTTTTTAAATCAAATGACCAAAAATCACTGTAATGAAAAAATTGTGTGTTGGTACATAATTCGCCTCCAAAAATGTATAACTTTTTATTGAAATAAACAGCTTGATGTGAACACCTAGGTTTGGGTTTTTTACTAGTTGTGTAATAATATTTCCATTTATCTTTAACTATATTATACTTAAATAAATCATTATATGCTATTAATTCATTGTTATCATTGTACTCACCACCAAATAAAAGAAATTCTTCTTCATTAATAAAAGTTACAGAAGAGTTTGATCTGGGGCTCGGTTTGTCACATTCTACAAATGTGTTGTTGGTTGTAGTATTCACATTTATGTGTCCATACTTATCCTTTTTGTTTAAATTTTCGTAATACAAACATATAGTTTCAAAATCTGCATCACTTAATGCATCATTGATGTCATTATTGTTTTTTTTTTTTTTGGATTTCAAGGACTTAAGCTTTTGCTTCTCTTTTTTCTGCTTTAGTTTTTCTTGCTTTTCTTTACTTTTTTTATTTTTCTTTCCCATTTTATCATATCATCTTTTTCTTTTTTTTGTATGTATGTATTTTCCGGCTTATCTTTGTATTTTCGTGGTACCCAAATGATTTCGAGCAAGTTGTATATACATATGCATTCATAGAACTTATGTGTATATTATACATAAGTTCATAGAAGAGCCCCTCATTCTATCCTTTTCAGGTATTCAATGGAAATTTGAAAATTCTTATTTTTGTTGACCACATAATATTTTTCCTAATTACTCAGAGGCGCTCGCCGAATCTAAAATGTTATTCCGCTTTGTTTTTTCGCATATTTATTAATTTATTTCTATCACTTTTTTTATTATTTTTATTACATGCCTGAACAAAACCTAAATCGTTTTTAATTTTTCTTGTGGCACGGAGATATCATGTCGAACCTTCATCGTCACCTATATTTTTAACCAATTTTGAGTCATATTTTTAGTACTTTTTTTTTTTTTTCTTTTTTTTCACATGGTTATGATTCTACCCTCATTTTTTTTTTCATATCCCTTGAGGATTTTTTCTTTTTGGAAAATTGAAAAAGGAATTTATAGGCATCTACATTTTGTAGATGATGAAATTTGTTTTTTTCCTTTTTTTTTTTTTTTTGTGTATAATGTTTGAAAAGTAATAGGTATACGAGGTAAGAGTGTATATAAATAGAAACCTGATTGGAGGTGGGCGAAGGAGAGAAGAATGAAATTGCAGGACGATTCATAAGGTAACAACAGGGCAGGTAAAATATCAAGCATGATTTTTTCTTTTGTTTTAATTTCTCCTTTTTGCATTCCCGCACATTTTGACCTTTTATTAAAAGGTACTTTTTTATGTCCTCCCCCCCCCAAATTTTCATTTCTCACAAATATTAAACATTATCATTATTGTGTTTTAAGAGATATGATAAAATATCATTTTCTTCAGCTTTGCAAAGAATTTTATCATCTTTATTATAGTTTATGGAATGAGAAGTTTTTATATGGACTACTGGGTAAGAAAAAAAAAAAAAAAACATTCCTTTTTTCCCTTACAAACATAAAGAAAATGGATAAAGTTTTAAAAACACACACCCCATAACATTATTTTTAATTATCCCTCATTTCTTCCGTTAAATCGGTTTATTCAATTATTTGAACAATTTCAATCAAATTAAAAGCAAAAATATGTAAGTCGTGTGACAGGTTTATACATTTTCGTCTTTTGAAAACTTTCACAAAGTCTACAAATGGACAATTTGTCCCACACAATTCATATTTTATTCAGCATTTGTCTGACATCTATATTTGTAGCCAATATAATACGCTGAATGTATATTTTCACATCACATGTCTATGAAAAAAAAAAAAAAAAAAAAAAAAAAAAACATTGTCTAGCCAAACTTGTGATATTTATATGAACTCACATGTACTTTTACATATAGCTCATTTCATGCAATTGTCCTTAAAACTCTGTTTAAAATAATGTATGAAGGGATGTATTGTTCACAAATAGGAAATATATTTTTCCATAAGTATCATTTAATGACTTGCACAGCTCAGAAGGTGATACATATGCATGCAAAAAAAAAAAAAAAAACAAAAAAAATTGCTAAAATATTTTACAAAAAATAAAGAAAAATAACAAACCTTTTTTTTTTTTTTTTTTTTTTTTTTACGCAGCATAAGTGCATGTTGCTTATTTTCTTTTAAAACATTTCAAACAAAAGGAATATTTACAATTGTACGCATACACACATACGGCTCATATATGTAACATGATATACCACAGCCCTAATTGTAGTAATATTTTTTTGTGAGACGAAACTTAAAATTTTCACTCAATTTCTTCCTTGTGTGGCAAAATTTTATGTGATCATTTACTGCACACCATTATTTTACCATTCTTCTTGATTAACACAAATGAAAATTTTCGATCTTAATTTTCCACACTTTTGTTCATTGGTGAATGCCCTCGACATTAGTTGAATAGAGTAAAGGAGTTTTATTTAATTGTACATTTCCATGTTTTACCGCTTTAATAACATATCATTTAAACTTTTTTTTTTTTTTTTTTTTTTTATTTTTAGCTCTCCATTTTTTTATTCTTTTCGCCTCCATGGGCAGAATTATGCATCACATAGACACTTTTCCATTTTATTGAATTTTTACATCAAGTTAATCACAGTGCCGAGAGTGAAGAAGAAGAAAAAAAAAAAAAAAAAAAAGCCATACGTATAACCTACTGACGTAGACATAAATCATTACATATATAAACACACTTGTCAGGAGCAAGTGTGAAAACATACAATACTTTTCACGAAAGAGACAAATACCATTTAAGCATAATGAAAACAATCCAAAATATTACATATCGAAGCACACGACATAATGCAAGCCTTGATATAGTATCTATGGGTAGATACGTGCACAAGGGGATATTCACATCTCATCCAGAAAAAAGACAATATGATGAAAAACTTTTAATGAGTCATAAGAAAACAAAGTTAGTAAATGAGAAAAGGTGTTTTTTTAACTGCCCAAATGTTGGCATGATACCTGTTGTCAGAATAAAGGGGATAAATATGAAGCATGTTTACCATTTTTCAAGTGATAATAGGGTGGAATCAAATTTATACTTAGAAAATTATTCTAAAATAAAAAAACATATCAACAGTATAGATAATGAGGAATCTGTTATTATGACAATTTTGAAGGAGAAAACATATGAATGCATACAGAAAACTCGGGAAAAATTAAAAGGAATTATACATACATATCCAAACACACCCATTTCTATTTGTACACCAAATAATGTTATTGGGGGATTAAGAAACACCATAACATTAATTACTGACACGTCCATTTTAGAGAAGAGGAAAGGGATTCTATTTAGAGGTAGAACTGTAGATAAAATTTTAAAAGATTTTCCGAAATGGGACGAAAGTTGTGAATATCCTATGGCAGAAGCTATGCTTTGGTATTTATTAACAAAAGAAATACCAGCAGTTGATGATTTAAAACTGTTTTCAAGAGAATTATATTGCAGAACTAAAAAAATTCCACCATGTGTTTTTGAATTTATAGATAATATACCTACCTTTACACACCCAATGAGTCAATTGATATCCACTGTTTCGTTTTTAGAATCATTTTCTTTATTTAAAATAAAATATTCTGAGGGAATATTAAAAACGGATTATTGGAAATACATTTTGGAAGATGCTGTTTCTCTAATCGCGCAAATTCAAGTTATTTGCGCATATATTTTTAAAAGGACCTTTATAGATAATAATATAAAAAAAGGAGATGGAATGAATCTAGATATTGATTCTGATTGGTCAGCTAATTTTGCAAAATTAATAGGTTTTGAAAGTAATGAGGTAAAGGATTTGTTAAGATTATATTTTCTTTTACACAGCGATCATGAGGGTGGAAATGCAAGTGCTCATGTATCTCATTTGATAGGAAGTACCTTAGGAAATCCTTATTTGTCTTTTTCTGGATGTGCTATTGCATTATCTGGACCGTTGCATGGGTTAGCTAATCAAGAATGTTTAAAATTTCTCTTGGACATAAAAAAAAAACTTGATGGTAAAGAACTAACATATGAATTTATTGAAAAATATGCCAAAAACTTTCTAAATTCTGGAAGAGTTATTCCTGGATATGGGCATGCAGTTTTAAGAGTCCCGGATCCTCGTTTCTTAGCTCTTCGAAACTTTGCTTTAGCACATTTTCCAGATGATCCTATTGTGCAAATATTAGAAATGTGTTATAAGGTAATACCAGGAATTCTTTCAGCCACTGGGAAAGTGAGAAATCCATATCCAAATGTTGATTGTTATAGCGGTTCTCTCTTATATCATTATGGCATTAAGTATCCAGAATACTATACCGTCCTCTTTGCGCTTTCCAGATCCATAGGCGTAATGTCACAATTGGTATTATCGAGGGGATTAATGTATCCATTAGAACGACCTAAATCGGTGGATGTGCATAATTTAAAAAAAATATGCGAAAGAAATTATGTTAAAATTGAAGAATTCGAATAAGACCTTACCCACGGGGACAACATTTTTAGCCAGAACATACATATAGCTATACCATTTTTTCCCCTTCAATTATATATATCCCCATCATCAAACATAACCAAGTGTATTACTGCAACTACTCCATTTTTTACTTGCGAACGTGCATGTTTATACATATGTACACATGTGTGTGTGTGTGTGTGCTTTTATGTAATGTTACCTTTTGAGGTGAAATAAAAGAAAAGGGCTATATTATATATGGACTTTTTTTTTTTTTTTTCCCATCCAAAAACAGGATATATTTTTCATGTTTTAACATTAACAGTATGAAACACTGTAACGAAGTTGGATTATTCACATTTGGCAGCGGTGCATTATTTTCTTTTTTTTCAGAATTATTTTAGTAAAATAAATTAACCTTATCATGCTTTAAATAAAAAGAATAAAAAAAAAAAAAAAAAAATGTAACGCTTTCGTAATCTTTAAATATTTATATGTATGCTTTCATAATCTCGTCTTGTACAGTCATGTGTCGAAGTGAGGTGAGGGGGTGATGAGAAAAAAGTCTTAAAAAAAAAAATTTGAATAAAAATTAGATGCAAATATAATATATCCTTTTTCACCTATTCTTTTTTTTTTATTTGGATTAAGCTGATTTTATTGACTCTATATCATTTGAAGCATAATGTATGGTAACAAAAACTAACATAAAAAGGCTACAGTAAATTAAATAACACATTTGACGCATTTAAATAATGTACGTTAATACAATCCCACATAAATGGTGAGAGTAATATTAGCATGTCTTATACCTCTTATATACCAATTATTGACAAAAATTTAATAGACATTTAAAACCCTAAAAATGTTTCGTTTTTCTAATGGCATCATTATGTGACCCATAAAGTTTTCAATAAAGATGGGATAAAAGTCAGTTAAACTTGTCCTTTCTTAAATCTTCATTTTTAAAATGAATATTCTTATCATTTAGTAAAATATTTTTTCCTTGATCTTCAAGAGTTTATCCGTGTAATGAAATGTACATGAAGGATAAACCATTACAAGACGCATTAATTTATTGTTTACATGGTGTGTAGGAAAAACAGCGAACACATGCGATGTTCTTACGTCTTCACAACAATGTTTGTATATATATGTATGAACATACTAATTTTCTTCAAAAAAAAAATAAAGCATATTCACACATAAAAATGTAATGACATCCAAATATAGTTCCATTTTGTTATTTTATTTATTCTCCCTTTTTCTATAAATTTTTTTTTCCCCTCTCTCTCCTACGATAAGAAGTATTACTCTATGTGTTATTTTAAGAGATAAGTATGATCCTAGGAAAGCTTTTAAATTTTGTAAATTTCTAGCATCAACTTGTGTTGAATATGCTCCATTGCATGTGTTATGTAAAAAAAATAAGGTGCACTTAACCGTAACAACACTTATAAATGTGTATATATATTTTATATATATATGTATATAGGTACATGTGCAAATATGCATAAAAATAAACGAGTAAATGAATTCACTAAATAATACAGAATTAAAATGAACCTTAACGTTGGCTGATATATTCAATTAGTCATTATGTGTTAATGCTAATAACAACACAACCACGAATTGTTGTTTATTTATTTATTTATACCCTTCATGGAAATTTTACTGTATAAAAAAAGAAAAAAAAAAAAATCTTATCTAATTTGGGGTAGGCAAAAAAGAAAAAAAAAAAAAAAAAAGTGAAGATGAAAATGAAAATGAGAATGAAATTTACATTTTGAACTAGCAAAATGTGTACTCTAACAATTAGTACTTTTTTAAGATTTTATATATTAAAATCAAATATCATTAAAGAGTAATCCTAATTTTATGAATGATGATGTGCACAAGGCATGTAAAAACATCAAGTCTCTGTATATATATCATTCATACGCATATGGTATATATTGAATATTATTATTGATGTATTATATTTGTTCATATAACAGAAAAAATATATATACTTTTTTAACATCCCTTTTTGTGCGCTAATTTTAACTTACATTTCTCGGAATAATCATTTTTTACGTCAATTTTTTTTTTTTTTTTTTTTTTTTTTCATTTAAAAAGAACAAATTTATTAAAATTTATAAATATGTACTTTTACATATACAAATGTATGCATACATTTTTACGTTTTTATTAAAGGAAATATAACTTCAAGGTAAAAAGAATTGTTACATTGTTCTTAATTTTTGAATTTATATATACATATTCGTATGCGAGATTATACATTACATATACATTTTTATCTTTTTTTACATTTTAATGACAAATACATATGATACATTTGATACAGTTAACTTTGCAACAAATTTTGAAATTCTTTTTACAAGGCATATATATATATATACCTAGCTTTGCGAAAAACACAAAGGAGAATAAAAAAAACGCTTCCAATTATGAGTTCATATTACACTTGTACATAAGCATACAAAAGTGTACATGTATATATATATGTATATATAAATTTATGTATGCTTGTATGTGTTCACACACATATAATGCATCCCATACCGCATGCTTTACAGAGATTTATATAAAAATACATTAAATGTCCAGTTGCATTAGACTTTTTCATATTGTGACTATTTTCAACGCTGCTCGCTAAAAGGAAAAGCACTCTTTTGAAAACGGCTGAGTATATATATCTCCATAAAAAAAAAAAATGTATAAAAATAAATACGTTACACGGCAGTTTTAATTTATGGGGGGGATTAATTGTTACAAACTTTCTTTTCGTTCTTGTTTTGTTATGCTTTTTATATATGTATAAATAAATTTATAAATATTATTTTTCCACCTTTTGTGTTTTTTTTTTTTTTTCTTTTTTTCTTTTTCCCATTTGTTTCAACATACTTTAAAATATTTTACATATATACATTTAAGTTTGTTTAATACGTTGTTAAAAACTATTATCGCAAAGTGAATCTGACAAGTGTATTTATTTTAATGTGTTATAATTTTAAAATAATAAAATGAGCTATAAGTCTTCCCGATATAGCAACTCTTCATGTATATATGTGGGAAATTTACCAGGAAATGTCATAGAAGATGAAGTCTACGATTTATTTGCCAAGGTATGTAGACACTTGTACACCAACAGGTGTCCACATTATCAAGTTATTATTTTATTGTATATATTTTATACATCTGAGCAAACACATGTTTAGTGAAAAATTCCGTGAGTATAGAAAATATATCACATTATCTTCACAAATATAAGAGTGTCAGCAAATTGTGCCTCACCTTCCGACTTTCCCTTTTTAGTTTGGACGTATAAAATATATCGATGTAAAAAAACCAAGAGGTTCAAGCGCACCCAACGCATTTGCTTTTGTTCATTACTTCGATTACAGGTAAGAATAAGAGAAAGATGAAAAAATAGTAGAAATGTGTAGAAATCGAGCATATATACACAGATATATGCAAATGTGTATAAAATATCACACGTTTTATGTATTTATTTCTGCGCAAACATTATCATATGAATATATAATGATTATGAATGATATTATTTTTTGCACATATTTATTTATGGTGGAATCACGCATTCAATGATAGAGGTCCTTCATTTCTGTGGACACACCTTTGTATATAAATCCCGCAGTTTTCCTAATACATATATATATACATACGTATATGTTTTTGTTTCTATTTTGGAAAATTAATCTTGATGAATGTACCATTTTTACATTTGGCCATTAAGCGACACCTAAACTGCTGATATGTATGCTAGTTGTGAATGCTAAAAATAAAGAGCTACTCAGATTACATACCGAACGTATGTCTGGAATAATAACTATTCAGTAATAACTGAAAACATTTTCATTTTTTTTATCTTTATTTTGCACGATTATTTTATTATAAAAATGATATATTATATTTTCAATTTTACCAAAGGAAATGTAAAAGAATGTTTTTTTTTAACCAAAATTTTGTGCATTACCACATATCTCTGCATATAAATGATACAAAAAATTGTGGATCCCCCACAATAGAATAATAAAATGATGAAACATTATTTAACACATATTAATAACGTTTATTACAAAGTTATTACACGAAAAGTGATTATTTATTACATATAATTTTAATACTCAGCTGTATATTTTTATTCATCCTCATATTTCAAAATGAAAATTGTCTTAATTTATCTTTTTTCTTCCTTTTTTTTTTTTTAAATTCTTATTAGAGATGCAGAATATGCCATAGAAAGAAGAGATGGTTACAAATATGATGGCCTTCGTTTACGTGTTGAATATTCAGTAGAAAACCGAGGGTATAAATTTTTTCTTTTTTTTTCTTTATTTTTTTTTTTTTTAAATATAATCTTTAAAAAAAATATATATATGCATGAATAAATTGCAAAACAAATATATTTTCGTAATGCCTTTTACAGCTATGGGAAGTATAGAAAAAGAGAAGAAGGAACTGGCCCCCCAATAAGAACGGAACACCGACTTATTATTAGTAATCTTCCAGATAATTGCAAATGGCAACACTTAAAAGACATTATGAGACAGTGCGGTGATGTGGGATATGCTAATATTGAGCATGGGAAAGGTGTAGTGGAATTTATTAGTCGTGAGGATATGCTATATGCGATAGAAAAATTTGATGGTTCAGAATTTAAGGTATATGATGAGGTTACAAATATAAAAGTTAGAAGAGATAAGAGAGGTTCTTCTTATGTAAAAAGATATAAAGATGATTATTACAGTCCCAGATATAAAAAAAGACGCAGATATAGTGATGATTCAGGATCAACCTCAAGAAGTAGATCAAGATCAAGAAAACGTAATAAATATAGTAGCTCATCAATAGACAGAAAAAATAAATATGATTCTGAAAATGAAAGCAATAATAAGGAAAAAAGCAAATATGATAGAAGCAAGGATAAAAAGAGTCGATACAAAGACAAAAGAAGTTACAGTTCAGATGATAAAAGCGTTAATGGATCTGAAAATTCCCCAAAAAGTGATGATAAAAATTACAAGAAAAAAAATAAGCATGATGATTCAAGTGACAGATTAAGCAAAAAATCCAGCAAATACAGCGAAAGGAGAAGTGGAAATAATAACAGTCGTAGTAAAAGTGAAAGTAGAAAAAGAAGCCTAAGTGCAGATGATAGAAGCAGAAGTGGAAAAAGAAGTTTAAGTGCAGATGATAGAAGCAGAAGTGGAAAAAGAAGTTTAAGTGCAGATGATAGAAGCAGAAGTGGAAAAAGAAGTTTAAGCAGTGAAAGTTTGAAAAGAGAAAACAGCTCAACTGGTGAAAAGAAAGGAAAACTAAAAAGAAGCAACAACACATCTGAAAGATCGAATTACCAGAGCAATTCACCTGAGACAAAAACAGAAAAAGAAGACAAATATTATGATGAAACAAACGAATCTAGAAAAAGCCATAAATCTCCCAGCAATAATTCAGCTAGAGAAAATAGCCCAGAAAAAGAAACAGGCAATGAGGAAAAAAAGAAAACAACTGGTAAAAAGACCAAAAAAGTTACAAAAACTGTAAAGAAAACGAAGAATGCAAATGAAAAGGGGAAAAAGGCAAATAATGATAAAACAAACAAAAATGAAGATGAAAACCCCCCAAATGATGAAAATAAAAGCGATGGGGACAAATCTGTAAATAAAGAAAATAATAAAGAAGATATTTCTGGTTCAAATAAAGATGAAGGAACCAAAAAAGTAGCTGCGTCAGAGGGAAAGCCAAAAAGGGGTGGAAGAAGAGGAAGAAAAAAAACTAACATAGAAGAAAATACTGTGAACACAGCAGATGAAAATGCCAGTAGCTAAATTGAAATTTAATAATTTTGTTTCTTTTTTCTCTTTTTGAATATGATTATTGTAATACATAATCATAACCGTTTTAAATGTTGAAACTGAAGAAATAAAAAAAAAAGAAAAAGATATAATTATTGTAAAAATTCGCATTTTATTAAAATTTTTCAGTGCTGTCAATTTTTTAAAAAGTATTTTTTTTAGGGTTATCAAAATTACATTTTAAATCAAGAAAAACTTAGCAACATTATAAATACATTTATACTTTTATGATATGTCCTTGTAAATTTTTTTTAATACCCTTTTTCTTAAATATTTATTTTTGTTTATTTTTAAAACAATTTTCTGGGAATAACTCTATGAAACTTAAAATTAGCCTATATATTTTTTTAAATATATTATATATCTATTCCCATTTTTTAAATATTATAAAAAAAATAAATAAGAAATGTCTTTTTTATTGGATAATATGTGATAATTTTTTATATGGCCATTTACAAAAAACATATTATACATACAAAAAAACATTATATACATATACCCAAGTGTATTAAAATTACAGGTACCTAAGATGTCATTCTGTAATGAACATGTGCATGTTTGCTTTTTAGCAAATGCTTTATGCATCCTCTTTTTTATTAATATGAAAATTTACAACATGGTTGTCCAATATAAAAAAATTAAAAAACGAAATGTTATTTTCGCTAGAATAAAAACATAAATAAAATGTGTTTCTATTTTAGCTTCTTTTGTTTCTCCAACAATGCATTAGTGAGTCATAATAAAAAAGGTTTCTTGAGTTTATGCATAATTCTTTACGTATTATAAAAGTATAAAATGAAAAGAAAACTATTTATGTACTCACTAGTGTTTTAACATGGGGATTTTTTTTACATTGTGTATAAAATTTATCCAATTCATTGACATGATTTTTATAATTTTTTCTATATTATAACTCTTTCCTTAAGAGTTTCTCATTTGGGGACACACAAAGACAGCTGTGTCGAAAGGAAAAATGTGTATTTTATAGTCTCTTTTAAACACATAATTTTGCCAAACTTGGTTTGCATTATACATTCTTCGTAAATATTGATAAAATAGCATTAACTTTTTTTTTAATATTAATCTTATTTACTAGGTGATTTTTTATTTTTAATGTAAATTCAAGCATTTCCAAAATGCATAAATAATGCACAACTCTCAAATTAACTAAATTATATGACAGCATATGTATCGGATGTAATATACACACTGTTGTATTCTTGCTAGAAAGTCACCATATAGGTGCTCAATGTTTCGCACTATTATTTTTTTTTTCATACGGTTAGAAATTTGTTAACAATAATTTTGAGGAAAATCTTTTCATTTAATAATTTTTAGTAATTTCAGTATTACATAATTTTTTAATTGTAGAACCCATTTTAGCCGTAACATTTGCTCACATGAACTAAAGTGAATCATTTTGTGCCTTACATTAGAACAAAAACACTTAATTTTTATTATTTAAAAAGTAGTACAATAAATATTGTGTATTTTTTTTTATATCTGATAAACGCATTTGATGTTTAAAGAAAGTTTATGTATAGAATGTTGTAATATTCCGACTATTCGGAAGGCATTTAAAAAAAAATATATAGATTTAAAAAGATCTTATTCACACCATAAATTCTATAATAATAGCACTTTTTAAGCTGCCTTTTTCTGAAGTTACAATTTATTTGAGAAAGGCGCAAAAACATCATATCCCCGAATATTCATTTAATGAAAGCATAGATCACTTATAAAAAGTTACAAATGTAATAGCATTTAAAGTTTTTATCGTTTCTGAAAAACACTAATATTGTCAACTAACCAACCTAACTTAGCTTTTCTATAACATTATATCTCAACTTTTTGTATTTTCTTTCCCCATGAACATAGATATAAAACATAATTTCATAGGTATTAACTTCTAAATGTCGATGCTAAAAATGATTACAATTTTTGCAGATGTGTCTTTTATCTTTTTTTATAGATATTTTTACATTTCAGCATTTTATATATTTAAGTAACATACTATAGAATTATAATCAGAAACGTAGTATTTTTTCAGTTATGGTAATTTTCTTTTTGTCCTACTATTTTAACTTTTGAAAAAAAATACATTATATGCGTGCACGCGTAAATATGAAAAAACTAAAATATTATAAAAATTATTTGGAATGCAAAGAGCTCGCTCATTTTCCTAAAAATTTATATTTTTTCGTGTTTCTATTACATGCTAAAGCCGTAACGATAAATGTTGCACAATTGCAGAATTTCATGTGTTGCATCATAATCACTGTTATAAAACACGGTCTCAAGTAAAAAATATCATTGCTGCTTTATATGACAAATTTGTAAGAGGCAACATAAAGTAAAATCAAAAACTTAAACGCTTGTGAGAAAAAAAGACATTTGTATATTTTTTTAAATTTGAGGAAGTGTTCTTGTAATGTAAAAGTAGTTAGACACATATGCTTTCATATTTACGATAAATATCGTACTCAAAACAAACTATGTGATATTAAAATTGTTTAAGAAAACATGCAACTGCAAAAAATGTAGTGTATAGCTACATGTGTACATAAGTAAATGCATAAACTTGTAAACGTTATATATACGTAGCAATAAATTTGGTGATGAAAAGCTTGTAAAATTTTAGTAAATTCAGCTCTTTTAAAAAACAGTAATTTTGATACAGCATAAAAATATGTTAAAATTGTAAAAACCATGGGCTATTAATAATGAAGCAATAGCATAAATTCTTTAAATGATTCTAGAAATAGAATTACGTGTGCTGACCCCATATGAAGTTTACTTAAAATTGTAACATAACACTTTTGGACTTACTGCAGAAAGATAAAAAACATTTTATCAAATGAAAAAATAATGTATTATACGGATTTATATATTACACTGTCCAAATTTCTTACACATAAATCTTAATAAGTGTTATAGTGTAATGTGCAACACACCAATAATATGTTATTCTTTATCACAAGAATTTAAAAAAATTGTTAATTGAAAATAATGAAAATAATAGAAAAAAGAGTTACATAACAGATACATCTGCAATGCCCTATTCTTGGGAGAAATCACTTTTTAGCATTCATGTATATGTTCATTTGTAGGAAGGAAATCATAACAGTTTAAAAATGTATTTATGATTAAAATACAAACCATAAAAAATAAAGATATGTCGAAATAGAACCGTTAGTATTAATAAAAATAAAAATAACTACATAGAAGGACAAGCTAAAAGTTGTAAATGCATTTTAAATGAGAGGAAAATTGAGTAATTCTTTAATGTTAGTATTGAACAATTATTCTAAATAAGGAAAGCACTAAACATGTAAAAAACTACAAAATGCACAGTAATTTCTGTAAATTAATATAAAAAAATGTAACAATATCTAATTATTAGTATTTAAAAAATGGAAATAATAGATTTAAAAGGAATTAAAGTTGAACATGAATAAATATGCGTATTAAAAAATGCTATTTAATTATAAAAGATTTTTATTCTATATTTTAATGCATAAATATTAAATAATTTATTTGTCTTACATACATATAATTTAATAAATTAAATTGTTTATATTTTAAATTTAATAAATTAATATATATATTTAAATAGTAAATATACATATAACTAAATATTAAATGATTTATAAATAAAATATAACACATATGATAATTAAATAATATATAAAATATAATAAGTTAAATTAATTAAAAGAGATATACAATTAAATGATTTAAAAAAATATAAATAAAATAAATAAGTGTAAATAAAAATAAATAAAAATATATATATAAAATAAATAAAAATATATAAATAAAAATAATTAAAAATATATAAATAAATAAAATTAATTAAAAACGTATAATAAAATAAGTTTACATATATATAAATATATATTAAGTAATTTATTTAATTAATATAATATGAAATTAATTATATAATATAAACCAAATAAAATGACTTTTATTGTACTATTGTAATTATTAATATCATACTCAACTATCCCTAAATTAATTTTTATTTTATTTATAAAATAAATATATTTCATTATAATATAATTAATTTATTTTTTAAGTCATTTTAATTTATTTATTATTTTGTTTAAATATTTTAATTTATGAATTAATTTATTTTATTTTTTGTATAACTAATAATTTATTTATAATATATTATTTTAATATAAATTAATTTATTTTTGATTAATTATTTATTAATATAATTTCTTATAAAAATAATTAAAATAATATATTTATTTTTATTATATTATGTACATCAAATATAAATATATATCAGCGCATATTATTTGTAATAAATTATTAAATTATTTAATTAAAATTAACATAAAAATAAAATGTTTTATTACATTAATTAATTTAAAGCGTAATATATATTTTAATTTAAATAAAATTTTTTAAATAACAAATAAAATAATATAATATAAAAATAAATATTTTTACTTTTTTTTTTTTAATTATAAATAAAAAAAATTAAAGAATGTGTGTATCACATATATATATTCCTAAGATTTTATATTTCTAATTAATTATATTATAATTATTATGTTAAAGTTAAATAATTTAATTATTTATTTTGCACTATATATATTTTAATAAAATAATAATACATGATAATACTTTATATTTTTTATTCATAAGGAAGAATAGATATTATAATTAATTTATTTTTATAATTTTTTATTAATATAAAAATAATGAATTTACTTAATGTTTAAGTAAATATCTTAATTGTTTTATTATGTATACGAAATGGTTATCTTTATATTAAATATTAATAATTAATATATACTTAAATAAATACATATATCATTTAAAGAATTAATTTTTATTTAAATAAATATATTCAATATTAACATTAATATAATTAAACAATTATTTTTTGTATCTATTTTAATATATTAAATAAATCAGTTTTATTTTATTAGTTAATTTATTTTTATTTAATTAATTATTAATATATTAAAACATTTATTTACTTAAAAATATATTTAAATTAATTTATTCCTATTTTAATTAATATTTTTAATTTATTAAAAATATATAATAAACTGAATTATTTATTGTTAATTATTTTATTTTAACAGTTATTATATATTTTTATTATTTAAATAATAAAAATATTTTTTTAATATATTTTAAATTATATATATTTTTTTTAATATACTAAAATATTTAAATAATTTTATCAATATATATTTTCCAATTTATTTTAATTAATTATATTTAAGCACATTTATATATTTTTTTTAATAAATAATTATTTTATTATTTAAATTCCCTTTGTTATTTTTTATTTATTTTTATAATTTGTTTATAAACTAAATTAATTGTTTCATTAAGTGATATACTTAATTATTATTTTATTTATATATGATGGCTTTTAATTAATATATATATTTTCATATAATTTATTTATTTTTAGTTTTAATTTAAGAATTTACTACTATTATTATTTATATAATTTATGTTTGATAAATAGTTAATTTTTATTTTTTTTATTAAAATTTTAGTGTCCATATATAATATATATATTGAATTAATTGTAATATATTTTGTTGTTTTATGTTGTTTTATTTTTTTAAAACTTAACATAAAAGGTATATATAATATTCTTATTAATTCGCAATATATTAATTGTGTAACGCATAAATCTTTATTTTGTTTTTATTTAACAGTCATCATATTTGTGTTTTATTTTATTGTCCATTACAAAACTTTTTTTTTTTTTTTTTTTATCTTGTTTACTTTAAAATACATTATAATCACTTTTGGGGTTACGCTTTGCCCATAGTGAACATGGCTGAGCACGTGTCATTGGACAATTTAACTTATAGAATAGCACCATATGTTTATGTTTTTAATTCTATGTTTACCTTTGCATCATTTTTCCGTTATTTATTTCGAACAGAATTGTAAATTTTTCATTTGTTAGAAAGTTTAATAGTGGGCCTTGAATATTCTATATGCAATAGTAATTAGGCATCTCATTTATAATGAATACATTCCAAGAATCCTACATTCAAATCTTAATTACTATTTTCAAACAGCAAATTCTACCTGAATTTATATAAATCTTTTCAACTTTAAGAACTCATGATCTATTATTTGTAACATATTTATTTTGTATTTATTTCATATGTATTATCGTATATTTTTTTCCACAGCTTTAAAAAACTCATTTTTTTAAATTCATAATTAGACATTTTTAAAACATTTTTTTTAAGAACATCTATATGTATATGCAAAATCCTTTTCTTTAAGAATAACACATTAATTTATGTTTTACATGGCAAAATAATGTTTACTACATATTCTCATTTTTTTCATTTGCATTTCATAGGAAAATGACTTGATGTGCTCTTCACATTTAATCATTTCTATGCTTAATGAGCAACACACATATGACTAATAACATAGTTTTCTTTTTTTTTTGATATTCCAAATCCAAATGTCCCTTGAATGCAGTATCCAGGAATCATCTGGTAATATAGAAGTCGATAAAATAACGTATGTATAAGACTTTCAACATAGATACTAAGAGTTACTTGTTCTAATGAGAAAATGTTAATTAATATGAATTTTTTTCCCTTGGAATTCTAAGAAAATAAAAATCATGAATGTTTTTATAATCCTATATTTAATGTTTAGTGATGATATTTAACTCCTAAGTATGTTCCTTGGGTTTTTTTAATTACACTTTAAATAGTGTTCAACATTGCCCCAAAAAAGTTTCGATATTACCATGCAGAATATAAATTATTTCTAAAACTGTTTTTATTGCATTTTACAACATAATTCAATGTATAAAAAAAGGGGGAGAAACATATAAAAAAGACAGTTGGAAATTTTTCCATACTAAAAATATAAGGGGAAGAAATGCTCGAAAAACTTCATGTAGGTGTACATATGGGTATAGAAACAAAATAAACATGTCTTGTATGTGAAAAAAGGAAAAAATTCTAAGATTATATGAAGTAAAACATAAAGTTTAACCATTATCCTTTAATACTTCTCACATCTGAAATTTCATAATAATTACTTCAGAATATGAAGTGGCATGAAATTTTTGTTTCAATTGTCCCTCCTAGTTCGACAGAATTTATAGAACAATCGAAAGACTATAAAACTGATTACAATAGTATGATGATTATCTAACGTAAAACTTTATTGCTATATTTTTTATTTGTATTAAAATATTATCTAAATTTTGCTAATTTTTTTTATTTTTAGTCCATAATAATGTTGGATACCTTGTGTTATTCACATTGTCGTAATATATGAAAACATGTTTTTTTTTTTAATAAAACAATCAAAATAAAAGAAAAAGTATGCATATTATATAATTCATGTATTTATATTTACCTTTTTTATTGTGTATGTGTATTTAAAATATATGAAATTGCTATAAAATTAGTGAAAAAATGTGTGCATTAAAATTCATACGGTGACAAAAAAAAAATGATGCAAATATAATCATGACCTTGTAAATAAGCAAATAAGAATGTAGGAATCAAATATAAATTAACATATTCTAGCTAATAGTTGTTAAACATGATCTATAAGCTAAAAATTGATAAAAGGTTTAATCTTTTCAGAATTAATCTCTAAATTTTCTAATAAATAATAAATTGGGGACTATGCAAAAATAAATTCATCCTTTTAAACAATGTTAGCATCTTCAAAGGAATTAAATATTATCATCAAAGCTGACATGCCACAAACTCCAAGGAAGTAGCTAGAAGATAGGAAGTATTTGTTATGTTTTGTTACCTTGATTTCTTTAGTCATCTGTAAGAAATATTACATGCAGTGCAGATGTTTACAATATTTTTTTTTTTTCTCATTTAACATGTAAATGTTCTAAGAGAAACTACTTACGTTGAAGGATAGGTATAAAAAAAAGCCACAAGCAATTGAGCTAAAGATTATTTCCACAAATTCGTCTAAAAATTAAAGTGTTAAAAAAAATATATATTTTTGTATAACCATAAATTTTTTATAATTATAAAAATTGTTATTTCTTTGAGTTCTTACTTGATGGAAAAGAAAACGTTGCAATAAAAACTCCTATTGGTAAGGACAGTATAAAGGACCATGAGTATATGTTCGCCAAAAAGGTGTTCTAAAAAAAGAAAGATATGTAAAATAAGGGTCTACAGAACTTTCAGCTTAATGCATACACATGTATATATTTATACATATGCATAAATATAAACAACTTTAATACATATTAAATGAAAGTAAAAATGTAATTAAAAAGGAAATAAAAGGAATGCATTCATTTTCTATATTTAACTTCTATCTTGTTGACAATATTCTTGTACACAATTAAGCATTCTGCCCATTTATGCGCTAACATGGATAGGGCCACAATTACAATGGCCTTTTTGTCTTTTAAGCTTCCCATAAGTAAACCTTTCATATAAAAAAATTAATATACGAAGAAAGGGTATATGTTTATAGAATTTTCATACATATAAACAAAAATTTAAATAAAAAATATCAAAAATATTTAAGTTATCCATAATTCACATTAAAACATATAAGTATGTTCTATCACTGTTAAAGTCTTAATACAAAATAGAAAAGAATAATCCTTTTTAAAAAACTACCTTCTATGAAGGAATGGATAAAGAGGCTTAGAACAATAAAAAAGGAATTTGATTTAAATATTTCCAAAAAAAAATTGTTTTTGCATTTGCTTTTTTTATCATCTAATGCACTAATCTCTATGCGTAGTGTTTCATTCATATCAAGTGGTAAACAGTTTGTGTCATTTTTTTTATCGCTCATAACAGAGTTGTTTTGGTTTTCAGACTCTAATGTATCATTAATATTAAAGCTATGTTCCATATGATGGTCATGCAACATATCTGTTATATTCAAAAATGTTACTGATATAAGTATTAGAGAAAAGGTGTAATAAAGGCTAATATTATTTTTGTTTAATAAGGTAATAACTTCAGGTAACATATGTATAAAAGCTAAAGCCAGTATTGCACCTATTTAAAAATGGTAAAAAAAAAAAAAAAAAATTAGCTTTTACTTAAGTATTTAAAATGGTTATGTAAATAATTCTCATATTTATTTACTTACCACTTGCAATATTTTCAAAATTTTCCATGTTTAAAAATTTATTTTTTTTCATTTTGGACAATCTATTCTCTACTTTGGACGGTATATATACAACTGCAACACATTCAATGAAGATAAGTAGGGTTAAAATAATTGTTAACCACATTTTAACGAAAAACAATAAAACGAAAAAGGCTAAAAATTAAATACGTCATAAAAAAAAAAAGTCACATCACAACATATGTGAACGTATCACATATTGCCACTAAAAATCACTTATAAATGAAAAATAGACTGATAATTTAGTCACTTTGAAATAACTTCATATAATTATTTTACGACTTTTTTCTATATATTGAAGTATAAAAAATGGAATTTTAAAATGTGTTAAACTTGTTTTATCTATATTTTAAATAATGTAAATACGGGTTAATGCTTATCAGTACAAGGAAAATAAAATAGCCTGTAAAATTTACACGTGACATGTAAAAAGAAGTGCCCACTATGTTGTGGGAATATTACACTCAGATTCATATATTTTATAAAAAAGAGAAGATACTTAAATGAACAGATTAAATCAGCGTGAAAGAGGTGAATATATGTTACATATAGTTCTTAAAATAAAATAAAAAAAAAAAAAAAACAGATTTTGGGTGTAGCAAAATGTAGGTTGGCATGCTGTAACACTTAAAACACATCTTTAAAACAAAATAATGATATTAAAAGTATTTTAATAAGTGGAGGGTTACATTTTTTTCAGTACTTAAAATGTTGTAATCAAAATTATACTTGGAAGAACAAACAGTGAAGACATCATACACGCTGATGTATTTATACATATATGTTTAAATATACGTAGTACACGAGATTCCCATTTGCAACGAGCTTATATATGCACAAATGCTTAATAAATGCATGTAAACGTATTTATTAACTTTGTGGTAAGGCTATGTTTACATGCTAAGTTTTTATTTAAAATGCAGTTTTAGAAGCATCCTGAATCATCATGTACAACATAATAAATCTTAAAGCAAAAATGTAAAATGTGAGTATAAAAAAAAAAAAAAAAAACTCTAAAAAAAATTTACAATCAAATTAAAATATCATATTATATAGGTTATAAAAAATGTTTGTATTAAAAAGAAAAGTGCTATAAAAAAAAACAAAGAACAAAAGAAAGAAACAAACAAACGACTGTTATTTTAATTGCATCTTGTTTGATGTAAATTTAGAGAAAAAGGAGTAAATCGTGAAAATTTGTAAAAAAAAAAAATAAACTATAAAAAATAATTTTTTCTTTTACTCAATTTTTTTTTTTTTTCATAAAAAACATTTATATAAAGTACATTACATAAAAATTTTCAATAATCAACTATCAATTTTATAACTGTACTCGCATTTAAGCTTGGTTGTAACATCAACAAATAAAATATTTTATGGGTGTATCACAACATGTAAAGCAATTTGCGGTTCCTTCTCCACGCTTTATGTTCCAAAAAAAAAGAAAAAAAAAAGTAAATAAAACGACATCTCCATGTAACACCTGTCAAAGTTTTTCTCTTTTAAAACGCAAACCTGTTCATAAAAAAAAATGTATATGTACATATACATGCATGTGAAAATTAATTATTTAGCAATTTTTTCACATTTGTAATGTTACATAAAAGTATAATATATATTGTGACAATAAAAAGTTCTCCATCTTATTTGGGATCAACCCAATTTGTTTTTCGAGGCGTAATTTTAGCATCTACAAAGGATTACCATAAAAAATATTTGCTTTGGGGGATGTTAAATACAAAAATTTTATAAGTTTTCTTTTTACAGATCCTTTCACATATCAGTAAAAAAATACAATAAGTGTGATATTTGTAGGTAGGAAAATGCATGTGTACGTAAAAAGAAAAAGCAGGAAAAAAAAAAAAAAAAATGATTAGTTATTTTTTTGTCCAATTTATAACAGTTGTTTTTATGTTTGTTAATATAAAACGGTAATTTGCTCCAATAAAAATGTAATGTATATATAGAGATACAATATATAAATTTAAAATATAAAAAATAAAATGCTAATTTTTAAGTACCATAGAATAAATGTTGAAAATTGTACGTATTTTATGATACTCCAAAAATATTTTCCCCATTTTTTGTCCCTTTTGATAGATACATTTCCAAATTCTAGTTACGCTTAAATGTATTACACCGATTATACTACAAGGTCACTCATAGTAATGAAAATAAAGTAGCATTAAATATCTGGGAACTTGTTATGCTGTTTTCCATTTTCCCCATGGTTATGCATCTTAGCTTAATTAAGAATGACTAAAAATATTTTAATTTGCGTACATTGTTATAAAAACTGATAAAGAGTAACAAGTTTGTTCTCTCTTATTCTTATATATATATATATATATATACATTTTTATTCTCTAACTGTGATTATATCCATTTAATTAATTCACCCAAGCATGTCTGAAATGCAAAATAATTCTGTTTTCTGGCAGCAAGAAAATTCCATAACCTTCTTTTTCGCGAATAAGGCACATACGACATAGATTTGAGAAATGTACAGGATACTATGCATATAAAAAATGTCTAAAAAGGGTGAAAATTTGTTTCCTCATATTTGAAAAAAAATCATTCTTTTACAAAATGTTACAAAACTAAAAGAATGTTCATTATACTTTTAACAAAAGAATGAAAATGAATTATATAGGGGTCGCGGAGATAGCCATGCTTTTAAAAATAAAGAAGAAAAAAAAAAATATCAAAGAACGATCCAGATGTTAATAATTATTAGTACGAATTAACAAGAATAATGAGAAAAAAAATACACTTGTGGATTGTCTACCTTTTTAAATTTTTTACGTATATGCATATATGCAATCGTTAATAGAAAATAAAACTACCTGTAGCTTGCACACGTATGACAATGTTCAAATTGGACACATATTTATGGAAATGCGTATACATATATTTGAAACTTTGCTTGTACATATTCATATATATGTATATATGTTTACATGTAAAACATAAACTTCTCATATGTGCCACCTTTGCACATTTCAGTATAAAATAACATGTTTCAACGCACCTAGTAAGTTATTGCATTACGTGTTGGTATATATTATTTTGTATCACGAACTAACTGTTAGAGTAGAACTAAAACTAGAAAATGGATGTTGCACTTTTTTAAAAGTGCAACAATATGTTTTTTTCCCCATGGCAATTAAAAAAAGAAAAAAAAAAAATACATAGGGAACAAAATTAAAAAGACTTTTATGAAATGTGAGTATTAAAAAGTAGATTTGCTTCAAACATTTGATAAAAAACTTAAAGAAAAAAAAGTTATATAGTGCTAAATTGAGAAAAGTCACAAATGAACAGAATACGTGCCAAAAGAAACACTTGGATTTTTTTTTTTTTTTTCTTTCATGTGTAATGGTGTTATTTCATGTTTTAAGAACTTTGTTTATTTACGAGATATTGTTAGAACAATATAGGAGCTGCGGTTTTATAAAAGAGAAAATTATGTCTATTTTTTTTACAAGCTAGTTTTATTAGGGTGATGATATACATAAAAGCTTACTCATTTTAAAAACCTATTTGTGCATAAATAAAGTCCATATCCCCCACTTTTTTAAGAAGAGAGTGTCTTTTGGATTTAGCTAAGAATAATTACACATAAGTCTTATTGTCATTCATAAAAAAAGAATAGATATTTGGATAAAAAAAAAAACTGACAAATTAGTTTAATATGGTCGTAATAACTTTTGTAAGCTTGAATTTTCAAATGTTTGCTACTTTTGTATGTATTAAAGTGGGTTTCAATTTTGACCACACCTTGACGACTTTTTTTTTTTTTTTTTCAATTTTCTTTCTTTAGCCGTAGCAAGGTTATTTTTAATTAACAAGGAATTCTTTAAAAAAAAAAGAGAAAGAAAATTATAAAAATAATGGGATGTTTTTTTTTTTTTTTTTTTTTTTTTTTTTCATTTCTTTTTCTATAAAATTATGTGTTATATTTTTTCTTTTTGTGTAATTTGGTATTTTCTTTTTAGTTTTATTTCTGTACACTTTCAAAATAAATATTATTTCTGAAATTTAAAGTTTTTAATTTATCCATTTTGTTATTACGAAGAAGCTTGTCCTTCAAATGTGTCCTCATGCGTTGTTATCATAGATAACAGGAATCGGCTTAAGCTCCACATGTGGAACGTAAACATATGTAGTTATATATATATATATATATATATATATATATCTAAATATACCTTTTTCATTTGCAAAGTAGTGGAACGAAACAAAATAAATTTTCTGTTGGTAGAAATTCAAGAAAAAAAACTGAATTTTGCTTTTTTCCCCTCAATTACAATAACATTTGTTTACTTTTAACAAAAAGTTGAGATATCCCGTATTGCCTCATTTTCGCAAGGCATGCCCGAGATTAAGATCCACGAAGTGAAAAAACAAAGAACAAGCACACTATTTATTTATACATATTTCGGAATATTTCCAAAAAAAAAAGAAAAAGGAAGCATGAAGAAAAAAAAAAAAAAAAAATAGCCTAAATAATAAGAATACAAAAGTTTGAATATATCCTTAATTCGTTGGAAGATATAACAGTTTTTATCTTCACTTGGTTTAAATTGAAGCAAAAATCAAGAGAAAATATTTTTACGTTACATATACAATACTTTTCACCCACTCGAGACCTCCTCCATATATTTTTGAGGCTAATTTTTACACAGAACTAAAAGAAGAAGAAAAAATAGGAAGCATTGTTTGCTTAGTACATCATTGTGCTTATTATACATATATATACATGTGTATATGCTTAGGAAATTATTTTTCTCCTACCTTGAAGAACACGTATAAATAAACGTATGCCATATGCATATGAACATACACTTGCTTACGCATACACATGAACATAGTTTTTTTCTGCGAAAGGAAGAACTTCTTATAGTTCAATCAAAAGAAAAGAACAGGTGAGAGAAAGGCTGGGAAAAAAGAGCACATGTACATAGACTCAAAAATAAAAATAAATTTATTTTCTGAAAATGAATAGAAAAAATGAGGAAACCTGTAAGTAGTAACAAAGACATTTTTAAGAGGGAAAGTGACAGTTCAAAGATAAAAAAGTTGATGGGGAACATATCGCCTCTTTTTTTTATGAGTGAATTTGTATATATTTTATTTTTACGTTACAATGACTATATACTAAGCACAAGATACAAAACAGAAGTAAATGAAGATACGAGGAAGAATATATATAACATTTTAATATTGCTTTATTTTTCAAAGCCTTTTTTTGCATTCTTAACGGATAATGTATATTTTAACATAAATAATACACTCTGTTTTTTGACAAGAAAGTTATACGAATTTGGAAATTTCTTGCAGAAATTATTTTATCAGTGTAGCAGAACCGTGTGTAAGGGGAAAAATTTTTTTTTAAAGATATTTTTTAGAAAATATATGAAAGATGGGGTTTTATCAGGGTCACGATATTTAAAAAAAACAAGTTTGTGTAAATATTCGTATATTGAAAATTTTGCGCATTTGCCATTGAATAGAAAGTATTACATTGTTATAAGTGAATTTAGCACAACCTTGTTGTTATTATTTATATATCTTTTCCACAAGAAGATAAATTATTTTTTTTACTTAACTATCGTTTTTCTTATTTCTAGTCAAATGCTATTATCGTCATGCGTTTTTGAAGGAATAGTAGTTGAACGATGTAGAAAGCAAATGCGCGTTGAGAAAATTTTTTATATATCTTATGTAATGTGTATAAAGATATTTTGTTCCCTAATATTGTATTATATGTATATTTTAAAAATAAGTATTTATATTTTAATTTTAAAAAGTTGCGCCATTTTTATTATTTCGTGCTTATGTAGCGAAGAAACGCTTTTATTAAATTCAAATTTCAAAGCACAGCGTAACATAATACAGAAGAGTGAAAATGGAGGCATACGTGTAAAAAATACAATAGACTTATTGCCACAACTTGGGATTTTGAGGAAAATACTCTTTAAAGAAAATTTATTTAAAATACTCTTTCTTTTAATCTTATTCAATTCATCTATTGACACTAAATTTTCCATGCTGCAATACGGTGTCCAGAATTACAGATGGCCTCATTCCTTGATTAATTACATCCCTTTAGTGTCACAGTAAGTACAAGCATTGCAATAAAAAATGCGTATATTTATATGTGTCTATCTACATATTTCCTGTGTTTATATGTGCATGTTTTCCATAGTTATAAAACATGCAAACATGTAATTGCACCTGTCCAAATGAAAAGCTGGTTGTTACTAAACTACATTCTCTTCACGCCGTTTTGGCTAACATTTCAAGTTAGTTCGTTTATCTACCACCTTGAGTTTCTCATTTTGTGTGATTTCAACTGTGTTCATGCATTCATGCATTCGTGCATTCGTTCATACGTGCGTGCGTGTATGCGTGCACCGTTACAATTGCGATTACTACAATCCCCTCCCCCCTACACACTTTTTTTTTTACAGATCCTCCAAATTAATAGGAATCTCCATTTTCCAGCTATACACGAACAAAAAGTGCTATAAAAGTTACGCAATGATAACCATACTATTCAACATTCTTTTTAAAATAGCTAGCTTTATTTTTTTGTATTATAACAAGAACACGTATGTTAGTCCCTTCCTATTTTTACTGAATATAATAGTTCAGAATATTTCTATAAAAATTTTAGCCCTTCCCATACTACTATTGTGTATAGAAAAGGCACCATTAAATTTGGAATCCACCTTAATTAACATATACATTTTTTGTTTTAACTTTTCAAATTTAATTAGTAAAAGATATTTCATGTGGAATATAATTTTGCAAATGTCAAAAAATGTCTTTATAATTTTACTTCTTTCCTTTCTAACTACATGTAGTAGTTTACTGTACTACTTCAACATATCGTTAGATTCGTTAAACAGCTTGAATTCACCATTATCATGTTTGAACGAAAAGGAAGATCTTAATTTAAAATTAAATAAATTTGAGAAAAAAAAATATGTATCTCCTGATGATCCATTTGATACATACGAGAAAAACCCTGCAAAAAAGTTTGTTCGTTTTAGAGAAGAAAATATAACAACAGAAAAATACAAAAGGGAACAGAACAAAAATAAAACAAACTTATTTAAAAATGCTCCTGATTATAGTTCAGATAGTGATGATAATCAGTGGCTCATAATTGACAATTTGAAGGTAAGGAAATTTTAGCATATGTGTGAAAAAAAAATTTTTATTAATTAAAAAGTAAAAAGTTTATATCCAGAACTACGAAAAAACTGGGGGTGATGGAGGGGAAATTCCTCTTTATTTACCCAAATAGAATGCTGGATTGGTTGCTCTTTTGGATGAGAGAATTTTAAGAAATGTTGCATGCAAATGGGAGTTCCTGATAAGCGCATGTTTTACAGAATTATATATCACATGCATGTATAGAAATGAATATATACGCACATATTACTTGGTTACACATTGTGTGTGAAATCAATGTCAGATATATTAATTATTTCCTTTTTACACAGGCACATGTTTTTATTTCATTATGATTTTTTTTTTTTTTTTTTTTTTTTTTTTTTATTTTATCAGGGAAACGGAATAATGAAAAGTCAAAGAGAACCAACGCGCTTGAACATTTCAAACATGATGTTGTGAAAGGAACTTTTTTATCGCACAAAATTTCGACGATTTATTATTTTCATACGTTAGAACAACAGGCATATCTAAGCATTGCACCTGGAACATTAGAACATATTACATATGTACATATATATAATGAAGCATATAATGTGCTAATGCCCATGTTTTTTTAAAACGAAATTTTTTTTTGCCATTATTTCCTCCTCCTTTTTTCCTTTTTTTTTTTTTTTTTTTTTTTTACTTTCGTTATTTTTCAATTCTCTATTTATACCATTATTTTTCCATTATGCGTCATTTTTTTTTTTTTTTTTTTTTGTTTAAAAGTTTTAGCCTTTTTTTTGCCATTTTTTAAAAACAATAAGAACTAATATTGAAAGTTATATAACCAAATATATGTATTTATATATATATATATATATCTATGTAATATACATAAAAGGGTAGAAAAATAATATATATACCCCCCAGTAAATATATATATATTTCTTTTCGTCTATACGATTGAAAATGTACGAAATTTACTACTTAAATGAACAGAAAGAATTCGAGAAGTCAAAAGAAAATGATGAAATTCACAGTTCTCTAATTCTTAAAAATCGTTGTGTTAGTATAAAGAAGAAAAAAAAGGTGGTTAAAGAAAATGTTTATGAGGGAGGATACACCATATGGGAGTGTACGTGGGAAATGTTGAAATTCTTACATAGAGAAGTTGATTTTCGGAATAAAAACGTCTTGGAGTTAGGTAAGAACAAGTGGGAATGTCAATGGCCAAGAAACCCTTTTCCACTTTCACAATATTGCTCTTGTTGTTTTTTTTTTTTTTTCCGAATAGCGAAATGTTTCATTAAATTTCATTTGTTTCTCTTCCCACATGCTTCTACTATTTTCGTTCGTCTATTATGTTTCACTTTGTTTCATTCTGTTTACTCTTTCAACTCTGCTCATTCTTTTTCATATCACGTGGGATTTTTTTCAAGGGTGCGGACATGGCTTGGTAGGCATAAAAGCCCTCTTAGATGAAGGAAATGTCATCTTTCAGGAATTAAACAAAGAAGTAATTAACGACGTTTTGCTTCCTAATATAAGAAAAAATTTAAATATCAAGATGAAAAAAAAAAAACTGAAGAAAAAAAGTTACATGAAAATTCGTGCCCCAAATTTCAAATGTGCAGTTATCAATAAATCATGGAACAAGTTAAATAAACAAATACAGAAGAAAAAATTAAACCCATTTGATTTTATATTAGGAAATGAGATATTATATAGAAAAGAAAATTATTATAACATTTTAAGCATTCTAAAGGAGAATCTAGGGATTAATGGAAAAGCATACTTAGGCACCAAGTCTTATTACTTCGGTTTTGAAGACGGGGCTGGTACCAATAGTTTCCTTGACTATGTGAATAATAATAAGGACTTTCATTTTGTTGCTCGAGTTGTTCACACTAATTCAAACAAATCTGTATATTCGAGAGATATCATAGAGGTGACCATTTCCCCCAAGTGGAACAAATTGCAACAACAATCAGAGAGCGGAAGCATAGAGATATAGACTTGTCTTTATTTTACGATTTCCTCTTTAAACAGCCACTTTGGTATTCCCCTTCGCTAATATGAGTCATCCATTTTTTCTTTTTATTTTCAAATTTTTTCCACTTAAAAAATGAACACTTATAAAATTTGCGCATTCACAGCTGATCTTGTATAAAAATTTTTAAAACATTAAAAAAAGTTAGTCTTTCTCTTCAAAATGTTTAAATAGGTAAATGTATATGTATACACATATATAATAAATGGTTATTAGCAAAAATGGATCATACTCCAAAACGGAATATGTTTTTCCATCCAAAAAGCAACAGAATTGAATGGAGAAAGAAAAAAAAAAAAAAAAAAAAAAAAAAAAAAAAGGAATAGGAATAGCAATAGGAGGGTGGTGTATATGTGGGGAAATTAGGTGTAAAATTTAAAAATGCTTCACAAATATTTAAAAATTAACAATAATGTAAAACATGTTAGGTGTATATTTTATTACATAGTCGTTAGTTAAAATTTATATATGTGTAAATATGTATATTTTTTTTCTATTTTTTGCATGTAGTTGAAACAGAACTCATGTACGCACAACTAGATAGGCGTGATAATATTATTGTTCCTTTTATGTAACATAAAATTATGATATAAGCAAAAAATATTTTCGCTTTTAAATAATACTGAAAAATAAACACAAATATGTTACACATCAATAATGAATATCTACATGTACATGCTTTTGTATTAATAAATTTCTACTGAAATCACATGAATTGTGCATGTAACATATGTTACACGCTCGCTTTTGTGTGCATATGAACACACAGGCACAAGAGAATGCATATAACTGATGCCCCTATACACACATAAGCATATGCATAGACACATCCATACACACATCCACGCAAACATCCACACACACATGCATATTCATACATATATGTTCTTCGTTTACGTTACGCACGATGCAATGGTCAAAAGGGAGTGACGAAATATGCAACATGTAAAATAAACAAAGAGGTTATTAATATATATTCGAATAAGCAAAAAAGTATGCAAACGAGGTACTTAAATGTGAACTAATATGATAAGGTTAAACATGTGTATATAATGTATGTTGATGCTCACGAATATGTGAAAACTTTAATTCGCTATATAAATAAAAGGGGCATGCATACATATTCACACGTGCATAATGTGTTATATATATGTATACCATTCTCTATACAAATAGGATAACTTAAAAAGTTAACACATGCATACATAGCAATGAAACGGCGTGTGTATGTGTGTGTGTTTTCTCATTTATGTACACTGAGAGTTAAAAAAAAAATATATTGTACGGGGTTTTATTTTTCTCATATCGGCTAAAATGTTAATATGAGTACGTACACATATAATATGTGTTCAGGTATGATAAAATAAAAAATAAATAAATTGATAAATAAATTGATAAAGTAAAATAATAAAGTAGGGTAATAAAGTAAGGCAATAAAGTAAGATAATAAAGTTAGATAATAAAGCAAGATAATAAAATAAAATAATAAATAGAATAATACACAAAGTAATACGTAAAATAAAATAATAAATTAGGCTCTGTCTTTAATCATATAATTTTACATCCGTAAAATTTAATGATAACAACAGTATGTTGAGTCACGCAAAGATGTATACACAATTTATGCATTCAAGCAAAATTTATAACTGTGCTTATTGCGCTAATTTGAAAATACTTTATCTTCATTTAGACACGGGTGATAATTATTTACATAAAATGGAGGAAGAATGTGCTTATTCTTGTTCTTTGGATTTTTGCATTTACATGGTTTTTGTACGTATGCGCACACATACATGCATTTGTGCATGCTTTTTTTTTTTTTTTTTTTTTTAAAAGTAACAACATCAGATAACCCCTCCAAATTCCCCTTCCTCTGGGTCATGTTGATGGTAATACCCACTACTAAGTATTTTTTCTGACATTACTGATATTTCCACTATTATTCGTATTTATGTTGTTCTCACTGTAATATGAAGGAGTATGTTTGCTTATAATTTCCTGCGACATAGAAACAACTTTACTGCTACAACTGGTGCTACTGCTGCTGCTGTCATTGTTACTCCTACTCATGTTAGTATTATCGGTACCACCGTACAATTTCTTCTCATTATTAATACCCGTGTTCTCATTATTTCTGAATTCAAAATTGAATATGGATTTATTACAGTTATTTGCATTCATGTAATCATTAAAAACGTATATATCACTTAGATATCGGTCTAATGTGTCATAATTTTGCTGCGAGAAACTTTCGTCTAAGTTTTGCCTTTTGTTATGACTACCACTGTGATTGCTGTTATGATTGTCATCATGATTGTCGTTATGATTGCTGTTATGATTGTCGTTTTGGTTCGTGTTATAATTTCCACTATAATTATTTTTACTATCACTGCTATTTTTATTATATTCATTGCTGCTGCTATTGTTGCTATACGCACCGATTTGTCCATAAAAGCTTGAACCAGAGTGGCAGATGTTATGGAAATCAGGTGATTCTGAATGCAGCATATGGTCATAGTCTTCCTGTAAGAATGAAATGGGATTATATTTCTGTAGTGTTTCTCCTAATTCTTCAAAAGTTTCTTTTCTTGCTTCGTTGTGTAAGTCTTCAGGTAACTCATTTTTGAGTTGCTCTTCATTTTTGTTTCCATGATGTGTCTCCTCCTCGTTTTTCTTATTCTTGGAGAGAAATGCTATAAACGAATATTCCAAATTATTCTTATCTGAATAGTTGTCAAATTTGGAGTTTAACATTTCGTACAATTCCATGTTCTCCTTACTAATATAGTCATCTATGTTTAGTGAGTTCTTATTTGCATATGTGTTTAAAAATGTAAAAAAAAGTTGCATGTTTTTATAATAATTTGAAGAGTTTTTTCCCTCATTCACAATGTTTCCACTGTTTCCGCTTGTACCACTACTGACAACCTTTGTCTCAAGTATATTATTGTGTTCAAAATTAAAACAAAAGTTTTCATCACTTCGGTTTGCACCATTTACTTCATCATACTTTTTATCACAAAGCTGCCAACTATTTACATTTACGTTCAGATTAAAATTTTTGTTAATTTCAGTTACAAACTCGTTTTCTGCAAAATGAGTCTCTTCCACTTTTCTACTGCACTCGATATCGTTTCGCTTGTTTTTCTCGTGGTCATTAACAACACCGATAGTGTCCTCATTGACAGTGGCATTACCAACATAATTCTTATATTCATTTGTGTTCCCCAAATGAGTTTTATTATGCCAATCCTTATGAGAGATATCGTAAGTGTCCATGTAACCATCTTTATGAACATTGTTAACATTGTGAACATCGTGGACATTGTGAACATCATTGGTTCCTCCTTGTCCCTTCTCCTTATCCTTATAAGCACTGTCATACCAGATATGATTTAAAAAGGAAGTTATGTTTCCTTTGTCCATGCTAAGGTGCTTTATATTTTTCGTATTTTTAAAGGGATCTCCGAGTGGGGCGAAGCTATTCCCGTTCCAGTTTCCACCACCTCCATTTCCACCATTTGCGTCGAAATGCCCATTCTCGTCCTCATTACACTTTTGTGACTTTTGCATTTGGTTTGGCTCCTGTGTGGCCGTACACACTTTCGTTATGCCATTAGCAAAAAACTGGTTATACATGTTCACACTAGTGTTTTCTTCAGCACTCGGACTACAGAACATGTAATTTCTTTGGTGTGTATAAATTTTATTTTTTAAATGGTTCAATCTAGAAAATTGCATTTCCTCTACATTTCTATCCTCTAAAAATCGATTAGACGTGTACGAACCACCAGTATTCATATTTGTTTGTAATTTCTTTCCATCTATTTTGTTAGGATGATTATACAGTTTATTATTTATACCTTTTTCCTTTTGTTCTGCTTGGTTTTGAAATATTCGTCTCTTTGACCATAAATAATGTTCTTGTCTCTCTATCGTTGTATTGATCTTATTAACATGTGAATTATGGAAGTGATCAAATTTATCATTCGCGTAGTCATATGTTGGCATTTCATTTTTCCTCTTTATTTTTTCGATTTTTCCATCATCTATTATATACCTGTGGTTATTTACATCTTCGTTAATGATTTGGTCATCGGATCCTATTGCATTGTCACCTCTAATATCCATGACACTCGTAAAGCTTCTAACATTATCACATTTTTTCATCAAATCCAAAGAAACGTTACTATTTTCACCATTATCATCAACATCAAAGGAAGTTACTTCGCTTGTATTATATAAACTGCTCATGGGTTCCGAAGAATAGGAGGGGGGTAACATAGGGTTCACTAAAATGTTATGTTGAAAGTTGTGCATGTATTTATTCACTTTTTTATTTGTTCCATGATATTTATTATAACTGTTTCCAGAGTTATTTTTAAAGAACTTCCCATGTGCCTTGTTTAATGGTGGTGGAGCATCATTACTATTTGCATCATTCCCTAGTAATACTACTGAGGAATTCTGATCCGATATAGAAATATGATGTATGTTATTATTCGTGCTGTTACATACATGATCAATAGCTATGTTTTTATTTGCTATAAAATTTTTGCATTCGTTGTTACTATTGCTTGGGAATTTATTTTTCGATTGTTTTACCATATCCACAGAATTGACCGAATTAAGCGTTTTTAACGTATCAGTCGTGCTTACTAGACTTTGCGCCGTTTTGCTGTTATTCGGATCCTTTACTTTGTTTTTATTCGCACCGACGTTAGGGTTAATGTTCAGATTGGGATGCAGGTTCGGATTGGAGTACACGTTCGGGTTGGGATGTACATTCGGACTGAGGTGCATGTTCGGACTGAGGTGCATGTTCGGATTGGGATGTACATTCGGATTGGGATGTACATTCGGAGTGGGGTGCATGTTCGGAGTGGGGTGCATGTTCGGATTGGGGTGCATGTTCAGGCTTTGGTGAGTACTCGGGTTTGCGTTAACGTTCTGACTAATGTTCCCGTTGTATATGCTTTTTAACTTTGCTGGTAATAAATGCTCTTCTCCATTTTTTAATTGCACTTTTAGCAATTTTCCATGTATATACATTTTTGATAACTCTTCAAAAGCTTCAATGGCGGACTTTTTGTTGTCGTAAGAAACAAAACCGAAACCTCTATTTCCCTGTTTCTTATCATTTTCGTTGTTTATGTACGGAATTCTCAATCCTACGACATGCCCATACTTGTTTACCAGTTGAATTAAATTCAATTCTGTCCATTTTAGTGGAATTCCGTATAAAAACAGATTTGCGCCTTTAAGTGAGGGAAGAAATTATGAAAATTAGTAAAAAAAAAAAAAAAAAAAATTCATACAAAAAAGGAAAAAAAAAGGAAAAAAAAATTATGAACACTCGTAAAATAGTCCAAATTGGACGAAATGATTTATAACACACTAAGACATTGAACTATAACGTAACATTTACATTTGGTGTACCTGGAGGCCCATCTTTTAACAGGGAAAAATTCGCCTTGCTGTAGTGCAACGTATTTTGATTCGGAATTTGTTTTGAAACAATGAAACATATTAATTTATGGTTTGGTGAATTATCAAAAAATTTTTTTTGATTCAGGATGTTGACTGCATTTATTGCACACTTTTCATCAACAAAATAAACAAATGCATACGACCATTTATCGATAGACCATTTATACTCAATGTGGATTATATAACCAAATATTTCGAGCACATTTTTTATTCTCTCTTCTGTTATATTTGGTGGAATATTCCCAAGGAAAACATTTGTGATGACAATATTTTTAAAATTATAATTTGACTTACTTCTTTTGATGTCCTTAATTATTTGACTATTAATATTATTTTGTTTTATTTTTTCAATATTCGATTTATAGTCTTTTGTATGGGGGGGCATGATATTACTCGGGTCATGTGATTTGTAACTGTTCTCCATTTTTTGGAAGTTTTGAGCTTTTTCTATTCTTCCAATTTTTTCTCCCTTTTCCAATTTTTCTCCCTTTTCCAATTTTTCTCCCTTTTCCAATTTTTCTCCCTTTTCCAATTTTTCTCCCTTTTCCAATTTTTCTCCCTTTTCCAATTTTTCTCCATTTTCCAATTTTTCTCCCTTTTCCACCTTTTCATCGTAATTTCCATTTTGGCATATATGATGATGCGTAGCTATTTGGGAATCATGATTTGATCTATGCATACTATGTTCATTAGGAAAAAAAACCTCTGGCTCTGGTTCTCTCTTTCTATGCTGCTCGCCATAGTTTGCCACATTTAATAAAGTTTCAAAATTGTTACAAATTTTTGTATTTTCTCCATTAACAATATGGCTGTAACTCCTAGTGCCGGTAAAAAAATTGAATTTATTCTTCCCAATTTTCGAATTAACATTTTTGCTACTGTTACAGTTTAGAAAATTCACACCAAATGTAGTGGGTGATACATTATATTTATGGTTATGTAAAAATTTAAATTTGTCATCCCCTTTGTTATTATAATAGTAACCTGAGCTATTAAAATTTTGATTAATTTCCTTTTTTTCATCAGAAACGAAAAAATGATTATTACTATCAGCATTATCCATTGAAATTGTGCTTCGTGGATCCATATCTCTGTAATGATTTCTTTGGACTATTATTTTATTTGCAAAAATGGGTTCATCAGATGCAGAATTGCTCTTCTTTCCGTTAATATCGCTGTTCTTCTTTTTGTTATTCGTGTTTTCAAGTATAAGCTTGGAAATGTTATACACTAAATTTCTCAAATTTTCGTTTAATTCCTTTTTGTTAATTCGATTTTCATCGTTATCTTCCAATTTTTTTATAAATGGAAAAATATCATTTGTTAAACGGGGGTGATTATGGGAAATGCTGCAAGGAATATTATTCTTACAATGCAAATGTTTTAAATATGAGTTTCTATTGTGTTCTGTGTTTATTTGGTGCGAAGCTTAACATAAAATGATGGGAAAAATATATTAAAGAAAAAGAACATATGAACTTTTATTCTATTTTATTTTAAAAGGGGGTATTTATTTACAGCAAAAAAATGAAAAAAAAAAAAAAAGAAAAAAAGAAAGAAAAAACCTCAATTTCTTATAAATATATTAACAAAGGTGTACACAATATAACGATTGCATCCCTACTACTTTTCTAAGTTATCTTGAAAAAAAAGATGCACTGATAGAAATTTGCTTGTTGTAGACAGCATATCTCCATTAGGAATTTGAGGGGTGACAAAAAAATATAATACGTAAATTGAGATATGAATAGGGTGTGGAGCAGAGTGAAAAATGTTTTATTAAAAATTTAGGGAAGATTAAATAAACAATTAATTATTTTGTAACTTTATTTCAGTTATAGTAACAAATTTTATGTAAAATGGGGCCATGATGAAAAAGTAAGCATTGCAAATATTGCAAAACATGTAGTGCTGCAAAATATTATACAACAAGATGTAGAACTGCTTTAAAGCACTATTACTTGCGTGCATATTACATTATTATAATACAATATAAAATTTCTTTTTCAGACACAAATTTTCATTGATGGCTGACGGCATATCACACAGTTTTGTAACGTTGGGAAAATTGACGCATGTGCTAGTTGGTACGTTGGTCGACAGTGGCGTTATTCTCTTAATAGAAATGTACTAAGCAATTTCGATTCAACCAATTATGTGCATGCCTATAATGGTGTAGTGGTGCGATGGTGTAGTGGTGCAGTGGTGTAGTGGTGCAGTGGTGTAGAGGTGCAATGGTGTAGCGGTGCAATGGTGTAGCGGTGCAATAGCGTATCAGTGCAATAGTATAATATACTACAATGGAGTAATAGTGTAATACGCTCAATGAACGCCATGCATACGAATACGTGCACATATACACTTCCTTTACGTAGTAAAAACACACGAAACATTCGTTGCATATCTTCACACTTCTACGTTTCATACAAAATATCCTAGTTACATATTCCCATTTGTAAAAAGTTCTTATAATGTGAAAATGAAATGCAAGACTCGGGGAGGTGATGGCTACAATGCTTGCGGGATGTGGAAGGATTCTCCGGGAACTCTACACTTAAACGTATGAATAAACACATAAACGTGTGCATAAACACATAAACGTGTGCATAAACACATAGGCGTATGCAAAAACACATAGGCATATACATATATGTATCTACATGCTTACATTTACTTACTTACACACACATGTTCATACATATTATATGTTGTCGAAAGGGGTGTTCATAAATTAGGGGTTAACATACAACATGCGAAAAAAAAAAAAAAAATCGCAGCAGGTACTACAAACAAAATAAACTACATGCGTAAAGAATAAACAAAGATAAGGTCTAAAATATGGTTTATTTTTTTCCAAAAATTAAAAAAAAAAAAAAGTATAAATGTAAATACATGAATACCTAACATGCAAATACATGTACATGTCTACAGGTATATTCATTTAATTATATTTTATTATGCATTGTAAGGACAGTTTCAGTTAACTGTGGAGGGTATCACATTCAGAGGCAAAAAGATGTGTATTAATATAGTACAAGTACATAAGCATGTGTGCTACATGTATATTCTTATACACATAAATGAATACAGGCACGTGTTTACACGCGCTGAATGCGTACAAATGGTTATGTATACGCTTTCATACAACTTACATGCAGAATACACCATTAAAAAAATAATAATAATAAATCAACAAACAAGATGAATGCTTATTTATTGTTTTAAGTTACGTATCTTATATTATTGCATTCTGTTTGAATTGTTTCTAATCGGAATGTTGTCCGTTTTTTATTTTAATATATATAAACATAGTGAAGGAATGCGCGGGAGGTTAGGAAGCAAGAAATAAAAAAAAAAGGAGAAAAAAATTATATAAAAAGATGATCTTGCTTTTTACATGTTCAAAAAAAGAAAAGAAAAATGGATAATAGGAAAGAATAAAGAGAAATGAAATATATGCATATCATTAAGCACACATACTAACTCATTTATACAATGCAAGTTTGAAATAAACAAAAAGATTATAGCTAAAAAAATGAATGCGAAAAAGTGTAGCATTATCAAAGCGCATGCAAATGAAGATTGTGTGCTTTTTGGTGAATAGTAAACACGGGAAAATTTTTACAGGCATATGGTAATAAACAAATGTGTGCATGTATTGCAGAATAACAAATACGAGAATGTGTGTATGGGCGTGAGTCAAACATGTATTAACATGTATTATCAGGTGTTTGCCTTTGTTAACATTTATTAACGTGTGCCAGCGTGCACTCGCGCAAACATGAATTATCATGTAAACACACGTGTTCGTACTTATTTTCGAGTATTCTCAGATGTTTTCACGTATTTTCACGTGTTCTAACGTGTTCTTACGTATTTTCAAGTATTCTCACGTGTTCTTACGTATTTTCAAGTATTTTCACGTGTTCTTACGTATTTTCAAGTATTTTCACGTGTTCTAACAAGCTTTCACATGCTCACACCTGTTCACACGTATGAGCAGGTATCCCTGCATGTTCACAAGTTTGCTCCCATAGCCACATATCTACACGTATTAATATACACTGATGTACATTTAAATGAATAAGCAAAAAAAAAAAAAAAAAAAAGAAAAAAAAAGGAGAGGAATAAAATCATTCCATTCATTTATACATACCATATATGCGAATTCCTTTCTTTTTCGTTGGGTCTTAACCCTTTGACGTTTTGGGTGTGAAATATGAAAAAAAATAAAAAGGAAAAAAGAAGAGAGAGAGAGAGAGAAAAAAAAAAAAAAGAAAAGAAAAAAAAGGCTTCTATCTGTATATATGAAATAATGCAACAGAATATAAATATGTATGACGAAGTAAAACAAAAAAGAAAAATTTTCAAAATGAGTGAAGAACAAGTGATTGTGCTAAAGGTTTACAAAAACAGCATTTCGATTTTATGTTTCGCATGTAAATCCACTAAGCACGGTATCCATATATACATATATATATAAATATATAGTGCGCATGCGCATGCATACATGTTTGTGCAAATATACATATGTACGTGTTGGTTTATTTTCCCTTTTGCACTGAACAATAGGGTGTGAAGGGGGGGGGGGAGGGATAAGAAAAAAATAAAAAAAAAGAAAAGAAAAAAAGTCGTATATTCATAAATATACAAAAAATTATGGACCATCAAATATATCTCTATTATATGCACAACAACTGGACTCCATGTTAAAAGGAACAACCAACCATTTGGTGCACTTCTCTTGAAATTGTGAATATCCTTATTGCAAAGGCAGCGCAGTTTATAAATCTTCGTTTTGAAGAAGTTAAACAGGTATGCATATATGAATATATGTTAATACACGAATTCTTGAATAATACGTTCATATATTGTACATCTAAAACACACCCATATATAAATGTGCACAATTCATCATGTTTATACGTATATATTTGTATATATACATGTATTCAACATTTTCGAATATGCACATACGCACACGTACGAGGAATATAGTGTAAAATAAACACTAATTCACAAACACGCCAAGATTTAAAAAGGCATAATGTATATTCATAAGAAAACTTTTGCATAGAAAAAAAAATAAATTCTCCTTTACATATGTTTTTTAGGTATATTTATAGGGAAAAGTAGTTATCTCGCAAAAAAAAAAAATATACAGATGTATTATTTTTTTTAAAAGAATTGAGAAATGGTTGGTTTTATAATCATGCTATAGCGAGCTTTTTTTTTTTTTTTTTTTTTTTTTTTCGAATGCTTATAGTTTTTTTTTTTTTTTTTTTTTTTTTTTTTTTTTTTTTTTTTTTTTTTTTTTTTTTTTTTTTTTTTTTTTTTTTTTTTTTAATTACGTTTCTTTTCTTTTCATATACATTTTTTTATTTAGATGAAAACACAAATAAACAGAATGAATATATGGTCTCACACGTACATACGCGAGTAACCAAATATAAAAAAAGAGTAATTCGTTTTTAACATGTTAAGACACACTTTGTGTTCATGCATGGGGCACAATATGATATGCAATTAACATATGCATAACAAACATATACATTTTTGGAGGCACTTTTTTTTTTTCTTTTTCACTTGCGACAGTGTACATTTTCAGCATACATTCTTCTAATATGACATGAAATATGTGGTTAAAGAAAAATATTCCATAAAAAAAAAAAATTGCTTTATTGAAGGGTACATCGTATAGCAAGTTTTGAGTCCAAAATGTTTTTTACGGGAGCATGCAATTTTTTAAAAGGAATTACATAGCTTGTTTTTTCATTTCGTATTGACCTGTATCTACCGACATCCATTTTCAGTTATTTTAATTAATTCGTCCTATAAGGCATAATAACGGTTCCAACATTTTGCTAATAAAAGTTGAACCAAAAATTAATAGAAAAAGTGGAGCAACGTTTATAGAAGCAAGTACAATTACGAAATATATATGTATGCATGTTTTTTTTTTTTTTTTTTTTGCACCTTGCCGAAAAATTCTGCGTGCTATGGTTGCTTACTCTTTCGTGTATGGCCACACCTGGATAACAAAATGTGCTGTTTTGCATTTTTTTTTTTTTTTTTTTTTTTTTACCATTTTGCCTCGTTATGATGCGCGTGATTGTGCACTTTTTACCTATTTAATATCTTTATGCACGCTTTTTAGGGATAAGGGGGGGGGGGGAATGCATCAATGTGCACTTGTGTAACACTATACTCAGATAAAGAACAACGCGACTTTTTAAGCGGTTATATATATATATATATATATATATATATACTGGTTAAAACTGATAATTCCATTTTTTAATATTCCTTTAAATTTCTGAACAAACGGACAAAATTCATGAGAAAGCGAGCACATAGCTTGTCATATGTTTCACTCTTTTTTTTTCTTTTTTTTTTACCTTAAAGAAAAAATATACATTGTTTACAATAACATAATGTGGTCAACCTGATCATCATTTCGTATATCATTTGTGTGGAAGGAGACTTTTATCCATTTATTTTATCAATCACTTTTTCCTGCACATGTATTGTAAAAGCAAGTGTATGGCTTGATAAATATGATTGAGTTTTGCTAATATACTTTTTTTTTTTTTTTTTTTTTTTTTTTTATTTACATGCTCAAGCTAATGCACAGGGAACAGCTTAAAGGGGCGTAGAACAAAGTGGTGTACATTTAACACCCACATTGCTAACACGTATATGTGAGAAGAAAAAAAAAAAAAAAAAGGAAAAACATAGAGAATGCTTTTGCTTGGATATGCGATAATGTATTTTTTTTTTTTTTTTTTTTTTCTCACTGTGTAATATGTGTAAAAAAAAAAAAAAATAAAATAAAATATTTACATATGTACAATAACACTTAACTAATGTTGCTATTTTAGTTCTAACTATTTAAGATATCCTTTTTATTACTATTTCTTCCTTTTTTTTATTTTAAAAAAAAAAAAAAGTCGACGAATGAACATTTATGGTGTGAATTTAAAATTGATGGATGACAGGAATCTACAGATGATATAAGGAGTTAAACATGTTAATATACCCATACATATATACGTATGCAAATGTGTGAGAGGATAAAATTATCAAAGTAATATATTTTAAAAAAACTACCCCCTACTATATATTTCCAAAAAAATGCCAAATGTTTTATTGAAATTTTGGTCTTATATATTTTTTTCTTCGTCTTAAAAGATAAATTTTAAGTTTTTTACAGAATGTAAAATGTGAAGTAAACATATTTATATTTCATATCATAAATGTTCAGCAATTTTTTTTTTTTTTTTTTATCAATTCGTTACATGTGCACATATGTTCATATATACTTATGTACTTTTTTTTTTGTATATTCCACTTTGTCTTATTCTTAGAAATCTGCTTTATGTAATGAAAATGCCACATGGCATTTACCACTTTCCATTTTGGTGACATGGCAAAATTTGTAAGAACCCCTTAAGTCGAACAAACTTGAAATACATCAAATATAACTTTTGTTGTGTGTGTTTGATGATTTAGATTTTTTTTTTTTTTTTTTTTTTTCACACAAAACATCTTCTTTTAAGTAAGCAACTCATACTTTGGTGTCCAACGTGGTTTACCGTATTACCAATTTTATTGCAATTACATTAAGGTTCACTACAGGAATTATTTTAACATATGTCACACACAGAAATTTTAATTTCCAACAAAATAAACACTTTATTAAACAGAAAGTAAAGCCCTCAAAACGGAAAATTATTTATTGTGAACGAATTAAAATGACCTGAATGTTTATATTTAATTTGTAGCATTTAACACTCCCTCAGCTTTTTTTAAAAATATCATTTGTACGTATGAACATGAACGAAATGGAAATATACATCATTTTAATCTGTTTTCTCATTTCATTTTTTTTTTTTTTTTTTTAAATCACCCTTTTGTCTATTTTTCAATAATTCACCAAAAAAGAAAAAAAAGAAAATAATAAAAATTAAATATCCTATGTAAGGATGGGTGTACATTTATATCTAACAATACTGCTTTCATATTAGGGGAATGAACACACAAATGGTACACATTGTGTTACATGTGTGCAAACGTATTTTTGCATATATATGTGCGTGTAACATTGTAACTAAAAAAAATATATATAAATAATAACAATAATAAAAAATAAAAAATAATAAAGGTGTACTTGCATAATAACCCATTATTGGAAACATGTACATTTTCTGTAAATGTAGTTACACAATAAGTTTTTTATTTTATTTTTTTTTTTTAAGCTAAGAACACCTTTTTTAATGAGAGATATGTAAAAAACATTTCTTAGTGCACAAGTAAAAATAAAAAAAAAATAAAATTAATCACAATTATCCCTCTCCGAATATTGAGTGATTAATATAGCATGCAAAACTTAAGCCTATTTTTACATATGAAGAATGGCTATAAATAGTTTGAGAAAAAACGAAAAAGTAATCGCCCTAAAATTAAGTGCAAAAGGAAAAATATATATGTTATGTATAAGAACATATTGATTAATTTACAACACAGCAGGTCATGAACACATGTATGAGAAATCAGTTACATTTCACCATCTCTTTATTCAAAGATATGTAAAAAGGTGAGGAGGAAGGGAATGGACTATTACTTGATCTAACACTTGTTATTACTTTTACACGCGAAGAATATACACATATGTACAAGCATACATGTGAAAATATTTTATACTTTAACAAGGTTCACAATGAATTTTTTCACTCGCTTCTTTTTCCCCTTTGTAACATAGCAATGTGCATTTAAATTAGAAAAAAAAAAAAAAGAAAGAAGAAAAGAGAAAGGGAAAGAAAGAGCTCTTCGGGTTATTTCATAATCAAAATATTAATCATGTATTATATCTCTTTGCATTTTTTTTTTTTTTTTATTTCTCCCTTTCTTCTTTCCTTTATTTATTCTTTTTCTTTTTTTTACATTTGCCCCCTTTTGTTAATGTTTTTTAGAACGCTTTTAAAAGGTTGACGATGCTTTTTTCACTTATTTGCATGGAGAAAGCACATATGCAAGTGCATACATATGTACGAGTGTATATAGGAATGCGTACACATATGAACAGAATTACCAACCGCTTTGTGCATACATGTATGTAAATTTATGTGTACATATACATATATATATATACGTACATACTTTTACCTTTACACAGTTATTAATGATTAATAACCAAAGGGGAAAGGATCCCCACACATACCAAGAATGAAATGAATTCATAAGGCAAATTTATTTTTTATTTTATTATTTTACCTTCTTTTTTTTTTTTTTTCGGTAAAACAAGGGCGCTTACTTTACACTAAACTGAGAAAGGACAATTCAAAATGTGCTTAAACTAAATAAAAATTGTCAACACATTTATATGCGTACATGTGTATGTAATGTATATGATAAAAATTTTATTCTTCAAATTTTTATGAACTAAATGTTGTGAAGAGAGAGAAAAAAAAAAAAAAAAATATAATAAAATAAAACAGAAAAAAAAAGAAAAAAAAAAAAAAGTATCACATGTGCCAAGTGGAAAATAAGTAAAACAAGAGTAACGTAGACACGTGAAACATTTTGCACAACACGTCAAAGTGAGGAAATTAAAATTTTTACTATGTTTTCCGTTTGAAAAAGGAAAGAAAAAAAAAAAAAAAAAAAATGGAACTCCAAAATGAAGAACAAAAAGAAATAGAAAAAGTAGAAAAAGACAAATCTAACAATACAAATGACAGCAGTAAAAAGGGTTTAAAGTGTGACAGATTAAACAGTGATATTAACAACAATGAAGTAGGAAGTAATGGAAAAAAGGAGAATACAAAAAATACCATAAATTGTAAGATCAATGAAATCCCTAAGGTAAGCGAAGGAGGGACAAATGGAAAAAAAGAAAACAACATTAACAACAAGGGTAAAATGAAAAAACAAGAAAATTGGAATAAAAAATATTACAATAAAAATAAAAATCAATCAAATTTTGATCATTCCAAAAAAAATAATAACCACAAACATTGTGAACATAGGAGCAATAGTCAAATTATAAAGGAAAACACAAAGAGTCAAGAAAATGTAAAAAAGAGTGAGGAAAATAATGATCCCAATGTTGAATCGACAGAAAAAGCAGGTAAAGAACACTTTATCAATGGCATCAATATAAAGAAAAGTGAACATGACAAGGATGTTGGTGCGAGTAATCTGATCAGTACTGAGACTAAATTAGACAATGGAGAAGATAAAGAAATGAAAACAAAAAAGAAAAAAAAAAATAAAAGGAAGAAGAAAAAGGGAATAAAGAAGGAGGAAGAAAAAGAGGCAGAAAAAGAGGCAGAAAAGGAGGCAGAAAAGGAGGCAGAAAAGGAGGCAGAAAAGGAGGCAGAAAAGGAGACAGAAAAGGAGACAGAAAAGGAGGCAGAAAAGGAGACAGAAAAGAAGACAAAAAAGAAGACAAAAAAGAAGACAAAAAAAAAGGCAAAAAAGAAGGCACAGAGGGTAAAAGATAATGAAGCGGCCGATAGAGATAATGCAGACATTGGATGTTTAACAAAAGTTAATAACATGGTTCCAAATGATAATAGCAATGAAAATTCCAGTATCACGACAGCAATTAGCACCAATAAAAATTGCAATTTTAGGAAAAAGGGAACTGAGAAAGGCACTATCGAAATTGCCAATTTTTATAGTAGTAATCTTTTTACCCATCCTGTGGTACAGAAAAAACAAATGAAAAATAAACAAAATAAGTATTCAAAACTAAGTCGAAATTTGCAACAAAGTAAAACAAAAAATGCAGAAGAAAATGTTGCTTTTATAAAAAATAAAAAGGAATATGCCCCTAAAAAGACAAACAATAATTATCATCAAATGTATAATGTATCCTGTGGCAGCATGGCAAAAGACCATGTAAACAAATTGGCGAATTTGATATATAAAAATAGCATTAATTATAATACAACATATTCGAAGAACTTAAATAATAACTTTAGTTCGAGTTCGAGTAAAGATCTCTATAATAATTATTCTATGAATTTTATGAACAATCAGGCAAAAAGGAACACGCTGCAAGCGTCGAAAGATATAAATTCTGAATATGGGTACGATATAAATAATCAGGGATACCTAAATTGTTTATACAACCCTATGGAATTTCACAACCCAAATGAGTATTATGATTTTTCATGTCTAGATGGGGCATCCAACCCTATGGGTATTTTCTTTCATGGAAACTATATGCAAAGAAAAGATTTAATGGAGTACATCATTAAACTGCATGGAATGTACAATATGGGTAACGCTGCTATGTACAATAACATGAGTAGTGGAAATAATTTGAATGGAGTCACAAGTGTTGGAGACGGTGTCAACTTGTGCATATGTAACAATCGCAAAGTAGGGAAAGTTCCATCACGAGGAAAGGAGAATCAAAAGAGAAACGGAAATTACGAATTAAGTAAGAAGAAAGAGGAAGAGATAAATTGGCATATAAACAACATGAATTCGATTGGTGCAAATGTGAAAGATTTTAAGTATGAACAAAAGCAGAAGGATTCAAAAAATATCAACAGCGGAAGTAGTAACAAAAAAGGATATTATAAAGATTTGAATACAAGTACGTCTAGGACAGGGAACGTCTTCGAGAGAAATGTTAACACCACGAACAATACAAAAATTGGAGAGAATATAAAAGGGAAAAACCTCCCAAATGTGGATATAGTGAAAAATAATGAACAGGTGATCATCCCAAGTATGAGAAATGAACGTATGTACACAAATATACAAAAGAGGAAATATGATACTCAACATGGTTTCCAAAATGTCGAGATGTGCTGGAACAATAACAATTCTGAAATTAATCAGAAAAAAAGGTATATTAAATCGAATATACCATTTCAATCATTTAAAAGGCAAGATAATAGTAATAAAAATAAAAGAGTTTTAGGAAAGGATTCAATAAAAGAAAGCAATATGGATGAGAGAAGTGGAGAGATATGCTTAGGAAAAGAGAAAGAAAACAGGGCACCTTCTTACCCAATTTACGGAAAAGGGAAAACTAAGAATTTTGAAGTTAATAAAGAAATATATAAATTTATAGATTATTGTGTGAAAAATTATGGAAACAAATATCTATTGAATGTTTTAGGTGAATTTTCATCAAATAATATTAGTAAAAACTACGATGAATTAAACAATATTTTTAAAATGAAAATAAATGATGAAAATTTGAGCACTCTGGAAATATTAGAAAAGGACGAAAAAAAAAAAAAAGACGTCCCTACTTTTATAAAGGACAATCACAACATAGGCCAGGAAGAAGTACCAATGAGTAAAGACATTACAGACATCTTAAACACTTCGAATAATTCCATTACTGAGGCATATGATCAATTTGAGAACTTACTTAACATGGGAGGAGCACATGCTGGATTGGATGAAAAGGATCTCCATCCTGAGGAAAGACTGTGTCAGAAAAGCACAACAGAAGGGGAAATGAAGGAGGATATGAAGAATATCGAAATGAAAGATACGGAGCAGAAAATTTTCGGAGAAAAAAATTTAGGAGAAAAAAAATTGGGAGAAAAAAATTTAGGAGAAAAAAAATTGGGAGAAAAAAATGCCAAACTGCAAACGGTCGAAATGGAAAAGATGAAGAATTCCGAAGCGAGAGAGGAAACGGAAAATGGCCCCAAAGCGGGCGAAGGAAAAGAGGGAAAAAACAAAAACAACATGTTCGAGGAGGATAAAAGAATGAATGTGACTATTCCCCCAGGGCTGAGTCTACCAGATATAAACAGAGCATTATTACATGGTGCATATCTAGATAATATAACAGTGGTGAAGAAGTGTTTAGAGAGAAAAGCAGATATTAACTATTTCGATAAAGTTGGAAGGAGAGCCTTACATTATGCATGCGCAGGTGGATATTTTGACATATGCGAATTGTTAATACAAAACGGGGCAAAAGTGAATGTCTCAGATTACAAACATTGGACTCCATTACATATTGCAGTTACCAAAATGCATAAAGACATAACCGAATTGTTATTAAAAAATGGTGCAAATATATATGCAATGTTACCTCATTCTTTATCCCCCAATAGAGGAAAAACTACAGCTAGTATGTGCATCCATTTTGCAGCCATTAAAGGTAGCATAGAAATTACGAAGTTATTGCTCAAGTATGGAGCGAAAATTGATGATACAGATTTATCCAATAGAACAGCTCTTCATTACGCTGCTTATCGAAACAATTCTGATTATGTGAAATTTTTAATTTATGATAAAAAAGCCAAGGTAAATATTTTCGATGTGCATAATAGATTACCTGTACATTCAGCTTGTTTAGGGGGAGTTTTAAAAAATGTACAACTATTAGCTGAGAATAAAAGTTTTCTTCAAAAAAAAGACATATACAATATGAGTCCCATAGACATTACTAATATAAAGAAGTTTAAGGATATTACGAAATTTTTAACCAAGTATATAAACCAAAATTTTTCACCTTACGATATGGAAGACAATCAATGTCAATTCAAAGTTGTCAAAGCGAAATGCCTGGATACATATGTAGCAAAGGGAGAAAAAAGTACACCTTTGATCAATGTGGAAGAAGAGAATGCATACATGGCAGATGAAAGGATTCAGAAGTTTTCCAATGTAAAGGATGGTTCCATTCCTATTGGCAGGGATCATATGAAGGGGGAAGAAAATGAAGAATTAGGTGTTGCAGAAGTTGCAGAAGTTGCAGAAGTTGCAGAAGTTGCAGAAGTTGCAGAAGTTGCAGAAGTTGCAGAAGTTGCAGAAGTTGCAGAAGTTGCTGAAGTGGCAGGAGTAGCAGACATGGTAGAAGCAGGAAACGTGGCAAGCTTGGAAGACGAACGAGAAGATAATAAAATGGATCCAAAGGAATTTTACAACGACAATAAAATGATTAAAGACGTTTTAACAACAACTATTAGTACCATTTTGAAAGAAAGAAATAGGGATCAAATAAAAAGAGTAGTGGACGCTTTGGGGGTGTACATATCATTAAGCTTACTGGAGAAAACAATTTTAATTCAAAATTATGGAGGCATAGATCTGGTTAGTAAAAAGGGTAAAAGAACCACCGGTGGTGTTTTCTTTTACCTTATAAAGTATATGTATAAAAATGACATTATATCTAAGTTTAAGTATGATTATATTGTGGAAGAAGAGAAGGAAAAAAAAAAAACGTACAGGAAATTAAAAAAAAAATTGTTACAAGAAGAGGAAAATATTAAAGGCAGCATCGGGTTGAAAGCGAATACACTACAAGACAGGAAAAACAAACATGATAAATTTACGAATGAACCGAATAGGACCTACAACACCAATGCTACCTTTAAAAATGCAAAAGGGGATCATATAAAAAATATGCAAAATGGTAACATGGCGATAGCTATTGCAAAGGACAATAAGAGCACAAAGCGTTGTGCACATGCACTGAACACAGTTAGTTGCAACACCACCATGAGCAATTATAACAGTGCAGTGAAACATAACAGCAAGGGACGTAAAGAAATGGCCATACTTAACTCAATCAACAAAGACAATTCGAATGAATTAGTTTTAAAACACGCAAGAAATAACACAAACTTTTATAACAAACATAATAACCTTCCTCCGAAGGACTCATATATAAACAACCTAACAACAGATGATGATAAAAACAAAGAAAAAACGAAAAGCAAAAAAAACAAAAAAAACAAAAAGAACACAAAAAAGGTATACACTACTAGTGTAAACACCCAAGTAGGCAATACAAATTGCATTGCAAAAAATAATATGGAATCTTCGTTCACAAATTTAGTGCAAAATGCTTACACTAATATTCCGAATTTTCTTGAGGTACAGAACCTACAGAAAAATATGTACCAACTGAAAAAAACTGCGAACAAGTGGGAAAACTATGATTTGGGATATATTGGAGGTTTCGAAAACTTGGGCTATTTTAGTAGCCATGGAAACTTGCACAATGTTGGAAACTGGAATAACGTGAACAATATGAATTGGCGCAGCATTCATAGCAACCAAACTAACATGAATGGCTGCAATCAGCATAGTAAAGAAATAATGAATCATCATAATAACCTAATCCCGTACATGAACAATTTGCAGAAGAGTGCCTATGATTACTTGGGAGGTGTGGAAAATTCGTGGGCCTACTTAAATAATCAAAATGCATATTTAATGAATAATTTGTGCAAGACATATGGAAATGCGAATGCTAATGCAAAACAGAAAATGCTTTTAAACGATTTTAACTATGCTCGTTTTCGGAGTTACCCAAAAATGTAGCCCTATTATATATGTGTTCATGCATAAAAGTGTACATATATATGCAAACACGTGAGCGTGCGTTCCTTTTGGGCATGTTTTAATATTTCAACATGAATACATTTTTATTTAAGTTTCAATTCCATTTTTAATTTTAATTTTTTTTTTTTTTTTTTCCAACCCTACTTTTTTTTAAGAGAAAAATATATACAATTGTAGAGAAGCATTGCTATGCCTTTGATCAACTATTGCCCTACCCTATTTTTTTTTTTTTTTAAGCAAATAAGGAAAAACATTATCTTGAATATTAAAATGAATATATGTACCTAACAGGGTGTTTCAAATTCGAATACACATTTAATAGCTGGGGGTAGGTAATATACTGAATGAGGGTTGAAAGTTTCACTTAAGGACCTATCTTTCTACCCATCACCCCCCCCCTCCCTCCCTTTTGCTATCCATCATTCTGTTGTAAAGGTTGCAAAAACTCTGAATATGCCAATTTATCCCTATAAATATGCTGGAGTAAATGTTGGTTTCATTTGTGAAAAAGAAAAAAAAAAAAAAAAAAACGCGGGGACACAAATAAATAAAAAAAAAATGAATAAATAATTGTCTTTACACACACATGAATGTATCCCTATTTGTCTAAGCATAAGTAGTGTCACTCGAGCTTGTGAACCCCGCAAAAACGAGTTTCCCATTTTTTAACAAATGGAATAGTATGAACACAGTTTATGAAAAAAAGGCTATTTTTTTTTTTTTTTTTTTTTCTGAATGTTCATAAATTTTATAAAATATGCTAAGTTAAAAAGAGCTACCTGAAATGTGCGAAGATAGAAAATGAGACTTTTTTTCTTTTTTCTTCTTAATGATTGGAAGATATGAAATTATAAGAATGTATAAAAAAAGTGGTTAAATATTCGAATTTTTTATTCCGTACTTCGCCAAAATTTAAACCTCTATATTACATTGCAAAAACAAGTAGTCAATTGGTTGGATGATGGAAAAAGGTTCTAGCTGCGTGATGATGGTTGAATTGCAATTTTTTTTTTTTTTTTTTTTTTCTTAATATATGTTAAATTTCCCCATTTTTATGTAAATTTTTTCAAAAGAAAAGAGAGGAAAGAAAAAAATACTAATTGAAAACCACTTGGGATATTTAAATCATAGAAACATATACTATTATATATATATTTGACCATCATATAATTTTTATTCTGTTGCAATTGCCAATCATGTGTCTATATTTAGTGTGCATGTGTGTGTGATGTGTAGCTGTGTTTTATTTTCGCCTCTTTGTTATATGAAAAATGTTCATCATTTGAAAGAGCAGGAAAATTAAGCAAAGAAAAAAAAATAAAATAAAAAATAAAACAAAACAGAACAAAATATAATAAAATAAAACAAATTTAAAATAAAACAAAATAAAATAAAACAAAATAAAATAAAATAAAACAAAATAAAATAAAATAAAACAAAATATATTAAAAACCAATTGGGTGAAGACGATTTAAAGAAAATATACATAACTGAAATGCAGTACATAGATTTTGTATTTCCTCAATCATAATTTTTTTCCACTTTTTTTTTTTTTTTTTTTTTTTTGCGTAGCAAAACACTACAATGCCTTCAAACTCTAAAAATAAATTTTCCCGCACATGCGAAACCATGCATGTGTATACACAAAAACATAAATTTTGGGGGCATGTATATGTGTATGTATAAATGCATATAATGTTTCAGTTTGCTTAAAAAAATAAGTGAAAGAAATTTTATAATTTATATCTTCTCCTTCAAAATAACACACGTTTATCGGGGTATTTATTTCTGTTCATTTATAAAAAAATAAAAAAAAAATGCGAAAGAAATGGACTTTTTTTTTTGTTTTTGTTTTTCCATGTCCGCCATTTTTATATATATATTTTTTAATTTTGTTTGCTTTTTTTTGTTTCATTCACCCTTTTTACGCCTTATACGTAGTTTACCCGTTTCACCATTTTTACCATTTTTATCCGTTCACTTTTATCTATTCTGTTGCTTACGTAGATATCATTCGCAATGCTTCTCCGACGTAAATTGCACTTTTAAAAGGCGTGAACAAGGACAGAAAAAAAAAAAATAATAATAATAAGAGTAAATACAATAAAGCATAATAAAATATAACAAAACATTATATAGTAAAATATGATACAATAAAATATAGTGTAATAAAATATAGTACAATAAAACACAAGAAAATAAAAGCAAAGTCCAAACGAAGAGAACCCTCCTTAGTCAATTTTTTCCTTCCTCGGAATCCCCCTCCGTCTTGTCATTTTGCGTAGCCTTTTTTATCTATTTATTTATCTATTTATTTATCTATTTATTTATCTATTTATTTATTTATTTATTTATCTATTTATTCATTTTTTTTTTTTTTTTAAGTTGCCTTTTTTTTTTAACCCGTGGGAGACTCCATTTGATCTACGGGAAATTTCAACACAACCTCCGCCATCTCCGGTGCATGATGATTTCTGCACCCCTTTCACATGCCTCCCTAAAAGGAGCATAAACCAGAGCAAACAAGGTCTAATCAGATCAAATCAGATCAAATCATATCAGACCAGATCAAATCATATCAAACCAGATACAACCATATCAAACCAGATCAAATCAGATAAAACCATATCAAACCATAACCAAACGGAGTTAAACAGAGAGACATCAAATAACATAATAAATAACAAGTCATGAGCAACCATCAGAACATAGGTGTAAAGGAAAATTTGTTCTTCTACCTAAACAGAGATGATGTGAATGAATTAATCGAAAGCATAGAAGAAGATGATGATAAAATTGTAGAATGTAACGAAAACAATGGCTTGTGTGAGTATGAGTTACCATTCCTTTTACAAAACATTGAAAATAATAAAGAAGATTCAGAAAAGAATTCGTCAATTAGTAGTTACCTCGATGATGGTGCATCAACCATTCTTTCAAAGCAAGATGAAGAAAACGTTACTGAAGAAAATATGATAAAAAAAAAAAAAAAAAAAAAAACTAACAGAAGTAAAGGTAAAAATGAAAGCACATCCAAGGAAAAAATAAACATAATATTTATTCAAAATGATAGTAGTGGACTTAACAACTTTGAAGAAATTCTCTCTATGGCAAATGTGAACAGTGAAAAGGTAGAAAAGAAACTAAATGAAAAATTTTATCAAATATGTTGTAAAAGTATTGCAGATATAAATACATACAATTTGAATAAAGTAAAAAATGTGAATGATAATCAAAAACAAGGTTCATTGGATATTGAACATATAGATTATGGTGATATTTTTCTCACAATACAAGATTCTTTAAAAAGCAGAGGAAATAAAAACAATAATAACCTTCTTCAAGATAATACATCTGAATCATTTGGATTAAGGCATGAAAAATTGAAGAATTTTCGAAATATTGAAGAGCATCCAAAAGTGTTATTGGGGAAGAGGAAAATTAAAAATACGTATAATTACCACTTTAATGGTGGCAACTTTTTCAAGTCATACAGAAAAAAAGATAAATCTGAACGCAGCAGTGTGGGCTGTCATATCATAGAAAAGGGTGGTTGCTACACACGTAAGAAAAAAAAAATGAATCCATATTTGCATCCTTTATCAACCTATAATAGGTATGGATATATACCCCATGTATATGATTCTCATGTTATTGGATATGACGAACGTGCATTGCAGAACAGTAAGTTTCTAAAAAAAATTTACATAAAAAGAAATAAAAAAAGATCAAGCGATATGCATTCTTTGGATTCTTATGAGGAAAAGGAGGGTTATCATATTTTAAGAGAAAAAAACGCATCTAATAATGTCATTATTCATTCAGAGAAAAATCAAAGTAGTGTGCATGGTATATCCCCAGAGGGATATGCTAGTAGAAATGTTCAATCTATGCAAGAAGGAACAAATTTATGTGAGAAGTCAATGTGTATTGAAGTAGGGGGAGAAAAACACTACCAGAAGAGAAAGGGCAGCACTGAGATGGAACGACGTGGACATTTCATCGATTCAGGCGAAGCGATTAACAGAATAGACGAAGGAGGGGAAATGGAGAGGAATGATCTTGAGGAAAATTTTATTTTTGATTCCATGGAAAATATCCATCCTCCATATTCAGCAGAAAGGGATGAAATTTCTCCTAATAATGCATGTTCTGACAAGGAGAGTTATGTCTGTGACGTGGAGGCAGCAAATTTTTTTTGCGAAGGGGATAACAGGAATCACATTTACTTTAAGGAAGAAACAAATGATCAAATGGGTTCTGATAAGCTGGATGGTACTGTTGCAGATGGGAGAGGTTACAACCACAACAATGATGATACTGATGGTAATGATGATGCTGATAGTAATGATGTTGCAGATGGGAGAGGTCATAACCACAACAATGATGATGCATGCTGGGAGGATAAAACAAAAGAGATATATCAGAAGGATTTTAAATTAGGTGAAGGTAAAAGCAATTCTTTGAGTAATGAGGAAACAGCCATGATAAAAGAAGAGGAACCACCGAAAATCATACGTAACAATCAAACGGAAGGAAATGAAAAAACGTTTAGTGATAAGAACGAGACGGTATTGCATCCGCCCAGAAGTGAAATTGTGAATATATGTAATGAATCGGTAATGAGTCAGGAGAACTTAAAAAGAGGAGATGATTATGGAGACACTTTTTTAGCTAGTGGAGAAGATAAAGAATATTTCGATCTGTTGGTGAAAAAATATGAAAAAACGAAATTGACTATTGATGGAAGTGAAAAATTATCCTTCAGTGCTATCAGTGGGACACCAAGTGATTATATGTCGATCGATTTACCTGAACATTTGAAGGATACTTCAAGGATGGAGAAGCAGGAGACCCAAGCAGACGATGTAGACCAAATTGATCAAATGAAAAAATTAAATAGCGTAGAGGGAAATGCTGTTCCATTGAGAGACGAATCTAGAAAGAGGGTGGAAAAATATCAAATAAATGGAGTAAATGTGAACCTTGTGAAAAAATTTCAGAGGGAAGAATTCGAATTGGACAATGCTGGTGAGGAGAGGGAAAGCAAGGAAGAAAAGAGTCAAATAAAAAGGGAAGAAGTAGAAAAGGGAGAAGCTGAAAAGATAGAAATAGAAAAGGGAGAAGCTGAAAAGATAGAAATAGAAAAGGGAGCAGCTGAAAAGATAGAAGTAGAAAAGGGAGAAGCTGAAAAGGAGGTTCCACAAATAGGAGGGTATGAAAAATTACTAGAAAACGATATGTACGATTTGTATAATTTAAAAATGCATGATTTGAATACTTTGAAAGCTTACGACTTTGAATTTTCCAAAAATTTATTGAAAAAAGAGATTTTCATGTATCATAGTAATAGTTTGAAGAATGATGAAGTGTTGGACGCAATCGAAATGGATAATATTGCATTAGATGAAAATGACGAACAAATTGATGAGGATGATGGAGAAATTAAGAACTTCCTAGCGAAATTAAAGGAAGATGTGACTAGCCAAATAAATATAAATAACGAAGAAAATGAGCAAGCATTTGATCTCTTGGATTCTGTTCATGCAAATGATTATTACTTCGGTTGCGATGATGGTGATAACGAAATAGACATAAATATGTTTAATTTGAATAAGGAGCCGAATGAAAGGGATGCAGAAGATCCAAAAGGGGATGAATCTAATTTTAGAAGCAATGGTAAACATGGCCATGACCTTGATGAATACGAGAAGGATATGGACAAAGATGGATATTTTCCAATTGGATCGAAGTTGAATCTGTCAGATTTGGATGTAGATCATGAATCTGCTTCCAGAGTCTATGCAAGTGCAGGTGAATGTGCAGATGAATGTGCGTATTCTAATTCCCTTTTCACTAGTCCAAATAAATTTGAAGAAGAGAGGAAGGACACCGAATGTCAAACCGAATTCCCGTTGGATTTTTCTAGAAACACGAATAGAACGCCAAGAAAAAAAAGCGTAGAAGTAATTCTTGTAAAAAAAAAGTTAAAGCGGATTAAAGAAAGAGACATAGAAGAAGCAGAAGAGGGAAAATGGGGAACCAATGAAACGAATTCAAGTGGTAGATATAGAAGATATCCCAGAAGAAACAGAATAAAAACGTTGAGATATTGGATTGGTGAAAGGGAACTCACTAGGAGGAATCCATACACAGGGGAAATTGATGTTATCGGATTCAGTGAGTGTAAAAATTTGGAAGACTTATCTCCTCACATTATTGGACCAATAAAATATAAGAAGTTATATCTGAGGAATATGTTTCCCTTAAGCGAAAGTGATGAGAAGGAAGAGCAAGATGCTCGCAAGGGAGAGAACGCTTCAGAAAATGGTACTGCTGGGGATGCCATTACAGATCGTTATATGAACAAAGATACAAGTGATCCTCTCGAGGGAGGGGAAAGTAAGATAAGAAGAAAACGTGATAATAAAGAACCCCCCAAAAGAGATGATGTAAGCGAAAATAGTAAGAACACTTCATATAACATTTCCAAACAGTTACCTAATAGACGATATAACTTAATGAAAAAACGAAAAAAAAGAAAATTCATTAATATCGTTAATTACATTAAAAAAAAAAGAAAGAAAAAATTAGTCAAAATCATAGATAAAGAGGAAGGAGAAACTTTTCCCTTAATAAAAAGTGAAAAAGGAATTAATATCACAATCGAAAATGAAAATTCTAATCACATTGAAGATACTTATTTGGGAAATATAGACAATGCACTGATTGGTGAAATAGATGTAACAAAAGAAGATGTGGTGGAAGATATTCTTGGAATCGCAGATGTTGTTCCTGTTGATCAACACGACAAGGGTGAAAATATGGAAAAGACAAATAACGCTGAGGAAAATGCGAATGATTTGTTTTATGATGCAAACAGCTTCTGTTTCGATGAACATCTCGAAGGAGGGGTTCCCGTGGGGGATACGCATGTAGAAATAGAAGCAGGTGGTGAATCATTGTCGAAGGAGTTATTTTCAGACGAACCGATACCCCCCCCCGACTTGGTGCGTCTAGATGGACAAGGAAAAGAAGAGGATCAAAAGGAGAGAACAAGCGAAACGGCAGCTGTGAATGAAGTTGAAACAACAGCTGTGAATGAAGTTGAAACAACAGCTGTGAATGAAGTTGAAACAACAGCTGTGAATGAAGTTGAAACAACAGCTGTGAATGAAGTTGAAACAACAGCTGTGAATGAAGTTGAAACAACAGCTGTGAATGAAGTTGAAACGACAGCTGTGAATGAAGCTGAAACAACAGCTGTGAATGAAGTTGAAACGACAGCTGTAAATGAAGTTGAAACGACAGCTGTAAATGAAGTTGAAACGACAGCTGTGAATGAAGCTGAAACAACAGCTGTGAATGAAGTTGAAACGACAGCTGTAAATGAAGTTGAAACGACAGCTGTAAATGAAGTTGAAACGACAGCTGTGAATGAAGCTGAAACAACAGCTGTAAATGAAGTTGAAACGACAGCTGTGAATGAAGCTGAAACAACAGCTGTGAATGAAGTTGAAACGACAGCTGTAAATGAAGTTGAAACGACAGCTGTGAATGAAGCTGAAACAACAGCTGTGAATGAAGTCGAAACGACAAACCTAGAGGGAGCTCGAAAGATGCCCACAAAAAGGAAAAAAATTCAAAAAAAAAAAAATGATGAAAAAAAGAAAATAAAAGAAAGAAGAATCGATGAGATGTACAAAGAGCTGTCTTTATTCAACTTGGACTTTTTATCGCAGAGTGAGAAGGTGGATAATGAGAAGCTTATCAAAAGGGGAAAAGTGGAGGAAAAGGGGAAGCAAAGGGAAGGTGAGAGGGAAAATCATGTAGGAGAAGGTAGAAATGCAAAGAAGGACGTAACTAAGAAACAGAAGGCAGAGGAAACGACAGTAGAAACGAAAAATAAAACGGGAAGTGTCGACAAGGATGAATACCGAGCTGCTCAAGATGAAGATGCAGAAAGGGACGAAAATGCAATCCACGAAGATGAGAAAAATGAAAAGAAGATTATCCTTTTGAAAAAAAACGGAGATATCAGTATAGACAATGAAGGAGCAGATCATCACACCAAATTGAAAAAGAGTGAAAATGCACAAAATCAAATTGAAACGGAATCAGGTTATAATCTTGCACTACTCACAGAAACGGATTCTAAGGATAGTGTGAAGAACACCCATTTTAGTGAACTCCAGTCTCATCACAATACAGAAATGGCAAAAAATGCGTACACCGAAATGAATTTGAGTGGAAGTGAAGAAAAAACTAGTACTGTTGTTTCTGTTAATGTTGATGAAAATGAAGAAGATATGTATGATTTCGTTCCTCTGGATGCAAATGGGGATGAGACAACGAATGTGTCTAAGGGTTCAATCATCCCAAAGGAGGAAGAGAATAATAATACGAGAGCAGGATTATCCAATGTGATAGAAACCAATCGGGGCAGTAATGAACCCATCGAACTTTGTGAAACCAAGGATGATTCGAAGGATGTCCTCTTAAAAAAGGAAACAAAAGGCAAAAAGGAAAAGGAAAAAAATGGAAAAACAGAAGAGAAGGAAAGTGGAAAGAAAGAAAACGAACAAAATAGCGAAACTAAAACTAAAACCAAAACTAAAATGAACAATTATGATATAAGCAAAATTGGGGGACGGAAAACGAAAAAAAGAAAATTTCCTATCGAACAGGAAAATGAAAAGACAGATTATGCACAGAAAGATGCAGTAAATGAAGCATCTCCTAGTGATCATATAAATGTTCATATGGATGAAGAAGATAAAAATGCAATATTATGTAAGACTCTGCATGCAGATGATAACATAATTTTGAAGAAGAGTGTTCATATAAAACCTATGCATCTTTATATTAACAGGAGAGAAAGAAAGAGAAGTCGAATGGGGGGAGAGCTAGCATTTCATATATCAAGACATAGAAATGATGTAGAAAAAGAAAATATGAATCATCCGATTTACGAAGCGAAGATTCATCAGTTATTTGGGCTTAGGAATTACATAACAACAGGTATTCCTATTATTTTATAAACGACTAAATTAGTAATTTTGACTTTGTAATATTCTGCAAAATAGTGTTTTCTTATGTGTATGCAAAACACGAACATATGGGGTGCATATCCCCGCAGGATAGCCATAATTACTTGCGAACGTTTCTTACATTTTTGCAGATTTCCAACATATGAATGATCCAAGGAATCCGGGTGCAAATTTTCCCCTTTTGCAGAAGGTACATACATAAACATGTACATGTGTGCATGCATAAATGTGTGCATGTATAAATGTGTACATGAATAAATATATGTACATATACATATGATGACAATGACACGCGGGGGAAATGAAACGCCATAAAACAAGGAGTGATAAATGTTGAAAATCCTCATTCTTCATTTTTTTTTTTTTTTTTTGCGCTTTTTTAGAATTTCCTAAACGATTTTAAAGTGGACCTTAACATTTACACTGTCCGGATAGCTTCACATGAGAAGTTCAAATCTTGCAGTGTCCACCAGAATTTGGTAAGTTAGATTTTCCAATAAATTTTCTCCACTTTTTTATTCCTTATTTTCGTCATACCAGTTACGTTACTGACGTGCCATCAGTTTTTAAAACGAATTTTCATTTTTATTCTCATTTTACTCTCATTTTTAGATGTGCTATATAGATACAGGAGAGAAGGTCAAAATTGTTCTGAACAGTCAGGAGAAATTTTACGAAAGGGGAGATTTCTTTTTTATTCCTAGACTTTCTAACTTCTTAGTGAACAACTGCAGCAGGTACTGTTGGAAAGAGGGAAGGCGGAAAAAATAACCAAGTCAAGTCCCGTCCGATTATTGCTCATAACACTATTATTATTGTCACTACTAGTATTACTATTGTTATCACTGTTACTATTATTAATTTATTTTTTCATTTTACGGCTCCATTTTATTTATTCTTTTCCCCTGACTGCAGAGAAGAGTGCATTGTGTATGTCTGCCCAGTGGCGAAGTAAATGGGGGATGCATATACCCCCGTTTGGATTTTTTTCGAAAGAGTACCACTGTTAGGAGAATGTTTCAAATAGGACATGCATGCAAAGATTTTACACGTGGATGGAGTATAACTTGAATTAAAGAAATAAAAGGAAAACCACGAAAATTCAGTTTACTTCCCATTTGTTATCACTTAGGTTTTAACGTTATCTCATCGACTGTCATTACATTTATTATAATGTGGAGAATTAAAAAAACGAGGGAGGAAAAAAAAAAAAAAATAAAAAATGAAAAGTTATGGAAAAGGGAGAAAAACAATCTATTTCAACGTTTACCACATTGACATTTTCCCATATTGACATTTTCCCATATTGACATTTTACCATACTGACATTTTACCACATTGACATTTTACCATATTGACATTTTCCCATAATGACATTTTACCACATTGACATTTTACCACATTGACATTTTACCATATTGACATTTTCCCATAATGACATTTTACCACATTGACATTTTACCACATTGACATTTTCCCATAATGACATTTTACCACATTGACATTTTACCACATTGACATTTTACCATATTGACATTTTCCCATATTGACATTTTACCACTTTAACGTTTTACCATTTCAGCATTTTCCCCATTTTACAAATTAATAAAAATCTGACACAATTTATTAATTTACTCCTGCATGTGAAAATGCGTGCAACTTCGATCAGATGGTATAGAGGCATGCGAATTCCTCATGGATATACGTGTGCACACACCGGTGTATATATAAACATGCTATATACACAAGTGCACATACATGTACCTATAAAAATCTATTATTTACATATTACTTATGTTGTAGTTCCATTTCATCAGTGTATAAAAAAAATAAATAAAAAATGACGGAAAAAACAATAACAAATAAGATACTTGAAGGGGAAACATATATCTACATTAATTAATCGAAACATTTGAATATATGTTTTCTATTCCCCTACCCCAATCATATATGTATTCAGACAGACATGCGTATAAAACTGTTAAGTGTACACAACAAAGTGCGCAGAAACAAAAAAAAAAAAAACAAACAAACACGCATCTGCTTATGTAATATATATATATATATATATGTAGTCTATTCATTTTCTCCTTCGACTTTTTTTTTTTTTTTTTTTTTTGGGGTGTGCACATATTTTCCCCGTATTTACAATATGCACAATTTATGTAGGAAAAAAAAAAAAAAAAAAATGAACGGAACATTTTTATTTTTTCCCACTATTTCGTGTTCTAATTTATTTATAATACCATATTTTAACTTTTTTTCTATATATTACCATTTTTTTTTTTTTTTTTTTTTTTTGTCCGAAACAATGTAAATTTTTGCGTAAATTTGGCGTGCACCGAACTTTTTATAAAATATGGTATTATTTGCTTTAAATTTAGGACGGGACACAGATTTTCTACATTTTGCCCTCGCGGAAGTATTGTATATATTATATTTGTACATATATTTACGTGTACCTCACGCTTTTTTTTTTGGACTTTCTATACAATTATTTGAATATGGAAAAAGGGAAAAGGCAACATTCACGCCGAATGCTCAAATGAACTTCATCGCGTCATCCCACCCCACCGTCGTCATGTATATCTGAACCACTCACATAATACATACATGCATACTATATAAATATATCACCCTTGTCAATCACTACCTTTTTATTTTGTGTTTCACTATTTTTTATTATTTCTCTGTTTTTCATTATTTCTCTGTTTTTCATTATCTCACTATTTTTTATTATTTCACTATTTTTTATTATTTCACTATTTTTTATTACTTTATTATTTTTTATTACTTCACTATTTTTTTTATTATTTTATTTTTTTTTTTTTTGCTGACTTTTTAGTGAACAACTATAAAAAGTTTTCCTTATTTGTAATAATTTAAAAAATTTATTATGTCATTTTAAATAATTGAAAAAAAAAATTCATTGATTTTTTCAATTTTTCACTTCTTCGTTCTTTCACTGTTTTAGTTTTTCATCATTTCGCTACTTAGCCACTTTGCTACTTTGTCATTTGGCTATTTCGCTATTTCCCTACTTCTCTATTTCCCTGCTTCTCTATTTCGCTACTTCTATATTTCGCTACTTCTATATTTCCTTACTTCTCTATTTCGCTACTTCTATATTTCCTTACTTCTCTATTTCGCTACTTCTATATTTCCTTGCTTCTCTATTTCGCTACTTCTATATTTCCTTACTTCTCTATTTCGCTACTACTCTATTTCTCCTTTTCATTCCATTTAAAATAACGAAAAGGAGATGAGTAACTTTTTAAAAATTCGCAAATAACCTAATTATCTACTTTCTACAATAATTTTCGCGTGCATATATATCCGAGAATCTGCACTATGTTATTTTCACGTCACAAATGTGTTTGCATCTAAATAGATACATTCATAAGACATACGTGTGTATCCATAGTTGCATCCACTGCCACATTTATATTTTCACCTACATATGGGTGCTAGACCTTTTTTTTTTTTTTTTTTTTTTTTTTAAAAATGCCAAAACGAAATAATTTCATTCTGTTTCGAAATCTTTAAGAACCAAAATTTCATTTTACCCAAGTATCCGCTCGGGTATAAACCAGATATATGTATCTACTTATAAAATATGCATATACAGATACATATACTTTATTTATTTATTTATTTTTTTTTTTTTTGTGCACTTTTTAATTATTCGAAACAGAGGACAGAGGAGAAGCAACTGATTCTTTGTTCTCTTGTCCAGATACAAAAAATAGATATCCTATTTGTGCAAAAGTTACACAGATTATCATGTTAACTTCTTTCTATTCATTTTCTATTTTTCTATAACATAATTTGAAATCATCCATACTCTCTTTTTTTTTTATTTTTTTTTTGTCCAAAGCGATAATGAAAAAGGGTATGATAAAACTTTCCTTTTTCTTTTCTTCCCGTTTTTCCATTTTAAAACGTATTTTTATTTTTAGTTATATTTTTTTTTTAAAGTACGTCCATATATGCATTTACACATATGTGCCGCTCATGTGAAAAATGAGCATGTCGTTACACATAATAGTAATAACACGGAATTGCAGTTCTTCCCCTCATGTCATGTAATCCCAATTCCAGTTTTTTAAATAATGATTAAGGGATTATACAAAAGTATTGTTAATTTTTTACTTTCCTCATTTTTTGAAAATATAGAAGAGAAACAATTGCAAACTTCCCTGATAAGAGGAAAAGTGCATTTGCAGAATGTTAAGATTAAAAAAAATTTCTTCGACATTTTATACCTCCCTTATACAATCAAATATGGATACATCCGTTCGTTGGATCTTCAGGTAAGGCATGCGAACATGGATCCGTCTACATCACGCACTTTACAAGAGTTCACAAAGATGTGCTTCATGTTAGTCTATTTCGCTTCTATTTTTGAACCCTAAATCGTTGAATCCATTTTTCTGCTTTGTTTTTCCTTCTGCACCCTTGCAGATCCCGCTGTTGTACCTGTTTCAAAAAGCGAGTCTGAAAATCAGTGATGTCGTGATCGTGATAAAAGAAAAGAATTTCAATGACTTCAACATCGATGAGGAAATCAACGGAATTAAGGAGACTAAGAAAAACAATTTGAAAATCGAAGATATTAATAATAACGTATATGACTTGAATAATAAAATAAATAAAGGGATTAACTACCTGATGTATGAGCTTTATAACAACATGTCAATTGATATTGAGAATGTTGAAATTATCTTGGAAAGTGCAGAAAAGAAAAAAAATATTTTAGGTATGTTTGTAAAAACAATAAGTAGTGTAAAAAGCCATAATTATGCAAATAGAATATGCAAAGAATTTTCATTTAGTGATATAATTTTTTATATGAATGATGACAAGGCAAAATATTTACTTACGAAAGTTATAAAAAAAGAAGAAAAAAAAAAAAAAAATAAAAGAAATATTAATGAATTGGAAATATATAACAAACTAAAAGACATTTGTAATGATTTACATCAGAAAAAATACATCATCTCAGAAATTCCACTTATCCTTTTAAGCACAAATCTTTACATTAGTAATTGTACAGAATATTTCTATCGTAATTCTAAATTTACTTTTAAAAAAAAAAGTTTCTTTGATATTACATGTCCTCACTGTGATAAGTACTTGTTTCAATGTAAACATGTTAAGAAGGAGAGATCTATTTTTCAAAAAATTTTCCCGGATCGGAATGAAATGAAAGATAGGAACAGGAAATTATATGCTGAATTTTGTAAGAACATGGAAAAAAGTAGCGAGTTACCTTTCGAAGGGTTGTGTCATGGAAATGCCATGAATAACATGTCAGGTGAATTGGGATCAGCATCAGCGAGTCCATTGTTGGTTGGAGAGAAAAAAAGGAAAAAAAAAAAAAAAAAAGGTGAAGAAAGAGAAGGCGAAAAGGAAGGCGAAGATGCAGAGAACAAGGAGATGGAAAAAGCAGGTGAAGGTGCAGAGGTCGAGGAGGTCGAAAAATCAATAAGTAAAGAAATATGCAGTGAAGAAAATGAAATAAATACTAGACAAGGATTGAAGCATACCAAGGAGGAGGAGCATATCCGTGGGGAGAGAGAAGAAATTTTATCATCCAGAGAAGTGAAATCATCGATGCTAGTTGGAGAAGTAGGTGGGAATGTTGAAAGAACTGAAATAATGCCTCCGTCTAATGGGGAACTGTCACATGAAAATAATTTCAGACATCATGAATACAGTGATAAAAATATATACTATAGAATTAAGAATAAAAAGAAAGGCACACAAATTGAAAAAGTGGATATTTTGGAGGAAAACATAAATTTAAGAGAAAATGAATATATGAATTTCGAGATGCATATTGATAAGTTAAACGTAAAATTATCACTTAAGCAGTTAACTTATCTCTCTGATCTTATGATTTATTATTCTATATATGGATGTTTTGTAAACGGATTATACCTTGCGGAATGGTTAAATATTCCTGACATAAGGGATATTTTAATGTATAAAAGAGAATTGATTAAAAAAAAAAAAAAAGAAAAATTTGACAAAAATTTTTTAGAAAAGTTTGAATATACACACAGTTTTCAAATTATTTCAAGTTTAAAAAAACATGTGGAAGAAATGTCAATTGGAGGAATCAAGGATAATAATTTCATTGGGAGAAGTTTGTCTTTAGGAGGAGGGCGTATGGAAAAGCAACATGGAAATGAAAACACTAGTTCTAAGAAGAGCATGAAAAATAGTTTCAATCGCAACAGTCCAAGTAATGGTGACAACTTGTCTGTAAATTGTAGTTTCAAATTATCAATTCGAAATGTAAACGTGAATTTGTACAGCTATGAAAAGACAAGTAAAACAATTCAAGTGAACATGGTTATGTTTGAGTACCTTGTGAAAAATTACATAAATAATGACTTTGCTTATCATATACGTTTAAGAGATGCCATGATAAATTTTATGAATAAAGATAAAAAATATCCTTTACTTGAATTATTTGAACAACAAGCGAATAATAATTTTCATCATAAGGAAGATTTACGGGTGCATAAAAAAAAAGATGAAAGAATAAGAGAAATGTTGAAAAAAAATAAAAGAAAAAGCAAAAATTATTTGTTTAACCAACATATGTGTAACAGCACAACTTCGTTCAAAAGTACCATGTCTAGGAAGAAGACCAAAGCGAGTGTCATGCAATTTGAAGCAATCGACCTCACGGATTCAACATCTCTTAAGGGAGAAAAAGAAACTTATTCAAATGTGGAAGACATGACAAGCTATCCACATAAAAGTAATAAAAACGATGAGGAGAATCACAATAATGAGGAGAATTACAATAATGAAGAGAATAAAAATAATAAAAATTTTGGAAATGACAAAGTATACGAGTTTATAAAAGACCCTGCTCTCACCATATTTGTATATAAAAAATTTGACACGTCGCAAAGCAAGGTGTACGTTAGATGCAACAAAAATATTTTAATAACTCTAAGCATTAGAGAAGTTTATAAAATTATAAACATGAATTATGATTACAACACTGTTAACTTAGAAAAGAAAATCAAAACGTATAAAAGTTTGTACTATTATTATCTTCTAGGTAAAAAATATTGCAAAGAGCTATATGTTGCATCTGAAAAAAATTTTGTTGATATAAATCTTCAGCTAATGAATAACCTCTATGTTAACCTAGTAATAAATAAGAAATACTCCCTTCTTCTGAGACTTAAAAAGATCATTTTGAATTCTTTTTTCTTTACAAAAACGAACTTACAAAATCATGTACATAGGATTACAATGATTTCGAAGTTCGGGGATTTGCATGTCAAGCAAAATCTGGAGGACGAGGGGGAGAAGCAGTATGAGGCAGACCCATTCATATCTGATTCTGCCGCTTCGCTTGATTCACATCTGAAGGGTAGGAAGCCTGTGGAACCAAAGGACACTATGATGATCATTCCAAATGCCAAGGGAAGTGAAGAATCAGGGGAGGTAGATGCCACCTTGAGGAATAACACTCCAAATGAAGATAGTTCAGAAAATGCATTAGATGCATGTAATTATAATTCTGCTAAGGGAAGAATCGTCACCAATGGTAGTTCTCGTCCATTAGAAACACAGCAACAACACGATCAGAACATTGCAAAAAATAAATTTTTAGTAAATGATGACAGTAGTACCATGTGTGAAGATAGTAAACTTATCATGGAATATAGAAAACATTATCGTGAATTTTTACGTAGTAATAATTTGGAAAATGTAGACACTGCTAGAAAAATAAGCTGCTTGAGTAATAACACATACAATTTTGGGAGACAATGTAGTATCGATAGGAGAACCGTCCATAGCGGGTTTAATCATAATTATGTGAAAGGAATGGAATACAAGAATAATGATCGAAGAAGTGAAGAAGACCAGTACAATGCTGATAGTGATGAACACACCTTAAGGAATGGGAAAAAATATACATTTGGAGGTGTACATCACGAAAGTGTTGAAGCTGAAAATATTGAATATAACAGTAGTTGTGATAATATAAAGAGACAGTTAAGTTTAAATTCATCATCTACCATAGATGAGGATCCAGGGGAAGAAGACCAAATGGAGGAAGGAGAAGAAAAGAATATAACAGGAATAGAACAGAAAAGATTAAATTTGGAATTATCTATTTTTATGATGAAAAATAAAAATGAAGAGAAAATTCAAAATATATTGATACAGAGAAATAATGAGGGTAATAAAAAATATCTCATGAAACCATTAAAAATTTACCTAGACGAAATTACATACAATTCGAATGATAATAATGAAAAGAAAATAATATTCATTCATAGCAATAATAAATACAATTTAAGTTTAAATGTGGATGATAAAATAATCTTTAAATTAATTTTTTACTATTTTCATTATAAAAATTATATAGAAAACATTATTTACTTTTTTCAAAATAAAAGTGATTCCAATTATTTGAACCTGAACACTATCGACATACGCAGCTACAAGACTTTGCAAATTTTGTTAGAAAATGCTATAACGAACAATAAGAGTGAAGTGCTAGTTTCTCCTGAGGAAAATATGGACACGAACGGAAGGGAGACCGAAAAGAAGCAAGGGCAATCGTCAAACCAGTTGGATGATCAAGCGGTAAAGCAGTTGGACGATTCGAATAAACGAATGGATTATTCGTTCGACATTTCCATGGAGAGTAGATGCAGGGCCTCAGTCCCTGTAGATGATTCTCCCGTTGAAATTATTGAGGACTCTAATGAAAAGATAGCAGATCCATCTGCCCAGGCATATGGCCAAACGGAACACCAAGCTGAACAGCGAGTCGAAAATGGAGAGGAAAATGAAGTGGAAAATGGAGTGGAAAATCTAGTGAAACATCAAACGGTGGATGATACGCAGGATATTATGCACTTCCCGTCGGGTAAGAGGGAAGAAGAGATGGCTAAACGGACGCAAGAGAGTGAAAAAAAACAAGAAAGAAAAAATAGTGCAGTAATAAATTACAATCAATATGAAAAAAACGAGGAGCAGGGGATGAGGGAGCACCAAGCGGTAGGAACAAACGAAGGAAAGAAACAAGAATTAATATCCTTTATGCATAAGATAAAAGTCCATTTTAATAATTACAAAAAAAGAAAAAGAATGATATCGATACACATTTCTGATGTTTTAGTATACACATTTAACGATTCGTATATATCCAATTTTGTTCTGAATTTGAAAAAAATAAATATTTTGAATTGTCTATTAAATGAAGAGTATCAAAACAATTTCATATCATATATTGAAAACAGAACCATAGAAAATAAATTGAATAGAAAAACTTCAAAACTGAGTTGTAAAAAAAGGGGAAATAATTATAATGAAGTTTATTTTTATAATAGTATATTTAAATTAGTAAAAAATGGAAATTTTATTTTTTCATATTCTTCTAGAAATACATCGACAAATTCTTCGCAGAGTACCTTACAAAATATTCCATACACATTAAAAGAAAAAAATTACATCTTAAATAACAATGCAGTAGAATCAACAAGTGGAGAAATAGGGCGGGCAGAAATGATAGAAGAAGGTAGATTCGAATCTGGAGATAAATGTTTAACTACAGGTGTTGTTCGGTATTTCAGAACGGACAATTATAGACAGCTGTACAATTTGTATGAAGATACAGGAAATCAAAACATGAATCAGCAAAAACAGAACAAATTAAAAAAAAAAAATAGCACGAGTGCTGATTTTGTTCATACTAGTTATTACAATAATTTGAACACAGATTATTTTACCTTCAATATGGTAGATAGTCAACAAGATGATGAAGATGGTGGAGGAGGAGAAAAAGCCAATACACTAATGATGGACGATGTAAATCATAAGGAGAAAAGTGAACATATAAATAAAAAGATTGACATTGCATGTCAGGAGAAGGTGAAAAAAGAGGAGAAAAACAATTCCAAAGGGTTTAATGGAGCTAATGAAATGCATCAATCCGAAGTTCAGTTTATGTCAGGTAAGGAAAGTGGCCGCTATATGAGTTGCTTCGAACCCTTGGAGCGAGAAGTGTCTGTGCTTGAAAAAATTTCTCCTGTAGACAAAGGCGATGTAAGCAGAAGCAAAGTGAAGAGAAACGACAAGGGAGAGGAACAAGCATCTAATGGGAACTCTGCTATTCTTGAAGAAAATAACACTGATACTGATTATAATAGCCCAAATAACGATGCGCTATTCAAGAAAAATGACAATCCGAAGGGAGAATTAAGTCAAGTGGGAGAAAGTGCAGAAGAAAAATCTCCTTCTAAAAACAAGAGGAGGTTAGAATATGAAATTTACAAAGTGAGAGATGTAAAAAGAGTTAAACGAGTGAATAGCAAAAACTTGAATGTTATTACTAATGGAGGGGAGGAGAGTGAAGCGAAAGGAACAGATGAAGTGCATGTTAATTTTGTGTGGGAAAAGGAAGTTCCATTAACCAAACCAGAGGGAAACGAGAAAAAAGAAGATCACGACGAGGCGGACAATGATGATGAGGTTGAGGATGACTGTCATCAGGAGGAGGGGGAGGAAAATAAAAACGAGAACCAGAACGAGAACCAAAACGAGAACCAGAACGAGAACCAAAACGAGAACCAGAACGAGTACCAGAGTGAGAACCAGAGTGAGAACCAGAGTGAGAACCAGAACGAGAATCGGGAGAAATTCCATGTTGTAGGAAATGAAGAAAGTGAAGACATAAAAAATGTAGAATTCCATTTAATTAATGGGCAGTTCATTGTGGATTATTTGTACTTTATTAGTGTGTACAGATGGATATCCAAATTGTGTAAAAAGTTCGAGAAGATAAAAAAAATTACAGCGTATGCATATTCCAGCAATAATTCCATTACAGAAGAAACTGTCAGTGTGAATAATGTAAAATACAATTACGTTGCATTTTTGCAAAATAACAGAATATGTATCCCCATATATCACCTCACCATTACACAGTACACCTTTTATGAGGACCCAGGGAACAGCTCCTACGTGTCTCTCTTTCCAGTTCTGGAGATGCACTTTTCCACGTCATGCAAGTGCACTAATGGTGAGATGCGTGATGCATGACAGTGGTGATACATCACAGTAGTGATATTTAACAGTAGTGATACATCACAGTAGTGATATTTAACAGTAGTGATACATCACAGTAGTGATATTTAACAGTAGTGATACATCACAGTAGTGATACATCACAGTAGTGATACATCACAGTAGTGATACTTCCCAGTAGCGCTGCCTCACATTAGTGATTACCTTCTTACCATCACCCCTCGCAGAACACGGAGAAAGCTCCAAGTCCATTCAAGTGAGAAATTGTGGGATGAAGTTGGTTATACCCACGATAAACATTTTTCGACACAAGAAGAATAAAAAGTGCAGTATCTGCGTTTTGAATTTTAGCACGAAAGACAAAGATAACGAAACAATTATAAATGATCTGAGGCTTCAAATAAATATGAAAAGAAAAATAAACTACAAAATGCCGGATGAGGAGAATGAAAAGTGTAGCAGCACGGAAAGCTGTTATGAGAATATGAACATGCTTCCATACTATTACGACACAAATTATATGTCGTTAAATAAGTACTTCTCAGCCATGTCTAGGAATTCGATAGAAGGATGTGGAGGAGATGAAGAGATGAATATCTCAGATGCATGTGTAAAGGAAATTATAAGTTTTCACAATGATCCGTTAATTATAAATATATCGAAAGAAATTTTGAAGAATGCACTACTATGTCATAGTACGTTTATGTGTTTTCTGGAGAGTTGTACCAGGGTAGATATACCAATTGGTTTGATTAGCAATGAAACTAACAATATAAAGAATGACAGTTACAACAAGGTTCCTAAGAAGGATCGCAATAGTAGTAGTGTTCATATGGAGAATGGAAGGGAAAATACAGATAATAAAAGTTTAATGCAAGATATATTATTTTATCTATATGAAAAAATGAACGAACTATTATTTGAATACCATTTAGATGATTTACATATACATTTTTATGATGGAAATAGTAGTAGAAACATGCCAGTAATAGTGTTGAGCATATTTAATTTAAAACTTTTTTTACAGAAGGATCTTTTACGTATATACAGTTTTTTTAATTTTCACCTGAACATAGATGTATACGACAGTTACAAACTTGTGTATGATAATCTTTTAGAAAAAATGGAATTATTTTTGGCTTTCGAAAATGAAAAAAAAAAAATAAATTTCTTAAATTTCAAATTAGATACATCAATAATCAATATTTTATACACTAACAAAAGTAAAAATATTATAATAGAATTTTTAAAATCACTAATGGATAATGCTTTTTCCTTTATGAATAATAACTATTATTATTACAACACACCAGTAGCATGTTCAGTCCCATATGCAGTGTGCTCATCTCCTTTCCCCCTTAGCCCATGTAACAGAAAAAATGATGCAACTAATGATGAGTTTTTATTATTACATGATGATAGAGGAATAGTAGTACCAAAGTTTAGACTAAACAGTAGTGCACAAATTGGAGGAGTGAGAACCAAGAGGAATGTTAAGTTTTCCATCTCATCTGCACACATGGCATCGAAGATTTATAACTACACTGGAATTACCATCAGTGTGAGGTTTAAGCAATCGTTAAGAAACAAAATACAAAGCAGCACTGTGAAGGGCAATAACGGTAACAATGTCGAAAACAATGTCGAAAACAATAACAATAATAGTAAGCATAACAATAACAGTTACAATAACAGCAACAATGACAGTAACAAAAACAAAAATCGCTTTATTTTCTACGAGCTTGAAACAAATGAACATGGAGGTTTACTAAATGACGAGAATGGAAAAGTTTGCGAACTGGTTGTGATTATAAAGATCTTTGATTACATTTTTGAAATTGTTGATATTGAGAGGACGAAAAATATTTGTGATATTCGATTTCTTCCAATTATATACGATTTAAAAAAAAGAAAAGAGAAAAAAAGAATAACCATTAAAAAGTATGACTTAACGCATGATATGTACAATGAGCACAGTATGAAAAATAAAATTTTTAAAACATTTATTAAGTTGTATATTCAGACGAATGTTGATGAGAAGGGCACCGTTTCTATATATTTTTCCTCTAATTTGTACGTGAAAAATACAACGAATAGCAACTTTGTCATTTTATTTCATCCAATTTTGCACTATTTTTTACGCTACAACAGAAGGCAGGAAAATCTACACAATGGAATTCAAAGTGTGAAAAAAAACGAGAAACAATTTGGCTTACATAGGCGTGATAGTACAAATTTGACAGTTTTAAAAACGAATGAAAAGTATTATTTACCTCTCATTTCATTCATTCCTATTATCATTCTTTTTGACTATCTCAATAACAAATTCAATTTGAATCAAGAAGAATCTATGGAAAATCAAAACAATAATTCTGCTTATAACAGCTCCACATCACAGAGTCATGGTGAGGAAGTATTTCCTTTGATGCAAAACAATTACAATGGAAATTCTTGCACAGACAACGAGATCAGATGGAGGAGTAAAAGGAGACGAAAAAACAATTCAGGAAGTTTCTGTTATGATAATGTAGAAGAAATAATAATGCCCTTATCATCACCCAATCGGATTAATATAAACCAAGTGAACAAGGAAAAAATTAGTAAAATATTAAAGAGGTTAGAAAAATATCTTATAGAAAATAGCCAGAGCACAAATTTTAAAAATATCAATTATATCTACATTGTGAAGAAAGAGTTTTACGATTTTTATATGTTAAAGTATGAACAAAAAAAAAAGTGCTATTTTGAAATTTTTAATTTTCTGATGAAAAATGGAGCCAAGAAAATGATAGGCAATTCGACCATAAAAGAAATTGTATGTAGACACTCATTTGATTTCTTGAAATATAATCTATATGCCCATACGCTCAAGCTCAGGGATATGAAGGCCATTTGTTACTGCAGCAAAAAAGAAGGGGGCAGCAAAAAAGAGGGGAGCAGCCAAAAAGAAGGGGGCAGCAAAAAAGAGGGGAGCAGCCAAAAAGAAGGGGGCAGCCAAAAAGAAGGGGGCAGCAAAAAAGAAGGGGGCAGCAAAAAAGAAGGGGGCAGCACAAAGGGAGGGGGCAGCAAAAAAGAAGGGGGCAGCACAAAGGGGGGGGGGGTAAGCGGATTGGGGAAATATTCCAAGAAATTTCCCTTGCGAGTGTCGTCCATCTGCAGCAATAATTCTGTTGAGCTTTGTCAGAAGAGAATAGAAGGAGTGGATGATAAGCACAGATGCATAGAACAGAGAAAGAATTCCAATTTGGAGGGAAGAACATTAATGGCGATTATGCATAACTATGAAAAGGAAGTGGGAAGTGCGAGAGGGAGTGCTATAGGGAATGACATAGGGAATGTCACAGGGAATGTCACAGGGAATGTCACAGGGAATGTCACAGGGAATGACATAGAGAATGACATAGGGAATGTCATAGAGAATGTCATAGAGAATGTCAGAGAAAGTGATCCCCATGTGAACGTGACAGAACGCAGGACGAGTGAAAAGCAGATAAGTAGTTTCCTTCTGGGGAAAGAAAAAAGGAGTTCCACATTCAAGAGCATAATGATGCACGACATGGTGAAAAGAAGCATGGTGAAGAGAAGCATGGGGAGGAGAAGTTCTGTCAGACGAAAGCCTCTTCGAAATAACGAACGGATGGAAAGAAAATACCACACGTACGATGTGTCTAGGCACATGGAGAAGATGCATGAGAAGAAGAACTGCAATAGTTATATGAGCAGCAATTGTGAAGATTCAGGAGTTGGTGGAGGAAGAGGAGGATGGGATTCCAAGGAAGAAGGTAATAAGAAGGGGAGGGATGCAAACAATATTCATAAGACGAACATACAAATGAACAATGCGGAGATCGATCTGACTTTCACAGCAAGAAAGCAGAGCAATTACAGTAACACAATAATATGTGAAGAGAAAAATTTAGAATTGAATAAAGTGTATGCATTTGGAATTTTCATAAATTACATATTTGAAATTCATAATTTATTATTTGAACAAGTAAAGATCGGGTACTGTGAAAAGTACTTTATCAGCAGCATGCCAAGGAAAATAAAAAGAAATAAGAGAGATGTAATATTTCCAAAGTCTATCCGATATCTTGACACAATTCCTAATTATGTAAAATTATTTTACACATTGTGTCATGAAAATTATGTGTATAATTTCTTTTCTAAAAAGATAGAATTACATCAGCTGAGAAATATACATGATGATGATAAATCATTTCAGGTGAAAATGCATGTTAGTTATATTAGCGATAGTAAAAAGAACATAATTTATAAGAAGAAAAAATTTAAACTAAGATACCTTCTTCTGGGAAAAAGAAAGAAGAAATCGACATGTGAAAATAAGAAGAAGTTTGTTTATTTAGGATCGAAGGAGTATGAAAATCTGTGTAAAGAAATTCCTAAATATTTTTTCTTAAATTTAACATTAAGAAAGAAAACAAATTTCATAAATACAAATTATGATGAAAATAATTTGAAACATTTAGTTGATAGTAATGTACTACAGCTATTAATTTATTCATCTTTTTTTTTTCAAAATAATTTAAATTACGATTTGATTGTCAAATCCAGTGGTGGGAAAAACACACAGATAATAAAACAAAAGTCCAACATGTTTTTTGGAGATGTAGAAAATAGTAAAGTTGTATTAGAAATAGTTTCAAATAATCAAATATTTGTTTCTAAAAAAATTAAAATAAATGAAGTATGTCTTAATAAAAAAATTATACTTACAAGCAAGAATAAAAAGGAAAATATTTTCCTTTCTATGAGTATAACGCTAAATGGAAAATTGTATAACGCAAAAACGGTTACATTTAATAATAGATATACAATTGTTAATAAGACAAATCGATTTCTCTATGTTCAGGAAGTTACCAAAGAATTTAAAATTATTAAAAATGATAAAAAAAATCTGAACCTCAACTTGAACTTTAACAATAACTACTCCTTTTCCATAGATGCAATTAATAAAAAGGCTTTCAGTTCTGGGGTGCGCAATGCAGAGAGGATTCACATTGTACCAAGTGATTTTAGTGATTCCTCAAGTTTGTCTCAAGGAGGGGAAGAGGGGTCTTCAAAAAGAGCTCTATCCAGTTTGACAAATGGTGCTGTAAGAGGTGGAGGAAGAAGTAGTGCAGCACTTCCTCCAGCAGAAGCAGCAGCAGCAGGAGGATCGGAATGGAACAGTTGTTCTGTGAATATCGTCGAAATTAAGCCATATGAATCGTTTTATTATCACCCAATAAACACTAATAAGTGTTTGTTGAAATTTTCTTATACTGACATTAATGCCTGTATGAGAGATGAGCACTTCACAAGAAGGAAAGGGAACCATGAATTTATGAACAACAAGGAACACGAAGTTACCAACCTGTTTAATCATTACTTGAAGAAGAAAATAACAAAATCTAGAAATATATCTATTATGAATGCAGAGAAATCGGATGATCTTTCGAAACGAAGAGAAGAATTACTCAACCTGTACTTTACTAGTCCCGTTGATATTGAAAAAGTTGGAAATTTAAAAATATACCATAAAGCTGTAACTAAGGTTAGTCGTTCAAGTGTTCGAAATGATACAGGTGAGGGTAATCAGTGGATGAGGATTAGCAGGAATGATGCTATTATTCCAATGAAAAAAGAGCTGATGAATCGAACTAACAATCACGATGTGTCTAAAGACACAGTACTGTTGGTGGAGAGTGAACCAGGAGATAATGATGTGCTTTCAAGGAGAAGTGCAGAGTCTTGTGAGAACTTTGTTATTGATGTCTGTGCAGAGAATGAGCTCGTAAAGTCCACTAAATTTTTCAATCCCACTGCATCGCTCGAACAGATGGAACCGCTTAACAGTTTAGAAGTGAATCAAGTAGATGATGGTGTGGGTAGCGCTACAAGTGGAGATACATGCTACATACATGAGTATAAGGAAGAGAGCATCATCACAGATGTTAACATCATGTTGAACAAAGACACGAATGTAGAAATACACATATCGATAGAAAACAATCCAGACACGATTATTTACAATAAGACCAAGTACTACGTTATATTTTATCAACGGAAAACAAAAAAAAAGATTGTGAATATGTTGAAACCATTTGGAAGAGAAATATTCGGATGGGCAGATGTATCTAAGCCTAAAGTAGTTAAATGCTTTTTAATATATCAGAAAAATGAGGTATACGTATTTTCTTGTAATGTAAATATAGTGAAAGAACATAATAACATTTTTTTAAATAATAACAAAAAAATTAATGTTGTGACGAAAATTGAAAATGGGAGGAGGGTTTTCTGTTTAGAAGAATTGATAAACGATGTTAAGTTGGATAATAATAATCCTCAAGTAATAACATCGTCCTATTCATCAAAAGGAAAAAAAGGGTTCAGTAGATTTAAAAGAAAAAATAAAGTGCATAAAAAAATGAACCTCTATAATAATTTCAAATCTAGCAAGGAATTTCAAAATAGCCAAGAACTTTGGGAAAAGCAAAAAAACAAAAAAAAAAAAAAAACGGATGAAACCGGGGGGGGAGAAGGGAAAAAAGCACTGGCTTTTTTACACAAAAAGCGCTTTAACATTGTATACATGAGGAAAAAAAAAAGAAAGAAAAAAAAAAAAAAAATAAATAAGTATTTCAGTATAGCTTCTTTTTTTCTTTTGAAGAACTTGGACCCAACGAGCAGGATAAAGAAGGGAGGCAAAGTATTTCCAAAGGAGGGTCCTATCACGAGTGGAAATAGCCAAGTGGTAGAAAAGGGAGAAGTGGTAGAAGATGTCGAAGTGGTAGAAGATGTCGAAGTGGTAGAAGATGTCGAAGTGGTAGAAGATGTCGAAGTGGTAGAAGATGTCGAAGTGGTAGAAGATGTCGAAGTGGTAGAAGATGTCGAAGTGGTAGAAGATGTCGAAGTGGTAGAAGATGTCGAAGTGGTAGAAGATGTCGAAGTGGTAGAAGATGTCGAAGTGGTAGAAGATGTCGAAGTGGTAGAAGATGCCGAAGTGGTAGAAGATGTCGAAGTGGTAGAAAAGGGGGAAAAAGAAGCTACGAATTCATTTAAGGCAAAAAAGGAGGATAATAAATCGACCCCGGTGAAAAAATGCCCCTCGAGGAATCGAAGATTCTCGTCCAAAAAATACATTAACAAATTTTTTTATGAAAAATACACCAAGAAGATAAAGAACACCCTCGATAGAAAGAAAAAAGGAAAAAATAAGGACTTGAGCACACTAGTTGATGAAGAGGTGGGGGATGAGGACTTGTTCACAATGAAATGCAGAGAGGAAGGCGAAGAAGATGAGAAAGATGATGAAGACTGTGCGAGCGAAGCAAGGATTATCATGCCACACAGCTACCTTAGCACGTATCTAAACAATGCAGCTGGTGATGCTGTAGCATTAAACTCGAGAGAATCAAATATACTGGCGAAGAAGAAAAAAAGCCAAAACAAACAAAAGCAAAAACAAAATCAGAAACAAAATCAGAAACAAAATCAGAAACAAAATCAGATACAAAATCAGATAAAAAAGCAAAAACAAAAGCAAAAACAGAAACAGAAACAAAAAAAAAAGCTCAAAAGGAAACTGAGCGATTATATTTTGAAAAAGATAAAAAAAAATCAAAACAAGTTAAAAGAGCTGAAGAATATATACCCAACATTTCTTAAAGGTTCAAACAGGAGGAGAAGGAGACGAGAAGATTTCAATTTCATCATGAGCACGTACCTTTCTGATAAGGACGAGGAAGATGGAAACGGTTTAATTGGGACAAATGGCAGAAAGAGAACCTTAAGAAAAAAGAGCACAGAGTGTAACAATATATCGATGTTGAGAAATTCAGCAGGTGTAAAAAATAAAGATGATAAAAATATAGAAGCAAAGGGATACAGCTCCCAAAGTGACGATGCAAGACATTGGTGGGAAAATGAAGAATCAGGAGGAGGAGGAGGAGGAGGAGGAGGAGGAGAAAGAAGGAGGAAATTAGCTGTCACGTATGAAGACAGTAACAAGAGTGTAGATAAAAAAGAAGAAACGAAAATATTAAAATTTTTCACAAATATACATGTAATGCTGAAAGGGATTAAAATAAATCTCTTTGAACAGACATCTGATTACATGATATCAGTTGAATTACACAATTTATATTTGAAGAAATCACACATGGAAGATATTCAATATTATAACGTAGAAGTGAAAGTAGAAAACTTGCTTTTTTATGCTGTATATAAATATCTCATTGCTTATGCAATTTTATATGCAAATAATGATGTGAATATGAAAAACAGTAATTTGAGAATTTTTATGAATGAGTTAGAAATTAAAAGGAATTTATTTTTAAAAAAAAAATATAATTTGAAAAAAAGTGATCGATCATCATCCGCATCTTCCATTGGTTTGAACAATCGAAATGAAAGAAAATTGAACAAATGTTATGAAACGACAAATAAGTCAGAATTTATGATTTGTAACTTCCAGTACATTAAAAAATGTGAAACACTTTTTATCAAATATTTTCTTCTCAGCATCAAACCCATTGTTATTAATGCTGATATTAATACCATTACCATTCTGTTTTATTTTTACAAAACCTTTAGTAACTATGGTAAGAAGAAAGAGGAGAAAGAGCCAGGGGATGTAGAAGACCAGGTAGATGCAATAGATTATAGTGTTCGCTGCATCTCTCCTGTACCACATGACATGCATCTGGACGATCGAAAGGACAGCTACCATTCCTCATTAGACCCATTCGAAACAGTAGAAATGTCTACACAAAAGGTAAGTGGGGATGGTGAAGAAGTGATCAATTTTCTGGATTTTCCATCTTTGTATGGTGCCTCAAACGAGGTCAACAGTGAACACGCTAGTAGTGGTCGTTTAGAAGGTGATTACTTCAACGGAGAATACTTCAATGGAGAATACTTCCATGGAGAATATTTCCATGGAGAATACTTCAACTGTGAAAAGTTCAGTCGCGCGCAGATGGCTCCTGCTAACTTCAATGAGAGGCACAAGAGGGAGGACAAGAGGGAGATAAAGAAAGTAGTAGAGAAAGAAGAAACGAAGAACAACAAGTATGTATACGTGCAATACATCAGTATAGACAAGATAAACATCCTTTTAAATTTTCAATCTGAATATAAAAAGGAATTAAATAATCATGTGAATAATTTTTTTTACAAGGAATACATAAGTGCATATAACAAATTGGGGGATATTTCAAATTGCAACATTTATTTGAAAAGTTTATCCAACATACACATATTTACAAATTACACCTTGTTAACAAATTTTTTGTTAAATTTTTATTTTAATCAAACAATTGTAAATTTATCAAACCTGTTAATATCTTTTAATATTATTGGAAGTCCCACCTCTCTCTTTGCACATATTAAGAAAGCTTTCAGTGAATTCTATTACATCATAAGTGATGATTCTTATATGAACACAGGACATAGCAGCAAAAATAATAAGTTGATGATGGTGCATAAGCGTAAGAGAAAAGAAAATAAATCAGGAGGAGACAGAAAACAATTATTTTCAAAAGTTCATCATGAAAAAAACACGGATTTGCTAAATCTGTTTGAAGGATCAAATGAAAGTTCTCTGATTGATGAAAAGGATGACATTATAGCTAACGAAAAATATATTATGCATCTTTTAAATGACTATAATTCTTCTTATCAAGATAACATGTTAAGTGAGGATGAGAATATGAGCATGCTGAGAAGAAGCATCAGTTGGGACATGGCCAAGAAGGACTACGACGAAGATGCCTGCAGTGTTGGCACTGTGAGGAGTTCAATTGATGAGGTTGCTGCCGTGGGTTCTGTTCATGCAGTTGGAATAGGTGAAGCATTTGGAGATGCTGGCATATATAGTGGGGCTAGCCAAATTAAGGAGGCAAATTACTTGGTTGACTTATGTGGAGTGGATCATGTCACAGGCATCGTCGACACGTGTGACCTGGTGGCAATCAGCCAAGCTAGCCAAGTTAGCGATGAGGAGGATTTTTGCGAGAATCAAAACTACCTGTACAGCAATAACAGCAAGAGCAAGGAACTTCAGAACCTCATCATTGATGATAACGCATCGTTGGACTCTGGAATATTTAACGATCAGAAGGAAGACTCGACTATGCTCAATCGGGAGCGGTGGAAAGGGAGAAGCGGTAGAAGGGGTAACGCAAAAAGGGGTTCTAAGGACCCAAAAAGGGGTTCTAAGGACCCAAAAAGGGATTCAAAGGATTCAAAAAGGGACTCAAAGGATTCAAAAAGGGACTCAAAGGACCCGAAATGGCACTCGAAGGACCCGAAATGGCACTCAAAGGACCCGAAATGGCACGCAAAGGACCCGAAAAGGCACTCAAAGGACCCGAAAAGGCACTCAAAGGATCCGAAAAGGGATTCAAAGGATTCAAAAAGGGACTCAGAGAATATATCGACTAACCGCTTGACAAACTGCTCTATGAACCGCTTAACGAACCGCTTAACGAACCGCTTAACGAACCGCTCAACTGACGACTTGAGGAAGGAGGGGAGATTCCTCCCATCGTTGACCCAAAAATGCAGTGAAAATATGCGTTACATATTTTTAAGGGGGAAAAGACTATGCATAGGATTGTACGTGTTGATTTTCCAGCTGATTCTGTCGCTTCTATTTTCAGTGACATTGATACTGCAATCGTTAATATGTCTAATTGAGAAAATAAACATAAATAATGGAGATAACGTGTTTCGAATATTCAGAAGAAGAGATGAGAGGAAAAAGATATTTGCATTTAACAGTATAGAAGAATATAAAAATTTCAACTTGAAGAAATTGTTGTATTACTATTTAAGTATTTATATAAATATAATAAGTTTAATTTATTATAACGTTTTATACAAAATTAAAAAGAAGAAGAAAAAGGACTTGTCAAATGAGAAAAAAATATTTATGACAAAATTTAAGATGAATTTAAAAAAGAGAAGGAAATTATCTTTTTTTTTTAATTTCTTTTTAAGTATAATACATATAATTAACATATTTATTTTTGGACATGTAGTTTTCTTCCTTTTATGTTTATTAACACTAAATAATATACTTCAAATGATATTACAATGTTGTATTAAATTAGTGTACTATCAAAGGAATCAAAATGATCTCGACTTTTTCAACACCTCCAATAGGAATCATTTAAATATTCTTAGCTACATTAAAATACATCAGATTATAAATAAATACACACTTTTGAAGGAACCATTTAAATATTTTTTAACTTTTCAAGATTTTCTAGATTTGTCGGCACACAAAAAGGTCACTTATTTTGTTCACACCAAGGAGCTCTTTTTTCACATCCACGACAATAAAATTAACTTCCTCTTTCGAAAAACAGACTTGAAGAAAATAGACATTATTGTAAACACATTCAGCAACAGCTTCTCTGTCAGGGGTTACCATAACCCTCGACCCCCCTCACCCTCTAGGAACGCTGCCTCCAATGGCAGCACTGCGATTGGTTAGTCTCTCCGTCTGCATCGACTTTGCAGATCCATTTTGCGGATCCATTTTGTGAATCCATTTTGTAGATCCATTTTGCGGATCCATTTTGTGAATCCATTTTGTAGATCCATTTTGCGGATCCATTTTGTGAATCCATTTTGTAGATCCATTTTGCGGATCCATTTTGTGAATCCATTTTGCACATCCACTTCACACACATGCAGACAACGCCCCAGTGGAAGAACACAAAGACGTGCCGACCTCCCACCACAGAAGCAACACGTCGAATGAACTGAGGGAAAATAAAAACATAATATGTCTTTTGAACCCAGAATTGGCCCTGACGAAGAGAAACGAAATTATCAACGTGTATAATAAAACGCAGGATCACATGGTTTCAATAAAAATTACAATTAAAAATAATATGAACGTAATGGAAAGTGTGTATTATAGCCCATCGAAGTTTTTCAAATCTTTTTCAAAGATACAGAAAAGTTTTAATAATATTTATCTCCCCTTAAATAAAAGTGCAAATAATGAAACAAAATGTAATAAGGAAAAATGTTATAGAGAAAAAAAGGAAATAAAAAAAGAAGGAGACTCAAGACATACTAATAAACGTCAAGGTTTTTTAACTGCCATCTGGTGTGCTCTGAAAAGGTATATGAAAAACACATGACACTTCTTAAGAGGAGGAAGTGTGTTATCGAGCCATTTCCACATACCCCTACCACTAATTCCATTCCCTTTACTCTTTTGTTGATAATTCGCGATTTTATACAATATTTTTTTTTTTTTTTTTTTTTTTTTTTCAGCTTCTTCTTACGTCTCGCTGCTCTACTTTTATGTCATTCAAAAAAACGATCGAAAGGAAATGCTTCTCATGAGAACAGAAAACATCAAATGAATGAAATGGTGAAGGAATATGGACAAAAGAAAAACAGAAAAATGCATAGTAAGGACTATAAAAAGATGACCCCTCGAAATATCACTTTTAAAGTTAATTTTGAAGATTTTCAGTCTTGTTTGAATATTTTCGAATGTTTATGTCGATTCGTGAACAACAATTGAGGGGGGAGGAGGGGATTTCTGTTAGCTGTAATTTATAGATAACGAATGGTTGATTTTTTTGCTAACCATAATTTCTGGTTTTTTATTTCCTTTTTTTTTTTTTTTTTTTTTTTTTTTTTTTTTTTTAGAATATGATATTTTTTGTGCTTGCGTATGTACGTATATGTGTACACATATTTATAGACATTCATCCTTGTCCACTTTTTTTTTTGGGAGTCCCGTGTGGTTCTTTCCCTTACTTCAACATGTACCAAATAGATGGACACAAGCACCTCTGCAATGAGGCTCTCTATCCCCCTTTTTTTTTTTTTTTTTTTTTTTTTTTTTTTTTTTGTTGTTGTTGTGAGATGTTTTCAAGAATATATATATATATATATATATATATATATATCTATTTTACTTTATTTGTTTGTTTGCTCGTTTTTTTGTTTGTTCGCCTTTTTGTTTGTTCGCCTTTTTGTTTGTTCGCTTTTCCGTTTGCTCGTTTTTTTTGTTTTTTTATCATTTTTTTCCTCTTTGATTTGTCTTATTCCATTTTAATTCTTTTTTAATTTTGTTTACTGCATTCCCAAATTTTGTGAATTTTGCTCACTGTGTCTACCTTCAGTGATGCATAATTTTTTTTTTTTTTTAGTATGTTCCGTTCTTGTGCCCGACGTGTCGCGTTGCATTTGGTTTATATTTGTCTCTTCATATGTTGCTTTTCTTTTTGTCTAACTATTTCCTTTTTTTTGTATTTTCCCATATTTTGTTATATTTTGCTGTATTTTGTCATATTTTTATTGTATTTTTTTTTTTTTTTTTTTTTCATTTATCCCTTTGACACTTCTTTTAATTTTCTAACCGTTGGAGAGGGAAAAAAAAAAAAAAAAAAAAAGGGAAAAGGGACAAGAAACCATTTCCCTTTTGACAGTTTGTTGCGATCGTCTTTTACGCCCAAACCGAATGCAATGTCAAAAAGTGCATAACATCTCACGTATACGAACATTCCATTGTGTAATGAGAGGTAGGTATAACCGTTTGGATGCATTTTTTATAAGGTTCATATACATGATAATTAATGTATGCATCGTGTTCACACGCATGCGTGTACAAAAAATGGAGGGTGTATATGGTAAAATGTTTTACACGACCGTTGCGCTTTCGCCTGATCACTTTGGCACCTCAGCAGAAAAAAACGTAAAAAAAAAAAAATAAAGAGAAATGGAGTCAAGTGGGACGAAATAGAACCTGTGAAACAAGGGTTCAGAAGCGAAATTGAGCTCTATTTGTGCGTTTTATTATTTTACCACATGACCCCCCCCCCCCCCCCCTTGTCCCATAGATGCTATAGGGTCTTTCTTCTCTCCCCCGTTAGGTTTGTAATATTTCTAAAGTATATGGAGTCTTCATTCTGTTATATTTCACCCCTCATTTGGTCTGCTATTGTCCTCCCCTTAACTCAGAAGAATTAACACGGGGGACAGTTCGCAATGATTTTTCTCAATTTCGGGACGAGGGAAGACGAACCGATGCGAAAGTTATTCGGGTGGCAAGCAAGAGCACTAAAAACAGTTCTACCTAGTAAGATATAGTAACTAGCTGAGCTAATATCTGTTACCCCTCCGGCTACTTTTAATCCGATTTTTTCCTTTTTCTGTGGATTTTTTTCTATGTATTGTTTGATTGCCTTTATAATATATTTAACTGCAGTTGGTGTTGCATTAATTTGTACCTTTCCAGTTGATGTTTTGACAAAATCTGCATTTCCTTCAAGTACTGCTAAAGTAGTCTTAACAATTAAATCCTCAGATTTAAGTTCCCCAACTTCTATTATTACTTTGAGTATTTTTTCTTTCATTAGATCTTTAACACTTTTCGTTAAATTGGTGGCTTCTTTTAATCCTTCTTCTGGGTTTTGTAAAATTTTTTTATAATTTATTACAATATCAATTTCATCAACTCCATCTGTTAATGCTTTTTTTGTATCGTCTAACACCTTTTCCATTGAATCTGAACCATGTGGAAAATTTATTACACATGCAATTTTGGGTTTAAATGGATTAATTTCTTTTTTAATTTTATCATTGATGAATTTCACAAACTTGGGATACACACAAACTGCTGCTGCGAATGGGCATGTTTTAACAGCCTCCTGACAAAGTAATCTTATATCTTCTTCTGTGTCATTTTCTCCCAAAAGTGTATGATCGGTCAGGCAAATAGCTGTCCATGCAGCAAACGTTTCGGTGTAGTTAGCCATTGTAAAATGGAAGAAATAAAACAATGGGGGGGGTGGGGAGCGAATATTAGTGTCGTTTTTTTCTGGAGCAAAAATGTGATATGAAAATGGGCAGCATACACGTATATATATATATATATATATATATATATATATATATATATATATATATATATATATATCAATTCACAGTTTTTATTCAGACATGAAGGTATTCCAAACAACTGCCAAATGACAGGCTGCCTTTTAAAAAAAACTCTTTGTTATAATATACTTTTGACTGAAAATCAAAGTGAGAGACTTGCTTTCATTTATTTTGAAAAATATGCAAGTGCTTAATTTGAAACGTTGTGTACACGCTTATTTTGAGGTATGAACGGCAAAATAAAAAAAAAGAAAAATCACACTATACATGTATCTTTCTCTTCAGTTGGCATGAAAGGAGAATATAGACGACTTTGTTTTATTGTTTATATTTTTTTTGTGGGGAGTTACAGAAAAGGGGAACGAAAAAAAATCAGTAAATGTCAAAATTGAAAATTAGAGTAACGTATAAATTGGGGTGAAGTAAAAGTTAAAGTAAATACATTTTTTGTTATTACATACAAAGAAATGGAAAAATGATGCCTTCAAATTTTTATTTTATTTTTTTTTTCTGTTTCGCACTTTTTTATTTTGTATATACAAAAAGAATATTTTCAATAGGGCCCAAGAAAATATTTTGATCTCCCTTTTTTTTTTTTTTCGTATGTTTCCACTCACTGGAATTGTGAAGACCTAAATGTGTCAAAAAAGGAAGAAAAGTAAAAAAAAAAAAAAAAAAAAACCAAACAAATAAACATACACACAATACGTACACATACATATGTGCATATATGCATGTCATCTTTAAAGGTACGAGTGTAGGAAAAGAAAAATAAAACACTGGTGTGGGAGGAAAAATGCTAAATGCTTTCCTTTTGCCACGAATGTGAAGACCTGATGTTGATCTGAAAATTTTTTTCCATATCGGAAGAAAGATCATGCCTGACTATGCCTGACTTCGTGGTCTGCACAATTCTAAAATATTTGCTTAAAAAGTATTGATATAAAAAAAGAAGAAAAAAAAAAAAAAAACATAATAAAATAACAAAAAATGTGAAAAGAATTGTTAGTCAGAATTTGTGAGATTTGGGAGAAAAAAAAACCATAAAGGTTTGTTCAAACCTCTCCACGGGAAAAATGGCAATAAGGATCTATATATAAAATTACGTATGTAAGAAAACAGGTACTTTCTTTTCCTCACGTGTATGTAGTAGTAAGAATACATATTTCTACACGTGAAAAAAAAAAAAAAAAAAAAAAAAAGAACAAAAAAAGGGTAAAAATTGAAGAAGCGTGTAAAAATCACAAATATTTTTTAAATTAAAAAACGCTTCAAGGGACAAGAATTTATTGCTACCAATTGAAGGAAAAAAAAAAAAAAGGTATTCTAAATATTTCGAACAAAGGAATAATTATCTCGTTCCAAAAAAAAAAAAAAAAAAAAAAAAATAGGCTTCCCATATGTACTGCAGAAAAGAAAAGTATCAAATTTTAGGTGATTATCAATATATATATATATATATATATATATATATATACAAAACTACATTTTTTTTGGGATCCATTTAAGAAATAGAAAAAAGAAGGGATAAAGCTGCGAATTCTTTTTTCAAGCTTACACTTTAAATCACAAGTTTGCAAAAGTAAAGAAAACAAAGAAAAAAAAAAACAAAAAAGAAAAAACAATAGGCTCACTACTCTGGCATCACCTATCTCCTCCATACATATACATAATATATATATATATATATATATATATATATATATATATATATATGTACCTTCTGAAATTTGCGGATCCAGGAAATTACAACCAAGGAGGATAAGTGCATGTCATTAGATTATTATACTTGAAAATGTTAAAACGAGAATAATCCAAATTGACAGTTGTAAAAAAAAAAAAAAAAAAAAAAAATAAAACAGCATAGAATAAGATAGTATAGCTCGATTCGTGGAAAAAACATTGCCAAAGGAAAAATAAAGAACACGTCTGTTTCTTCCACCCCACCCTCCCCAAGAAATGAAGCATGGATATAACAAAACAGTTGACCTATGGGTTGAATCTAAGAAAACACTTGGAATCTAACCTAATGAGTTTGAAGAAGGAGAATCTTAAGCCATTAAGAAACATTTTAAACATTAACAAATATAAAAACTCGGAATGTGATGAAATAAGGGGTGAAAAAAAGAAAAATATAAAAAAAAGTGAATCCATAAAATTTCCCAAATTCTGCTCAGACCCCAATTTGGTTAGTAGTTATATGAAGGAGAATGAGATAAATATCGAGTACGTTAATTTTAGTGGGAAAATTGATCCCATTAGATTTTTCGAAGATATTGTGGAAATTAAACAGATTGGAATCGGTTTCAGAAGTAGTGGTGAGGAAGGAACAATCGTTAGTGAAGATAACAATGGACAGAGATCACAAAACAAATCTGAAGGCGGAAATGAAAAAAATTCGCTAGAAGAAACTCGACATAATGCACCAACTCTGGAATTGGTGCAGGGGAAAACAACAAAGCAGCAAAAGCAACATATTGAAAATACTACTTTACAAAGGACTGATTATGATAAATTATTTCACACTATTAAGGAAACTTTTGGATTTAAAAAACCCACGAAAATTCAAAAGATTTGCATTCCCACCATTATAAGCGGATGTAACACTATATGTATTTCTCAAACGGGAAGTGGAAAAACATGCGCATTTCTGATTCCACTTTTGATTATTCTAAAGTTAGGCAGTTTGAAGACTGAATGGAAGGAGGTTACCGTTTCTTTGGGGATTAAGAAAGAGGGTTCAGTAGATGTACTGACCCAGGGGGTCGAGAGTAAATTTACTGGAGTCGAGAATAAATTTACTGAAGTCGAGAATAAATCTACTGGAGTCGAGAATAAATCTACTGGAGTCGAGAATAATTCCTGTTTTTTCATTCGAAGTCTTATTGTTGTACCGACGAATGAACTGGCCCGTCAAATATATGATCAATCGTTGATTTTGTTCGAGGGCTTTCCAGAATTTAGGGTTCTACATCTGACACGGGAAGATGAAGTGAAAGAGCACATAGATGTATCTGTTTGCACACCGTTAATACTTCTCCATTTGATTGAAAAAAAAAGGGTGAGTTTATCAAAATGTATTTTCATAGTTTTCGATGAAGTGGATAAGCTATTTGAAGTGAATTTTTTAAGTCATGTAAATAATTTACTTCAAGAAATTCAAAATAAAAAAATGCAGAAGATATTTACCACAGCTACAATGCCTGGTTGTACTCGATCCTTTATAAGCACACTTTGCACAAATTATGCTGTAGTTTACTTTGGTCAGAATATAAATATGATCAATAGAAATGTGAAGCAGGAACTTGTGTATGTAAATAATGAGGAGGAGAAGACCATGGTCTTGAGGAATTTAATTAGGAGTGGAGGAATCCACATCCCTGTGTTGATATTTGTTGATGGGATTGCAAAGGCAAAAATGGTGTACACGAATTTGTGCAGAAGTGGCATTGGCAGAGGTGGAGACGGCGGGGAGAGGGAGAAGATTCTTCATATCGCTATGCTAACATCAGAAAAAACAAAAGAAGAAAGGAAAAAAATTTTCCAAGAACTTCGGGAAGGACGTATATGGTACCTAGTATGCACAGATATCATGAGCAGAGGAATAGACATCCATGGGATCGAAACAGTAATCAATTATGATGTATGTTATGATAAATATAATTATATACATCGTGTAGGAAGAGCATGTAGATCAGATAAAGGAGAATTTGGAAAGGCCATAACTCTCTTTACCCATCAGAATGTAAAGTATATGAAGGACATTGTCAAATTTGTCAAGAGCAGTGGTACACGTGTGCCTTCATACTTGGAAAATTTCCCCTTCAAACGTGGGCGGAAGTTTGGATTTTATGCAGCGAAGAAGAAGGGATCCAGGGGGGGGGGGAGGAGGGCGTAGTAGGGTTGTTGGTGTAGAGCAGGTTTGAACAATTTCTTAAAGTTACCTCGAATGGGTAGTTGATGCCAAAAAAGAGTGAAATCGAAAAGTGGTATAAACACACACACAAACACACATGTAGGTGCATACATAATGGAACGTCACGTTATAGGGTAAACAAAATGATATAGTCTACCTCGAATTAATGTATCTTTTTTTTTTTTTTTTTTTTTTTTTTTTTTTTTCCTTTTTTTGGTGTTAATTTTGAAAGAAGTTTAGATATATTTGCAAACTTTTTTGTTTATTTTTTTTATGAGAAATTGTTTTATTTTTATATTTGAAATTTGTTCTTTTTTTTTACTTCCTAATAATTGTTTTATTTTTATATTTGAAATTTTTTTTTTTTTTTTTTTTGAGACCATACAAAGATAGAAAATTTTCCATAAAAATTGTTATTTCTCAAGTATCTAATTCAGTGGATCATACATACATACATACACATATGCATAATGGTGGGATGATTGTATCTTAGTTTCAGCGTGTGCTGTAACTGGATTGACCTTTGGGTAATGCGCTCCCATATCTCCCTTCACCAATTTGTCATGAAAAACAAAATAAAATAAAAAAAAAAAAAAAATAAAGCAAAATAGTATAATGTAGAAATGAATTTTCATTTGGTTAAATCACCCTGCAAGCTAGGTCTGTTTGTAAGATGAGGATTATATTCAACATATGTTCATTTTTTCTGTTTGATGTTGTCACTCCTCTTTTCCTCTTTGTGAAAATTGTCCTCTCCTCCTTATAACATATGCACCGGAGGGAGAGAAGATTAAATGTTTTAAGCAAAATATTATTTTTACTTTCAATGGTAGTAACAAGTTCCATATTCTCGTTTTATTTTTATTCTTATTTTTTTGTTTAATTAAAATGTCGTGGGGGGGGGGAAAAGGGAAGGAAGAAGAAATAAAAAAAAAAAAAAAAAAAAAAAAAGTAATAAAATACAATACATAAAAAGAGTCAGATAAACATAACAAATGAAGATAACATGTATAGATATATATATATATATATATATACACACCATATGCATGTATGCTCATACATGTGCTATATAATAATGAATTAAATGTGTGAAAGGCTTTTTCACACAAGTTGCATCAAATGAATAGGGCGGGGTCAGAAAGAGAAAGACATGACACAACACAGAGGGAAATGTGTGCTATGGAAAAATGAAATACACACACAGGAAATTTATGGTATGGAAAAATGAAATACACACACAGGAAATTCGTGGTATGGAAAAATGAAATACACACACAGGAAATTCGTGGTATGGAAAAATGAAATACACACACAGGAAATTCGTGGTATGGAAAAATGAAATACACACACAGGAAATTCGTGGTATGGAAAAATGAAATACACACACAGGAAATTTGTGGTATGGAAAAATGAAATACACACACAGGAAATTTGTGGTATGGAAAAATGAAATACACACAGGTGATTTGTGCAAGTGTTATCATATATGCATTGCGTGTATGTTTGCTTTACAAAGCAAAACATGTCTCGGTACGCACTTTATGAGGTACCAACAGAAAAAATGAGCAATGAAACATCTTGGGGTATGCATTCAAAAGAGAGAGATGGAGAAAAAAGAAAAAGGTGGAAGGAGGGGGGGATGAGGACTTTCGAATTTGTCTCTCTTCTAATTTCATGCAAAAGAAGGGGGATGAGGAGGAGGGGGGTAGGGATACGAAAAAAAAAAAAAAAATAATAAAGTTAAAATAAAGGAATTTAAGTGAAATAATTAAAATAAAACGGTGAAAAAGAATGTATGCAAATATATGTGAAGAAGTGCGAGAGTGGCATTCGTTTGGAAATTCTTGACCCCATCAGAAGTGCCTATAGGAGGGAGGGCTAAAAAAAAAAGCTTGATCCCACAAACGCTAAGTTTTTTTTTTCCAAAAAAAAAAAAAAAAAAAAAAGTGCGACTGTGCATAAATATGTACACATTTTATATGCATAATATAATGTTAGAGTATAATATGCACGCTGGTCAATTAGTCAACCTTTATGGATGAATAAATCTTCTTCAGAAAAACGAAGGAGGCCAAGAATCCAGCCGTTCCCGTGTATATAAAGCATGTGTAAGACATGATGAATGAATATGCAAAGTAAATAAAAGTTTCAGCAAAACTAGAAATGCTAAGTTTGACAAAGAAGTAATAAATAGAGTAGAGGAAGAAAAATAATCCTGATGATCCGGGGGCGACAAAGGATTTCCACCACCAGTTGTAGTCCTCACTGTGATTACGGGGAAGAGGAAGCAAATTTGTGGCATTGATGGAGGTAGATAATACAGCACATAACATGTGTGTCTGCATAGGTACATATGTATACATCTGCATAGGTACATATGTATACGTCTGCATAGGTACACGTCTATATGTCTACATATGTACATTGCATAGACTGCGCATCAAAAAAAATCAAACTAGATCTGCAAAAAATAAATGGTGAGTGAACGTTATATGCTTACCAGGAGAGGGTATAGTATGTCAGGGCTATGGACAACTGTGCGCTGAGAAGTCCAAGGAGAAAAATCACCAAAAATAAAAATCCTGAAAAAAAAGGGGTGGTTAGAGATTCATGGATATGAACGCGAGGGAATAATATATTTTTAAATCTCTCTACTTCTTTGTAAGTGAACGGAGGGACTAGGTAATGGGGTGTTGTGCAAACGGCAGCTGGATGAACATGTAAAAACACGTGTGCTTTATATGCACTCTTCTCCTCTATCCCCCCCCCCTCCCCCTCCCACTTTTAGCTACTCCCGTGGTCTTACCAAATAAGTAGTACATGTTGCTCTTCCAGAGAGATGTAAAGAGAAAAAACAGTTCTGTGTACATAGTCCTGCGGAGTAAAAAATGAAGATGTGTATGTGTTGATGTGGAAGTTAGGATGAGTGCACAAAAATATACATGGTATGATGGAAGTGAAGGGAAATGGATTAAGCCGTAGTTTTACACATACGCGAAGAGAATCAATCCGACGAGGAGCGAGGAGAGGGCAAAGTTATTGAGTGGGGGCTGCTTGGGAATATGTCGAGGAATGTTATTAACACGTACAGGCAATTCGATGGGACTTTTCTTATTTCCAATGTAAGAGCCGAGGCAAATCAAAGGAACCGAAATGCCAAACCATAGAATGCAGACAAATGTTAGGGAAGAAAAGGGAATAGCTGTATTGGAATTCTCATAATGTAAGACAAGATTTATGAGGAAAAAAATTAAGAACAATATAAAAGGGTATATAAGTGATGTTCTAAATATAGTCAACTTAACATGTTTACTTTTAAATAATTTATATAATCTAGAAGAAGCATATCCTGAAATGCTACTTATAAAAATCCATATGAAAAACATCACTTGTATGTATCTATATCTTTGTTTATATTTATATACTCCAATTAATAATATTAAAACGCAAACTAAAATCATAAAAATAATTTGTATCCCTACACCAACAAAGGCAGAAAAAAATGTTGAATTTCGAGGCTTTCGAAATACATCTCCATGGACCAATTTCCATCCACGATCATCCACATCATCTGTTTCAAATATATTTGCATTTATCCGATTATATTTATATATATCTTTATGTAAGGCCTTTATCAAAATGGTACTTATAAAAAAACACAAAATGATGAACAATATTATACTGTTGATTATAGAAAACCAATGAATCATACTCTGATCGTTCAAATTTCTGTAGTAATGTTCTGACCTGTGCTGAAATGAGTTGTCACTCACCACATATTTTATGTCGTACTTGAATGTAACATATTTATTTCTCTTCATCAGCATTTTCGTTTCGTTCTCTTCACATCGCTCGTCCTTTCCAAAGTCCACGCTGCGAGGGGGAGAAGTGGTGGGGGTAGAGGCGATGAGGTGAAGGCACAGTTTTCCTATGGAATCATGGGGGTCGGCATGATTGCACGATTAAAACTGATTAAGCAATAACTTTGAAAAAACTGTCTCGCTTCATGAAGTGCTTACCTCTTGGGTTCCACTTCAAAACCGACAATATAATTTTTGTCTGAATGTCCCCCATTGTTGTTGTATAAAATGGTGATTTGGTAGTAGGTGTAAAGTAGGTAATTTTTCTGCAAAGGGGGTGCGTTAAAAAAAAAAAATAATAAATAATGCGACACAATAATGCGACACAATAATGCGACACAATAATGCGACACAATAATGCGACACAATAATGCGACACAATAATGCGACACAATAATGCGACACAATAATGCGACACAATAATGCGACACAATAATGCGACACAATAATGCGACACAATAAAGCGATACAATAATGCGATACAATAAAGCGACACAATAAAGCGACACAATAAAGCGACACGATAAAGCGACACAATAAAGCGACACGATAAAGCGATACAATAAAACGATGTAATAAGAACAAAAATGACAACGTAATAATAATGAAGAGGTAATAAGAAAAGAAGGAAGCCGTGTGTCTGGAGGAGTGGGCATAGGGGAGTGATCATCGTTTCAGTGAGGGGAAACTCTCGAGAGTCTTTGGAGCATTTGGTCCATCTCTTGTGAACGCGTTTTCAAATTCTTTTTCACTTTTTCGTCCAGGAGTGTTCGAGTAATTTTAGCATAATTCTGAATCGAGACTTCGATTGTGTCCCAACTGGATTTCCATTTCATTTTTGGCTTAACCCTTTCGACGTTTTTTCCTGCTGGGTTCTACTCACTTTTGATATCTCCTCCTGAAGCTACTCCATTTGTATGCACTCTCTTCTCATTGCTCACCTCATGAATGTATCCGATTGGAATTCCCGTGTAATAAGAACCCTCTCTACGTGGATCCTTTCGAAAAATGTCCAAATTGTCTACTGAATAAACCATATTGTAGTTGTATAGTATTAAATGTTTTAATTTATCATAAGCATTGTCATCAATAAATATTTTGCAATAAAAGGCACAGTTCGTGTCCTTAAGAAATGTCGTTTCTATTGATGTGTTGTGTAGATTGTCTCCTGATAAAATTTTAAAAATATTTGGTGCTTTTTCTTCCTTTATGTTTTCATTATCCGATGCGCATAGTGGAAATGTGAAATAGTTTAGGCTCGTCACAGCTCTTCTGCTCGATAAATTTTTCACACTAATTGTAACCTTGTCCCCTTTCTTGTATGTCTACAGGTGGATTGTTGGGTGGAGAGCGATGAATGTGAATAGTAGCTGCTGATTTGGATGGGTAGGAGCTGATTTGGATGGGTAGGAGCTGATTTGGATGGGTAGGAGCTGATTTGGATGGGTAGGAGCTGATTTGGATGGGTAGGAGCTGATTTGGATGGGTAGGAGCTGATTTGGATGGGTAGGAGCTGATTTGGATGGGTAGGAGCTGATTTGGATGAGTAGTAACTAATCTGGACGTGGGATAACCGAGAAACCTGAGCATATCTTGCTGCGTCTCTTCAAACCAAGTCATTTCGAAAATGACAAATGAAGGACACTTGATGCATGAAATTGATATGGAGATGAGTTGTCCCCTCTTTTTTATTTTATCTCCCATGCATCGACAAAAACCTCAATGAGAGTTTTTTTCTTTTTTTTTTTTTTTTTTTTTACATACCGTTGGATTCATCCCGGGTAAGTAGGATTCCACATGTTTAACGAAATGGATGGAGAAGACAAAAAGGGGGAATAAAAACAACTTGTAAATCATTTTCCACGTTTGATATTATGAACATGTTCATGTGTTTCTTGGTCATGCTACACACTTCTTTGTGCGGTCAAACAGAGCAAAGGAAAAAAAAAAAAAAAAAAAAAAAGGAGAACAAAAGGGAAGAGGAAGAGAAGAATACAAAATGAGAAGTGCAATGTGCAAGCCGAAACTTCTCATAAAATGTATATAATTGTGCTTAAGAGAAAAAAAAAAAAGAAAAAAAGGTATCTCAAAACTTCTTTTACAATTTAAGGAGAACCGTAAAAAAAAAAAAAAAATCTCACTAGTTCTAAATAGAGAGGATTCATGCTACTACACCTTTTCTTAAAATTTTGTGGAAACAAAGAAAAAAAAAAAAAAAAAAAAAAAAAAAACCTGTCAGAAGAGCACAATGAAAAGAAGTATATATATGTAAAAGTAGGTGTTACTAAAAAAAAAAAAAAAAAAAAAAAAAAAAAGAGAGAAGAGGCGGCTTAAAGTGGTGCATTTACTACTCTTGTAGTTATTTCTCCATTGAACATATGGGGGGCGGTAGAGGGTGAAATATAATGTAGAGTGTGATCTTCAAGCCAGTGATAGGTGAACATATATTTATGTGTTCAAGCAGGTATTTCATAATTTATGTGTACACTGTATATATATATATATATATGTGTATGTGAGGTATATATATATATTGGTATTTTATAGGCACCAGTGGAAATGTAGGTATTAATTGAGCTCTTTCACCCATTTGACATTTTGCTTTACATTATTCATTAGCATCAAATGTCCCAGTTCATCAAGTTTTCTTCACCATGCGTGTAGTATAAATACGTAGTATATAATAGGTAGTATATAATATACAACACATATATATATATTGTGATGGGGGAAGTGTATATATTATATCTCCATTTTCTCAGCTTACTTGTAAAGCTCCGACAAATCCCTTTTGTGAGGCAAAAAATAGCGTAAAAAAAATGGAATAAAAAATAAGCCCTCAGGGGAAGTGAAGAAAAAGTCGATCACATATTTTCGCATGACTCGTATGTATATTGTAACTTGTGCATTTTTCCAAGAGAGGAAAAGAGGTGCAAAAGAGAGAAAAGTAGCAGATTTTTTTTTTTTTTTTTTTTTTTTTTTTTCCTCCCCTTTTTATTCATGCTTATGTTCTCTGTGCATAGGATAATAACATGGATATGCTTCATTTTTGTACACATAATAACATATGCATAACCTGTAACTGTGTTGTTAATTTTTTCCAATGCAACTTAGTGGTAAACACAGAAAAGAATGAACGGATGGATGGGCGAGCATTCAGCAGTTAATATATAAGTGTTACAATAATGATAAGCTTGTTTTGCCAAAGTACTTAACAGAAGTAGAACAAGAAGAAGGAAAAGAAGAAATAAATAATAATGAATAATAAAAAAAAAAAAAAAATAATAAAAAAAAAAAAATAAATAAATAAATAAGCGCAGTGCACACACAAAGTGTGTAGAGCACCAAAACATACTATGTATTTTTCCTCAGCATATACCTATACATATGTGTATATAAACCTTTGGGAAGTATTATGTACGGGGTTCAGGTTGTTCTGGTCAGAAGCTTAAATGTAAAATAGACGTAACGCCACAAACGGTGTGCTCGAGGAAAATTTGTGAACTGTAAACAGTGTAATAGAGTTAGGGGGTGTAAAAACTTGGAGCAGCGGTCATACTCTTTTCCTTTTTTCTCACCTTGATAAAAAAGAAACATTAGAACATTTTTCTCGGGTCAGTAAGCACTACAATCCTGCTTAGTGTCGAGAAGATTTATCTACGGCATCCCACACGGATTTTGGTTATGATGAGAAGTACGAGGAGAAGAGGTACGTCGAAAGTGGGGAATGCAGTGTTCCTCGGGTGAGAATTTCCCTAAAGCATCTTTGAGGACAAAGGTGCCTGATTCGCTGTGTGTCTGTGTTTGTTTCAGGGTCCGTCTGCTTGTGCCTCTGTTTGTGTGAGAGAGAGGAGAAAGTGATGTACGGGGTCTAGTTCACACAGATGCGGGATGAACCCCTAATATCCACCGCTAGCCACGTCTAACAGCGCACAACAACGCAAAACAATTTCTATCAACGTCTAATCCCAGCTATCGAAACCATTTTCCCTGCCTGCCTCCCCCTACCTCGTAGGAAAAGATGAAGGCAGTGATTTTGCTACTCCACATAATCCTGATCGCAATGGGAAGAAGTATGAAGACATCAGACTTGAAGAAGAGGGGTTATGAAATGAGTCCCAGAGTACATAAAACGCATGCACAAATTGAACATAAAAAGAGGAAACTTGTATACACAAATATAAACTTTCACAATATTGATAAAACTGTGAAGAAGGAAATTATAAAAAAGAAGAATTTGAACGAGAATGATACGATAAGAGAGAAATTAAGAAAATTAAAAGATCTGAAAAATGCTATAAGCAAATATGCATTAAAAATTGATAAAGAAGATATTGAGAATTTTAAACAAAGAACAAAAGAGTTAGTAAAAACAAAATACAATTTTGCGAAGAAATATTATGTACAAGTTTACAACAAATTAAAAGATGATTCATCTGTATATGTTGAGAAATTAAAAAATGGATATAATGTTTGTTATTATTATATAGGGGATATGTACATAAATAGTCCCCTTTATGAATATATAAATACCTTTCCCATTTTAAACAAATCAAATTATTTGTCTAAAATGATTAGTTACAATTCTGTTAATATACTATTCTTACTGTTTACATTTTTATATTTTAAGAGTGATTTTATTTACAATTTTTTTCAAAAAAAATACGCATTCATAGGAGAATTTAAAAATATTAAAACGGATCGACTTGTCAAGATACACACCTTGTCAACTCTGATTTTTTTCTTTTACAAATTTTTTGTTCTCAGATTATTTTTCGTTTTCAATTCCTACAACTTATTTTCTAGAAAGTTGTATTTATTGAATAATTTTGTACATGTACTTTTTTTTTTCTACTTGTCTATCCATCCATATTTCCTCGTCCAAGCCAACTGGGGAAGTTTCCATTTGCTAGGATCTCGTAGAAGTAAAATTTATTTAACACAAACACGCATGCACCCTCTTGCTTATTTTACTCCCCTTCTTCATGTGGACTCTGTGGAGATTCTCATTAAGAATTTCCTTGAAAATTTTTTTTTTTGTGTATTCCATGCTACTATTCTCTTCAATGCATGTTTTATTATCTTATAACCACTTCACTCCGCCCCCCCTTCGTTAGGAAAAATTCTCGGAGCTATGGTCCTCGCGCACCTTTTCCTCATCTATACAAGACTCATGTGTCAAAACAATTTGAGCTTTGTTAAGAAGTGGACAGACGAACATTTTTTCAGCAAGGACGAAATAATAAAGACGCTGAAGGAAGATAAGAAGACCGATTTTTACGTCAGTTTGCTTAATCAATATAGCCTTTTAAAGAAACTTTATTTAGGAAACAATAAAATATATGAACTTGTTCTTCACCTTCATCGGTACAAATACCTTTTGGATATAATTTCTCCAATAAATTCTTTATTTTATATATATATTGCACATTCCATTTATTTTTATTTGAATAGCCTTTCGTTTGCTGGCATTTATACTTCCTCATTTTCTTTGGGACTTTACATGCTTAGCATTTTATCAAACAAAATTGACATGTACTTCTTGACTCGTATTTAGTCGAGTCATGAACAATCAGTGGGTCTGGAAAACTTTCCCTGTCCTCGGAAATTGCATATAAGCAACAGTGGCATTTTTTTTTTTTTTTTTTTTTTTTTTTTGGACTAACATCATTATTTTATTGTCTATGAACATGTGTATACATATGTGTGTAAGTTACGTGTGGAGAGAAATGTTTTTAATTAACAAAAGTTTTTTGGATTTATGAGAAAGGGGATATGTATATAACATGTGCTACTTTTTTTTTTTTTTTAAATCGTACATATGTATCATTTGTCACATGTATGACCAATTTATGGTTTTCCTCTTTGATTGCTTTCTTTTCTTTTTCTGTTTTTTCTTTTTTTTTTTTTTTTTTTTCCTGTGCGTAAACCTTTTTTCTTTTTTTCTCCAATATTGATTGAGAGTATTAATTAAAAAAAAAAAATTCACTAAAGTATGATTACAAAGTTGTGTTTAGTGACATTTTCTAATTGCTATGAGCGAAGGTATTGATGAACCTTTTCAGAGTCTCATAAAAAAAAAAAAAAAAAAAAAAGGAAAAACATTACCTGTGTGATGATACTATGATGTGTATGCTGTTTTTACACTTAAGCGATATGAGTACCCCCTCACGTTCCTCTTCAGTCCCATTCAAATAACACAAAAGGATATGTTACACATATGTATGCATTTACCGTTTTCAAAATTGCTAAACAGTGTTATGTTATCAATCCGTGGAACATCTCTAGTTTCGCTCACTTGCCAAAATGGTATGTTTAGGTTTCTCTTTCTGGAAAAAAAATAAAAATAAAAAAAAAGGATAATCTGTTGTATCTTCGTTTTCATACTTGATATATCTTGGTCATTTATAACTTTTGCAAGAATGCAAAGAAAAAAATCCAAAGGTTTAGGAGTAGTGTGTATAACATTTGAATATGTCTTTGTTCTTGAATTTTTTTTATTTTTTTTCTTAAATTATTTGGCTCTGCATTTACGCCTTACATGTGCATAATTTTTTTTTTTTTTTTTTTTTTTTAAATCATCATTTTGCTGTTCTTTTGCCTTACCTGTGCATATTTTTTTTAAATTAAATTTTTTTTTTTTTTTTTTTTTTTCTCCCTTTTTTTTTTCTTTTTGTTTTTTTTTTTTTTTTTTTTTTTTTTTAAATCATCATTTTGCTGTTTTTTTGCCTTTCCTGTGCATATTTTTTTTAAATTAAATTTTTTTTTTTTTTTTTTTTTTCTCCACTTTATGTGTTCCATCTGTGTGTTATTTTATTTTTTCATTTTTCCTGATTAGCTCCTCCCAAGTGCTAACATATAGGTTTTCCCACATGAATATTCATCTTTTAAAAAGCCAAGCTGAATGATGCGAATTTTTTATTCCTTTTCAAAGCAATCAAAATGAGCTTAAACTTTAGCGATGATGAAGATGTATATGCACAGGGAGATGATGTAAATCTCGAGGGGGATGACATAAATGGAAGATTAGATGACGATCATATTGGGGATGCAGAAGACGGATACATTGGATTAGGAGCAGACAATGTTACTGGAGACGAGCGTAATGAAGAGGAAGAAAAGAAGAAAAGGAAAAAAAGCATTACATTTCAATTGAAAAACCTTTTTAACGATGTAGCGTTGAACAAAATTACCAACCACATTGTGAAGAAACGGAAGAGTGAACACAGGAACAGCTGCAATAGTACGTGGGATTCGCATAGAAATGATGACCAAGCGAGCAATGACATACCAGGGGATGATGATATCTTAAGTGAGGAAGAAGACGAGCTGCAAAAATATGTGAGGGAAGAGAAGAACAAAATAAAACAAATTTTACCAGAAAATGATGAATTGTGGGATATATACATGTATTTAAATTTAAAAAAAAAGAGAAGAAAAATTGATTATAATGAAAAACATTACAGTGCAGCTATTCGTAAAATTTTAGAATATGTTACAAATGAATATAAAAATATCATTAGTGAAAAATTATTTTTAAATAAAACATTAAAAAAATATTTAATTTTGCCTGACCAGTCAGAATTTTTTCAAAAAAGCAAAATTGAAAATGTAGAGAAAAATACGTCTATTCCTATTATAAGAAGAAGAAACTCGCTAAAGCAAATAAAAAAAAAGTTGGTGGAATTGTACAATAAAGGAAATTGTTGTAGTTATACTAAGGATGAAGAGCTGACCCATTTGTATGCTGACGACAGGGATGGAGAATTTTTTTCAGATCATCCAAGCAGTAGTGGTCACTACAATAGAAGAGGAAATAGTAATGAGAACTTGAATAGAAATGAAACGAATAATTTTGATCAGATTAGAAAAGACAATAATTTCATCATCGAAAAGGAAAAATTAAATCTGGAATTAACAAAATTAACAGATAAATACACTCGAATGGTAAATAAAATAAGACAGCATCGAAGAAAAAGTTTGAAAACAAATTTTAACTTGTTTATGAATTTAATTAACGAAGTAACGTCAAAATTGTATTTTTCTGTGCATAGTGTCTTACTTATGGGGGATAACCAAACAGATTTGACTGATGTTTACAAAACAATTCGAAGGAAATACAATATTCATGATGTTCTAGGGAAGATACAAAACCTTAGCCAAAAGAAGGAATTCTATGAACACTACCGTGCATATCTGCTTTATAAGTATAAGAGTACATACCCGGTTTGCGATAAAGTGTTTAAAACTCACGAAATGGTTAATAACGTAAATATTTTTAATTTTAAAAAGTTTTACAGTACTGAATTTGGAACGGAAAAGTTTTTCGTCATCAGAGAGGAGGAAGAAAAAGAAGAAGAAGAAGAATCTGTTCAACATGATGACGCGAATGCGAAGGGCAAAGTGGGACAAGAAAAATCTGATGATTTTTTCTCCAAAGATGTTTATGACGTGTATGATAGTAATGACTTCTTCCATGTGAATGTTCGTTCGGATGAAGTGCCAGCTGGCACTCATGTAGAAAAAACTGCGAGAGATCCGTCTAACGTTCAAGTCAGTAATGCCTGTACGAATGTTCCTGTTGATGTCATATCAAACATTTCTTCTGGTATTACTGGAGGTAATCCAGTTCATACTGAACCAAGTGTCAATGGTAATGTGGTTGAAGAGACGCCCCTTGAGCGCGCAAAACGAATAGCTCGTGAGAAGAAGCAAAAGTTGATGGAAAGTAGAATTAAAATTGTGTGAATCTCGGGGTTGGGCTCAAACATGGGTTCTTTCTGTCCAACGAAACGCCAAGTATTGCACACACAAAATGGCTAATTTTTTTTTTTTTTTTTAAGCCATTTCCAAATTTGAGGTAACGTACCTAAAGCCACTCTATGTTAGTTGCAAACAGTTCGGTGTGCCCGTTACGAGGAAATTTCATAGCATATGTAGCTTATACACTTTTCGTTGCATGCATAATTTTTACAGCTTTTCTAATTTTTTTCTTTTTTTTTTTCTCAATTGTGATATGCCACTTCATTTCTGCACCCAGGGTTAGGTACTTCATGGTTTTTTTTTTTTTTCCCCGTTTTGACCTTGTGCTTGTATTAGGGAAAAGATTTCTTATGAGCGCGTGTGCCTGATTCACCACTTTGTGTCTTCTGAGTTTCGCTACCCCCAGGAATAATTTTACATTAAAAAAATTCTGCTTGTTAATTTTGGAAATGATCCCTTTACGTATGAGTGGAAAGGCATACCTACCATTGACACTACGAAATCCTTAATGACATACAAGAAAACATATTGCAAAAAAAAGAAAAAAAGAAAAAAAGAATTATAATCCTAAGACAGGCTGTTTTATATATATATATATATATATATATATATATATATATATATATATATATATATATATACAATATGCATGTTTTACTATCCTCTAACATTTCATCGTTCACAATTTTGCTATTAACATATAAACAGAAAAGCGTGCGCGTAATGATGTGGAAAAAAAGGGGGAAAAAAAAAAATCAAATAGGAAGGAGTCCAATCTGTCATATTCCAAATGTTCAGTTAAAATATATATATATGTAACAGAATTAGCAATTATTCGCATATTGCTGCTACGTTTGCTACCTATGGATAATCCATCTGCTTATCACCACCGTTGTAACAGCAGTAGTAAAAGTTCTTGTTTTTTTGCGTGTAAAAAAATTGGGCGCGCTATGTAACTTTTATTTCTTTTTTTTCAATGCCATAATAGGTATCCATATTATTGTTGGGTAATTTTATCAATCTTCCTCACAAATTAGTGGTGCATATTTTATTCGCCAAAAGGAACCCTGACTAAATTGTTCATTAAATGAAATTAATTAAAAAGGGCCAAATCGATCATGCTTAATCTGATGCCTCAAATATATGTACACTGCTAGCGTGTGTTTTAATAGCTTATATGCACATGCGCTTGCATATATATATATATATATATATATATATATATATACATGTACGCATGTACACATGCACGTATCCACGTATACCTACATGTATCTTCTTTTTTTTTTTCCTTTTTTCACCGCATACATCCTTGTGTTCGTGCAAATCTTTTGCAAACCAGGAACATTTAAATGCATGCAGGAAAGAACCTTAAAGTGTTAAGGAAAAAAAAGAAAACAAAAATAAAAGTGTCAACAACGGATGTATACATGTGCATAAGTATATGTATATATATATATATATATATATGTACACAAAAATACAGTGCACGAGCCCGCTGTGTATGGATAATAAGCTTCATGTAAACAAATCACATTTTATTTATGTGGATTTCCTACATAAGCCATACGTGCAAGGAATACCCACCAGTGCTTGCAATTACGCCGGCAATTACGTTGGCTCGTTTTAGTCTTTAAAAACAAAGGGAGACTCATCTCCTTCCCAACTAGCCACCCAACCGATCACAGCCCAATCTTCATCAACCCCAGGCCGTTAGAACGAAAGTTTATTGTCAGCTTCTAAAAAGGGGGGAAAAAAAAAAAAAAAAAATGAAAATGAAAATGACAAGGAAGCAAACCCATTCTATCATTCCTTAACGCCTTAAATATACCGAATTGGAGAATGGAAATTATGTACATGTAAGTATATAAACGCTTATATGCATGTATGTATATAAATATTGTACCTGTTTGTATACCACACACACACACACAAACGTGCAAGTGAAAAAAAACTAGTTAAGTAGTTTCCTCGTTTGAAGATATTTCTGTCAATTAACATATATATATGAACATTTCGCTTGAGGAAATTTACAAGCATAAAAGAGCCACTAGAATTTTTTGGCCTTGTAGAGGGATATTTGTAGCTTTGCGACAGAAGGTTTGCAATCAAAAGGGAAGCATTGCCATTTTGAGAAAAAGGGACAGCAGAGGGAACCTACAGAGAAAAACAGGAAAATTGTTGTAAAGTTGTGAAGTTGTCTGGAGTAGACGTCTCGTGCATGAGAAAGACTTACCGTGCAAATGTATACGCATGTATTTGTCTGACCCACTCATTTCTCCCCCCCATTTTTTGTCCAATTGTCTACCCACTTTTCTGCCCACTTTTCTGCCCACTTTTCTGCCCACTTTTCTGCCCACTTTTCTGCCCACTTTTCTGCCCACTTTTCTGCCCACTTTTGTACCCACTTTTCTGCCCACTTTTCTGCCCACTTTTGTACCCATTTTTGTACCCACTTTTCTACTCATTTTCCTGTGAAAATCGCTTCTAGAAAATCGCTGCTGAAAAATCGGGAGAGGCAGAAGATAAGGGGAGCCCAGGTACACATCTCGCTTAAGTAGAAGGGAATTGGAGTGCATACCATTACAAATTCTGAGGCTGGTGTTAAGGGTAGTTTTTCTTTTAAGTGAGATAAATGCACATGCGTGTTGTAATGTCTTACATCGCACATTTGGTAAGAAATGGAAATACCGGCAAATATTGAGAGAAAGAGCAAGGAGTTAAGTAAAATATTAATTAAGTCATTTAAAAATGAAGCGTCTAGTATCACTTATTTAAATGAATGTAAGAATAATGATACTTCTGAATTATATGGGGCCTTTTACCTAGTGTACTCAAATATGATAGAAAATGACAATGAGTTAAGAGGATATAAAGATCATCTAATTTTCCTATCCTTTTGTTACATGAATAAATTATTGGAAAAATACTACAATGTGTATCCTCAGGATAGCAAGATAAATATTCGAAATAATTTTATTAACATATTGTTTTGCTTACCACTAAATTTTAATCATGATTTGGATAATAATTTGTTACATTTTAAAGAGAAATCAGTTGAAATTTTGAAAAATAAATGGATGGAGATTTTTTTAGACGAAACGAATTTCTTGATGAGAAATTATCTTAACGAATCAGATAATTATTTTATTCGTTTTTATATAACTTCTACGAGAAATAAATATGCTCAAATTTTTAGCATCCTTTGCATGCATAATGATTATCTGTACTTTAGATATGTGTATAACTTTTTTTTATTTTTCTTGAATGAGTTCTTGAGAAGAAAATTGACATCTATTGGTCTGTTCACTGCACAAGGAGGAAATGATGGGCACACACAAAATGATTCCATTCACATGCAGAAGCAAAATGGTGAATATTTCAATGCTGTCATGCATATCTGTCTAAATTTTTTAAGGGAAATATTCTACACCATAAGTAACGACATCTCTAGCAATGTGCATAACAGGCAACAGTTGAATGTCTTCAGGGGGCTCATAATAACAGATGTAAACGAGTTGTTTAATTTCTTGTCAACATGTTTTTACTACTGCTTGTGCTTCAGGAAGAGGAATGAATTTGAGTCACTCATTGAGTGTGTAAAGGAGCTATCTTTTTTCTTTCCTGGTTATCTATTCTTTAGCAGTTGTGGAGACAGTTCTCCTCCTTTGAAGTTTCTCTTGAATATGTTGTTCATTCGATTTTCCCGTGGTGGAAGAGATAGAAGCGGTGGAATTGATGGAGCTGGAGGAACTGGCTCACTGAAAACAGGAGATACAATTTCACTAAGCCAGTTCAGCAGGGTTTACAAGAACTACCTCACAATGAATGACATGATCTGCATGCCAGAAAATTTTCACCTGTTTCTGGAAGACATAGAACTGGATGAGGACTTGTTAATAATATTTTTAAACATCGTTGAATATATATCTAAGATAAATAACAAGAGTTTTTTTCAACTAGATGAAGTAGAGTTAATGGAATTTTTAGTTAGTTATTTTAATATAAATTTAAATTTCTTCGATGTGAGCAATTATTCATTTCAGAATATATACATCCAGATGATCCTGAACCTGTCGTGCATTCCTATTTCTAACTATTTGCATCAGAAAGAGAACAAACTAAAATGCATGCACATGTACATACTTAACATTTTTAAGAATATTTATCACCCAGATGTGAAGATTTTGGTGAATATTTTAGCTATATGTAAAAATATATTTGATAACAACAAAGAATTAATATTCATTAAAAATAAAGAAACAGAGGTTGCAAGTGAGAAGTATAATATTTACAAGGCTGACAAAGAGGGTTTACTTAATGATAGGAATGAAAAGACATACAGTAGTGATTCCCATTTTGTAATAAGTGCAGAAGATTTAAAAAAACTTTTCATTTTAATGTTTATTCGTTTTATTAGGATACCAATGTACACAGATCAGAACTCGTTAAACAAAAAAATTATGATAAATTTTATGAACATGTATATAAAAGAATATAACGAAGAATGGTTTGAAACTTATTTTCATTATGCTAAGGAGTATTCTCAAGATGGCGATGAAGATGGTGATGAGGAAGACAAGACTATTCAAGTTACAGGTTCGGGTATAACACATACCCCTATTGATTACTACACTTCTGGTGGTATCAGAAGTAGATGTAGTAATTCTAGAACTAACAATGAGAAAAATGTTTTAAAACATAAAATTTTTAGCTTATTGAAAGTTTTGATAGGATTGAATCATGAAGTGTATTCCATCATGGTAGAAGTATTTTGTGAATTTTTTAAATTTTATGAAAATATTACTGTTGAAAATTTATGCAGTGAAATCATGAAAGTGAAGGATTACTTTATTTACATCCTTCTCAGAGTGTACTACCAGCTTCTCCTTTTTTTTACAAATACTTTGAAAGAGTATAAAGGATTGATACGAGATGGTGCGGACAATGAAGTGAACGAAGGAATCATATCATTTCAACTACTTCCACAAAACGAAAGGGAAGTTTACATGCAGGGAATACTCCACTTGAAGAATTCCATCGATAAGAAGATTATTGAAGATGTGTCGTTTGGAGGAGGTGCGGGAGGCACGAATAAAATTGCATCCTCCAATGAAAAGACACAAAATATGCACCTTTGTAAAGGAGTTGTCTCAAACTGGAAGAATGATGATGATGATAGAGGAAATGATATGGATGAATTAAAAAGAAGAAAGGAAAAAATTGATCTTAAATTGCACATCCTAAAGTGCATACAAAAATGTGGAGGATCCCCTTTTTATGAAATCGATAGGGAATGTATAAACAACTTACTGAATTGCTATAAGCAAATTTTGAATAGAGACTTTATGAACTTTTCTAAAATATCCCCTAATTTTCTTCTTTTTGAAATTAAGAGATTGCAGTACATATCAGAAAGCATATATCTGTTGAATTATAACAAAGAATTTGCTTTATTTATGATGGATCATTTGTTAAGGAATATAATAGAGGACGGAGCAGTAGAAGCAGTAAGGTCTGGGGAAGACACGAATAGCTCCATGGAATTGAAGAAGAATTATTTTTCAATTTTTACATCCATCATTTCAAATTTAGAAAATTTGGTTACAAATGAGATGATAGAAAAAATGCTGAATACTTTTCTTGAATTTAAAAAGTCCACAAAATTGTCAAAGTGTAATAAAGAATTTTGCATCTTCCTCTTAACCCTTATATCTGTTTTGAAAGTAAATGATTTGAACAGTAAGGTAATCATTTCTTATATTAACCTGGTGATGCAGGAAACGTTTGAATTTTTAACCGATTTTTCTAAAAATGTTTTAAATTTTGAAAGTTTATACACATTATTTTATGAAAACGAGAGGAAGGCAGAAATATGTCATACTCTCTTTGATGTGCTTAAGATTGCACAGACATATTATTCAGTTTTTCCCATTTACAAAATTGAATCATCCTTGAAGAATCGTGAAAGTGGTATTAACAATCTTGTTGGCTGTATTGATGCCCAATGTGCTCAAGATAATAATAACAATATCTCTAGGTTGATGCTTGAGAACTCTCGTTTAGTGAACAAAAGCGAATTCTTGCAAACCAGTATCAATCTTTTTACATCTGTCATGTGTATATATCCTCTCTTTAATGATATGATAAAAAGTTCTTTTATGTTTGAGAAGCGTCCCATGCTGTGTACCGAAGTAAGTTATTTTCACATGAGCGAGAAGGAAAGAGAAATTGCAATTGTGTATCTACATAAAAATGGTCGATTAGGTACAAGGGGTGGGAAACGTTCTTTCCACATCACTGCTGGCATTGGAAAGAGCAACATTGGAAGCGGAGGTGGAGGCGGGGGTGGTACCCATTCAGGAGGTGATGATTCAGGAAAGATGGGTTCGAAAAAATACAATATAAGTATGAAATCTATGCATGAAAATGTGTGTAATGTAATGAAATGTTTTATAAATGAAGGATACATATTCTTGTTTAATGACACAATGAATATGTTCTTAGAAATATTATCAGTAGCATTCGATTTTAATCCCTATTATTTCCTAACACAAAATATGCAACAAGTGTATTTATGCCTAAGTGAAAAGTTGAAGTATCAAATTAACGACAAATGTATTAATGAGTTAGTCACCCAATGGTACGTAAAAATATATGAACAATTTGTTAAGAAACATTATGATTATTTTAAAGTGCAATATGAACATATGAAAAAAGTGAATGAAGAATTAAATCAACAAGCCAATATTAAAGAAGAGGATTATACTATGTATAATGATATGTTGTATGATAATAAAAATTACACTTTTAATTTTTTAAAAATTTGCAAAAATGTATTTACCATACCGAATGAATTCAAAAATAATCGTGAAGGGATATATTTTTTCAGTACTTTTTATAAAGATGAAAAAAATGAAATATTAAATACTTTACTTATGAATATAGAATTGTTGCTTAACAGTTACGATTGCAATGTAATTAAGAGATCATTAAGTTTTCTCTTGGATATATCTGATTCAATTCTTTTGCTTCCTTTCCAGGCATCTCATTTTATTATATATCTTTGTATCATTAAAATTGCACTTCGCTCATTTCTCCTTTTCAATCCCCTTATTTTGACGCTACAAGAAAGGAGCAGGAATAAGGGTGATAATGCTAATGAAACCGAATTTCGAAATAGATACATAAATGGAGGAAATTCACCACATTACAATGATGAAGACAATTATACCATGGTTGGTGTGTACACAGGAGAAATGAACTTATTCATGAAAAACAATCCACAGGAATTAACCTCTTACATGCATATTATCCCCAACACGTTTATCAAAATTTGTAAAAACTATTTTAATCTACAAATAAAAGTTTTCAGAATTAAGGAAAATAATACCCCCTTTGATGAACTCGTAAATTTGGATACTGTGAAACACTTTATTCTTCTTTTCCATGATTTGGACGGATCTGCCTCCTTCGATTTTCCCATGATCATTTCGGACCTCTTCAAGCAAAATTCTTCAGACTATTTGAGGAATCTGCTCGTACAGTGCCGCATGCACGGTGTGCGCCCGGCTCCGTGAGGAAAAGAAGTTTCCTTTGCCCAGTTGTCGCCATTCCAACCTGACCGCTACCCTGCCGCTACCCTGCCGCTACCCTGCCGCTACCCTGCCGCTACCCTGTCGCTACTCTACTGTGTACTTATCTCTACCTGACCACTACTCTACTGTGTACTTATCTCTACCTGACCACTACTCTACTGTGTACTTATCTCTACCTGACCACTACTCTACTGTGTACTTATCTCTACCTGACCACTACTCTACTGTGTACTTATCTCTACCTGACCACTACTCTACTGTGTACTCATCCCTACCTGACCACTACTCTACTGTGTACTCATCCTTACCTGACCACTACTCTACTGTGTACTCATCCCTACCTGACCACTACTCTACTGTGTACTTATCTCTACCTGACCACTACTCTACTGTGTACTCATCCCTACCTGACCACTACCCTGCCGCTACCCTACCGCAATGTACCCCACTTGACATTGCAAAAAGATATTCATTCTCTTCACGTCTCCTCACGTACAGGCGAATAGGTTTACCTATATACCCCCATGCTTGTATGTGTTTATGCATAAATATATATGTATACATACGTAACGCACATAGTTGTTTATCCAATTCAAACACATTGATATCCTCATTTTTGTTATCCCTCCCTTTTGTTATTTACATTTCCCAACTTATTCTACTCCTTCAATACATGTGTATACATATTATAATAATTATTTTCCTCCATGTGAAAATGTGGAAATCATCAACACCTTTTGGATAAGAGAGAAGAGTGAGCAAAGAGAGTATAAAAACCTAATATATATAACCTCGTTCTATTGCTTGAGCCTCTTCTTATCCTCCCCCCGAACACACACAATGCGATTCACAAAACTTTACGTAAATTGTTATTAATCGACATTTGTAAATTCTTTTTTATCATAAAAAAAAAAAAAAAAAAAAAAAAAAAAAATTGGTTCAGTCAAAAGCTTTTCATGCCCATACATCAAAAATAAAAATCACGCTCACTTGGATTAAGCAAAATCTACTGTAATTTTTTTTTTTTTTTTGTTAATTCCCTTTTTGGTATATTTTACTCCATGTGCTCGAAAATAGAATAATTTTTTTCTTTCTTCTTTTCCATTTTTGGAGATTTAAGGAGAAGGAGAGGAGAATACACGTACGATTCTGTTATTTTGTACTTACGCACATGAATGCATGTTTGGCATGGCAAAATAGGCTTGTATGAACGTATGTGTGTGTATATAGTACGCATATATATGCATGTACATACGCATGCGCACCTATGTATGTATTACGTACCCGAACTGCACGAATAGAGTAAAAACCTGTTTTGTTGACCCACTTTTCCGTTCTATGGCCCCTTTGTCAGTCCTTTCCTCATCAGCATGTGTTGTGAACGCCACACAGATTAATACTCCTGTTCTTGTATAATGTTGCAATACTTCAAATATGTACGAATAAAGATTTTACAAGCACCGTTGTTACTCTTTCGGTCTACATCGCGATCGTTAGTTCAACTGCTATGCGTGGTGTTAATTTTTGTATCAAGTCTAAAATCATTATATGTTCATAATTTCATGCTTCACAAGAATTTCCAAATTGTTGTTAATCCTTGTGTTGTTAAGAAAAAAATACTCAATCCCAGGGCTACTAAGAGTTTACACAAAATAACATTCGTTTTGAAATCCGCTGAAGAAGAATTGGATGATTACAAATATTTCACCGATGATGAGTATGTCAGCTATGAGAATAAGAGCATATCTCTTTTCTTCTATAGATATGAACTATCTTTTTTTTTTTTTTTTTTTTTTTTTTTTTTTGTTAAATTGTATGCTATTTCAACCCTACTAGGCTAGCTATTTTTTCTTTTTTTTTTTTTTTTTTTTTTTTTTTTTTTTCCTCTTATCCAAAATTGTCTTGCCGTTCAGGTACATCCCACCATTGCCCCCTGTTGAGACTTGGGAAGAATTATTGATGAAGGAAGAAATACGGAACAAGACAGAAGATTCAAAGAGGAGTGTGGACGACTATACATTGTCACACGAAAGCAGAGAAAAGGTGTTGGATATAATGCGACAGACACGTTTAATAAATCATTGCAATTATGAAGTTCAAAAGAATAAGAGGAAGAACATCCTCTATTTTGTCACACCAAAGCTGGGTTAGTGCTTATCCGTCTTGGCTGTTCATCCGAACTGAACATCTTATAACTGTTCATCCGAACTGAACATCTTATAACTGTTCATCGTAACTGATCCTCTTAATTGTATATGCCAGTCTGCTAAGATTACTTCCACCCCATACATACCAATTTTCTTTTTCCCATTTTTTTTTTTTTTTTTTTTTTTTTTCTCCAAATTCTTTTCACAGGGCCATACTGCAAACTGATGGAGGGAGACAAGGATAAAATGGAAAGCCTAGTGAACAAAGTAAAGGAAAAATTTGGAAATAAAGTGCAAATCGTGAATTTAAAAATGGACGTAAAAATGCCATTATTTGAAATTTTTTTGCAAGCAAATATTCACACGCAAATAAAAATTTTTCATGCACGAGGAAGAACATTACAATATAGATTACCACCACCGTTCTGGACAAAATGTAAAATTTTAAAAGAAAATAAAATTTTGCAGGAAAAATATGGAGGAGAATGCGCACCTGGGTTATTTCCCAGATATGATGAATATCAAATAATGCAAATTATGACCGAATGTGTTTTTAACGACAAGTATAACTACTATGTGTATGAAGTGAATTTGGAATGGGAAAATTTATGTGCTCTTACCCCTGAAAACAAAGAACTGCGAAAGATTGTTCACCAAAATGTACATGTTCCAACTCGTTTAGCTGTCATCAAGGCATTCGAGCAAGGTAAAACTTCATAACCTTCGGTGTGTTCTCTATGTTAGGAAACTTCACGAATGTTTCCTTTTGTATGATATCGACTGTTTTATTTCTTCTGTTTGAACATCACTAAATCGGTATATCTCTTTGCATATTTTGTATGAATCCATCTCTATACTGCCCCCTTTTTTTTTTTTTTTTTTTTTTTTTTTTTTTCACGTTTAGGAATAGAAGACTTTAGAGATATTATAAGAGAGGAATATCTCATTATGCTTCGTGAAGAGAGAAAGATGAAAGAAAATCGAAGATACAATTTTTAACGTTAATTGGTTTTGACAACTTATTTGAAGTGAAGAACCGCGCGTCCAAAATTTTCACCTAGCATGGGAAAAGATGGGTCATAAAATCGTCCATAAGATTTTTCTTTTCCCATGCATGCTCATCTTATTTCCTTTTTGTTGAAAAATATCTCCTCCAAATGGAAAAAAAAAAAAAAAAAAAAAAAAAAAAAAAAAAAAAACTCTCGTGGGTTATTCCTACCACGAGGGATATATTTGTTCATTTTATTATTTTATTTTACTTTATTTTCATTAAGCTGAAGAGGAAAATACTGGTGAAAGTAATTTTTCCCGCACTAACACTTTCCACGAAACATACACATCAGTACCCCACCACTTTGCACACCACCTTTTTTTGTGTTTACCACCTTTGGCATGTTCAACCCCCCTTTGAAAATAAGACATGTGAACTTTGTGTACATCCTACATTATATGCACATATATATATAAACCTTCCTTATGGCAAAAAAGAGGTAATTTTTAACAAAATGGGTAAAGTTCAGGAGAAAAGCGTATATGTGTGTGTGTGCTGGCTGATTTTACAAGCATTGTTTGCACCGATTAGGTGGCATATATACATACATAAGCATCTTCCCTTTAAAAATAAAAACATAAAATCAGTTCCACCTGCATCACCTGCGCATACTAATTTTCAGCTTTTTCATATATGGTTTATCTTTTCTTCAAAAAGGTATATTATGGGTATGGTATGACAATCTACTCGCTACAACATGGACGAACGAACGGACCTCATAACTTTATCACGTTATGTAAATTAGCACCGTGTTGTGCCACACAAAAGCTTGCAAATGTATATGTACATATATAGCTACACATGTTCATCGTGTGGTAAGAGTAAAAAAAAAAAAAAAAAAAAAAGGGGGTGAGGGTGGGAGGAGGATATATAACTCAACTGTAAGTTAAAAGAATGGAAGAGTGTTGAAAATTTTCCTTTAGTTAATCACAAGATGTTTTTCTTACATGAAATAATTTACCTGCACGTGTATACATATATGTTTTTTTTTTTTTTTTTTTTTTTTTCTTCCTCCATCATTGAAATAAAATTCCTACAAATTGTAACACCTTTTACATGAAAATTTGACAACTTTGGAAAAGAAAAAAGGTAATATGATGTTGAGCGGACATCACGACTACTTGGGAGATGTATGAAACCTATTGTCTTACATGTTCCCCTTTTTCGCTTTCATAAAAAAAGAAAAAAAAAAAAAAAAAAATTAACAGCACTGTTTGTGCGTATTTTTTGTCTGCACATGGTTTAAACATTTGCAAAGTTGCCATGGAACTTTGGGTAGAACCCACTGATGAAAATAATGTGTGAGTTTTGGAAGACCTCACTATTCGTATACGTGTGTGTGTGTGTGTGTGTGTGTGTGTGTGGAGATGTGTATGTTCATGTACTGCTACTAATATGTTACCACTCGTGTTTCTATTTATATAATTAAGCATACACTTTGTGTACTTGCGTTAGCTCATACCCTAGGGGTAGGAGTGTGTGTGTAGGGGTTGCATGTATATGCATAATCCCTACTCTCATCCTCTACTCCTCTCCTCCTCTTCTTGGTACAGTTTTCGCTTCTGTGGAACCACACCAAATAATAGTATGGCAATTAACAAAAGGTTTATAGCATATTTCTTTTAATTCATTTTAGGGGAGAAAGGGTAAAGATGGAATAAAAAAAATAAAATAAAAAACGTTTCACATGTTCGTGCATACACACAAAGAAAACATGTAAACGTGTACCTGGAACAAAAACAGTATGTAATTTGTCATATGTTAATAACATGGGACAAGCATGGCAAAAAAAAAAAAAAAAGAAAAAAAAAGTGTGATATAACTTTTCGAATGTGTATATAAAAAAAAAGGAAAGAAAAGAAAAACAATGCATACAAGTGAAAAATTAAAACCTGGTAAATTTTGTTTTATCACACTATTGTATTTTTTCATTAACATGTTTTAGTTTAAAATTTCATCATCTTTTGCTTCGGTATTATTACATAACTTTTTAACCTGTTTTTTTTTTTTTTATTTTTTTTTTTTTTTTTTTTGCAACTTTCCCGCGTGTTATTTCTTTGGCGTCCCTTTGTCATTTGCCCTTATTGTTTGTTTTGGTTTGTTTACTTTGGTTTATTGGGGTTTAATTTGGTCGTTCACTTTGGTTTGTTCACTTTGGTTTGTTCACTTTGGTTTGTTCACTTTGGTTTATTGGGGTTTAATTTGGTCGTTCACTTTGGTTATCTTGATGGCTTATTTGGATTGCTTTTTTTTTCATCGCCTTATGCTTGTCCGTCCGTTCACCTTTATTGCCCATTTTTATTACCCATTTGGTCACCCATATTTATCACTCACTTTTATTGCCAATTTTCGTCGCCTTTTTTTTTTTTTTTTTTTTTCCGTTTTTGTACCCGGTACCACTAGCACACTTTTGGCATACATATTTACGATCAACATTGGGAGAAATATCGTTGCGCTGAAGTTAAAAAAAAAAGAAAAAAAAAAAAAGAAAAAAAAAAAAAAAGAAATAAATAAACTAATAAATGATCTTCCATACTTAACCCATTGTGCAGCCATATCATTAATGGCGTTTCATTATTGTCAGCATCATCATCATCCTCATATTGCCATTTGTTGATCAAAAAGTAATAGAAACAAAATGAAATTAGCATTTTTCGAGGGATGAACACAAGAAAAAAAAAAAAAAAAAAATATAATAACAAAGAAACGTACACATATGTAATGCAATATATATATGTATATATGCATGTATATATTATGTATGCATATACATAGGAAAACGTACATAGGAACACACATGCAAATACGCACATGAATAAAAAAGGGGAGTAATATACATCAAGGGGTTAACAAGAAGTTTTGCATAATCATATTCTTATCCCAGCGAACGACACACGTAAGCATATTAATTACATTCACATGTTACATCGGATGAGCATCCGTACAGTGTATACATATATGAATATGCACATATAAACATATGCACATATAAACATTTGCACATAAAAGCATATGTACATATATATATATATATATATTAACGCCCGCATAACATTTTTATCCATTTTCATTGAACCACCGTAGGAGAGAAGATTCTGATTTGAGGCACACGTTTCATTTGTTCATACATATCTGTGCGTGTTCTTTCCTTCTCATAGAACTTCTAACCACATTCCTTTTCCTGGGTTAATATGTTTGCCCTTGAAGTTTCATGAAGGTTTACATAGGAATATATGATATTACCAACGTAAGATTAAGCCCAAAATAACAACCTTGAATGAACACTCAACTGAATGAGAATCCATCCGAATGAGAATCCATGCGAATGAGAATCCATCCGAATGAGAATCCATCCGAATAAGAATCCATCCGAATGAGAATCCATCCGAATGAGAATCCATCCGAATAAGAATCCATCCGAATGAGAATCCATCCGAATGAGAATCCATCCGAATGATCAACTGAAGGACAAACGGAAAGACCAACTGAAACGACTAAGCGCACAAGCAACCGAACGAATGAATGCTTTTTTTCTATTTTTTCATTCCTCTCGTAGCATTAATATTTTTCTTTTAAACGTCCTGCAACGTATGCAATTTTTATGAACAATTTGCCCGAACGGTTAAATAAGTATACGTCTTAAAGGGCATTTTTATTTTTATTTTTTTTTTTTTTTATTCATATTATTTGAAAGCAGTTTTGTGATTAGCTGAAAAAGTAAGTTATGATTGTGCATGGATATTTTTCAGGGTGTATACCTATATGGCTGTACGTTGTACTGTTTTTGCACCGAGTTATTTATACACGCATGAGTGCACCTATATACATATATATGTATATATGAATATATATATACATATGTACCCTTGAGTGGACTTAATTATGTATGCATGCGTAGCCACAGTTATGAGAATTCCACAAGAGCTGGATAGGGTGCACTTAATTTTATTCACCCATTATGCACGACAACACATACGTGTAATATATGTGCATACACAAAATATGCATGTGTAAGAGAGATTTAGTAGGACCAAGAGAATTATTTCTTTTTCTATTGGACTTTAATGAGGAATGACTTAGAAGGGGAGAGAGGAATATAACGACACACGCAGATAGTTATAGCTACGCGAGAAAAGAATCACATTCTAATGAGACAGTGGAAAATATTTTTACATTTTTATTTCATTATCTCCGGTCGCAGACAAAATGGGCCTATTAATCAGTAGATTATTTAATCGGCTCTTCCAAAAAAAGGATGTTAGAATTTTAATGGTGGGTTTAGATGCAGCAGGAAAAACAACCATTCTTTATAAAGTCAAATTGGGTGAAGTAGTTACAACCATTCCTACCATTGGTAAGTGAGACACACATCTTCCTTTTGACGATTATTTCTCGAACCCTTTTCCTAATCCAACTGTGCAGTTAGATATGTATCCAAACGTATTGCACCCTGCATGGTCTTCTCCTTATGCTTTCCTCTTTACATTATTTGTAGTGTGTCACCATGGTTTTTCACGTCCATGTTTTTTTTTTTTTTTTTTGTTATGTGTGAATTTTTATTCATTCGTTCGTTATAGTTGTCGTAGTTGCTGCATCTTTAGTTTATTCAATTCGTTTCCCCTTTTTTCTTATATTTTTCATATTCCATCATCACACTTTTCTCAGGTTTCAATGTCGAGACAGTCGAATTTCGCAATATATCCTTCACAGTTTGGGATGTAGGAGGACAAGATAAGGTATTTTTTTTTTTTTTTTTTTTTATTCGCTCACAATTGTAATAATCATGAGCATTGTTTTGACGAAATTATTATAAGAGGCGGGGATATATATATATATATTTATATATTTATATGCACCCCATATATCATAAATGATTATATTTCCTTTTTCTCAGATAAGACCATTATGGAGGCATTATTATTCTAATACAGATGGGCTAATTTTTGTTGTGGATAGCAATGACCGGGAGAGAATTGACGATGGTAGGATAGAGAAAAAAAAAAAAAAAAATTATGAAGTTAAAAAGGGCATGCAAAAAAAAAAAAAATATATATATACAGGCGAAAAATACAAGTCCTGATGTGCATGCACAATACATTTTCCCTTTTGATATATCATGCTTCTCCCATTACCATTTCTGGCATTACTTCCAATATTACTTCCAACATTACTGATGCATCACCTCCATTACCATTTCTTAGCGCGAGAAGAGTTGCATAGAATGATAAACGAGGAAGAACTAAAAGATGCCATAATCCTAGTATTTGCAAATAAGCAAGATTTGCCGAATGCCATGTCTGCAGCAGAAGTGACAGAAAAACTTCACCTGAATACCATCCGGGAGAGAAACTGGTTTGTGCACTCCCTTCATCATTTCATGTTTCAATTTTTTGAGAGTTTGATTTAATTCGTCCCTTTCCCCCATGACATGACTCAAGCCGGATTATGCGAACCACGAGTGGAACACACTTCATTTTAGAAATGACCATTCTTTAATGCATCTCTTCCGTATGCATCTCATCCTTATGCATCTCATCCTTATGCATCCCTTCTTGCCGTTTTTTTGCAGGTTCATTCAGTCGACGTGTGCAACCAGAGGTGATGGACTTTATGAAGGATTTGATTGGCTTACAACTCATTTAAACAATTCGAAATGATGAATGTATTCACTTTCCTCCCTTGCAGTTGGTATATATATATATATATATATATATATATATATATATATATATATATATATATTTCGTTTTTAATGCAAATCATGGGAAAGGGGGAGTAATAAAAGATGAGCTTTTTTTTTTTTTTTATATGTCTGTTCCTTAGCATAATATTATTCGTTTACTTGTACATGCAAAAGAGTAGATGCAAGAAATGATTTTTCCTTCTCCCCTGTTAATGTCGCACACGAAAATAGGTGCACTGAAGAAATTTTTTGTGCATGTGAAAATTCGTCAATTTTGGAGAAAATACCCAGAAAAGAAAAATAAAGCAAAAATAATAGAACGAAAAGCAAAAAAAAAAAAATAAAATAAAATAATAAATAAATAAATAAAACAAAAATAGAGAAGCAAACAAACAAATAATCAGAACAATGTAGAAGAAGGGAAAGTTCAGTGGCGCCAGCACAATATTTGGGTTAACGGAACGATCAACAAAGTGACATAAAATTGTTCATAATATATATATATATATATATATATGTACACACATTTTTAATTTTGTGAAGATTTCCAGACTAGCTACTTGTGCAAAAAGATCTTTTATTAACCCCCCATTTCTACTGTGAAGTGTTAGGAACTGTTATGCAAAGGTGTGGCATTCTGCAGTTCATTTGCAATCCGAAGGTGCTAACATATGAACATAAGAACAGCATCTACCTGTCTATTTGTGCGTTACATTTTGTGCGTGTATTTCTTTATCGAACCTTTATGCATCCACAGATTCAATCCCTTTTTTTTTTTTTTTTTTTTTTTTCTCCCTCCATACATGCAATTGTAACTTTTTCTTTTTGTTGTTTTACGCACCTTGTCTGTGCATACGTGCGTTATAATAAATTTCTGAACAAGTGAAGCACTCAAACGAGAACATGTAGTTGTAGCCATGCAAAATTGTACGTCCACCTACACCATCACCATCACTACTACATGACACATATATATATATATAGATAGATGTGTATGTCCCTTTTATACTCCTTGAATTTTATGTGTCTCAATGTGTGATTATCAAAATAGAACAAAAAAAACATGTATGAAATTGGGTTTATATAAGTGCTTACATGCTCATATATACATACACAATATATATTTATGTTTATATTTGCATATTTATATCATCTCCTTGCATTTTTTTTTTTTTTTTTTTTTTTTTTTTTTGTGTGTGTGTGTTTTTTTTTTTTTTTTTTTTTTTTTTTTTTTTTTTTTTTTTTTTTTTTTTTTTTTTTTTTTTTTTTTTTTTTTTTTTACCCTGTTACAAGCATATTTTAAAAAAAAAAAAAAAAAAAAAAAAAAAATTAAAAATGCTTTTATTATTTTCAATACCAAATTTGATTAAAAATATTCACATATAGGAAGTGCAGATGAGGTGGATGCAAGAGAAAATAATATGAAATCATAAATGATGATTGAAGATAACCAAAGTGGGGAAACTAACTTTGTATGTAAAAATTGCTGGAGAAAAAGGTAAAATATGATTTTTGTGACAGGTGTGTATTAGGGTCGTAAAATATTATCTGTGAAGAGGTAAAAGAAAATTGATGTGGGAATTTTCTATTTTTTTTTTTTTTTTTTTTTTTTTTTTTTTCCACCCCTTAAACGCAACTGTATATATTATAACACGTATTTATGTATTTTTAAATGAACACACAGTGGCCTTCTTTTGCTTCTATGCGTAAGTATATTAAACACATCACAAGTACAAAAACATATATAAACGTTTTGAAGTTGAGAATCTCATCATCTGTTCACGATGGCTGGTTGTGCACCAATAAAAGTGAACCTTGCAAATTCAGCAGGGTTCAGAGAAAAACAAAAATAATAAAAAATAAGGACAAAATATGAACAAAATATGAACAAAATAAGGACAAAATATGAACAAAATAAGGACAAAATATGAACAAAATATGAACAAAATAAGAAAAAATGCAAAACAAAATAATTGTTAGCCATGAAAACAGACTATACAGACGTGTTCATAGAATTGGGGTTGTAAAGCGCTATGATTTATTTCCTTGCTAGCGGAGAGATATCTGGGTGGATGAAAGTAGATTAGGGAAAATGTTTGTGCACTTTTTGAACCTTTTTCATGGAGAATACTACTCTTTCCAAGGTGTGAACTTTTCCGTATGGACAAACCTTGCTATTACACACGCAGACACGTTTGGGAACACTTCACATCATGTGTTATATATATTATGTCGTTTGTCTAAGCTAGTCTAAAGAAATATCTGCATGATGTCTCTTTCGATAAAAGCAGATAAGTCGTTCATAAATCCTGCAGCGTGAGAACCGTAAATGTGTCTGTGATCACAAGCTAAGGTCATCATCATACCCTTTTGGATTTTGAAATCTTCTAAATTTTCAATACTCCCAATGTTGGTACCAACAGACAGGATACACGACGCGTTTTGTGGCAATATCGCGTCGAATTGGTAAGTGTTGAACATGCCAAGGTTCGAGATATAGAAGTTGCTTCCTGACATTTCATTTGAGGTTAGCAGACCCCCTTTGCCCTTTTCGACAAGCTTCTGCGTGTGCAAAAAATTGGAAAAAAAAAAAAAAAAATATTATCATTTGTCTGAACAGCTAGCGCTATCTCGCACAAATCGTATGACCTGTTAATACAATTTTGCACAACTTATGGACGCTAGCTAGCGCAGAATTTTTTTTTTTTTTTTGCTAACCTTCCACTCAGTGGCCAAAGTATATATGTCCTTTTTGTCAACCTGCTTGAGGACAGGAGTTAAAAGTGAGTCCTTCAACCCAAGAGCATTCCCTATATTGACATCCTTGTTGATTAATATTTTTCCATCATCTTTATCAATGAATGTGGAAAACATGATGGGATGTTTCAATAATACTGTGGATACACATTTGCTTAATATAACAGTCATGCTAATTTTCTCTTTAACTTTTTCAAATAATTTAAGTAGTGCAGTTGTTTTAATCAAATGCGTTATACGAAAAACGGGAATACCTAACGTACGCATCATATTGTTTTTTATTGACTTTTGAACTTTGGTTAATTCGATAATATTTTCTTCATCACTGGTGATTCCTCTTGTCCTCTCCAAGTGTGCAACCACGTCTTCGTATGTTATGCGATCCGATGCGTTAGATGTTCTGTGAAGAAGAGGTGAAATGGTGTGTTCTCGTATGCATCTCCCCAACTTTTTCTCCCTCTCTCTTTCTCTCTCTTGCTTGCTCTCTGTGTCCATGTCAATATCGAGTGGAAATACCCATTCACACTTACTTAATATCATTTGGAGTTAACTTATTTTGTTTCATCAACTCAGCTGCAGATGGCAACACGATTTTGGTCTCTCTTGCTTTCTGAAGTGGAGTAAAAAAAAAAAAAAAAAAAAAAAAAAAAAATGAAAAGAATGGATGATGAAAAATTTAAGGATAATACTTTTACGTAACATAAAATGACCCATATCCCGTTTCTTTAACATTGTGTTATGATTAAAACTATGGAAAATAACGGGGTGCACATTTACTTTGTTCTATTTTGTGTTTTATACATACCACATCTACTTCATCAGTTTCTTTGCTATCCTTATTGACACCCGATCTGAAGAATTAAAGTTTGATTGGATAAATAATAATATCGTTAGGTTATAGTTCCAACATTTTGTTGTAGATACAAAAAAAAAAAAATGTATTCTCTTTGTTGTGATTCTAACCTGAACAAGTCACTTGAAAGATTCTTGTACTTGTCCCAATTCAGTTGTAGTCTTTCTGCCAAGATTTGTTCATCTGTTGCACTGCCAGGAGGGAAAAACAGATGAGAGGAGGATAGAAGTGGCAATAGGAATAGATACAGAAGTAGCGATAGATGCAGCAATAGACGTATCGAACTAGTAGGGGATGTTCAATAATTGGTAAGAGGGACCAATGGAAGAAAGCAATATGAACGTGCATCTTTTTTTTTTTTTTTTTTTTTTTTTTTGTAAACGGATCCATAGTATACACAAAAAAGGAACTAAACAAAAAGCGATATGAAAGTCGAAACATTTTTACCCCATATTTTGTAGTAATGATTCTCCTTCTTTGGTACGACTAACCGATTCTTTAAAGTGTCTCACGATATTTTCTTCGTTTATGGATTGGGTGTTGTTCCTGAGTATTTTTGAAAAGTAAAAAAATTGGGGAATTTGAAATTCGTGCAAAAATGGAAATGTAAAATACTGATTGGTCAAAAATTTCAGCGGTGATATAACAGAAAGGACGATAGATTTTTCCAGTTGATGGAGACTATGAAAAAAGATTCAAATGTCTCAATGTTTTTTTTTTTTTTTTCTAACAGTATTTCATCGACATATGTCTTTTCTTTTTGCCTTGGGGTTTCATCCGCTGTTTGGATTTTTTCTCCCTATATTTGAAGAAAATGGAAAATAAGATAGAAAAGATAAGAAAAAGAAAAAAAAATATATATACATATATATATATACAATGTGGTTAGGTGAAAACGTAATATGATTCGGTATTATCCCGATGTGATAATTGGGTGAAGGATGTCCCAGTGATGTACCAGACCCCCAAATGAGTGCGTATCATACTTTTTTAATGGAAATGATGGCAACCGGCTTATCCAAATCGGCAAATTGTCCTTGTTTAACTAGTATCTTTTTGACAATGCCTTCAGAGGGGAGAAGTGGGAGAGCGTTATTGAGAAGGCACGATTGAGAAGGCATGATTGAGAAGGCACGATTGAGAAGGCATGATTGAGAAGGCATGATTGAGAAGGCACGATTGAGAAGGCATGATTGAGAAGGCACGATTGAGAAAGCACGATTGAGAAGGCATGATTGAGAAGGCACGATGCCCACAGAATTCAACAAATGAACTAACCGGAGTAAGGACTTTCGACTTCTATGGTGCTCTTGTCATCTTCAACGTGAAAAAGAATCTCGTTTCTATCTATATAATCGTTTTCTTTGCGAGTCCATTTGTTTATCCGTGCCCTATTCCTCTTGCTGCTTACAAATGGGACAAATATATTTTTTTCATCTGTTTTTTTTTCTTCCTCTTCTGCTTCTTGGGCTTCTGTATGGGTTACATCTACCTCTACCACACTTCCTACATTTGGCTCCTCTGAATTTTCCGAGTTGGTTAACCCCATTAAATCACTATTTTGTGAATCTATTTTTTCATTCTCTTCAGTGGTTAGGATTCCTAGGACATCCCCTACATTCGCTTCACATCCGTCTTCCATGTTTTTCATTCGCAGGAACCCTGTCAGGCAAGGTAAGATAAGATAAGGCAAAGGGTGGGGTGTGTATGTGGATGTATGTATAACTTTGTATGACTTGGCTTGTGTGTTTTTCCCAAGTTTGGCACATCTCTCCAAAGGTGATCCCTTACCTTCATCAAATGCCTCTACGTCCATGTCTGCCTTGTCGCTTTCTACTGTCATGATAATATCTCCTATCTGAAAGGGTTAAAAGTTCATGCGTAAGAAGTGAAAAAAACCGTTCTTGCGTAAGAAGTGAAAAAAACCGTTCTTGCGTAAGAAGTGAAAAAAACCGTTCATGCATAAGAAGTGAAAAAAAACGTTCATGCATGAAAAGTGAGAAAAAGAGTTCATGTGAAAGATTTTTTCATAAAATGGAAAAAAACTGATGGTGGACAAGACTCAGATGTGTATTCAAGCGCATGTGTAACAGATTAATTGTAAACAGGAGGTGTGTAAGTTGGGGACATATGAAAACACTAAGTGGGGAATACATGTCACATATGGGGTGTTGGCATGTATGTATGCATGTAGATAAATATACATACACATATATATATGTGTGGAGATTCTCTGTCGAATGAGCAAATCCAGCTTTTTTCTTTTTATTTTTTCCCCATTTTTACACACATTGACATAATCCCCGACGTGCTTATTCCATTTGACAATTTTTCCTGAAGTCATGGTGCTAGATAATGCTGGCATCTTTATCTCCACCTGAGAAAACAGAACCCCTTTTCTGTTTCTCATCTGTTTGTTACTTTTTGTAACCTTTGGAAAGTTCACAAAATATAGGAGCCCATGCTTGTCGTTCAGGGATATGCATGTAGAAATTCTCAAGCAGAGGGTAAAGATGAATAAATAGAATAACATTGTTTTGTTCATGCTTTATAACTATGCATGAGCATATTGCACGTGTGCGTGGTGTGGTGTGTCGCTTTGAGTTGTGCTGTATTTTCCGTTGCGTTGTATTTTCCGTCGCGTTGTAATTTCCGTTGTGAATCTCCCTGATGCAGAAAGCAAAGTATTCACGAATCAGTTGAAGAAGCAAAAACCAATGTGTCAAGATGATAACCAATCGGATTTCACGTTTTTCAAAAGTATTTCAGGTGGTGCCTGTTATCCCCTTGTTATAACTACCCGGGGGGAAAAAGCACATATAGGAGGGGAGTGTGGAGGAGAAGTATTTCGAATAATAAAAGAAAAAAAATGAAATAAAATAAGTTTAAAAAAAATTTGAAACGTTTTTTGAATTGACGAATTGTAAAGAAAAGTATAAAAAAAAAACAATTCCAAATGAAATATAACATAGTGGTAGCAACATAATAAGGCTTGTACAAACTGAGGTGTGGCGACGCGATTGAAATGGTTACGAAAAAAAAAAAAAAAAAAAAAAAAAAAATTTAAAAGTTAAAAAGGGTAAACAGATTAGTGCGCAAAATCGACTAGTAAACCAAACGGGTTAGTAAACCAAACAGGTTAGTAAACCAAACAGGTTAGTAAACCAAACAGGTTAGTAAACCAAACAGGTTTGTGAACCAAACAGATTGTTCATAAGGAAAACACGTTGAACAGAAGAAAAAAAATGAAATATATAATAAAACATGAACAAAGGAGCATGTGGTTAAATTTGTATTGCATCAGTTGATGGCACTGTCCTCCGGGGAGATATCTGTATCGTCGTTTGTCTTGACATTGATTTGTTTTCTTTTTGGAATTTCTGCGCGGGGTTGAATTGGGGATACGCATGTGGGGGTGCGCAGCACATGTGCACGATTCATACGTGCAATGTAGAGGTGTTCGCATATGTAGAAGAGCATGCATACGTATGTACATCTCAACATGCATGCATTTATATTCATGGAACATAAAATGACGCAATTATACATGGACTTTAACACATGCATGCGTGGCACTTTTGCACAAATAAAAAGAAAGGACAAATTTGGAGAATGTTTGAGTAGTCTCTCTTACCGGTAAAATTAAATTCACGCATGAGAGTTAATTTCTCCTTTTTGTGTTTTTTTTTTATTGCTTTTGTATTTTTCTCTAACTCTTCCGTATATTCATCTGATGGGAATTCTACTTGTTGAGCTCGTTTTTTCTTTTTCTGCATCTTTTGGTTGAATTGAGCGTCCACTTGTTTTTCTATTTCCTTTTGCATTACATCCTGCGCGGGTAGGGGGTGAAGGGGATACAGATGGTTGTTGTAGATAGAAAATGAATGATAGCATAAGAAGATACAGAAACGCACGGGTGACTAAATAAGAAGAAAGAGAAACGCACGGATGATTGAATAAGAAGAAAGAGAAACGCACGGGTGATTGAATAAGAAGAAAGAGAAACGCACGGATGATTGAATAAGAAGAAAGAGAAACGAACGGATGATTGAATAAGAAGAAAGAGAAACGAACGGATGATTGAATAAGCAGATAGAGAAACGAACGGATGATTGCATATGCAGATACGTGTACGAATGAACGGGTGCATAAACAAACGATCGCGTGGGTGAGCAAAAAGAAGTGTGGAAAAATGTGCATTCTCGCGTCCGAGTTCGAAGCAACTTAGAACCCGATCAAGGGTAGTCGCTTCTGATCAGTTCCGATCATGTCTAATCGGTTTCTATCACGTCTAATCAGTTTCTATCACGTCAAATCGGTTTCTATCACGTCTAATCGGTTTCTATCACGTCTAATCGGTTTCTATCACGTCTAATCGGTTTCTATCACGTCTAATCAGTTTCTATCACGTCTAATCAGTTTCTATCACGTCTAATCGGTTTCTATCACGTCTAATCAGTTTCTATCACGTCTAATCAGTTTCTATCACGTCTAATCAGTTTCTATCACGTCTAATCAGTTTCTATCACGTCTAATCGGTTATAATCAGTTCTCATCTCTCACTTACCTTCAAGAAGGTGTAGAACCTGTGGATAATCTTCCTCAAGACAGCACCGGTTTGATTCACGTTGATACTTATTTCGAGAGAAATCTCTTGACAGCTCTTCTTCTGGAAGGATACAGCATACAGAATTGTGTATTCTAAAAAAGTAAGATCAATGGGTACTTTCCTGAAAAGAATTAAGTTCGCGATTGCATTCATTAGATGCAAGATATCACAAATTGGTTTTGATTCCATGACGAACCGCTTTAGCCTGCATATATCATTTGGGTGAAAGAAGTAGAATAAATTTTCCTTCTTTAACAAATCGTTGTCATAGAAGCATCCGTAGTCTTCACTTTCTTCTTCTTTATATGTGGCTTCAGATCTTCGTCCATTTATTATTGATTTTTGATCGTCCCCCTTTGCAACTGCTCCCTGCTCCCTCGATAATAAAAGCTCCTCTTGCGTGGGATTACTCAAGATGATTGAATTGTTGTGCAACAAATTGAAAACGACAAAAGATTCCAATTTATTGAATGCATATGGTAATAAATTACAAAATGTTCTTACAAAATCCAGGTAAAAGTTTGTGAAAATGTTCTTTAACTCCTGATTGATATGCTTCAGCATGAGTATGCTAAATTCTCCTGTTATTTCGTTCCTCTGTTGCTTTAAGAATACGGGTATGAAATTATTTTTCTGCCAAAAGATGAGAAGCCCCTTTGTCAGCCCGAAGCAGGTGCCAATGTAATCTACTTTCTTCAACTTGTCATCTAGGAATATGTGTCCCCCACTTTCGTTGGTTCGTCCACTTTGACTTTGACCTCGATTTTCGCCCTGATTTCCCACACTGCAATTGTAGAAAATGACGTTCTCCCTGTAAGGCACACTTTCTTTTCTTCCCTTTGCATTGTAAAGATTGTAATAATGGAAAAGCTTGTTCAGGAAGTTCGAACCATAGTTTAGGTTCTGTATGGATGGATGAATTGAGATTCGTACTATTCTTATTCCAATATAATTGTAGAAGTAATAGTCGAAATGGGCACTGATGAGGTAGGGCATCAGATTCCCTTCGAATTCGTTCAGCATATGATTATTTCTCTCTCGCATTTCAGCTGTGTCTGGGTGTACAGGTTCTTTTTTTGCTTTTTCATTTTTCATGGAAATGTTTTCCTGCCCATTTTGGTGGTATTTTTCCTGCCCATTTTGGAGGTGATTTTTCTGGGCACTTCCATTTTTGACACCATTCTCCCTCTGATGCGCATGGCTGGATCGCACAAGTTCTGCAATGTTCTCGAGCTTTACCAACTTCTTCACCTTCTGAGGGTAGACAATACCATCAATTGCACAATGAATGACTCCGTAAATATCTATTTGATCAACTGCATCTGGAGATATATCAACTGGATCTACGAGACCACTTATAAGCACGAACAAATGGTGCTGCTGTGAATCTAGAATCATGATTAAATCATTTGGTGTATTTTTATAATGTGATGTAACAAATAAAGTCATAATTTTTTTCAACAGAAGTTCACTAGTTTTGCTAAAACTTTTAAAAACATTTTTATTAACAAAATATAATTGACAATTGGATGGAGCACATAGTGCATGATTCAATTTATATGTTTCATTACAATTTAGACAAAGGAAATTATTAAGCCATGCTTCTACTTTATCATTGTAACTATAACGTATTGGTGTGTTGAGACTGACATCAATAAATGCTTTATCAAAATAGAGATATTTCATTTGTTGGAATTCACTATACGTCAATTGTGTGACAAATTTTTTTTTCAATTGTTTAAGTAATTTAAAAATAAAAGTTTTTCCTGTTCCTTCATAACCATTTAGAGTTGTAGACAATATTGTAATTTCCCCTTTTATTTTATGTTTTAATATATCTATAGGTATACATGCTGCTTCATCAATTATCATGAGTTCAGAATTAACAATTTCATCTTCTAAAATGTTGAAATAACGTATTCTTTGTTTTATATGTGTTATATTGCTTAAATCTTTGAAAATAATTATTTCTTTTAATTTTCCTAATTCGTAAACTTTTTCAAAATGTAGAAATTCTTTGTATCCAAGAAGTTCAAGGCCTTTATCAATGAATTCATAAATTGTTTGCATCCCCTCGCTATTACCTGAACATAAAATAATATTTGTGTATTTAAAATAGATACTTAATGCGATTAGTAATCCTAAAGTAGCTGATTTTCCTCTTCCTCTATTTGCCAAGAGATTCAATAAAATTTCTTTTATGTTTTTTTTTTTTTCCTCATCATTTCTTAATATCTTGCACATATTCACCAAGATGTTAAGCTGATCGATGCTCAGGCAAATTCGTAAGAGGTTCATGATTCTTTTGTTCAGAAATGAGTACATATTGGTTTCTTCCTTCCCCTTCAGTAAAACACAAGAGGGGGGAACCTCCCCAGGATCTTTCCCCAGTTCTGCTTCTTCACCAGCTGATCGATTCCTCTTATTGCTAAGTTTTCCATCATAAAAGCGAGAGGAATGGAGAAACATCCTACTTTCTTCTTCCCTTTTCTCATTCTCTTCACACACAGATTCGAGAAAGCTAAGTTTTTGTTCCAATTCTTGTGTATCTGGGGAGAGATATCCCCCCAATGTGTTTGACAATTTACTTCTAGACTTCACTTGATTGTTGTCATGGCACAGTTGTGTGATTCCATAATTTTCCTCCTTATGGTTCTTCTCACATCTAACATGGATGGGATCACTATTTTGTGCGTTGGTATTTTTTTCTTCTGGAGTAGAACCCGTTGCTGACAATTTTTTGATGTGCAAATGGTTCTCATTCAGGGGAAGTATATTCATTTCATCATCAATGAACATTGCATTGTGGCACTCGTTAAGAGAAAGAAAAAATCTAGTGATATAATTATTATATACATTAGAAATTCCGCTTTGCGTGTATTTTTTGTGACAATTTAAAGTTAAATTGTAAATATCTTTCAAATCATCTAACTTGTTTATGAGAAAAATAATGATTCCTCCTCCAACTACGGTTTCTATACATCTACACAAGATATTTGGTGTTATGTAGGAGAAGTCTTGCATAACACATATAGAATAGGTTTTCCCCAACACCTTTTTTGTTTCATTATAAAAACAGAATCTAATGTTGGCACTTTTTAAAAACGCATCAAAATTGTTATCGATCGTTGTATCAAATGTTCCTTTCTTTATTTTCTTCTTCATTTCACGAAACCTTTTTTTCTTGCTTGTAGAAAAATCTAGCTTTTTTTTGTAGCACCACAGTATGCTGTGGGTTCCACTAGACAATCTGTTCAGAAGGAAGTAAAAATTCACAACTATGTTTTTCCCTTGGTCTCCTATAACCAGAAACATGGTTCTCTGCCCTAGCAGCACATTGTTCTCCACCAGCGTTTTTATTCTGCTGTCCACTTTTTTCTTCATACTGATGGGGGTTGCAGTTCAGATGGGTGACAATTCAGAAGGGTGACAATTCAGATGGGTTGCAGTTCAGATGGGTGACAATTCAGATGGGTGACAATTCAGATGGGTGACAATTCAGATGGGTGACAATTCAGATGGGTGACAATTCAGATGGGTGACAATTCAGATGGGTGACAATTCAGATGGGTGACAATTCAGATGGGTGACAATTCAGATGGGTGACAATTCAGATGGGTGACAATTCAGATTGAACCGGTTTGTGCAAAAAAAAAAAAAAAAAGAAAAAACACAAATCGTAATTACATATATGCATATACATATGTACACAACTCGGCGTGCATCTAACAGTAGGAACAAGGTTACATGGTGGATTCTTTAAAAACATGGGTTTTTTTTATTAATGCAATAAAGTGAAATGGACGCAAAGAGATGCACCCTCTCTCCCTCCTCCACCCAATTAGGCAACCAAAATTAGAAACTCCAAAACAAATATGAACAAGGGTGTATCAATACCAGCAGTGCATGTCAAAACGAGGGAGTTAGCCGTGCCTCCGGAATATTTCAACACGAGGTCTCTGCCTCGAACGAATCGTTGCTCGCACCGGAGATGTGCAGGTATCTATCAAATGGGGAAATGATGGAAAAAAGGAGAAAAAAATATAAAAATATAATAAATAAAAATAATAAAATAAATAAAAATAATAAAATAAATAAAAATAAAAAAATAAATAAAAATAATAAAATAAATAAAAATAATAAAATAAATAAAAATAATAAAATAAATAAAAAGCAAGCACTAAAAGTTGAAAAGCAAAAAGCAAAAAGCAAAAAGCAAAAAAAATATAAGTCCACCCGTTAAGCTTCTACAAAATATTATTTTAATCGTTTCTTTTTCTAAAGGCATAAAATAGTTGGGATATGGTTTATATAAAAAAAAAAGTGGCAAGCAACAACTCTTTTTTCGTGGAAAGTTTGCCTCAGGGGTAGGAATTTAAAATTTAATTTATTCCGTTACATTTCGCTTGGTAAGAAAAAAAAAAAAAAAAAAAAAATACGTGAAAATAAATGCGAGGAAAAAAAAAAAAAAAAATAGTGCTAATGGTGTTTTTTTTTTTTTTTTAAATAGTGTAAAAGTGTTAACTGTAAAAAACGGGTAAAACAGGAAATGTTGTGGGTATGTACACCACATTTAAAAAGGGGAGAAAATGAAAGGAAGCTAAAAATACGTCAAATTAAGTGACATCTCTCATGTACACGTGTAGAGGGAGGGGATGATAATTAAAAAAAAATGGAAAAAAAATAAAAAAAATGGAAAAAAAAATAAAAAAAAAGTAATAAAAATGTAACAAAAAGGTAATAAAATGGTAATGAAAGGGTTCTAAAAAAAAGACTCTAAAAAAAGGGGTTGCAATATTTGATTAGTTTTTTCTCATGTTAGTGCAGCATAACTGAACATAGGCTAATTATTTATTTTATTTTTTTTTTTTTAAAAACCAGATTATGGCAATCCATTGTGATGACGGCACTACTATCTCTCTCTCACAAAATGGGAAATGCATGAAAACGTTTTCATATAAAAAGAGTTATGTGTGCTAGTGCTTGGCCTATTTGTTAATGGTGCATTTTCCATTCCCCTCGTTTGGGTGTGCATATAAACCCTGTCACGTAAGCCTGTGCACGTATGTAAATCCATGCATGTGCTTAAATGTGGTTATATTTACATATATGCATGTGCATACACACATAGGAATGTATCTGTTGGATATCGTCTCGTTCCAAAGCAAAAGTAACTATAGCAGCATGCAAAATAAGATGAAATGGAGAGATCACGCGTCTCAATGGATGCTTCCGACATGATGGATGACACACCTAGTTCGAGATAGGGCATGTTTTCTGAATTAATGGAGGTGTTGCAATTGGAAGGAGAAGAAAATGACATCTTTTTCAAGTTATATTTACAGCATTCTTGCATAATTAGGTAGCTATATTAGCTACTTACCCCTGGCACTGTCACTACTTAACATACCAGTCTCGGGCCACGCTCTAAGCACCCGTGTTCATGGAGAAAATGGAGAGGAGAACGCAGATGGAAGAAAAACCTGGTCGAAAAAGTGCACCAACATCTTGTGACTCCGATAGAGAAATGTTACGTTAATATTTTTTGCCACTTTTCTATAATACAAGGAATATATTTCTTCATTAAAGAGGATGAGGTTATTTACATGCACAAGAGTATCTCGGTGCTTATCATTAAATGTAAGTACTGTTTTCTTTTCCCCAATCATGTGTGCATTAACAAGTCCATCGTTTGAGGAGCTCAATAGGATAGAATCAAAAACCTTCAAGCTGTTTCGACAATCTTCTTTTGTCTCTCTCTCGAAGGCACCACATAACCAGAGTATTTTATTTTCCCTTCGCACGTTCTTAAGTATATTTTTGATCGTGCGATATCCTATGTTGTGCGAACAAGCACTGACGTGCTGGGGGGACCTCGTGGTGTCTCCTCTCTTCTCTGAATCGGTCTCGGGGTCCCGGTTCCCGTTCCCGTTCCCTACATCGCCATCTGCATCTACCGCTCCTTCTACATCTACCGCTCTTTCTACATCTACCGCTCCTTCTACATCTACCGCTCCTTCTACATCTACCGCTCTTTCTACATCTACCGCTCCTTCTACTTCATTTTGCTGCCTCTCCCAATGGGAACAGCCTACTGGTCGGTGGAACTGCGAACCCCTCGTGGTGCTTCTTCCTTTTGCAAATCGATGTCTATACCTTCTAAGGAAATTCTTCATACTGGCCTGTATTATTTGTTCATAATTCTTATATGGGAAACGACAGTATATAGGGATGGGCACAGATGGCGCAGATGTGGTGGCAGAGTTGCAGTTCAATCGGATGGTGGGTTCATTAGGGTATACATACATATCATATGGGAAATGTAAATTAATTTTGTATTTTTTGCACAGTCTTATAATATTAAATAAATTAATTCGTAGAAGAAGCAGTAGATCCTCTGGGAACTGTCGTGTGTCAAATATTTCTACTTGGAAATAGCTGACAGTGTGATGATCCTCCCGGTTAATCTTTTTATTTGTTGATTTTCCAATGGGGTGTTTGATTCCACAGAATGAAACGTAAAGACGGGGTGGCCCAGATGTTGCCTCTTCTCTGCCTCTTTCGCTTTTTCTTCCTCCCGCTTCTGCATCTGCTTCTTCCGCTTCTTCCGCTTCTACCGCTTCTTCCGCTTCTACCGCTTCTACCGCTTCTTCCGCTTCTACCGCTTCTTCCGCTTCTACCGCTTCTACCGCTTCTTCCGCTTCTACCGCTTCTACCGCTTCTACTTCTGATGGAGGTACGGTTTTCCCCTTCTTTGATTTCCTCTCGGATGCACGGCCCAGTAAAGTGCCCGTGTCATACATAAAAAAAAGAAATAAAAAAAAAAGGGGGCCACATATATACACATCTGAGATCTTTAAAAAAATAACAAAATTTAGAAGCTTAAGCCATTCCACTATCTCTACCAAGTTAGATATATCCAAAACATGATTTTTTATGTTTGGAGATATTATGCATATGTATTTTGTTCCAGTTGGTCTATTTGTTAATTCTACTGTTGTGACATTAATTGTGTCGTTGTTTATTTTTCTTTCTTTTTTCAATTCAGAATAGCTGGTGACATTTTCTTCTTCAGATGAAAAGATATCAGCGTCACATGAAAGGGGAATTTTTCCCAAAAAATTTGCCTTGCTGTTCATATCATTTTGTATATCTAAGCAATGTACTATTTTTTGCATTACATCCAAAATGCGATATTTTTTTCTACATACATAATTGTCGTATAAGAAATAACTAGGATGCTGTGTAACTTCTTGTTTATATAGTTTATCTATCTTTTCAACAGAGAAGATGTTAAAAATGAAAGGAATACAATGGATCATTTTTCTTGATTCATAACTCATCTGTACATTTACCCCCTCAGGTAGGTGTAGCCGCTTTATCTTGTCTGCCATCTCTTCATCGTCCATAATGTATGTGCAAATCTGCAATATTTCAAACATCTTATAGAAGTGGTAATTCGTGCAAGTGTACGTTCCTCTTCCATCGATTCGGTTCTCCACTGATTGCCCCTCGAGTATCCCTGCTTGGATGCGTTCATCCCTTTCACGACCTTCATCTTTGCCAACTTTGCCAACTTTGCCATTTTTGTCAATTTCGTCATTTTTGCCAACTTCGCCATTTTTGCCAACTTCGCCATTTTTGCCAACTTCGCCATTTTTGCCAACTTCGCCATTTTTGCTATTTTTCTTTTTTGTTTTATTTTTTTTTTCCCTTTTTTTTCTTCTGTCCGTTTCTCTTTCCCCCGTCTCGTTTGGCTCATCATCACTCAAGTGCGAGTCCTTGTCTCCTTCCTTTTCCTGTTGCTGTTCCTCCTTTTCTCCTTGTGTCCCTTTCGTTTCCCCTTTGTTCGTTTTTTTCTTCCTTTGCGTGTTCGATATATCTGCTGCCAAGTCATCTGCTGCCAAGTCATCTGCTGCCAAGCCATCTGCTGCCGATCCATCTGCTGCAAAATCATCCACTAATGACTTAGTAGGGCATCCCATCTCTTTTGATTCCCCCTGGATCCTCTTCTGAACCAACAAATGTAAACGATTCTTCAATCCTACTTCTACCGATTTGCAGTGCCGTTCATATAGAACCTGTGCTAGCATCTGGCTATCGGAGACGAAAAAAATGTTTCCATTTCTCCCCTCCCTTTGTTCAGTTCCTACTTCTTCAGAATTCGTGTCGTTATTCTTCTGATGAGCGAACCAACAGCTAGTGTAGTCTTCGTCAACTTTAAAATTTTGGAAAAAGTTGTCACGAACTCTATCGGGAGTGTCATAAGGAGCAACATAAGGAGCAACATAAGGAGCGACATAAGGAGCGACATAAGGAGCGACATAAGGAGCGACATAAGGAGCGACATAAGGAGCGACATAAGGAGCGACATAAGGAACCTCATCAGGTACACCATAAGGAACTCCGCTGGTAGCACCAAAAACCTTTTCGCACAGCAAATATATATCCATTTCATCCTTTACAAAATGCAACTCATAGTTCAACTTGGCCTGGGTCGAAATGAACTCTCTAATATATGAAAACACAAATGAGTGGAAAATCTTCTTAACGAATTTCATTGCAAATGGGTATTCATCTTCCCGAATTAGTTCTTCTACTTTCTCCACTTCTGAAGAAACTTGATCTCTCTGAATGTCCATAATAAAGAACACATTTCTTACTTTTTGCTTTATGCATAGAAAAACGGATGAAAGGAAATAAAATATAAGTTCCTTAATCTGATTAACCTCTTCGTTCTTGGCATTTCGTTTATATAACGAGTGGATATATACAACTATGTAACGAAATAAGGGCATATTCATATGTATAAAAATGTTTTCTTGGTCTGATGTGAAATAAGCGAATGTCTTCTCCCTTAAGATCAGATGAACAAAATGGATAAGATTAAAATATCGACATAGATAAAAGGCGTGCGAATTGATTAATGCATTTTGTTCATGTATCATATTTAGAAGTGTGATAACATAGTTTTCCATTACAATATTTGGAAATTTCTTCACAAAGTTATTGTGAAAGATGTTTTTAATATGATTCAGAAGATGTGATTCATCAGTTATGGGTTCTGCTGCTCCAATGGTGGGTTCTTTTTTCCCCTTTTTGCATTTTGCATCTTCCTCCTTAATCCTCTTTGACACAAGCTTGGTCAAATTTGCATCTTCCTCCTTAATCCTCTTTGACACAAGCTTGGCCAAATTTGCATCTTCGTTCGTAAGACCTCTTTTCCAATTATCACCATTCCCTTGAATTTGTACTCCTTTGTTTTCTACTTTAAAACGGACATACTCTCTAACCAAATCGGTTATGTATTCTTTAACCGTTTCGTTAAGTAAGGTGCTACAAAAATTTCTCTCATGCAAAGCAGATGTGGAAGTGGTACTGTGCCGTTTGGGGAAGTTACTAACAATGCGTGGATTCTTTTCTGAAAGTACATTACCATTCTGTTCTCCTTGTTTATCAATCTGATTCGGCATGGTCTTTTCGACACAGTTTCCACGCCTTGTGCATTGTAAAAAACTTTCTTCTTTGTTCACTTGCGGGATGAAGGGAAAGATGTTCCTCTTATCATTACTATCCAGATGTGTAATTTGTATTCTCGAAAATCTTAATTCGTCGTCCTGCGAATAAGGAATGTTAACTAAGGAGAAAATTCTCCCTTTGGTGTATCTAAAAAAATTGTTTATTTTATTTGTTAAAAGACTATCAGAATGTTTACTGTCACAATGAGGACAATTTGTAAAGTCTGAATTGTTCAATATTGAAACGGTATGATTATAATGCATACAACTCCTTTTCGAGAAATTCTTAAAATGTGAAATTTCATCTAGGGGTTGAGTAAGATGGTTGTGTATCGATTCAAAAATGACACTTTCATCACTATTTTCCAATTTTGGAATAGTAGGTATATTTATATTTCTCCCTTCTTCAAAATTCACGGATGATTCTGTTGTGAAATTATTCGGTGTGACACATTCGCACGTCTTGTTTTTTTTCTCCATTTCGAGAAAATTTTGTTTCATCGTGTCCTTATCGTTCACTCCCACAAAATGACGAAATTGAGATGCATTGCGTGGATTAGAAGGGTCACAATTGTTAGCAGCGTTACAATTTTCAGACGCTGTACACACATTACATGCATTAACATCTTTGCTTAATTGGTAATCTCGCGAGAGGTCCAATTTGCACGACGAAGTGAGTTCTAAGGCACCGTTCCTTTGCACAAGTTGGCGAATCTCGCCGCTAGACTCCCCTGAACCCATTTCTGCATGTACCACTTGAAGGAACGAATTCACATGTATATAAATGTCCTTCTGGAAGAATTCGTGCTGACACATATATTTTATAGTAATACATCCAAAGGTATTAACAAAATAATTAAAAAAAAATGTCAAATTTATTTTTTTTTTCTCTCCTGGTTTTATGTATCCTATATTTGGAGAAATAACTAAGTTGTAATTTTTATTTTCGTCAAAATAGAGGAAATCCTTTAGTTTTACAACTTCATTTTGTATGATAATTTTCTTTTTAAATTCAATTTTGAAAATGATTATGCTGGAAGATTCATTTTGGAGTTCAACAGATTTAGTCACTATTTCCTTTGCTCGATTTTCAATGTGTATGGATGTTCTGTTAGTTAGCAATGGTTCTTGTTTTTTATTGTCATTCAATTGTTTTTGGTTGAAGTTAGAGCTGTCGACAAGCACATGGTTCGCACATTTAGTGGAATCTGCATCTGTCACTATATGGCTACTACATGTGAGGGAATGTTTTGGATCCACCTTTTCATTTATCAACTGAGAATCACTTCTCTCATGTGGTAGCAGCACTATCTGTTTCCCTTGCACGTAGAATGTATTATCAACTGGTAAAGCAAAATTTTCCAAAACGAATTTGAGGTTATTTTTAATTTTTTCAATAATCATTCCTTCGTACAGTTCCTTCTTCGCATCTTTGTTTTTCACGTAAGTAAATTCTTCAAGCGATGTATTCTGTCTTTCCATCTGTTCTTCCTTCATTTGTGTGTTCGTTCCTTGTGTTCCATTTTGTTTTACCCTTCTTTCGAATACCTTTTCAAAAATATTTGTATTTCCTTTGCATACTTTACTACTATAATTTATCTTTTTTATTGTCTCTTTATATTTTATGCTTTCAATTGTATCTCTCAAATTTTCTTCCCAGTTAACTTTTTTTTTCTCTTCCTTGTTAAGGTGCTCAATGAGGGTGTTCAACTAGTGGAGGGGTGCGTAGGGCGTGGTGCAAAAAAGGAGAATAATAAAATGGTGGATCGCAGACGATGGATGATAAACGGGGTGGGGTCGATATAACACACACGGTGTCATTCGACGTGCGATATAAAACAACAAATGAGTTCTCTGCTCATGGAGTATTCTCGTGGGGACACACACATCTGCATATTTGTCTGTGTCTACATATGTACGTATATACGTATGTGTGCTTAAACCCCACGAGTGAGCACACTCCCTACATGCCACTTCAATCCACATGCCTACACGTTACTTCGTTCTTTTCCCGATATTTTTCTCCATGGTCAGCTAGAGTTTCTTTTTTTTTTGTTCTCTCCCTTATGACCTGACTCTGTTTATCCCACCTCGTTTTCACTTTCTCAAATTTTTTTAAAACCTGTGCATTCGTGAGGATGGAAAAAAAGGAGATATTAAAAAAAAAAAAAAAAAAAAAAAAAAGAAAAGGAAAAGAGACATGCAAACGGAGTGACGGATAGAATCACACCCAATGAGATGTGTCGATCATGTATGATATCCCTTCTGCAAGCACAGATCAAAACGGAAAAGCGTTGCATACATGTGCAAATATATATGCAAATATATATGCAAATATATATATATATATATATATATACATACATACACATGTGTGTGCACATATGCAGGGACACTTAATGACACTTTGTATCAACAAAGGAATGTCCTAAATGAGTTTCCTTCTCTCTCTCCTTATCTATCTCCTCATATATCTCTCTCTTTTTTTTTTTTTTTCACCCCTCCCCATCCTTTCCATTCCTCTTCTACTTTGTTATTATCTTCTTTTTTTTTTAAATACCCTCTCTTCCCTCGTTGCTTTCATATCCTCCGCAAGCACGATTTTTTTTTTGTGCTTTTTTTTCTCCTCCATTGTTAAGGGGCTTACGAAAAAAATACGATCAAACTGAATTCAAAAATAAAAGGAAAAAAAAAAAAAAAGAAGAAAAAAAAAAGGAAGAAATAAAAGGTATTAATACCTAGCAGTTTAAATGTCTTTATGCATATTTTTATTAAAGTAATACAGGTTTGTGTTTTATCTATTCCATCGAAATTGTGCCTTATTTATCTTTTTTTTTTTTTTTTTTTTTTTCTCCAAATGTGCACTGTTTCACACAATACATATTTCTACATATAGATATGCGTATATATATACGCGTTCATACCGGTGTGCAAACACTAAAATGGACACATTTCGATGTGCACTCCGCGTGGGCAGCAACCTCGCTTCAGCTGAGTTGCTTCATGTGGAAGTTGCCTTTACTTATTTATTTCTACCACTTCTCCTATTTCCACCACTTCTCCTATTTCTACCACTTCTCCTATTTCCACCACTTCTCCTATTTCTACCACTTCTCCTATTTCTACCACTTCTCCTATTTCTACCACTTCTCCTATTTCTACCACTTCTCCTATTTCTACCACTTCTCCTATTTCTTTTTCTCTTTTTTTGTGCTCCCTCTCGTGTTGCTTACCAGTCTTATTATTCCTTTTCTCTGAGCTTGTAATGAGAATGGGTCCAATTTGGAATGCACTCTTGGTCTGACAAAGTTTTGCTGTTTTTGGTTATTCATCCATTTGATCATTTAAATTTGATAATTTAACTAGCCAGATAGCTATTTTTTTTTTTTTTTTTTTTTTTTTCTCTCTCTCTCTCAAGTGTCGGCAATAAATTTCTGATACAACTCATCATTTTGGTAAGCATCTAAAGTGGAGTTACTCCTGACTATGTATGGTGGAGGTATGCCAGGTGTGTAATCAAAAAAGGAAGGAAAATTTTTGCTATCGAAATGTTCATGAGGAAATAAGAACAAATTTTCTAAATCATAAATATCTCTTAATTCTTTGGTAACTATATGAATTTTAAGCGGACCACAATGTGCAATAATCCAATCATCAAATTTGTTGCAATAGCAGTATACTACCTTGGATATATAGGGTATTTCTAAGTCGACAAAAATTTTACTTATTAATTTACCCACTCTTTTATTATGTTTAGGTGTTTGCCCTGTGCATAAAATTAGGAACATTCCAATATCTCTTCTTCCACATTTGTCTAAATCTATCACTTTAATGTTCTTTACTTTTTCATGTTTTAAAATGAACACAACTTGTTCAATCGTTGGCATTATTCCTTTTTCCAGTTCTACGTTTTCCTCTCCCTCACATTCGTTCTCGCTCCTTTCGTCATTTTCTCCATTTTCATAATCGAACAGATAATTATCCTTTGGTCTAACAATGGGATCAGTTACCTGGCTGTAATAGTAGTCCTTTTCTGTTTCTTCATTTGCTGCTTCTTCTTCTGTTTCTGCCTTTGCTGCGTCCTCTTTCTGTACGCTACCCCCAAGTTGACCATTCCCACCACTAAGTTTCTTTCTTCTTTCATTATAATATTTCATACTTTCATATATTAGCTTTTCTTTGTTCTCTTCATAAAACCGTTGTGCAGGTGTCATTCCGTGATATTTGTCATCACTTGTATGCTGTTCAGAATTTTTTTTGTTTTCCTGATGAATCTCTTTCCATGCTAACTTGTTGTCTTTTTCTCCATAATTACGAGTGCTATCATTTGTTTGGATAATTCTTTTTTCATTTTCAACTTTGCCTCTTCCCTCTTGTTTGTTCCACTTCACAGTAAAATCTGCCAGGGAGTTACTAAGTTGGGGAATTTCTTTTTTTTCCTTCCATGTAAGATGCTGTTTATTACTCGACACATGGTGCTGTTTTTCGCTCAATTCCCACTGCTTTGCATTAAGCTGCTTGGAAGTGTAATAATCAATCGTTTCCTGAATAAAACTTTTTATATCAACATTTTTAAATGATTTCATATTATCATAAAATTCTTCTTCTTTCATCACGTCTTGATCTTCTTGCCTCTGCTGTTCAGTATCCTCTTTCCTGAATACGTTGGTTTTTTCTAAAATTTTCTCATCAATGTTTATTATTTCAACTTTGTCATTATTGTTGTTCTCGTTTGAGAAAAAAACTTCATGTGTATCTCTATGGTTTTCATTTTTCTCTTTTAGTTTGTCAAAAATTTTATAGTCTCTAATATATCTTCTCGAAAACAGCCTGGGGAAAGGAAGCCATTTTTTTGCAAACATATGGAACACGAGTGGTGCAGAGTAAAAAGAAAGAAGAGGGAACGTTCTCGTTTTGTTAGGGAGAAAATGAAAATGTGGAAGCAACACATCATTTTGTTCTTATCCCCATTGTTTGTCAGGTCAAATGGATTTGAAATTTGCATGTAGAGTTGGGTTCACTTCCTTTTTTTTAAGCACACAAGATCTATTCATGAAAAAAAATTATTTTTTTTTTAACTTTTTTTTTGATAGTCGTTCCTTTATCATAAAAAAAAAAATTTTTATTATCTGATTGGCCGAATTGCATATATTGCTTATACTTGGGGTGTTCGAGACTCATTCATTTTTTTGTTCGTTTGTTAGGGCACTTTCTCTTTGACTCTTTCTACCTGTTTGTTCGTGTACCTGTTTGTTCGCTTTCCTGTTTTACATTATTATTTATCATTTATTTTATATATTTTTATTTTATATATTTTTATTTTATTTATTTATTTATTTTTTTTTTTTTGAGGGTCTCTCCTTTATAATAAAAATAATAAAGTTTGTTTATGCTATTTGCAAAAAGGACATCGCCTCGTTTTTGAAAAATGAAGCCGGGGGTTCACTCGCATAGGCTGCCGATTATTTGCAGACTGGAAAACTAGCCAAATTCAGAACTTGTCAAATTCCACTCTCGTAACTTTCCGAGTTTCCCCTTTCCATTTCTCCAGGGAGAAGGTGAGCTGATGAAAAGAGCCCCAATTCAAAATGTCGTTCATATACAGAAGAGTTTCCAAAATGCTATCTATGTGTGCTCAGGGAGGAGGCATAAAGGAAATTCTTCATAAAAAGGAAGATAAGTCGATTAAAAAGGTTAGTTTATGTTGTGTGAGGGTGTAAAAAAATACTACTACTACTACTACTACTACTACTACTAATAATAATAATAATAATAATAATAATAATAATAATAATAATAATAAAGAACGAGCACAGTTGGACACATGAACTAATACATATGAGAAAGAAGAGGAAAAAAAAAAAAAAAAATTGTTTCACTTTTATGAATCCAAATGTTTTTCCTTACCATCCTCTTCTGTTTTGTAGATATACTTTCTATTACACAAGGCATTGGAAGACCTGGATATTTTGAACCGAGTGTACACAAAGTATTTGTCAGAAATTTGCAAAAATAAGTTTCTGGGAATTGTGCTATTATGTGTACTGGTGCAAAGAAAAAAAATTGACGGTGGAGGGAAATTAAAAAAAGAAATTATGAAGAGAGAAAAAGAAATTCTCCATTTTTATAACACTTTGAAAGAAAAAGAAGAAAAAAAAAATTGCACAAGGCAAATTTTAAAAATAAAAAAATTAAAGAAATATTTTATTATATATGATCAAGACGAGAAAAAAAATGACATTTTGGAAAAATTAAGAACACTTTTTCCAGTGGAAGAAGATGAAGATGTTGAAAATTTGTATGAAATTGAAAGTGACAAAGTGGGTGCATTAGTAAGCACCACTACTTATAAAGAAAATAAAATAAGAATAATAGATAAAACATCATGTCTTGTTGTACAGGCAGGTGAAATCAAAGAAGGAATGGTTATCGTGGATGTTTGTTCTGCTCCTGGAAGCAAAGCTATTTTAAGTCTTATGTTATTAAAAGAAAAAGGGTATTTAATATGTATTGAAAAAAATAAAAAAAGGTGCTTTACCCTATTGCAAGAAATTTTAAAACAAAACCATGATTATGGTGGTATATATCTCGATGAAAGTTTCACAGATTGTAAAAAATTTGATTTTAACGAACAAAACTTTTTTATAAACTATAAGGATACGCATGTTTATTACATAAAACATAGATACAATGATATTTTGATGAAAATTTACAATGCTGATTTTTTTCATCTATCTGAGGAAGACTTTTCCTCCTTCGGAAAAATAGACGTTGTATTCGTCGATCCATCTTGCTCGTCCAGTGGGATGCCTGACTTTGTCCACAAGCACAGGATGCAGCAGATATTTGGGAATTCGTTCGAGAGTGGAGAAGGGGATGGTGAAGGCTTGGTTAGTGGGAAAGGAGATAATGAGGAAATGGCTAGCTGGAAGGGGGATATCGAAGAATTGGTTAGTGGGAAAGGGGATAATGAGGAAATGGCTAGCTGGAAGGGGGATATCGAAGAATTGGTTAGTGGGAAAGGAGATAATGAGGAAATGGCTAGCTGGAACGTGGATACCAGGGGCATGGCGAGCAAGCAAGAGGATCTAAACCCTATTAGTAACTTTTTAGAACAGGTGGCTGAAGGGAGAATTCCAAGAGTACCCCGTCCGTTCCAAGAGAAAGTGAAGAATCTCGCAAAGTTTCAAACAAAGATTCTGAATCATGCATTAGATACGCTTAAAATAGCGAAAACGTTTATATATTCCACGTGTTCCTTTTTTGAAGAAGAAAATGAACATGTTATAGAATCCGTTTTGCAATCGAACCCAAACTTTTCTTTGGAGAAGGCTGGAAAGGAAAAGTTTCTTTTTACCAGTGGCACCTCTGCTGTTTCGAGGAAGTGTGTCCGAACCTTCCCAGCACAACATTCCTGCAGAGGGATCTTCATTTCGAAGTTGCTTCGCTCGAGTGGGGGATTAGAGCAGGAACCATGTTAATGTAAATCTTTTACTCGTTGGATCTAATTCGTTGTGCCTGTCTCGTGGGATCGCACTAAGGAGAGAACCACATCGATGCGACTGTACTTGGAATAATGGGTTCCTCTTCAACTTTCCGCCGCCTCTTCCCCTCCATTTGGTGACGTATCTACCTTTTACACTTTCAAGCTTGAATTAGAACTTTTTTTTTTAACATTACCATTTTAATTTTTTTTTTTTTTTTTTTTTTGTGTTTGAAGTTTACTCGGTAGGCAGGGTAACTACATCGAACACACGCCTTTTTCGAAGAGAAGAAGTTGGCTCCCCGTCTCGACACTCACATGTACACATAAACGCAATGTATATCCATTTCAACTTGGACAAGAAGTAAATAAAAGAGTGCACCATATTACTGAATTCGGCAGAGGTGATAGTTTTTTCTCTCCGAACCGAACGGAGTGAAACAGGATGGGATAAACAGAGACCACTAACCTGAGAAATACTTTCCCCACTTCTACCGCCTCACGAGTGAACATTAGATGGAGCATGCTAAAACGTGTCAGCGTCCGTCTGGACCTGAGACAGGATTTCAGAACGTAGCTTCTGAATTCGAGCGTCATACTTGGCAATGTCCTCTGACTTGGGTTGATAAATCTCACTGGAAGAATTCCACAGGGTCAAGGTCCCATCTGAGTCAGCAGCAATGAGCTTCTTTCCATCGCATGACCAGGCAATTTTATTTGTGCATTTGGCCTGAACAGTCATATCAAAATAGGAACACTCAAGGTCATAGGATATATTCCACACTTTGATATTACCACTGCTACTGCAGGTAGCAAATATTGCTGGATGAACAGGGTTCCATTTCACATCCATTAGATAATCATCAAATGAGTCAAAAATGAATAAGGGATTGTTTGGTTCCTTTATACTTAACAATTTGCAAGACCAATCAACTGAACATGTTAATATGAGATCGTTATTATCATCAGCAGTTCCTTCAATTAGTGGGTGAAATTCAGCAGCTGTTAGAGGACCGTGGTGGATATTATAAAATTGTGTGATTCCAACTTTAGCTCCATGTATTTGTGCTTGAAATAAGGACCCATCATCTGAACCTCCGTACAGAGTATTTAGTTCACCTTCTTGAAATGAGAAACAACAGCATGATACTTCTTTGTTCATTTTTTTCAAATCGATGGTATCTGATGGATATGTCAACATACTGAGAGACCAATTACATAGTCTTCCATCTGTATCTGCCGTTACTAAGTTATGTGCATTTTGTGTTCCTATCACTTCTGCACAAAAAATTGGATGTAAATGACCTTGTGCAGTCAGGTAAGTTTTCTGTACTGGTTTTTGGCTAGCTCGTATATCCCACAAAACCACATTCCCTGTATATGTTCCTCCTATAATTAAATGAGGATTGAATTTATTAAAAATAGATGTACATACAGCTGATTCGGAGGTAAATACATATTCAGGTCTACCATTCATTGTGCTGTTCCATACTAACACATAACCATCTGGGTCTAAGTAATTACTCGTTAAGGATAATCCATAGGAAGCTAAAAATAGTTCGCTATAAATATTGGATGTTTTAACATCTGTTATTGGTCTTCCATTAGTATACTTCTTACAGTAATATGTGTTCACTAGCTTCAATTTTTCTGCACTCTCACCATCAGGAGATAAATCTTTGGCCGCAAAATCGAACGTGGCATTAAACATATCTTGTTCTCCCAACGTCCGCTCTATGATTTTAGAACTGCGATCTAAAAAATTTAGAAACCCCTTGCTGTTCGATATACGTTTTGTTTTGTCAGCGTCTTGCTTGTTTTGAGCCTCCTCACTTAGAGCTCCTTCAACCTTCGACGGTTCCTTCGACTGTTCCTCTGATCGTTCCTTTGATCGTTCCCCCTTCGATCTCTGAACCTTCAAGGGTTTTACTTTTTGTTTTCCTGCGCTTACCCCAATTTCCACAAGAACTTGGTCATGTCCACTTTCGCCCATTTGTGTGTCCCGAGCTTCATAGGTATCATCTTCCCATTTTGTTTTTTTTTTTTCCTTTAGAATTACGTCTTTTTTACCTGACTTGGTCATACTTAATTTTAGCACGTTCAAGTCTTCATCCCCTTGAGAAAAGCTAGTTGGAAAGAGAGTGAATATTTTTCCACCTTTCCTTTTACCATTGCGTAAGAGATGGTAATAGGGGGAAGCGGCATCAGTTAGAACATTAACCTGAATGGATTTGTCAAAGTGAATAATATTCTTTTTATGTATGTTTATAGACTTTTCTTCAGCCACAACAGTATTAATTTTAAATTTAAAATTTTTTGCTGAAGCTTTTTTTGAAAAAAGGAAATTTTGTTCAGGATATTCCTCAAGAGAATTGGGACTAGAAAAAAATTTATCATTCGTAATGTTATTACTAATTAGGTTGTGATGATTGTTGTCTATATATGACATCACATCACTGTTGTCATTTAATTGTTCTTTTAGCATATCAATGTTTTTTTCTTCTTTTTCTAAGGATTCCAAAAAATTTTTTAACATAGTGTCAGGGTCGAGGTAGTCATCCCCTCCCCCATGTCTTTGAAGCTTTGCTGCCGTAAGGGTCCCATTTTCATTTTCGTTCTTTAATTGTTCCAGGTACTTTTTATTTTCCTCCAGTTTAAGTCTTTGCTCGTTCAGCTTGTTTTGCAGATCAGTCCTTTCTTCTTCATCCATCGGGTTGAGAAGGCCTGGGTTGTCTATCTCCATGTTTTCGCGGTTTCGAAATTTATCGATCTGGGATTTTATCGATTTGGGATTTTATCGATTTGGGGCTTTATCGATTTGGGGCTTTATCGATTTGAGATTATCTATTTGAGACTATCTATTTGAGACTATCTATTTGAGACTATCTATTTGGAACTTTACCGCTTTACCACTTCACTTTTACCTGGCAAAGCCAAATTTTACTGTCCAATTGTGCCTTGTGCAGAGTGGAAAACTGTATGTACATTTCATGCACTAGGACCCGTTGCGCTCAAAAAAAAAAAAATAAATAAAGCACACACACATACACAAATATGTGTACACATGTATTCCAAAAAACTTGTGTGTGTCTAGAACGATTAATACACAAGTGCAACAATTCCATACAGGGTCTTACATAGAAGAATATCACAGTTAGGATATTTGTAAGGAACTAGTTTTTTTTTTTTTTTTTTTTTTTTTGCTTTTCTTTACAATATATTTATCTTCTAATGGACAAATAGGAAGGAATGGATTATGTTGTAAATTTAAAAATATAATAAAAAAAAAAAATAAATAAAAAAAAACATTGTCCATACTTTACACCTCACTTGGTTAAGACAATTTTTTAAGGTAATCTATTGCAGTAGAGGAAAAAAAAAAAAAAAAAAAAAAAAAAAAATTGTTAATTCTGCTCAAAAATTGCTCAATGATAAATATGAATAAGCATTTTATTTATTCTTTAAAAAGGACTCGGTGTAGGGCGTGTATGCATGGAAGATGGAGTGCATATTTTCACCTTTTCGTTTTTTTAAATTTGAAAGGTCAAGTTATTTTTCAAATAATTTGTGCAAATGGGTGAACAAAATAGAAGGAAACTTTTCAATCAGTGAAAAAGGGGAAAAAAGGAGGAGGGAAAGGCAACGAAAGAAATGAAAAGGAAAGAAAAGCAAAGGGGGAATGCGTAAACCATAGGTGAATGATATCGAAGAGGGTGAGAGACAAAAGTTGTGCGTATATTTTTTCTACCCAGTGAAACATTTTGTAGCTGTCGATAGAATATGGGGAAAAAAAAAAAAAAAAAAAAAAAAGAATATTTTCCCTTTCAACTCTAGATCAACTTGACACGTTTTCATGTGAACTACATTTTCTTAAAACTCTATATATGCAAATGTGAAGAGATATATGTCTTAAATTAAATGATGAGTGTAAAAGATATTTTACGTTCTACTGAAAAAAAAGAAGTAGGTTTAAAATAACATTTAACCACTTAGAGAAGAGGAAGAGCCCCTCTATTGTTTTTCGGTTAGACACGATTGAGTAAGCACAAAATGAATATGATTTTTTTTTCTTTTTTCTTTGGGGATAAAGGAAGCAGGATATAGGAATAGATCCATTGTTTTTATACTTCTCTGTAACAATTCGTTCTATGTTCACGCAAACAAGTTTACTCTTTCGTTCATATTTTTCAAGAGAAAAATAAAAGTACCTTTTTTTTTTTTTTTTTTTTTTTTTTTTTTGCCTGTAACATTTTTTCATTACAGAATAATTCTGAATAAGTCAGGTAAAAAATAAAATAAAAAAAAATGAATTCATCTGTTCAGGTGTATCACGACTTGTGTGTACACTTTTTATTGAAGTGAATATAGAAACGGAAAATAATTCGATGTATATCTTCTCTTGATGAATTATCCTCTCCCCTTCCATTCTTCCTTCTTTGTTGTAATATAGACACACCTTTTAACATTTTGAAATCTACATACACATTTCGACATAAAAACATGTGAAGGAATTGATTGCTTAATTTAAATTATTCTTCACAAATTAAGTTTAGCGATTAATATTTTCATTCAAAGGATTACAATTGAAGCCTCTTTTGAATGAAAAACACGCACATTGCAAAGCTCTTGGGGGTGGAAGCAATCCAGTGATGCTTCCGATTTTGTTAATACTACAATGGTGTAATTTGAAAAAAAAAAAAAAAAAAAAAAAAAAAATGAGCGCACTGGAAGGTGAAATATAATTTGGATATTTCTTTTGATTTAAAAGAAAATATGATATGAATAGGATTTTAGCGTCATTGAGTATGAATTCTTCAATTAGCATCTTCCAATTTATAGTTTTTGTTACAGGCTCTTCTCGTCTCCCCCCTCCCTGAACGACAGACTTTTTGTCTTTTCAATTTAATCGTGCCTTGGAATGCCTGACCTGTACTTACACCTTTCATTGCTGGAAAAATGAACATGACAGTAAAATTGGCGAATAATAATATGAGCAACATTAGAAAACCTAAGAAATCATTTGTTAATTTGAAAATTAACAAAATTTATATATATATATTTTTCTTTTTTCAACAATTGTATGTGTATTCCTTTTGTTTCGAGTGCATTTAACTTTTTTTTTTTTTTTTTTTTTTGTCTTTTATCCTGAACAGATAGAACGTTCAAGTGTCTATTTTATTTTTACGCACTTCTTTGTGCGCCTGTTTGTGCGCCTGTTTGTGTGCATGTTTGTGTGCATGTTTGTGTGCATATTTGTACATATGTTTATACACATGTGTGTATGCATGTTTCCCCCATTTACGCCTTGCCTGGTCATAAATTTCTGAACCCGTGTTCATGCGAAATATATATATATATATTACGCACGTTTACACACATTGTCCCCGTTTAAAGAACGATGATAAGCAGAGAAAACACACAAAATGGATGTAGCTGGGATACGAAAAAGGATGCAGACGTGATAGGTGGGTCTTGTCACAAGAGCAGCACAGTAAAGAAAAAATTTAACTACAGGATGGATTCCTTCATAGAGTTCACTGAGAACTTAAAGAATAGAGGTAAATGCTGAATGGGAAATGTCACTCTCCATTTCCATGTCTGCCATAGTGAAAGGAGACTTAACAATCTGCTTCACCTGCTTTATCTGCTTCATCTGATTTATCTGCTCCACCGGTTTCATCTGATTTATACGCTCCACCTGCTTTATCTGCTTCATCTGATTTATCTGCTCCACCGGTTTCATCTGATTTATACGCTCCACCTGCTTCATCCCCTCCACTCGCTTCCCCTGAGGCAGTATGCTTAATGGAATCACAAAACAAAACAAAGAAGACAGAAGCAGAGAACGAATATCTGTTTCTAAAAGAAATCGGAGACGTGTGCAAAATGAGTTGTGATTATTACTTGGAGACAAATGTAAACTTTCACGAGGCATGCGAAAATTTTAAAATCCTCTTCAGTGCATTTCAGGATTCATTAGTTAATATAAAGAAGAAGAGAGAAGAAGCAGATGCAATTGAGGAAGAGCTAAATGAAATTGAACAGGAGGAATTTCATCAAATGAAACAAAGAGAAGAGATAAATGAATCTCTCAAGAAAGAATTCATGGAATTAGAAACAGATGTGGACTTCATGAACAACGAATCAGTTAATATAACCAATAAAATAAAAGAAGTTGATTATCAAATTAATCAACATAAAGAAGCATTCGAATCCTTTCACATTCTTGCTCACTTGAACTCTGAGAGAATTTCAGCACTCCAAAATGATTATAAAAAGGCGTGTTCAGAGAAGGAGGAGATTCTACGTAGCATTGAAGAATCTTCCACTTCGATGGGATTAGAAAAAGACAATCTAGTTCTTCAGAAGAATCAGATGGTACTGTGTGATTCCAAAATGTGGGGTGCAATGGGAATCCCGCTCTATCAGCGGAGATCTACTGTGCATCACCAAGGGAAGCGTTTTCATCACGAACTTGGCAGTTGCACCTGATACGTCTAACCACTTGCATCTGTCACGTCTAACCACTTGCATCTACCACGTCTAACCACTTGCATCTACCACGTCTAACCACTTGCATCTACCACGTCTAACCACTTGCATCTACCACGTCTAACCACTTGCATCTACCACGTCTAACCACTTGCATCTACCACGTCTAACCACTTGCATCTACCACGTCTAACCACTTGCATCTACCACGTCTAACCACTTGCATCTACCACGTCTAACCACTTGCATCTACCACGTCTAACCACTTGCATCTGTCACGTCTAACCACTTGCATCTACCACGTCTAACCACTTGCATCTACCACGTCTAACCACTTGCATCTACCACGTCTAACCACTTGCATCTACCACGTCTAACCACTTGCATCTACCACGTCTAACATATAACCACTTTCCAACACCTGCAGGAGGAACAGAAGGAAAAACTGCTGGCGAAGGAGAAGGAACTAGCCCAGAAAAAAGAAAAACTGACGATTCAGAAGAGTGAAATGAATTCTAACAACGAGAGGATAAAAGCGCAGGTGCAGTTTTTGCAGAATCAGATATCTTCGCAAGAATATTTTTTAAGCGTTATCAAATGTGGTCTAGAGGGGACTGTTAGAACGAGAAAAGAATTGGATGATACTTCTGGACATATCAAGCAGGAGATAAATAAAGTGCAGGAAATGATGGAAAATGTGCGAAGAGAAGAGGTTGAGGAAAAGGGAAAATTTCAAGAGTTAGATGTAAAAGTTAAACAGCTAAACATGGAATTTCAAAAGGGAGAAGTGCAGTTAGAGGAATCTAAAGATGCGGAAAGAGAATTACTTCAAAAAATACAAGAAGAAAAAAGAAAATCGAGTCAAAATATGCTGAAGGATTTGATTAAGGAGAAAAAGTTAGTAGATGATGATATTGACAGATATCAAGAGGAGGCACGCAATTTGGTGTTGCGTGAGGAGAGAAAACTGATAGGAGGAGAGTTTTTGTCTGTATCACTGCTAGACGCTAACGTGGGAAATGTGGAGATGGTTGAGGACGAGATGAAAAAAGATGGAATGGTATTTCCAGACAAGGTAAGCATGCCCAATGAAGAAACCATCGACACCATGAATCCACTAGATGCAAAGTCGCGCATGAGCAAATCGCTGGTGAAGGAGCTTGAAGGAATATTAGAAAAGATGAAAATAAGAATCAAGGAAGAGCAAAACGAGCTGTGGAAGAAAGAAAGAGAAGAAGAAAAAATAAACATTCGCATTAGTGAGATGGAAGGTAAAATAAAAGAAGAAGAAAGTAGAGAAAAGAAATTAGACATATGGGTAGATGAAAAAAGGGAAGAATTAAAAAGTATTAAGGAAAGAGAAAAAGATGGAGAATCGAAGTTGTCATATGTTCAAGAGACAATAAAAGAGATGAAATTAAATTATGAGGAAAAAGAAAAAAAAAAAAAAGAAATAGAAAGTGAAATGCAACAGTTTAAAGAAATGGAAGATAACAAAATGTTACAACTTCAAAAAGAGTACCAAGATAGAACAAAAAATTTATACGAATCTAAAAATGGAAATATGGGTATCAGTTCAGTCGAAAAAAAGAAAATGAAAGATGATATGGATTCTTACTCGGAAAAAATAAAACAAGAATATGATTTAAAAAAATCACATTTTGAAAAAGCCGAAAGAGAGAAGTACGAACAAATGAACATACAATTGGATGGAGAATTCAAAAGAAAGGAAGATCTAATTGCTTATTATGAAGAATTGATTTATAAACAAGAAAATATGAGAAAAGTTCAAAACGAGACTAATTCTCATGATAGAATAATAAGTGTGGAAAATTTTAAAAAGATAGACAATAATCAGCTGAATCGAAGTAATAGCACAACAGAAAATAGAAAGTCATCACAGAAAAACAGTATTAACAACAATACAAATAATTATAAGCTTCACAATATGTCTGATAAATATAAATTCGGTTATTTTGATGTTACTTCTCCTGAAGCTATTAGAAAGAGCATGAACATCCCAAGTCGTTCTGTCAAGTCACCTCACATCGCTAGACTTTTGGAAAAAATAAAAAACCGAAAGGATTCTCAGAACTTTGCAGGTCCTAAAAATACTCCTGTGAATCAAGTCAGCACAAGGGAAAGCAGGAGGAGTAGGAGTATCGGAGGTATGTCCAAAAGAGGAAATGTAGGGAAGGGTGGCAAAAGTGGAGGAAATGGCGCGGAGGGTAGCAGCAGAAATAGCAGCGTGAATGGGGCTGGTAGTAAGCCATCTCACAATGCAAGGGCACAAAAAAGTAACACTTCTTTTGATTTGTTTCATCACCTGTGAGGTGGAGGCAGGGACAGGGGCAGAGGCAGGGGGAGAGGTGTGTTTCTCTGAGGTTGACACGGCTTGTGGATATATATGAGGACCTTCTCAATTGAGATTCATGATAAAGATATGAAAGAAAAAGGGACTCATTTTACAGTGATATGAGGGATAGATTCTCCATTCAATTTATGGATGATACATGTGTGTATTGTCTGTCTCACTGCGTGAATTTTTTTTTTTTTTTTTTTTTTTTTTGCTCATATGGTTAATACTTTTTGTTGTCTCTCCTACCCATTTGCGTCTATTCTCCCATGCATTTATAATATCCATGACGAGCTACGTGTGTTCCATACATTCTTCAATTTTCTCCATTTCCTCCCCCCTAATTCTGTAAGGCAAAGGGGGAGGCGGCTGTCATGGGGAAGCAAATATGAAACTTGTATACTAGTGACCATTTTTGTTTGTTACTTTCGGCCAAAATTGTTAGAACATTTGTGTACCGTCTTTTTTTATTCCATCCCTGGCTGATTTATTGCTTTTTTTTTTTTTTTTTTTTTTTTTTTTTTTTTTTTTGGGGGGGGGGGGGGGGGAGTGGAGTGGGTATACACACAAAAGGTGTGTCACTTTAGCCACAAAGAAGTTTATCATAAATCGGACAACAAAACCTTTTCCACTAGGGTTCACAAAAGGTGGGTGGGGTAAAACACGCATACCTTTTTCGAGAAGAAAATGAAGAATAAATTAGCACTAAGGATTGTAGAGGTGCGTTTTCCTGTTCCTAAAAAAAGGCCAATTCGGGAAGGTCCGTTTTGCTTCATCATTTGGTTCGTCATTTGGTTCGTCATTTGGTTCCTCATTTGTATCTCAGTCCCGTTTTGCTTCATCATTTGGTTCGTCATTTGGTTCGTCATTTGTATCTCAGTCCCGTTTTGCTTCATCATTTGGTTCGTCATTTGGTTCGTCATTTGTATCTCAGTCCCGTTTTGCTTCATCATTTGGTTCCTCATTTGTATCTCAGTCCCGTTTTGCTTCATCATTTGGTTCCTCATTTGTATCTCAGTCCCGTTTCGCCTCGCCTCGCCTCACCTTGCTTCTTTCTTTTTTTTTTTTTTTTTTTTTTTTTTTTTTTTTTTTTTTTTTTTTTTTTTTTTTTTTTTTGCATGCACACGGTGTGTCAATAGGTAAGGGTGTGCATTTTCAAGGCGGAAAAGATGGAAAATTATTTGAGGTATGTGTTAAATCTCCCGTGATGGATTTAAAAAATAAAATAGTCGATTTGACATAACATCACATAAACAAATGAAGACGTAAAAAATTTGTATTTACACAATCATTCTATTCATTCAATTTAGAAAATGTGAAAAACGGATTTTCACAAATTTTAGCATGCCCTAATGAGAAGTCCATATGTCAAAAAAAAAAGAATAAAACAAAAAAAAAAAAAAAACAGTTTTCACAAAATTGTTAATACGTTCCAATTTTGAAAAAGCGGATTAGCTGAAAAAGAAAAAAAAAAAAAAAAAAAAAAAAAAAAAAAGGTTATCAAAAGGACGGTTGACACAAAAATGGTAAGTCACAAAGAAAGGGAAGGAAAAAAAAAAAAAAAAAAGCCATATATAGGTATCACACTTCTACACACTGCAACAACGTGGAAAAGTGAATGTAGATGAAGACAAACATGAATTCCCCATTCTAACACTGTACAAGCGAGAGACATATATGTACACATAATGAAGTGTATATATATTTGGTTGGGGCGAGATAGACAGAAAATTATCAAGAAGAGTTCTATTCTTAGCTCAGCATATTTGTCTACATATCTACAACACGGCTTAAGGGAAACATCTAGAGTATTGGAAAAGATGGACAAGAATGAGTCCGCAAAAATATCCTCCATGTTGTGCAATCACAACTGCGTGATAGAAGTTTCGATTGCAGATGTGGTAGTAGCTACGAGTGTAGCTATGAATGCAATTATAATTGTAGGCAGAGTGAAGAGGAAAAAATGATGACCTACATTCCTTCATCTTTTGGATGCAGTGACAATCTGTTACTTTGCCAATCGTTATATCAACATGATGACGACATCAATTTTTCAAACCCTCCTCCTTCTTCTTCTCCTCCTCCTCCTCCTCCTCCACACACACACACACACACCTCTTCCCTCACATGATTTCTCCACATTTAGAGTGAAGCTGAAGAAATTTTGAACAGGATAAAGAACCACAAGGGTGTGATAGGAATTCTGGTAGTTAACAATGAAGGATTAATTATTAAAAGCACGTTTGATAAACAACAATCAGATTTGCATGCATCTCTACTTACCCAGTTGTCTAACAAGGCCAGGGATGTAATAAGGGAACTAGACCCTCAGGTAAGCATGGCCATGCCGCTTACCCGTTTGGTTCCCCCACGTTGACTTTAACTCCCCAATGTTGATTGTTCCATATTGATTGTTCCATATTGATTGTTCCATATTGATTGTTCCATATTGATTGTTCCATATTGATTGTTCCATATTGATTGTTCCATATTGATTGTTCCATATTGATTGTTCCATGTTGATTGTTCCATATTGATTGTTCCATATTGATTGTTCCATGTTGATTGTTCCATATTGATTGTTCCATATTGATTGTTCCATGTTGATTGTTCCACGTTGACTCCTCCCGTTCCTTTCTTTTCCCCATCAGAACGATATAAATTTCTTACGTTTACGATCGAAGAAGCACGAGATAATGATTGCACCAGATAAGGATTACACATTGGTAGTAGTACAGGACCCATATGCTGACAAGGAGAAGTAGTGTGCGTTTTTTTGTATTGCAGAATGGGGGGAGAGAGTGTGTATGTGGGTACAGGTTCACTAGTTTGTCTTGTTTTGTTTGATATGTGTTTTATTCTTTCGTTTTTTCGCATTATTTTTTGACATTATGTCACGTTGTTTCACCGATTTGTCATTCTCTGTTATGTCCCCTTGCGAGTGAAGAAGTGAATTCAATCATGTCTCGTGAAGAGGCTAAAGAAACAAGGGGAATCGCTGACTTTGCTCTCCCCCATGCACATAATTATATATAACTGCACAAGAAGTATGTGCATGTATGTCTAGATGCATATGCAAGTGCAGGTTGGTGGATTTTAAAGAAAAAAGTGTTCTTTTGGTGGAAGACAAAAAAGGGGACATAGTACGGGGGAAAAAAAAAAAAAAAAAAAAAAAAACAAGCCTAAAAATATCAGTAAAGCAAAAATAAAAGGGGAGATAGAACCGTTAGAAAGTAAATAACATGGAGATAATACCAAAATTTTAAATCAGAATTTTACCTCTCTCTCTCTCCACCCCTCAAAAAAATATATATATATATATATGACCTCAAATGGCAAGGATATCTATAGCTGGAAGTGGAAAAAAAAAAAAAAAAAAAAAAAAAAAAAGTTTGGACTCGAAATGAGATTCGTTCTGCGGTTATTTGGTCTGTATAAATACATACATACATACATACATACATAACCGTAAGTAAATGGAAATCTTATACCCACCTCCTACAAACTCATTTTCTTCGTTTTGCCAATTTGTGGCCCCCTCCTCCCTCACTCCCTTCTATATTGAAATACATCTCCAACTTCAACTTCAACTCCAACTCCAAATGCTTTTCCTTCTTAATTCGACATCATTCTCTTGGTGTTCATACATATGCATAAAACCTATAAATTTCATTTTTTGTTGACCTCGGAATGAGAGTTTTTTTTTTTTTTTTTTCTTTTTTTTTAAATGATGGATCAAGTTTGGGTAACCATCACTTTTTATTGTATCTAACACGAACCAGTAAAAAAGGGAGAAGGAAAATAGGAGATTACAAATGAGTAGCATATTATATATTTTTATATATTATATACATGTACATATGGGGGATACTCATATGCGCATGTATGTTTTGATGCCTTTTATGCCAATGCGTTCTGTGCAACTTTTTTTTTTTTTTTTTTTTTTTTTTTTTGTTCCCCATTGGTACGTAGATATTTTGACAAGTTGGGAAAATGTAAAATTTTGAAAAAAAAAAAAAAAAAAAAAAGAAAACGGAATGAGATAAATTTTTTTTCAATTTGGGTAAATAAAAAAAAATAAAATAGGGTAGAAGTAAAGCAAAATTGGGTAGAAGTAAAGCAAAATTGGGTAGAAGTAAAGCAAAATAGGGTAGAAGTAAAGCAAAATAGGGTAGAAGTAAAGCAAAATAGGGTTAGAAGTAAAGCAAAATTGGGTAGAAGTAAAGAAAAATAGGGTTAGAAGTAAAGCAAAATAGAGTAGAATAAAATTAGCAGTAAAAGAAAGGAAAAAAAATAGAAGAATGCAAAAAATATATAAAGTTCCTTTTTGATAAATCGAGATAGTATATAGTGCACAACTTTTTGTTTATCCAGAAGAAAAGGACAAATTTTGTGCGCTCTTGATCATCCCCTGCACGAATTAATAAAATTTTTGAGTGACAGAAATATACACGAAATTTGTATGAACCTTGTTTCTGTGAAATTGGAAAGAGGAATTTCTTTCTCAGTGTCCTAGTGGAGCCACCCGTGTTTAAGAGTCTGATCTTGTAAGGAACGTGGTCTGCTCGGAGAAAGGTCTTATTTCAAAAAAAAAAAAAAAAAAAAAATAGAGAAAAGTGTGGGCATCGAAAGAGGGGTAGTGCAAGACAAAGCAAAAATCCTTATGATGATGACTAATGGTAGTGAAGCAGTTGAGGAGCAGCAACACGACAAAATAAGAAATGATTCCCAAGAGGATGAAGTGGACGAAATGGACGAACCAGAAGGAGAAGCAAACTTGGCCAAGAGCGAAGAGGCGAGTCAAGGCAAGAAGAATTCCAATAAGAGGGATAAAAAAATGGAGAAAAAAAATATAAAGGAAAGTTTGAAGGAAAAAGAGAGGATGATGGATGACTCAGAGGAGAGCGAAGAATGTTCTGGATCCTCGATGGAAGAAAAAAGTTCAGATGAAAATCCACAGGATGGACAACAGATATCATCCATCGTCTCTTTTTTGAAAAGAAATGAATCGACTCAGGGACCCAATGGAGAAAACGGTAAGTGCAGGATGGAGGAGCGCACAAACGTGGCGAAATTAGTGAGCGGTATTATGGAGAAACACAACTTGTGCATTTTTTGCAACATCTTTGTGACATATTCGAAGCACTTTCATATATAGCACTTTCGTGACAATTAGTGCAGCACAGACTTGTAATATCATTTTTCTTACATCATTTTTCCATTTCGTCAAAATGACATTCTTAGGTTACAAAGTCAGTGAAATTGGGAAGAGAGCCAGTGCAGCCACGAAGAAACTTAGAAGAAGTAATGAAAAAAACAAAGAAGGTAAGAAATATCCGAATTATATGTAGATTACCAATTGACGATACACATTTCCCGAATTGGTGGTACAAATTGGGTGGAAAAAAAAAAAAAATACATGTTTTATATGTTCACAATTTGAGATATTTCTGCAAAAAAGGAGAAAATTACTGATATTAAATATTTTTAATGTTTTTTTTTTTTTTTTTTTTTTTTTTTCCATCCTTTCAGATAAAATTAAGCGAACCGTTTTCGTTGGAAATCTCCCATTAAAAGATATGCACAAGCTGAAGTTGTTAAAAATTTTGGGGATTAAGAATTCCATGGTCGAATCGGTACTTACACATTTTTTTTTTGTTCTTTTTTTTTTTTTTTTGCTTTTTATTCATGGTTGTTTTTATCGATGCAGAATTTGTAAATATGCAACGTTAGCAGAGAAGACACACTGGAGTTTTCATATATTTTTTTTATGTGAGCTTTTATGTGTTTTTATGTGTCTTTTCATTCACCATTGGTTTGATCAGGTAAGGTTTCGATGCCAACCCTTGGAAGAAGCCTACGCAAGTAGGAAGAAGCTCGGGACCATTCTGAAGAAGTTCACCGTAAGGAGGGAGCACAAAAAAAAAAAAAAAAAAAAATGGCCTCTGCTGTAAGTCCTACGGGACATTAGGTCCCAGAACAAATCAACAGTCTCACTTACCTACTTTTCATATTTTGTTAGGATGTCAAAGATAATCAGAACGCTATAATTACACTGAAGAAAGAGGAGGATTTGTCTGTCTTACTAAAAAAAAACGTAATTTTTTTTTTTTTTTTTTTTTTCGCCACCTCTTGCTGTTGGACGTTTCCATATCACTTTACTTTATACAAATACATAGAAATTCATTTAACTTTATCTAGCATATCACCTAGCTTCGCCTACAGTTACCCCTACTCTCATCCTCATCCTCATTTTTTTTTTTTTTTTTTTTTTTTTTTTTTTCCTCTTGTTCTTTCCGTGCATTAGGGAATCGTGTATGACGGCTACGTAATACGAATTAACATGCTTGGAGAGAAACCAAACTTTAACAGAAAGAAATCTGTATGTGTAAAGAATTTGGATCGAAAATTGAATGAATCTGATTTATATGAACTCATGAAGGAGGTCGATGAAATAAAAGGTAGAATTTTTAGACACGCACATCTCATTAGCTGTCTCCCAACCCTCATGGTAGAAGTTCCAGTTTCATATGTGCATTTCTTCCATATATGAAAACAATGGGATGCATTAGTACAATTACTCATTTCAACATGACTCACCCCTTTTTTCTCATTGCAGGAATTAGGATTTTGAGAGACGAAAAAACTAGTGTTTCAACGGTGAGGCACAGAAGAGAGTATAACATGCAGCGATGTGCATATAGTCATGTTGAGAAACAGACAAGCATGTCGATATGTGCATATAATCATATTGAGAGAGATAAGAAAGATGCACATGGGGGGCACAGTTCAACTGCTTACAACTATTGCGGAGTGTAACATGCAAAACGTTAAGATATTTTCTCTCACTGAAGATTAATTTTTCAACACTGGTGGAAGAGAAAGACGTATTTGTGTATGTAACCTTGTGCCTTACCATCTGTTCATGTCTCTTTTTCCTATTCACATTGCAGGGAGTATCATTTGTCCTCTTTAACAACAGAGGTTCTGTCAAGAAGGCCATCGAAATGTTCGATGGGCACACAGTGAATGTAAGGATGAGAGAGAGAAATTGCTGTGATGCGTCCCATTCGTTCATATATTTTGATCTGTCCCGTGTTGTTCTTCACGGCTTTGTTCATATTTGTTTGCAAACGTTTTTCTCGTGGCTTTTTTCTCAGGGAAGGGAAATCGTCGTTCAGAAGGTTCTAGGATCGAAGGACGCGTCAGGGAAAACCAAAGGTAAGCGTTTGAACGATTGACAAGAGGACAGGAAAAGCAAAAACTGAACAAAATAGAAAGAATATATGAACAAAATAGACAAAATAAATATTGACACCCGCATTAGTGCAATTATGCACATATTGTCTGATTTCGCCTGAAAATGCTCATGCATTTCGTGCCACGCCCGTGGCTTAAGCTGTTTATGGCAGCACCACGTCTACAAAGCTCATTCGTAACCTTTATGTGTGTTCCCCTCAACATTATGCAGTGGAAAGGAAAAATAAGAACCCGATAAAGAAAACCACTCGGAAGAATATAATGAAGGATCACAAAAGTGGTTTCAAAAGTGGTTTCAAAAATGGTTTCAAAAATGGTTTTAAAAATGGTTTTAAAAATGGCCTTAAAAATGGCCTTAAAAATGGCTTCAGAAAGAGTCGTAAAAAGAAATACCCAAGAAAGAAACGCAAGGGAAGTGCCAATGTTGCACAGGGGGGATGAGTGACAACTTTTCTTTTTCCCCTTTGTGCGAATCAAATGCGTGCATTCTCTTCTGTTTTGTGTGTGTGTGTCGTCGTTTTTTTTTTTTTTTTTTTTTCACGTGGGCCATATAGCTGCCTCACCCTGGTTTATGCACATCGCACAATTTTGCCTGAACGTTAAGGTAAATAACTCGTCCGTTGGTCTATTTTGTAGACGTATATTAAATGTATAAATGTGTGCATGTAAGTATATGCACATGTAAGTATATGTACATGTAGGTATGTGTACATGTAGGTATGTGTACATGTAGGTATGTGTACATGTAGGTATGTGTACATGTAGGTATGTGTACATGTAAGTATATGTACATGTAGGTATGTGTACATGTAGGTATGTGTACATGTAGGTATGTGTACATGTAAGTATATGTACATGTAGGTATGTGTACATGTAGGTATGTGTACATGTAGGTATGTGTACATGTAAGTATATGTACATGTAGGTATGTGTACATGTAGGTATGTGTACATGTAGGTATGTGTACATGTAGGTATGTGTACATGTAAGTATATGTACATGTAGGTATGTGTACATGTAGGTATGTGTACATGTAAGTATATGTACATGTAGGTATGTGTACATGTAGGTATGTGTACATGTAAGTATATGTACATGTGTGTATACATATATGTATGTTGTGTAAACCCCCTTTTTGCTGTGTGCAATCCCAATTGAAACTGAGGCGAAGCGAAATGGCGATCGCCCTTTGCAATTTGAGTTGAGTAAAAGCTCATGGAATAAGAACGAGTTTCATCTTTTTGTCATTCTTTTTGTGCAATATGGACAAAGACCTTTTTGCTTATCTTGTAAATTTTTTATCTGAGAAGAGGAGGAGGGGTCTACAGGAATGCAAGCAAAAAAAAAAAAAAACGTTGTGTATTTGTGCATATGTATATAAAGTTATCCCCTCAGAGTATATATGTATGAATTCGTGAGTACAATTTTTTTTTTTTTTTTTTTTTTTTTTGTTTGCGTGATTTATGCCATTGTGTAATATTTGTGTTTTTTCCTTCTCCATAAATAAAAAACTTTTCTGTTGATCCCCTTCCAAAAATAAAAAAAGTTCATCAGTTTATATTTATAACCAAATTGTGATTAAGGGATAATATTTTGGCAATGGAAAATGTGCACATATTTTGCCTTGCTATGTATAAAAAAAAAAAAAAAAAAAAAAAAAGCACGAAGGCAATATAGTACAACACAATATAGTACAACACAATATAGTACGACACAATATAACACAACACAATGTAGCAAAATAACGAATGCGTAGCGTTGTCTCATTTTTGTCATTTCTGCACCCATGCCTTCTCTCTTGTTCTTTTTTCATTTCTCCATGCGTTTCATTGTCTCATCGCATTATTTTATTTTTTTAACACAAAATAAAGACAGTTAATAAAAATGATATGTAAGTCTTTATGTCACGAACATCATTCCACCATCACCACCACTACCATTTTCCCCTCTTTTTTTATTTCTTCGCCCAATTGACATTACACACTAACGTTGGAAAAAGTGCAAATGTAAAATTTTTACGTGCATACCGAGTTTATTAAATTTTATAGTGTTTATGACACAGGAATTGACGAATATGTCAGCCATTCTGACATGTACACGTGCATGCATATGGCGTTCAGAAAATTTCCAAATGATTGATAAAAACAGGTATAGATATAACATTTTCAAAATATATGTAGTTAGCAATGCAGGCTGTATATCAACGCACATTTTGCATGTCATAAGAAGTGATACAATAATTCACGAATTTTAATTTGTATGGGAAAATGGGGATTTGAAAATTGTTCAGCCGTGTATGGTCATATTTTTACAGTTTTTCAAAAGTTCAGGTGTTAATTTTTTTTTTTTTTTTTTTTTATGCTACTTTTGCACCACTTTTGCGCCACTTTTGCGCATCATATGTACACATGTATATATTTCTCACTTTTGGATTTTTTTTCTGTGCACAATTTCAATAAATTTATATCAAGTGAAAGAAAAAAAGTAAAAAAAAAAAAAAAAAAAAGAAAAAAAAACAGGAAATTTCATGCGAATTTGCAAGCGCACGTTATGTTCATCAGCATAGAACAAAATATATCTGAGAACAGGTTACATCACAAAAAGAAGAAAAAGGGAAAAGAAATCTTCCCCTCTCCCTTGCACCACTTCCTCTCGCTTCTTGCATTATTTTCGAGCCAAACATAATTGCATACATATGCACAAGTAATAAACGGATTGTGAACTCATCTTAGAAGAAATATATTTGAAGAGAAAAGAAAGGAATTGTTTCATATCGTGAGAGTAAGCATTACGAGAAGACGGAGAAGGCGTACGTAGACATACACATGCATGTACAAGCAAGATCAGGCATACAATGGGAAGAAAAACATGTGTACATGGAAGTATATCCATTTGTGTGCAACATATCTGTAGATATTAAAGTGACATGTGGAATAGAGTAAGAGGCAATAATTGGAGAAAAAAAAAAAAAAAAAAAAAAAAAAAAAAAAAAAATCAAAGAGAGGGAGGGAGGGGAAAAAGAACCCAAAGGATGGAGAAGGATGCATATGACAGATTGAGCAATTTTGAACAATACGTATATGTAAACATATTTGCCAACACATGAGCACATACAGCTGCTTCTTTTTTTTTGTGGAGCTTCCTCACCAGTGGGTTATGCTATAACATGCAAGAAGTGATACATATATGTGTGTATTTATAATACAAAAGGTGTTCAGACCCCGTGTCGATTAAAGAGGAGTATTCATTTTTTTATTTCGATCAAGGTGCAGAGTCAGTGCAGCAGAGGGAGAAAGAACAGAATTAATCTTTTCTGCTGTTGCTTCTCTCCTGTGCATCTTGCATGTGTTACCATATTTTATCTTGCTCTGTTTTGTTTTTCTCCCAATCTTGCATACACACCTGAAGGAAACATGCCGTCACTAAAGGAAGAAGTGCCGTTCGAAAGCAGAGTAGCAGAGACGCATAAAATCCGAGCCAAGTACCCGAACCGAATCCCTGTGGTTTGTGAAAAGGCAAATAGATCTAATTTACCAGAAATAGAAAAGAAAAAATTCCTTGTCCCAATGAATATGTTAGTAGGAGAGTTTAAGTTCATACTCCATCAACATATAAATCAAAGTGCCTATGGAAACAACATGAAACTTTTTCGAGAGAAGACAATATATCTTTTTGTTAATAACGTTATTCCAAAGACAGGACTACTGATGCAGGAATTGTATGAAATGTATAAGGACGAAGATGGTTATTTGTATCTTGAGTACAGTTGCGAGAGTTGCTTTGGTTAAGTTCAAAGTTCAATTTTTAGTCCAATTTGAGAAGAGATTGGGTGGTGTGTGTACCGATGACTTTTGTGCATATATCTAGTTATTCAAATGTAATAATGTATTTTTCATCTATTTTTACAAGTTTATAACTTCAAAACAAATGTTCTTCTTTCACTCTCGCATTTTACAACATCCTAAATGGATATAATTCAAAATAATGAAGGGGAATTTTTTTTTTTTTTTCATATTTTCAGTTCAAGACATAATTTACTGTCAATTATTTTTTTTTTTCTTTTCTCATATAAGACATAAACATTGTCATATTTGCTTGGCCACATTGCTTCACCATAACTAAAGTTGTTTTTCGTCCCTACTTCACGACTAAGAGGGAAAGAATGGTGAAGAAATAACCCCATGGTGCATTTCCCCTCCTACATGCAACAAGCATATTTTTGTATTTACCATTTATTATTTATGTGTATGGAAAGCAGTTAGTGCTTTACAACCTTTTGCATCTCCCATGGCCCTGGCCCTGGTCACGATTAGATGTTTTTATATATACTCTTCTCTCCATAGCTACTTTATTTATTTATTTTTATTTTATTTTTTTTTTTTTTTTGCGATGAATCCATGTAGCATATGTGTAAAAACAAAAGATCTTATTTCCCTTTTTTTTGGCATACCATTTTTGATAATCCTTTGTAGGTCCATAATCTTTTTCTTACATGTAAACTTCAAAGTGGAAGTCTTTTTTTTTTTGAAACACATATTTGAATTTTCTCATATTGATTATTAATACTACTTTACCTATTTTATATTTTAACTAGAAATAACATAATTTTTTTTTTTATTTATGTAGTAATTTTTTTTTTTTTTATTATATATATTGAGATATACGAATTGATAGTTATGCCAAATGGTACTCATATTCGTAAGAAACAACTCGATGTTAATTTTGTTACATTAGAAAGAAAAAAAAAAAAAAAAAAAAAAAAAAAAGCACTTCATACATTAGATGCTACAAATCAGTTTGATGGGGTAAAAAAAAGGGAACCTTATAACTGCGGTTGGTGTTCAGGCGGGAAAAAAGAAAGAGAACAAGAAAAAAAAAAAAAAAAAAGTAGGAAAAAAATTATCACTTCTCATTCGTAGAACGAATTTGCCATGTTAATGAGGGTGTGTGATTCACCAAAATCGGATGAACAAAAAAAAAAAAAAAAAAAAAAAAAAAGGCCAGCAACTTTGCACTTATAACAAAAATGTTTTCCTTCCATTTTGTTAAAATTTTACAATCAAGTTGCTGCCCATCTCCCACTTGATGACCTTTCTGTTGATCTTATTCTCAGTTCTATGTATAGATTTTCTCAGTACAAAAAAATGGATTATTAAACTCACCTGTGGTTGTATTAAATCATGTCCGAGTTCTTGTATAAAATTCCCCCCAAGTGGTGGTATAATTACACTTAATAAATATGGTTCCAAAAGATCACCTCAAAAAATTGTTGGCCAAAGGAGTGTTTTAAAATGTTACTTACAAAAGCATAATTTGAGAATGAAGCCTCAGGGCGGGAGGAACGTCCCTCCTGTTATGTATAAAACTAAGAAAGGAGGACTGATAAGAGAAAGGAAAAAAATATATATGAACGATTTAGAGAAACGGAACGAGAATTACAAAAAGTACATTGAGGGAATTTGTGAGGAGTTGAGAAGTATTCATAATAGGGAAGACAAAATGGAGCATCTTATGAGAGAAAATTTGGAAATATACAAAAACAGTTTTGCTATTCCAATAGATAGGAAAAAGTTTTCAACTAATGATGAAGTAATCTTTAAAAAGGGTAGTAGGAGCTTTTTTGTTAATCAAGTGAGGGATGGTGTGTTCTACAGGTACGTCAATAGATGTAATTCGAATTTGTACTTGGCTGTAGATGTCGCTGAGCAGTATGGGACACCATCGCTAGCAGATGCAGCATCGGCATGGTCAGTAGAATCAGCATGTTCAGCAGAATCAGCAGAATCAGGAGGGGAAGAAGTATCCCGGAGAGGCTACATAACCAAAGGGGGGGGGGAAGGAGAAAACACAGCGGAGTCGATTTTCTTCCCATCACCCGACAGGAGGTCCTCAAAAAATAAAGAAAATGATAAACTGAACAAGGTGAGAAAAATGAAATCGGTTGTCCCTATGTACAACAGAAGCTTCGTGAATCATCCTCTTTTGAAAAGAAGAAAATTTGTGATTACCATAGACGGGTTTAGTGATAACGTCATTTTGTACTGTTTCCTGAAGGTTCTGTTGAAAGGCCTTGAAAAGTTGGACTTGGAATTTTTTCTGAGCATGGGTTTTGAAAAAGTGATGAGTGAACTCAGGGATGTCTACACCATTCATGTAAATGTGGATCATATAGCTGAACACGTTTTTCATCGCGTGGAACGGGTTCTAACTCTCCACGGAGGGGTGGAGACATCACCCACAGAGGAGACATCACCTACAGAGGAGACATCACCCACAGAGGAGACATCACCTGAGGGTAAAAGATTGAAAGGTAGGGAGAGGAGGGAACAGACCATGGAGATACACCAACATCCCAGAATAGCACATATGTTAAGTGGTGGAGTTGATTCACTGATGGCACTGCGTCTGTTGGAGAGTAAAAATTTTTACATAAATAATTTTTTTTTAAATTTTACAAAAAGCGACTGTAGTAAAAATGACCTGAAGTATGTAAATAAAATATGTAGAAAAAGAAAAAATTTGTACATTATTAATATAAATGAAGAATATATTGAACAAGTTCTTGTACCTATGCTTAGAAGTTACGCAGGTGGAAAAATTCCCAATGCTGATATTATGTGTAACGAAAAGATAAAATACAATTTGCTTATGTTAAAGATAAAGCAATTGTGTAAAGAACATGGTAAACTACATGATTATTCATATATATCTACTGGTCATTATGCAATGATATGTACAAACGATGAATCCAATGTGAATAACATATTTAATAAGAACTTCCCGTATGTTGATGAAGGAGAGAGAAAATCAAAATATAACAGAGGAAAGAAAAAAAAAAAGAAGAGGTACCAATTAATTATAGGAAAAGATAAAAAAAAAGATCAAACTTTTTTTTTATCTTCCTTTTCGGAAAAACAATTATCTAAGTTTTTGTTTCCGTTGTGTATTTATCAAAAAAGGCACATTAAAAAGTTTATGCAAAGAAAGAAAGAGGATGAGGAGGAGGACTACAACAGGAAGGAGACTCGCGGTTTGTGTCTGTACGGTCAGGTGAACATGCAATCGATGCTTAGACTTTACCTTGGTTCGGCTTCCCTACAATCTAAACCCATTGATAATGTTACTACCCAAGTGGAAACCTCCACTTCAAGCGAAATTTCCACTCCGGGAGAAACCTCCACATCAAGCGAAATTTCCAACCAAGTAAGCACCAAAATGGAAGAATGGGCTAAGGAACAATTACATTCGTCTGAATTTCTCACTTTCAGAAGGAAATACATGACATCATTTGACCTACATTACAAGAACTACATAATAAATCTGGATGAAAGAAATGTGATAGATATAAATTCAGATATCCACCTGTACGCCATTGGACAAAAGAAATATATAACAAATTACATACACGAACTTTATAACAAAAGAAGTAAAGAAAACAAGGAGAAAAGAAAGGAGAAGAATTTTTACTCCTCATGGCAATGGACTGTAGTTTATAAGAAAATATTGAATAACTCCATTTTAAATGAAAAGGAAAATTTTATATATGTAAGTAGTGATTATGAGAAGGGATTATTTAAACATGTACGTATGAAGTGTAAATTGGATCGAATAAGATGGATACAGGGATCTCTTCCTTCTTGTTTAAGATCTCAAAGAATGTTAAAGAGAAAAGGAAAAAAAAAAAAAAAAAAGAAACCACGAACAGATACAAATAGAACAAAGGTTTCAAATGTAATATTTGTCAAAATTAGAAATAACGAAAAGATAAAGGAAGCTACAATAACTCTGGATGGTAAGGATGCAGAAACTGGTTACATGTTATTGAGACGTAAGGATATAGGATTGTCACCAGGGCAAATAATAACTTTTTATTTTCCATTCATTATAAACAAAAATGGAAAAACCAAATATGTGTACCACCCATTGATTCGGAAGGGAATTCGTAACAGTAAGTGCAATAGTACATGGAAGAGATCTATTTTTTTTCATTGTCTTGGTTCGGCTCGAATTAAGAACCAGTATCTGAACTTTGGTTTGTATCGAAGGATCATGAAAATTCACAAAGATAATGAGTTGCCACTTTTTGGAAAAGACGTCATTCAGAAGAAGGAGTGACTATCGAAAAATAACGACATGCTACTAGTGTGCAAAATGGTGGGTACAAATAGACATTAAAACATGTGGCAAATTATAGCGAGCGGAGGGGGGGTGGTGGAAATTAGAGGGGGGGGGGGGGGGGGGGGGGGTACTGAAACCACCTGTAAGTACACCTCTCGGATGCATAACTGCGCGAATATCCCATTTGCATATGTATCACTTGTATATATATATATACACCTGTATGTACAGGTGATTTGATCGCATATGTCCTGAGTAGGAATTAAATGGTACAGGACTCAAACATAACAACGTGAGCAGTGTGTGTGCCCCTGGAGGATGATAGTCAAAATGGGTAATTTCCAAAAGGGGGGGGGGGCGAAAACATACATATATGTATATATATATATATGTATATATATATATATATAGAGAGAGAGATATAGATATAGATATATATGCGCCCCATGAGGCATGCCTCCCCTTTTTTTTGGCATGTTCTGCCTACACACAGATACCCGCAATGAATGATTTTACTTTACTGTATTTCATTTTTTTCACTTGGCTTTTTTTGGTAAAAATTTCCGCCCAACCCAACAATCTTAGCCTTATATCATGGCAAATGGTCAGTGTCAAAAAATGTAAGAACAGAATTTATCTCTCGCTCCCCATTTCGACAGTTTTTGTCATTTTTTCATCGTAAAATTTTATCTCTGTATTATGTGAAAGGAAAAATAATGAGACGTTTTTTTATTGTTTTTACTTTTATATTTTTTTTTTACTTTTTTTATTTTTCTATTTTATTATTTTTTTATTTTTTTTATTTTCTCCTTATTCCCGTTGGCACAAAATCAGCATTCATTTTTACCTGAATATGTGCAGGCGAATATGATTTTATGAATAAGTGCAAAAATGTATCATGTCCCGTTTTGTAGAAGTTGGGGTGTGGTGGATGGAATGTGTGTAGATAGTGGCCTACAACACATGAATATGAACATTTATATTATATGTGTTATGTACATATGCATGTGTGAATATTTGGATGTAGGAAGGAGGAGAGCATTCATAAGCAATGTTTTAAAAACAAATCTCTTTAAAAATGGAGTATATATATAAAAAAAAAAAAAAAAAAAAAAAAAAATGATAAAAATAGATCTCCCTTGTGGCTAATGTACAATCACATGAGGTTTTCACACAACTGATTAAGGTCCAAGGAAAAAGCCATTGTTAAAAAACATTTCGTTTCAAAGGGAAAGGAGGGGAAAAAAAAAAAAAAAAAAAAAATATATATATATATATATATATATATATATATATATATATATACACATGTGTAGTTATGCATATATACACACGTAGTTATGCATGTATAAACAAATAGTTATGCATGTATACACATATATATTTATACATATATGTATGTAAATGCATATATAAGTATGTGCATCCATGTATATATAAGTGTATATATATAAATGTATATATAAATGCACGCATATGTATATTTTTCAGCAATATGCCTATTCACCATTTCGCGAACGCGTGGGGAGAAACAAAAAAATACATTATGTAAAGAATTTTATTTTATTGGCTTTTGACATTTATAAAAAGTAATTTGGCAGCTTGCTTATCAAGGAAGTATATGAGCATTTTACCTCTCTCTAGTTCTCATTCTCGTTCATTCTCTCTTTAGGTTTACTCCCTTTCGCTTGCTCCCTTTCACTGACACTCCTTGTACTTGTGTGTTGTTATATATGCATGCACTAATGTGTATGTCTGAGATAGAGGAGAAAAATATCCCTTGAAGGGGGGGATGATACCTTTAAAAGGGTAACGTCGGAGGTGATCTTCCAGAAACGTACTTTTTTTTTTTTTTTTTTTTTTTCTCCCTAATTGTGTTATTTTTATATGTTCTCTGATATATCCAAAGGGAAGAAATGTACCTTTTCAAAAATGGGCAGTGTCGATGAGGTTATGAAAAATGATGATAATACCTTTTCACACATGAGTACTGAAATACAAAATGGGGAAAAAGGAGGAAATTTCCAGTACAAGCAGAAACAAAGGGAATATGGTGAGTTACACGAGATTCTTACAAATGTTGACATGAACAACACAGGGGTGGGGAGAGGTGGAGAAGACACATCTATGTTGAATACCTATATGGTAGAGGGTAAAGCTGAGCATAGCAAGGTTAAGAACGGGTCAGATAGTCTTAAAAATGTTCCCCTTTTGGATGAGAAAAATGGAAAAATGATGACAAGTCAAGGGATGCATGAAATGTGGAATATAGGGAAGAATAACAGAGAGAAAGAAATGAGACTTAGAGACAGTAATAACCACGTAACAGTAAATGCAAGTGTACATAATTGTGTGCATAGCAAGATAAGTGTGGAAGAAGGGGGATATAAGACATTGGAGGAATCAAGAAAAATTTCAAATCCTGTAAAAACGATAGAAAATGTGAAAGAAATATTGAGGAATAGCCATAAATACATGATGAATAATTCCTCTAATTTGAAAACATATCAGCTGAATGGTATTATAGAAAACTTTTACAACGAGACGGGTACTCTCTTTGGAAATGGAGCAGATTTAAAGGTAGTGGAAAACGGTTCAGGTCCGGGATGCAAATATATGAGGGAAGACAAACTTGGTGCATTGAGCATGGGCCAAGTGAATAGCGACCCTGTGAAAGTGAACCGAGTGAATGGCGACCCTGTGAAAGTGAACCGAGTGAATGGCGACCCTGTGAATGTGAACCGAGTGAATGGCGACCCTGTGAAAGTGACCCAAGTGAATGGCGACCCTGTGAAAGTGACCCAAGTGAATGGCGACCATGTGGATATTGATAGAATGAATGTTGACACAAATGAAGCGAATGGCATAGACATATCAACCCTATTTGGAAACATGAATTCATCACTTCCACTGATCCTTAATGGAATATCAGAGACATTAGAACACATTATGGCTGTTGATAAAACAAAAAATAAAAATAAGAACAAACTAATACAAGTTGTGCAAAATGTACATATGCTCATGAGATCGTATTACAACATAGTACTAAAGTGCGATTCTAAATTGTCATTCATTGTTCAGAAAATCAGAAAGCTGTATAAAGCATATAAAAAGTTGAATAAAATTTCTCGGATATCTAATAAAATGAACATCCGTGTTGATCATTCTCTTCACCACCTTTCTCCCCATGCTCATAATGGTTCACTTGAGTCACCAGTTGTTAGTAGTACTACTACTGCTACTGATACCAAGATTGGTCTCTGTAGTGATATTCCAAAAAGAAAAAACAATACAGAGGACGCTATACATAAAGGAGAGGAAAATACCCATCTACCATGCAATAACATTGGCTCCTTAGCTAATGGTGAAGGCACAGGACAAAAGGCGTTTAATATAGAGACGGCTCTTTCTAATCATGAAAACGAGATTATTCGATATGGGGTAAACAAACGAGAACACTGCAACTACACTAGCACGGACAATTTCCAAAGTGAAAAATTGCAAAGGTTTGTCGGTGCAACTCATAGTGAAGTACCCAGTGAGGTACTTGGAGAAGCGTATAATGTTATGGAATTAGAACCACAGAGTAAACACTCAGTTGAGAATAGCAATCATGATGGCATGGATGGAGGACGAGATGAAAATGGGCCACATCTGGGTGAGCCACATCTGGGTGAGCCACATCTGGGTGAGCCACATCTGGATGAGTCACATCTAGAAGAGTCAGTGAAATGTGATGTGATTCTAACTCCTTATCAGGACGGAACCATCATAAATGATGATTCGAAAAGGCAGATGCCGAGTAGTAGCAACTTCCGGGAGAAAGAAGACCAACACCCCCCAGTTGCATACAAATTAAGCCATTCTTTTGTTAAAAGTGAGGATACTTGCAGCTATAAAAATCTCACAAGTATCGATTCCAAATCGACAGCTTTGTCAAATCACAAAGAGGACACGGGGTCCTTCTCCATCACAACAGAAAAGAAAAAGCACGTGGACGCAAAAAAGAAAAAAAAAAAAGCACAAACTGATCAAGCAGCAGAAGAGGCAGAAGCAGAAGAAGCAGGTGAAGCAGCACATAATGAACAAAAAAAGAAAAAAACAAAGGAACGGAAGAAAACAAAAAAAAAAAATGAACAGAACAAAACAAAAATACTGAACGAATTAAACAAATTAAATTCGCTCTTTTTTTTTACGTTCAATCATAAGGGGGATATAATAAATTATCTACATAAAGAAATCAATTCGTGTATTTCAGAATTCGACGCAGCATACCAATTGTATATATCTAAATAAGGGTTCTCTCCCGCGCTTTTTTTTTTTTTTTTTATGGCCCTGCTTTTTTGTATAACACCATGGGGATATGATAAACGCCAAATTCATTTTTTTTTTTTTTTTTTTTTCTGTTTCGATGAAAATGCTGCACAGAAGCTGCTAGTTGTATGTGTGTGTGCATTTGTATCTGCATGTGAAAAGGCATGTCCCATTTGTGTCGTCTTTCCTGAAGTGGTATAACATCTCGTTTTATTTCCACTCACCTTTTTTTTATTTTTTCTGATACGCAATTCTTTTTGATGCGCATTTCATCTTGACGTTAACACTTTTTTTTTTAATGGCAATCGGGAAAGTATTCTCTTTACTTTTCTAACACTTTTTTTTTTAATGGCAATCGGGAAAGTATTCTCTTTACTTTTCTAACACTTTTTTTTTTAATGGCAATCATGAAAGTCTTCGCTTTCTTGTTCTAACATTTTTTTCCTCCCCCCCCCCCCACCCAATATATATGGGTTTTAAAGGCGATACTCTGCTCGAGTTCGTTTGACTCTCCACTCAAGAGTCCTCCAAAAACCCAGAGTGGTGAATCAAAAGTTCATGTATTTTAAAATGGCGTTTGATAGCTGATGTGAGATATTCTTCAGAAAAGTAGGAGCATCGAGGTTATTCATGAAATTTTTCTTCTTTCTGGAATTATAAATATAAGTTGTGTATATGTCTTCGATATTTCCTAATTCCATTTCACATAACCACATATCAAAAAGGATGTTGTGCATTCGTTTGTTGGAGTTTTTTTTATGGCTATCCAAATTAGCTTTTCCATTTGGAATTTCCCCTGGGTTCATGTAATCAAGATCTCTCTCATCTTGAGGAAATATGTTCATATGTTCTTGTCTTTTGAGCCTCCCTTTTATTTCCTGTTGTTTCTGTTTCTCATTAGTATTGTTTTTACCAATGTTAGTGGCATCCGAGTGAGTACTCCCATTTTTGTATAGTTTACATTCTATCGTTTTACACACATCTGCTGTATATCTCAAAATGTGTTCTATGGAAAAGCCGTTCCCCAAATTGGGGTCCTGGTGCTTCTCTGATTCTTCCCTCTTCAATACTTTAACAACATACATAATATCCTTCTGTATATTTTTGATTTTTTTGTCAATTCGATTGAATATTTTTATCATTAGTTGGAGTTTGAATTCATCTGAGTCCTCTTCTGGTTGGTCTTCTCGATCCTTTTCGCTAGCTTCGCTTGCTGTGTATCTTTTTCTACTGTCTAGCTTTTTTTCATGGCGTATATCTAATTTGGTTTCTTTGTTTAATGTGCACAATTCTGAGAGAGCGGCATGGGGGGAAGACCTTCGGAACGACGTCCCATTGCGGTTCAACTCGGAACGGGTTCTGCTTCTATCCCTGCTCCTATCCCTGCTCCTATCCCTGCTTCTAGCCCTGCTCCTAGCCCTGCTTCTAGCCCTGCTCGGGGGGGGACTGGAGCAAAGTATGGGATCATCTTCCGATTTGACCTTGTCGCATAAATGTTCTGCATCCACCACACTGACGTGAGAAGTGAGTAGATCACTGTGCTCTTTTATATCTTCCTTGTGAAAAAAAAGATCACAGGGACCCAGTTCTTCTGTGTAGGGAAGGGATAACTGTTCAACCCTTTCACCAGATGTGGAGCTATCAAAATGGGTATCCATCTGGAACTCATCAATTTCTTTTTCGATTAAAATTCTGTATTTATATGCTTTCTCCTTAAGTAAATAAAATTTTGTTTTTATTTGATACACATTATATTCTGGAAACACAATCAATTTGTATAAATGAAATGATTCCAAAGAATATTCCTCCTGTACTTCTCTTTCAAGTTCATTTTGTATATTATCTTCCCTCTTCAATTCACACTTTTTGTTTGTCTTTACTTTTTGATGATAAGAAACAATCATAGGGTTCTTATTTTGTCCATATTGTGTAACATTAAATTCATCAGTGTCTGCAGCAAGGTATGAAGGTTTATTTGTACATTGGCTATTATATAATTTCCCTTGAATAATATTTTTTGAATTGTAATAATTCATATGAGACAATAAAAGAGTTTCACTTGTTTTCATTTTTTTCGAATGAAACATTAGAGCCCTAATTGTGGTAACCCAATAGTTAAATTCTTGTAGACATTTACAAGTTAGTGTTATTTTTTTCTTCTCATTATTGTATACAATAGAAAAAGATAACTTTTTCAAAATGTCTATCTTTAGATGTTCCAATATTTGTTCATGCAGGTTATTTATTTCTACACTATTTATATTTTGAAAATAGATTTTACATTGATCATCTGTTTTCCGTGCTGAGAACCACTTAATGAAACTTAAATCTTTACTTACAAAAAAAAAACGTAAATGTGGAACACTATATAGAGTATGTTTCAATAAATTCCCTCCTTCTTTTGTAAACTCAATTGCTCTTAATACTTGTGGAAATTTTAAAGGATTTTGTAATTTTTTTTCTTCAGCTGGGTATTTTTTTTTAATTATGTATTCTTCATTTGGTTGTATATTCCCTAAACTTTCATGTTCATACATTTCACATATTTTGTAATATAAAACTTGGTTTTTTTTTTCTTGTACTTGAATTTTTTCAATGTTTTTATTTTCTTCCTTAAATATATTTTCTTCTCTCACTTTTTCCAAGCGGGTGAGGTAGAACTCTTCATTTGCAATATTTATGCAAAAGTTGTATACACACCTTTGAATTTCCTGTCTCTTCATAGTGCTCTCCCAATGATAAGAGAACTTTTTCCCTTTCCACCACATGTGTGCAATGTGCACCATAAGGGAGGTACGTGCACAACATTCAGCTGAAAGTGCCATTTGTACATTTGGCATTGTTGCATTGTTCACATTTTCAGTAGGGGTGAAACGACCTCTGTCATAGTGCTCGCCATGTTTGCGGTTCACACTACTCGAGTGGGTAGCACAATTTGGAGGATTTACAAAATCTTCATTTGTTTTCATAACAGAAATGACAGAATTTATCCCTTTCGACTTGAACTCATTCACAGTATCTCTTCCGTTCTTGGATTCAAGAGTTATACCATCTTGAATATTTTTTAGAATATCTTCAATAGAATTTGTCTTGGGTAGACTTTTCTCCCAATTTCTACCTGAAGTTAATATATTTTGAAACTTGTCTTCGAGATGATTTTCATATTGGTCTACTGCTTGTTCGCATAATAAAATTGGATCCCTTGTTTCGTTCGACAATTGGATGTTCCCTTTAGTGAGCTTGTACTGTACCGCTTGTCCATTTGAAGCACTTGAACATTCCGGCATATGACATTTCTGAAATTCATTTCTTAATATTTCTTCATTTACTTCTGATTCGTTGGGAGTGGATATCCCCTCATACATCGGATATTTGTAAATCATTTGAAATTCTTTTTCAAGATTGCTAAATTTCATGGAGGCAAAGTTTGAAATGCTTGCATCATCATTACTGTTAACTTTGTTGTCATGAAACTTGTCCGATTTGTTATCCTCTTCCACTTGCAGGTTTTCCAAATGAGTTGTGTTTGTTTTTGCATATTTCTGTTCAATGTTCATGTTTTAATAACAAGCAACGGATGTAAGTATGGGGAGACACACACTGCAATGGGGATACCCGTGCACCGAAATGAATGCATCACACAAATGATCCTTCCCTAATAGCTGATTTTGGGGGGAAATAAAAAAAAAAAAAAAAAAAAAATAGCTATTTTCGCCTGACTGTTCAGGTAATTTCATAAACGACTGCGTGCACACAAAGTGGTACAATTGCACACACGCATGCGAATGGGCGTTAGGCTTGTGGGAGAATTGATTCTTGGTAATTCCTCGTACTCATAAGTTTTCGCTCTTGGAAAAAAAATATACACATGTATGCATATATATATGTATAAAAAGAAATTAACAAAATGGAGTAAAAAAACAGGGAGCAGATAAACAAGAAGATAAGATAATTCACAGGGTTGTGATCACCTCACTGGGGTAGTGAGAAAAATACACTTTGCACAAAAAGACAACGACTGCAATTGGCACGCGTGGGAATCATATGTTGAAAATGAACCTTTATGTCACCTAATGGTGTAACAAAAAAAGGTTTTCAATATGTAAGTTTTTCGCAATGTTTGGCATGCTTAGCCCGTAAGGCGTTTTTTAACATTTTTTAACATATTTTAACATATTTTAACATATTTTAACATATTTTAACATATTTTAACATATTTTAACATTTTTTAACATATTTTAACATATTTTAACAGATTTTAACATTTTTTAACATATTTTAACATATTTTAACATTGTTTTTTGTTTTCTTCCTTTTTTTTATAACGTGCGAAAACTACCTCCGCTGCATGTGATAAACCACGGCTAACCAGTCGGTGTGTCGCACGCATGCAGGGTAGAAAATAATATTGTGACATTCTCTTCCTTGGTCGACATAAAACCAAGGTGAAGAAATAGTTAAGATGTGGTGCCCTGTCCGCAAGTATGTGCGGATCCTACATGTGTTCTTACGCGCTTTCTCGATATTACACATGTACAAAACATGGATATGCATATCATTTTTATACATAAGCAATTTTACATGCAAACAATCGATATTTTCATAAATGGAAACATAAAGAGGGGGATACATGTGACTGAAAAAGGTGCAAAACGTGAAATGGAGTGGACGGAGGAGGAAAAAAGTACAGAAAAGAAAAAAATATGGAAAAGGAAAAAATATGGAAAATATAAAAATATGGAAAATATAAAAATATGGAAAATATAAAAGTGAAGGATTTTTTTCAGAGTAGTGCAAATGTTGCATACATTTTTCTCAATTATTTAAGCGAATGGGTGTTTAACATACAGTCACACTGATAAGTAGTTGCGCCTGAAAGAGCAGGGAGATGTCAAACTCGAGCATGCACTAGCACGTGCATACATGTATACATGTATACATATATATACGTACATATACGTGCATATATGTACAAATACATATGTATATGTAAACCCGCTTTCACTTCTAAAGTATAAGCTAACTAAATCGAAGAAATAACAAACGTTTGTTAACTGGCATGGAGAAAAATAAGACTGTTCAAGTTTACTCCCCTCCTCTTACACTTTTACTGAAAAGATTAATTTAAGATGTGCTATAATAATAGGGGAGGGATCAGCACGTGTTCATGTAGAACTTTTCCATTTTAGCCTCATTTTTTTTTTTTTTTTTTTTTTATGCTTTTGTTGTTCCATTTTAATCGCAGTTTTTTTTTTTTTCTTTTGTGCTTTTGTTGTTCCATTTTAGTCGCAGTTTTTTTTTTTTTTTTTTTTTTTTTTTTTTTTTTTTTTTTTTTTTATTTTTTTTTTTTTTTTTTTTTTTTTTTTTTTTTTTTTTTTTTTTTTTTGTTTTTTTTTTTTTTTTTTTTTTGTGCTTTTGTTGTTCCATTTTATTAGCATTTAATAGAAAAAAAAAAAAAAAATGGAAAATGGTGAAGCCAGTAAAAGCCCTGGAGAAATAGATGATGCATATTTTTGCAAAATTATAAAAAAGGAATTACAGGTATGCACAGACACATGCACACGAACCCTGCATATGGAAATTGTATACATGTGTATTGTGGTGCAAGTTTACACTTATTCCTTTCCTTTGATGTTGTTAATTGACTTTGCATGTTCCATAAAAAAGAGTCACTTTCCTCAGGCGGGGAGGTCTATCGAATTTGCATTTCAGCTGTGTTAAGAAGAAAATGTTAAAGGAAAAAAAAAAAAAAAAAAAAAAAAAAAACTGTAGAAAATGAAAAACTCTTTTAGTAGAAATTGTGAATAGACTTATTTTTACCTTATCCTTACTTTGTTTTGCCACCATTTTCGACATTTTTGTGTAAACCAGCGCTGTATAGCCTATGCTGTGTCACTCACTGAATGCACACGCTATGTCTGGGAATCTCTCCTGTCGATTCTATTCTAGTGTAGTGCACACCCTCACAAATGTGAAAGAATGTAAATCTGTCACTGCTTCTACGCACTTGTGTAGGATTACTTATGTATGTATGAGCTTAATTATTCATGGGACACTTTTTTTTCTTTTTTTCTTTTTTCTCTTTCGCCTCACTTCTTTTTAAAGGGCATAACACATGAGTATAAAAAGAAAACACAAAAGAATTTTTTTTTCGAATGTATTCTCAAGACAGAGTTATTTGTAGTAACTTTTTTTCTGATACCCTTATTTACATGTTTGTTTTTCCTTAAAGGTATGTAAAAGGAAAGAAGTGTTATGTGGGTACCGGACGAGAGTGGTGGTTTAATCACTTTTTTTTTTTTTTTTTTTTTTTTTAATTTCATTTCAGTTTTCACTGCCCTGTCACTGTCTCATCGAAATTATGGTAACCTTTTTCCCCAATTTTATAGATAACGATATAATAAGTCAGCACTATTTAACATGTTTGTTTTTTCTCATATTACTTCTTCTACTTTTGTTCGTGTTTATTTATCACGAAATTAAAGAGGCTCAAGTAAGTTAAGATTATATGTCTGTCTTTGCGTGTTTTTATGAGGAAATATAATTGTAACACATACTCTACATTGTGCCGTATGCATTACACACTACGCATGATTCATGTAGACATTTCAAGGTGGAATATTGCAATTTTTGCAACAAAGAACAATGCAAATTTATTGACATTAGTTTTACATGAACATATGATCGGAATTGGCCGATGGAAAAGCTAATCATGTATGGTGATGAATCTCCTACACTCATTAAGAATTTTTTTTTGCAAAATTTTGACTTCTTTTTTGAATTTGTAGAACAAGGAATTTTTAAGTAAAATAAATGAAGCCACTAAATTATTGTCATCAAGAAATTTTCCTAAGAACAAGAAGGAAGATTTTCACTTTAATTGTTTACCCAGTTCTAATTTTATTTTTGTTCTGAGGAACAAAAGATGGGAACTCTTACCAACCAACCTGGTAGGGGGAAAAAAAAAAAAAAAAAAAAAAAAAAGAGAAGGAGAAGGAGAAGGAGAAGGAGAAGAAAAATAATATGTACACATGTTCTCCCGTCGCACTTCTATTCCAACACATGCACGTGTATATATTTCATTTGTGCATGTCCACCTGTACGCAGCAAGTAGAGGAAAAAAAAAAAAAAAAAAAAAAAAAAAAAAGTCTGTTCTTATGCCTTTGTATATGCTCTTGTTTCTGCCCGTTTTATGCATATGTGTATGACCTACACGAATTAAATATTCTCTCATCTTTGTACATCTCCCTCACCCCTGTGCAGCTAATCAAGCAGGATGTCTTTTTACTACGCGCGGGGGATCTGATTCCATGCAGATGCATAGAATACAACATGAAAGAGAATGGTATGATACATGTTCAAGCGTAATAGATATGTGCTATGCTAGTTGTGAAATTTTTTCCTGTCCTGTATTTTTTGCAGAGATATAATCTTTTGTGTTTATGCATTTGGCATGTTCTTCTTCTTCTTTCCATCCCCAATTTGCATGCCCTCCATTTTGCAGCATACGGGAGGAGATATGAAAAGAATGAAGTGTTCATGCCTATGGACAAATATAAAATTAGCATGAACTTATTGACAAAATATGCAAAGGATGATAAGAGGGATTACCTCCCTTCCTTCCACTTGTACTCATTCTTATCAGAAGAAGACGTGTCTATATCTATTATAAAGAAATATATGCAAGAATTTGGAGAGAAGAATAAAAATTCCAAAAATAGGGAAAATTTAAGGGACGTCATATTAACTGAAAAGATACATACATTTTACCTCTACCTTTGGATTTTCCTCTTTTCAATATCATCAGTATCCTCTCTCCTATAGTAAGGTTTTGAAAATTATATATTCAAACATGCACCAAGAAATTTCTTCGCCTATCACATCTACAACCGAACCTGGTTCTCTCTGGGAATAACCGCGTGGAAAAACATGTCCAATGTCTGAGCTTATACCTAATCACATTCACGCTTAACCTAATCACATTCACGTCTAACCTAATCACACTCACGTCTAACCTAATCACATTCACGTCTAACCTAATCACATTCACGTTTAACATAATCCCATTCACGTTTAACCTAATCACATTCACGTTTAACATAATCACATTCACGTCTAACCTAATCACACTCACGTCTAACCTAATCACATTCACGTTTAACCTAATCACATTCACGTTTAACATAATCCCATTCACGTTTAACCTAATCACATTCACGTTTAACATAATCACATTCACGTCTAACCTAATCACATTCACGTTTAACATAATCACATTCACGACTAACCTAATCACATTCACGTATAACTTATTCATTCCATCCTTTTAAGCTTCATAGACATCCGGAGACACAGAAATGGCATTCCACATTTTGTCGTTATGTATTTCGTGCTTTACAATGTATTGATGTCGATTACTATGCTGCCCTTTTTCCACAGGTAAGTTTTGATTAGGACAAAACCCCAAAATGGTGAAATGTCATCTTATAAGAAACGAAGTGATGAGGGTCATCTGTAAGATAGCACCTGATTAGATGGACAATACCACCATCACCTCCCCTCTCCCCCTCCTTGATACTACCTTTTCCATTTTGCAGAATATTTTCAGAACTACTTTATGGGTACTGTTCATCCCTTAATATGATATATGAAAATTACTTTAAGGACGAAACGAATTGTGAAAGTAACTTTTCTTCATCCTTTGATTTCTCATCAACAACTGAAGAAAGTTCCTATGGGAATAAAAAAAAGTTCGGTTTGTTTTACACGTTGAAAAGTATTTTTCTTTTAATCATTAAGGTAAAATTTCGATTGCAGATGCTGTGAAAATGGTAGCACTGCGATGATATGTACATATGTATTCACATATATATATCTACATACATATATGTATATACATATATATAATGCGTGTATGGAGAAGTAGAGGGAAAAAAAAAAAAAAAAAAAAAAAAAAAACACTCACTTGGGCAAGAAACGTACTATATACATCATATGGACAAAAGACATTTATCTTCATATCGTCTCCATCTAGCTTTTTTTTTTTTTTTTTTTTTTTTTTTTTAACCAACTACAGGGAATAAGAATAGACAAATGTTATCTGAATATATTAAGCGATTGTTCAGTTTTATGCTTCTTGGATAGCAGTGGAATTTTAGTGAATACAAATCACAGCATTAAAGAAATTTGTATATACAATTACATGAACAACAAGAGGGATATTCCTCAAAATACTAGTATGGCGAAAGGAATTCCAAATAATCATAATTATATGCTAACGGTTATTGACATACTGATGGACAATAAGAGTATGTACGCATATCAGCGAATCAAGAATATTAAGATTTTACACTCTCTGTTTTTGTTGTCATACTACACGCAAGTCCCCAAGTATATAAAGTAATAAAAGAAAAGAAAAAAAGAAGTAAAAAAGAAGAAGTAAAAAAGAAGAAGTAAAAAAGAACAAGTAAAAAAGAACAAGTAAAAAAGAAGAAGTAAAAAAGAAGAAGTAGAAATAAAAGATCCTTTTTTATTTTTAATTTAAATTGTGTACTTTGCTGCTTGATGGGGTGGTGTGCTGAGCCATGCTCATTTGTGTTTCCATTTCGTCTACTTGCTGCATACATATGGACACGCACAAATGAAATATATACATGTGTTGGAACGCGGGCTCGACGGGCGAACATGTGTACATATTATTTTTCTCTTTTTCTTCCTCTTTCTTTTTGCAGAATTCTGGACGAGTTTCAAAACAACATCCTGAATTACATGAACCAACTTGATTACAGTCACCTGTACATATGCCTTTGCGACATAGGAAATATTTCCTACCCATACAATAAATTTGTTTTTCACATGTAAGTAAGAGAAAGCAAAGTGGGGGGGGAGTGGGCATGTCATATGTGTAGACGTCATAATGATTACGTCAGCATAATGGTAGTTTTTATTGAGGAATAAATGAGGGAAAAAAGGAATGTTATTTTAGAAGACAAGACATTCAAGTGGAATTTCACTTATTGTTACGTGTTTGTTTTTATGTACAATTCATGTTTTTTTTTAAGCTCATTCTCACTATGTCCTACTTCACTCCAATATTCATTACTTTTAACCTCTACTTGGATGAAGGCTGTTTTTCTGTGTCGAAAATAAAAGCGATTATGAACTTTACAAGAAAAAGCATTGTGAACTTAAGAGACATAAGAAGCCTCATTGGGACACTGATGATCGCCCTTACTATGTGCATGAACATGATGAAAAAGAAAATTCATTGGGTATAAACATATATGACAATGTAATATCCAGGGACAATTTTGTTTTTATTTTCATTTTGTGTGAGAAAAAGAAGGATAGGTATCACCTCTTTCTCAAGGTAAGCCATGCATAAATGTCTGAAACTGCTTCCGGCCGGTTTGGGGCCCCGAACGTGTGAACGAGCCACATTGTAGGACACGCTAGAAAGAGCAGAAGAGGGAAGCAGAAAAAGAGAGAAGAAGCAAGAGGGAAGCAGAAAAAGAGAGAAGAAGCAAGAGGGAAGCAGAAAAAGAGGGAAGTAGAAAAAGAGGGAAGTAGAAAAAGAGAGAAGCAGCAAAAGAGTGAACCTGAAAAAGAGTGAACCTGAAAAAGAGTGAACCTGAAAAAGAGTGAACCTGAAAAAGAGTGAACCTGAAAAAGAGTGAACCTGAAAAAGAGTGAACCTGAAAAAGAGTGAACCTGAAAAAGAGTGAACCTGAAAAACAAAGGAAGTCCCCCCCCCCCTCCCCTCGTAGGGCCAACTGGATGCCTTAGTGAACAAGTGCATGTTTTACTATGACGGAACAATTATAAAGAAGCTGAAGAGGAGAAAAAAAAAGGTTCTACGCATTTTGAACATGCAATGGATTTCCTCAGGTTACCCAGACATGCATCATTGCCCCCATTTATATGTGCACATATGTACGTATTCCAGCTAGCTATTTTATCAATTCTTGCAATTATAGAAATTGTCCGCTTCGAGGTCATACCAGTCCTTCAGTCTCGTTTTGCGCCTTTACAAATTTTGTGTCATATTTTTTTCTCTCTTTTCCCCCTATTGCATAGGCATCGAAAGCATTTGCTTTGCGTACAGGCCCCTGAGCACAGATGAAACAAATTACTTAAAGACAAATTTCAGTAAAAATATATACATATTGACAATAAATAAAAGGAAAGTGTATAATATTAAAAATTTTTATAATGAAAAACCATTTCCAGTGAAGGAAAACGAGAAGTTCCTATCACACTTACTCTCCACCAGCATCTTCATCGGTGAGGAACAACATCATTAATCCGTTGGTGTGTTCGTTTTGTGTGTTGTATGCATTTTTTTTTTGATGCACAATTCTGTTAAAAGAAAATGTTAGCAATTGGACGCTTGAAATGGTGGGGGTTCATCCACAAATAGAGTGACACATGCAGAGAGGGGGTACACAACCTTTTCCATTGGCATCTCCCACCCCATCCACTTTGCAGGCAACTCTGCAGTTAAACTTATGACGAACAATGAAATTCAGACAAGGGTAAATGATTTTTATGATGTAAGTTTTTCAAAATTGGCAAAAATGCAAAGGAAAGGAGCTCCTGTTTAGTTCCTTTGCAGGGTGTGCGCGCTTTGGGCGTTCATACGCATGTATATGTTTGAATGTTTGCATGGTTGAATGTTTGCATGGTTGAATGTTTGCATGGTTGAATGTTTGCATGGTTGAATGTTTGCATGGTTGAATGTTTGCATGGTTGAATGTTTGCATGTTTGAATGTTTGCATGTTTGAATGTTTGCATGTTTGGATGTTTGCATGTTTGAATGTTTGCATGCTTGAATGTTTGCATGCTTGAATGTTTGCATGTTTATATATACACACGCACATTCACTTCTTTTTGTGCCTCTTTTCCAATGCTATCTCCATATTTGCGTGGGGCTGATGCAGGCCGGAATTCGGTTTGTGTATTTCAGCAAAACAGACCAAGGCAACACGAGGAATGTGGCGAATTTGTTAGGAATAGAGACTAATTGGAACACTTCCATCTCCCTAAGTCTTAATGATAAGTAAGTGCATGCAGGGTAGATTAAGAGTAAGGAATCTTCTTGTTTTGGGATTTTTGAGTACCCGTCCGCATGAATACACAGATAGGGGGGGGGGGGGGCACCACCCCAATTTTTTTCTTTCTCTGAGGGAGTTGATACTTTCCATACAAGATTAGCATCGCACTAGGGATATGCCCACACGAACACTCACGAACACTCACGAACACTCACGAACACTCACGAACACTCACGAACACTCACGAACACTCACGAACACTCACGAACACTCACGAACACTCACGAACACTCACGAACACTCACGAACACTCACGAACACTCACGAACACTCACGAACACTCACGAACACTCACGAACACTCACGAACACTTACGAACACACATGTATGTATGCTTTCCCGCCTTGCACTCATCGAAAGGTCGAGCTTCAAAAACAGAGACGGAAAGGTGGTTATCCCCAGTGGAATAAATAACATAAAGACGCACATAAAAGAAGTAAGGAGGAAGAAAAGGAAACAAAATTAGTCCAAAAAATTTTCCCACGTTCACAGTTACCATATTTCTGCATATATACTTCTGCATCTGCATGTTCGTACGTGTGAATATGCACACGTTCACACACAAACAAGCATACTCAGAAAAACACAAACACACCCAATTCCATGTTTGAAATCCACAGATTGATGACATCCCACTTCGAGTTTCGACCTACTCCGGATGTAACAAATTCAACACTGCGGAAATGATAAAAATATTGCTTGTAAGTAGGTTCCACAAAAGGGGGGTTGAGGGTGCGACTCGTTAAGCAGCGGTCAAAATTTTTTTTTTTTTTTAAACACATGTTGGATGTTTTTTTTATAATACTATACACTTATGAACAGTGTGAAATATCAGGAAAAAAAATTTTATTTAAAATGAATAAGTAAAAGTATACAAGCACATATATCTCCCTGTCCCCCCCCCCCCCCGCTCCTACCCCTCTACCCTCACTACCACTACATGGCACATGTCTAATGGTTATTTTATTTTCTCTCATTTTTTGCTCCCTTTTTTTCATCTCAGGAAAATAATGAGATTATCACTTGTGTAGGAAACAGCCTTAATTGTTGTAACTTTGAAATATACAATATGTGCAACTATGCAATATCCATTTTGCTGCCATTCAATAATATATGCAAAGACTGTCAAGGGAAAAGAGAACGAAATAGTCCTTTTGATGAGTTGTCAACAAGGCAAAACCCGATCATCTCATACGCCTCTTTCGTTAACACATTCCCATGCAACTTGACAATAGAAAAAAGCCGATCGGGTAAGTGTTCACTTGGTGTGATGGTCGTGGTGTGCTAGTTGTGGTGTGAAAAACTCTGTTTCCCGCCCTTGCATCCCTCCGTATGAACACATGTTGAAGTAGAAGTGGTATCATATTCAGCCCAGTACATGCGCATGCGTATATCATTAAATAAAGATTTTTCTCTGCAAGTAGCACTGTACTGCTGGATGCTATGTCAACCCTGAAGGACAATCCGATTCCTCACTGCTTTATCACTGCTTCATCACCACGCAGATTTATCTGAAAATATAATGGAACTAGTTTACAAATTGTTGAAGAGCTCGAGGATACACAAAAAGAACGTTTCGTTGACTATATTTTACTTTTACTTTTACTATTCCCACCTGTCCTTTTTGTTATTTGTCATCTCTGCCTTTTTCTTACCTCCCTTTATCTCGGTAAGGCATATCTAATTCATTTGTGTAGCAATGTAGATGTGAATTATATAGCCCCACTACCACTACCACCTATACTCGTATGCAACCACATGGATACTTCATCCCATATATTTCTGATTCTCTAAATTTATGCGATACCTAATGGCAATGTTATAGGTCCTAGACTATCTCTTATTTATTTTGTTGATCATACCACTGTTATCAATCTCCCTTCTGAACAATAATAATAATTCGACGATTATGAACGAGATTCCAGATAAGGTTATTACAAGGGACTTTTTATTAAAAAAACTGGTATGAGAAAAGACACGTCGATGTGCTAGAACACTCTCAGCATGTTTATTTTGTTTATACATAACATAATTGTAGTGGAAATTTTTTTTTTTATTCACATGTCTACAATATGAATGTCTCTGTAAACATTTGTTCATGTAGAGATGGGTGTATATTTCTGTGCTTCACCATTTCGCTACTGAATTGTTCCCAATAACCGACCCCCTTTCCTGAATGCAACAGATTTTTTACCTGATAAAATGGATTTCCTTCATGGTCTTTTGCATTATTCTGTCTTTATATTATGTAAACTTAATTAACCATCAATTTACGAGAAAGTATATAATAGAATCCCCACTGAGTGAAGAGAAATTAGGTTCCTTGCGGAAGAATTTCGTGGAAGATGTTCAACATCACTGTATACAGAATGTGCATCTAGGTAGGAGTTTTTTCCATGAGTTTGCACAAGCACTATGATCATGAAAAAAAAAAAAAAAAAAGAAAATGTCACTAGATATCATTAATTGAGGTATTATGTCTCGATCGAATCATCAGCATCATTTTATTTCTCTTTTATACCCCTTTTTCTCCCCCCCCCCCCCCCCCATATATTTCTTTTCCTTATTTTTTTTTTTTTTTTTTTTTTTTATACAGGATCCTTGTACAAATGCCAACTTTTACTTCACGAATTTTCGCAAAATGAGAACCTGGGTGATCGTCGTGGCATGATGGCAGTTATAATAAAGCAGATGCAAATTTTTTTTTTTTTTTGTTTTTCTCTATTGTTCTTGGTATCGTCCCTGTCTTATAGTGACAAGTGAGGGAGCTTCCCTTCTTCCACCCGTTTGTGCTGCCTCGCTTGCGTTGCCCCCTTTGTGTTGTCTCGCTTGCGTTACCTCGTTTGTATTGCCCCGTTTGTATTGCCCCGTTTGTATTGCCCCGTTTGTATTGCCCCGTTTGTATTGCCCCGTTTGTAATGCCCCGTTTGTAATGCCCCACCTATCACCCCTACACGCAGGTTCGAACCGCTGCACAAATTAAGTTGCATACAAAATTCGAAGACCTATTTTTCGTGTCTGTTTTTCTTCCTCATATTAAGTCTCTCATACGTGTGCTTACGCATATATATGCTTCCCCCCTACTATGTGAAGCAGGTACAGCAAAAAATTTGCAAGGCAAAAAAATTTCAAAGCAAAAAAAAAAAAAGGTGTACTATATATATTTTTTTTTCCACAGTCGTGGCTTTTTTTCGATTGGAAAATTCGGCTTTATTTATTTTATTATTTTTATTATTTTAATTTTTGTTTTTTTTTTTTTTTTTACATTTTTTCCACTGCAATGAGGAGTACGTATATATAGAGAGTGCATAACTGTTCACGGTTTCTTTTTCCCCTATTTGACAGTACCCTGACGTGACCTTAACAGTACTTATGATTATCTTTAGTCTAGTTATCTTAGTAATAAATGAAACTCTAAAGCGTGTGGAAAAAAGGATAAAAATAAATAGGCAGAAATATTTGAAGGTTTTGTTTGGCACGCGATTAGGTATGTGGAGTCCGAAATGAGAAGAGTTTGGGTTGACTTTTTTTTAATTTTTTCCAGCACATGTAAACATTTTTCCTTATTAATTTTGTTCAATCCACTTGGTGTAGCCAGTTTGGCTAGTCTCTTTTTTTTTTTTTTTTTTTTTAATTCCCTTTTGAAGCTTGACACAAAACAGTTTTTTTTCATATTTTTTTTCCCCTCCTCGTGAACTACTTTTATTTAACATTCTTTGTACCCACTGTAGCATTTACATTGTTATGTGTTTTTTTTTTTTTTATTTTTTCTGATTGTTACGGAAAGATGGTAAAGAAGAACTGGTGTTAAAATATATGTCAGATGGGTGAGCGTAATAGTTCGTTAATTATTTTGGAAAACACAATTAAATGATTTAATTCATCGCGCACGCAATGGGAGTTAGTGGTGGGGATGTATTCTTATCTTATGGCGAAGGGAAAAATATTAACATGTAGCTTTTTCTCGTTTTATCATAAAATGAGCAGATAAAAAAGAGTGTGTAAGAATAAAACAAAAAGGGGAAATTATTAATAACATGTTTTTAAAATTATTTTTATGAGTTCTTTCAAAAAAGTACAATTTTTCTTATCATAGAAAGTTAGGGGCATATGTATGTAGCGTAAAAGGATTTTTTTTTTTTTTTTTCTTGGAAAAAGTAAAGCTGCACCTATATATATATATATATATATATATATATATCCACTGTTGATAAAAAAAGAAGAAAAAAAAAGAAAAGCTACATATATAATTGGGTAATTGGATGGAAGATATGTTATACAGCGCTATACTTGAAACATACGCAAAATCAATCACACACACACAAAGGGGGGAATTTGCAGATGTTGTTGTCTACTGCAACTGCACACGCTTATTTTGTAAGCATACTTTGGTTCATTTTATCCTTTCAAACTACCATTTCTTATTCTAGTTACAATTTCATATCTTATATTCTCTTTTCCATATTTACAAAAATAAGGTCTTTTTTTGTTTGTTCATACGGGTTTTACTCATTTGTCTTAATTATATCAGAGTCCCCAACATCTGTTATGACGAGACAACTTATTCGAAACAGTTTTCCACAAGCTGTTCCCAAATCATTATTATCCCCATGATAATCATGAACTCCACATTTTGCAAGCATTGCATAATATTCAATAACACTTCTCTGTATTGGTGGGCAGTTGCTACTCACGATGACAAGTTTACCTGTACAATAGAATTGTGTTGAAAATGGGCAAGAATAAAATAAAGTGAAGCATATCATTATGAACCATTATGAAGTAAAATACGGATGAGTAATCCATACTGATTATTATAAGTGGTTTCCCATTTTCGACAAAAGAAAGAAGGTGTGTGGTTGTATAAGTCACATCCATTCGGTATATTTGTAAACGTGAAAAATGGGATGCCCTTGAGGGGAATGAAATTTTCAACCAATCTCAACCACACACACACAAACACAATGATATTATGCTATATGCACAGGTACGAAGCACATACATGTAAAAGTAAATGATATAAATTCGATGCATATGATGGATGTGATGGGCGTGACAGATACAATGAATGGTTGTGTCGTAATGTTCTTATGGTTCATGCGGCACTCCATGTGCAGAAGACATACGATGGGCAACATGTGCATGTGTAAGTATGTGCACATGTACGTATATACATATGTATATATACGTATGTATGTATATATATATGTATGTATATATATATGTATGTATATATATGTATGTATATATATGTATGTATATATACGTATATATGCGTGTCCTGGTTTTTAAGTTTGAGTGTCACTCGGGGGCTACAGTACCTTTTCCCGTTCGAAGGGCTTTTAAACAGGATTTTCTTCCAAACTGATACTTTCCAGATTTCATAACAAGCTGCAATTTTGCGTTGATGTTATCTCCCGCACTTTTCTTTGACTTCTTTGCCATTGTGAATTAAAAGGATGGGTTATTACTTATTGGTGCTTGGCTTCGTGCGTGTGTGCAGATGTTTCAAAACTTGGCAATTCAAAAAGCTGAATCGTAAAAGGGGGAATGAATAATATATGAAGAAGTTTTTTTTTTATTTTATTTTATTTTTTATTTTTTTCTTGCGTATATTGCGATTCTATTGATGAGTTAAAAAGTTTGACCATTAAGGATGGCAACTAGTGGGACTAAACTCAACTTAGTCATGACTCCCGTTGGCATGCGTTTCATTTTTCTCTCATATTCTTCCGTGCAGGGAATAGCAAAAGAGAGAAAAAAAAAAAAAAAAAAAAAAAAGTCCCTTACCTACTCAAACGGAAAAACTAAATTATAATAATTCCCTTTGTCGGAAAAAATAAATTAAAAATATGTATATATATATACATATATATATGTATATAATATATTTATATTTACATCACTCTCTCTCCTCTTGGGTAAAGATATTGAGGTATCATATTTTTTATTTTATTTTATTTTTTTTTTTTTAACTCCCAAATTGGGGGTAGGGGAAGTATATTACCTTATAACATGTACTTCTAATAAAGTAGTTAGGATTTATAGTTGTGTCGCACCGGTAAATAAATAATGTCGCAAAGATGCGCAGTTTAATATAAAAAAAAGAAAAAAGAAAAGAATTTTTTTTTTTTTTTTTTTTTTTTTTTTTTGTGTATTCCTTATTCCTTTTATAAATGTAGCTAGGCGTTGAAATATATGAACGAACAAATGGTTTATTTCTTCCTCTTTTATATAATACCTATATTGTGGGCGTGATAGTGGAAAAAACACATAAGTGCACATCCAGTTGCCACTAATCAGTTAGTGAGTGTATGTATACTTACATATGGGGTGGGAAGGCTGTTATTATGGTGTATACGTAACTTTCTTCGCATAAGTTTTTTATGTGTTCCACATAACGCGATGTTACAAGATTGAAGCGGAAGAGATAATTTTTTTTGAACAACAAAAAAAAAAAAACAAAAAAAAAAAAAAGGAAACTGTTGGGAGGAGGATATTGACCCGGGGAGGGTAGGGTGGGACTTGTAAAAAATATGAACGCAGGACAAAATAAGGATGGAAGTGAAAGTTGTATACAGTTCAATAAGGTGCGAGTATATTTTTTTTTTTTTTTTTTTTTTTTTTTTTAAATATAGCACCCAAACTTCCCCCCCCCCCTTCTTTTCCTTTATGATGATGAATATGCACTATTACATATGTATTTAGTATCTATATATATAGCTTTTGCAGTGGGGCGCAAGAAGGAGAAAAAAAAAAAAAAAAAAAAAAAGGCTGCGAATTTTTTTACTTTTTTTTATTTTTTCAAAGAATTATTTCCAACCCGTGGAACTGAAAAGAACACACTTTTAATTTTCTCATAAATAAAAAATGAAAAAAATAAAGAAGGGTTTCTTTTTATTTATTTATTTTTTTTTTTAATGGCTTTAAAAAAGTTCTTTAGTGAAAATCAGTAGTTATGCTCAATTTTACTGTATTTGAGGAAAACCCCAGGATATATGTTTTTCTTCTTTTCCTAAGTGATTCATAAAATAAACCGTAAATGAAAAAAAAAAAAAAAATTGAAGACTTAAAAACATTAAAAAGGTTTAACTCCAGTTAATAGTGCACAAAATATCAAAATGTTAAAGAAGTGTTTAACATATGGAAAAAATGAAGAAAAAACTCTTTTAACAAAATAAAAAAAAAAAAAAAAACAAATATATACGTGCTGTGACATATTACATATTGGAAAAAATATAAAAAAATAATATGTTTTTTTCACCCCTTAAATAATTTCCACCGTACCCCTCAAAATATATATATATCTCCAAATTGTACATATAATCCCTCCCCCCCCTAGAATCAATATATAATATAAAAATGATGAAAATAAAAAAAAATAATAAAAAATTTTATCAATCTATTTTCCACAGATTCACTGAATAAGTAAAATGTGTCCAATAGAAATGCTCTACATATTATCTATGTCTTGTTTCGTTCACTGCAGCAAAAAAAAAAAAAAGTCTACCTCCTTTTTTGCATTGCACACGTAAGTGTACGTATACATTACATGGATGTACACATTATGTGGATACATACAGGACGTGCATATATCACATGTATACAATTTTTTTTCCATGATTGAAATCCCCACCAGTACATAACTAATGATGGAAACTATTTTCTAGTAGAAAAAGGGAGACAGTTTCTTAGCATGATACATTTTTTTATGAAAATTTTTCACCTTATATGAAACCCCTCTCCCATCGAATAATTAAACTAAACGTGTTCCCACCTGAACAAATTTGAATTATGGAATTTTGGTATCCACGCGGCTTTCCATCAACACGTTACATTTGGAATGTGTAATGCACACTCAGATATGCATGCGTGTATATATATATGTATGTGTGTGTATGGATATTCGATGCATATATACCCGGCTGTGCACATAAGTACAAGGGGAAATAGAATTCATGAATGCAAATTATTTCGTAAGAAAATATAGCGATTTTTTTTTTTTTTTTTTTTTAAGCGATTTAATTTGACAGTTTTATTTTGTTTTGTTTTAATACATTTTTTTTTTCTGTTTTGTGCACATATATAATAATTTCCCGAATTTGCAACTTGTGATGTGGCGTACAAAAGTCATATGGAAAATCCGATGATATCAAAAGTATATCTGGAGGTGTTATGCTCAAATAGGGAATTCGAAATGGGGGATAATATTTCATCCTTTTTACATTAACTCTGTCCTGGTAAAGATGCCAGGTACGCACGTTTGTTTGATATAACGAACAAAGTGACGAAGAAGATTCATCACACTTGTTGTCATGTTCGTCCGTGATGATGTTGCAAAGGTGGTTCGTCCAATGTTTTTTCGCGAATTTTTTGGCTAAAATTGATCTCACTATTTTGCTAACACGTGGAACCACACATACATTTGTGTTACGTGTACACATGTACCAATGTGTCCATTTGACTTTGTGTGTGCATATGTTTGTGTGTGTGTGAGCCTAAGTTTGAATGAGCTCATAACAAATGTACACCTACAGAGCGTTAATAATTTCCAGCAATAAGTTTTAAGCACGCGAAATGCACAACACAAAACCCGGGGGAGAGGGGTTCAAAATTGTTTTATTCATTTATTCATTCATTTATTCATTCATTTATTTATATATTTATTTTTTTTTTTATTACATATATATGTGCATACCTGAACACACCTTGTCATAAAATTACATATGTAAGTACATGTCTGTGCGTGTAATAATGTGCTCACGCCGCATATATGTATTTGTGAATTTTTACACATATTTCTTAAGCTCTTTCGAATAATAGGATTACGAGAGGGTGGTGGGTGATTTTTTTTTTTTCAGTTCTTTTTTCAAAAGGTGAAATGAAAAGATTTAAAAAAAAAAAAAGAAAAATTAAAGAGGTGTACACAAGATCTATTTTATCAAAAACGGTTGTTTAATAATGAATATTCGATTTATAAAATTATTTTATGCATTTTTTTTTTTTTTTTTTACGAGACACACTCTAGTGTATCCACTTTTAAGTCGGAAAAAAAAAAAAAAAAAAAAAAAATGGCTAGCAAAATAAGATAAACACACCTTAATACTTGTTATCATTGAGGAAGAGGAGATTTACTTTAGAAAAATTTATATAGTATTGTTATATTTTGAAAAGATCGAAATTATATTACATTGCTTCTCAGCCATGTTGCATAAATGTAAAATCATTTTAAGTTTTAGAACAAAAAATCTTGACAATAAGGTTATTAGGACTAGGGCAATAATAAGGCACTAACTTATTTCTTACACTGTGATTCTTTATTTTTTTTTTTTTTTTCCTGTTTTATCCCTCATGATTTTAAAAAAAAGAAATTCTCATAGAAATGGTTAATAAACAAATAGATAACATAATAATAAGCACGCTTAAGCCAATATGTAAAAATGAAGAAATGGTGTAAAAATGTACAAAGTGGTACAAAATATGGAGGCAAAATATGAAAAAAATTGTTTATGCATATGTACATATGCTTTTATTTACTCTGCATGCCAAATTGGACTTATATGCAACTCCTACTGATGAGTGCGAAAGAATACCAAATCAAGAAAGTCCACGTGATAGCTAAAACGGAAAAGTCAGTTAATCGCAATAATCGTCGTATTTTTTCGAATTTATTGCGGAATTTCACATGAACATATAATTATAGTTTATGACCTTGTGTTGGATAAGACAAAAAAAAAAAAAAAAAAAAAAAAGAAATTCAAGTATTCATCACTCATATGTTCACTTACCCCTTCATTTAGTCACATACTCTTCACTAATTCACAAATCTACTGTGTGTTAACTCTTTTGAACATTTTTGCTTTACATTTCGCATGCATATTTTCCATTTTTAGTGTTACATACGTGAGTGCAAAGGAGCAAGTGAAAATATGGCCTGAGAGAATAAAACGGGGAATCCATACTATATATACAGCAAACTTATACCCAAATAAAAGTTCACTTAATTTTTCATTCTCTTGTTGCTTCCCAATTTTAAACATATGCATATCTACATGTTCTTTATTTTTACATTCATTTTTATAATCATCCTCGTTTTTGAATGTTTTAAGTGTGTAAGACTTCAAATTATATGGAAAATAACCTTAAATGTGAGCATGCACGAGAGATTATTTTTTTTTTTTTTTTTTTTTTTTTTTGCTTAATTTCCCAACGATCATTTTCTTACTCTTAAAATGTGTGCTTACAATTAGCATAACCTTAAATTATATGTAACTATTTATTTTTATTTACTTTTTTTTTTTTTTTTTGCACCATACATTTTCGTGCTTTCTGATGACTCATACTTTTTTATTTTTTATTTTTCTAATTTATTCGATTAACTTATGTTCTTTATTTCCTTTTATTCCTATTTCCCAATTTTCAATGAGTCACGAGAAATAATGAAG